AGCTGTTTAATGACATACTGTGGAACATTTCAGGCAGAGCAGGTGACGGACCCCCAACCCGAAAGGTTTCACAATGCGCTTTTAAATGTCTGGAGAGTTGCAGGGTTTGGAGTTTAACCTCTGAACGGTTGCTCCCTTTCTCCTCCGAGGTCTGAGGTCTGGAACAGTCTGTGTGGTCTCTATGGAAACACAGTGAAAATGTCCAGGATCAGAAACACAAGATGCCGTTTATAAAAGATAAGACAGAGACGTGCGTGTGAGACGATAGGACCACCAGACTGCATGAGATCACCGCACTCAAGAGGCCTGCCGGATAACAGCCTCTACTGCACACGCAAAGAGGTAAGCACGCATGCCCCACAGCGACAGGGTCCCCGGTTCAAATGTCTGTGTGAGGTTTGGACCAGACTCAAGAGGCCTGCGCGATAACAGCCTCTTTGAGAATACAGCAACTACATGTAAAATAAATGTAAAATAATTGGTCAGCACTCACACGCCACAACGAGAGTGTCCCAGGCTCAACTACTGGGCGAAATTTGATTCATGAATAGTACATTTAAAGGTGCGGTGTGTAACTTTTCTGGTGGAGTGTCCATCACCTGCTTGTTTCCGTGGCATTCGGGAGCTACCAGTAGCTCTTCACCCCCTTTCAAGTGGCTCGCCAAGGGATTTCTGAATTATACCTTTGATTAATTAAATGCCTATTACTATTGGGAATGTATCATTTTGATGCCTAACTTTGTGCACTAATAAATAATGGTTTATGTTTTATACACATTTAATATAGGGTGACCAGGCGTCCCTATTTACCCAGGACAGTCTCAGTTTTGAGCCTGTGTCCCCTGTACCATCAAATTTATACAAAACCAGTGATTTGTCCCAGTTTTATACAAGAAATGATCCAGGTGTCCCTATTTTTGACCAACAAACCAGGGCTAAACTAAGACTAATCCATACTACATCAGGTCTAAACCAGGACTAAAACAGGACTATCATAATTTTTGATTTATCTGATCCCCGCCAGCAGTAAACAGGAGCATAAATTATAATTTGTTTAACCAAAATACAGAAAACTGTGTAGCATCAGAGAATGCACAATGTTACCCATGTTTTTAACAGTTTTATTTACACCAAACATCCCAACCCAAGTGTGTCCAAGTTTTGAAATTTTGAAAATCTGGTCTCCCTAATCTAATCTAACGGTCGACTCAGCTGTTACATCGACTAAATTTCTTGCAATTGCTAAAACTGGTAGCTCTCTGGCATTTTTGTTTTGTAAAGGAAGAAAAAAGGTTGGAGACCCCTGTTCTGTGGAGATGTCATTGCTCTGCCTGAAGTGTTGCACAGTATACCTTACATTTATTCAATTACAGGTGGTTTTATAGCTCAAAAATACCTAAGAAGGGTCACCTCTCCACAGATCTGACTTGTAACTTGGTCTGATTTGGTGTCCATGAAGATAGAATGGTTTAATGCCATACTGTGAAACATTCCAGACAAAGCAATGACATCTCCATGGAGAAAAGAATTTCACTAAGCCTCCATTAGAAAAATTACACAGTGCAACTTTAAATGTACTATTCATGAGTCAAATTTCGCCGGGTAATTGAACCTGGGACCCTCTTGTTGTGGGGTGTGAGTACAAACCCCTCAGTTTACATTTATTTCATGTGTTACTGTATTCTAAAAAAGGCTGTTATCTCGCAAGCCTCTTGAGTCTGGTCCAATCCTCTCAGGACATTTAAAAGTGCATAGTAAAACTTTTCTGGTTGGGGGTCCATCACCTGCTTGTTTCTATGGATACGTCATTGCTCAGCCTGAAATGTTCCACAGTGTGACATTAAACAGCTCAACCATTTATTCAATTACAAGTTGTTTTACAGCTCAAAAATAGCAAAAACAACAACAACAACAAAAACAGGCCTTCTGACGGGGTCGCCTCTCCACAGATCTGACCTGTAACTTGGTCTGGTTTGGTCTCCGTGCAGATAAAATGGTTTAATGCCGTACTGTAAAACATTCCAGACAAAGCAATAACATCTCCATGGAAAAAGCATTTGATGGGCCCTCAACCAGAAAAATTACACAACCATCAAATAAGAATGTCAACATTATTTATCTCACCACTGATCATTCAGGCCGGTATATAACTGTAAGAACTAACAATGAATAATCGTGTTAATTTTAGAATCCAAATTAAAGGTGAACTTTGTAACTTCTGGTCGAGGAGCTACAGCCCGCCCCTTCCAAGTAGCTCACCAAGGGATTTCTAAATCACATGTACTGTACTGGATAACTAAAATTTGATTTGATTAAATGCTTGTTAGTATGTAAATGTATCATTCTGAGGCCTATCTTTGTGCACTTATAAGTAGATAATAGTTGTATAAATGTTTTATAGACATCAAACTGTACTCCATCTAAGGCTCTTATATTTACTCCATTTCTTGCGACCGCTAAAATGAGTAGCTTGCCGGCATTTTTGTGTTGTAAGGGTAGCTCACAAGAGGAAAAAAAGTTGGAGACCCCTAAAGAATTATTATGGTTTTGACTGGAATGTTCCACATATGGCATTAAGGTTCTTTCTCCATAAAAAGGACCTGTAATTGAATAAATGGAAGATAGATACAGTAAGTTTAGTTTAAGATCACTATTAGTTGCTGTTTGATGCCATACTGTGAAACATTTTTGTGGAAAAGTTACTCTGGCAAGAAAAAGGAATTGCAGATTTCACTAAAATAATGATGTTTCTATTCACCAAAGGAACAAAATGTGACATCCACCTTTAAGAGTTTTGGAGAAAAGTTATCAGTGATGGTCAGTGTCCATCATGACTTTTGGCCTGAAAAAGAAATGACATTAAGAACTGAGAGATTACATAGCAGTCAAAATATGTTTAAATAATACATTAACTTGAATTTTCAGATTCACAAAAGGTGTTAATGAATGTCTAAGTGCTAAGAGCTCATGTAATATTTGACAAGTTCCACTAAAATGCACGTAGACCCTTTCTTTCTATCTCACACTGCTTTATCTAAGGACACATTACAGCTTATGGTCCTAATGCCTGAGTGTTTTGGTCTGGACACTTAAAATACCCCAAAGTATGAGGCCATTTCCTATGGCAGATACTGGGGCCTGTGACAGTGTCCAGACTGTACAGTGCCTCCATTACACCTCAGACTGCCACGTCTGACAAATATGTAGACTAGTAATAGAACCAAAAGCTTGTTATTAAAATGTCACTGAAATTAAAACATTTATCGCAATCAGAACTTCAAATATTAATGACAGATGATGCGAGTGTCAAATTCAACACAATAAAATGAACATTCTTTTAAAAATGTTGACTCATATGGTTCTTTTTTTGTTTAGCTCATTGAGAGGTGGATCAGTGCAGTGTCGACAGTGATGCGGTCGCTGTATCGGTCAGTTGTGGTGAAGAGAGAGCTGAGTTGAAAGGCAGAGCTCTCAATTTACCGCTATGTTCCTACCCTCAACTATGGTCATGAGCTCTGGGTAATGACCGAAAGGATGAGATTGCAGATACAAGAGGCCGAAATGAATTTCCTCCGCAGAGTGGCTGGGCGCTCCCTTAGAGTTAGGGTGAGGAGCTCAGTCACATGGAAGGAGCTCGGAGTAGAGCCTCTGCTCCTTCAGGTCGAGAGGAGCCAGGCTTTTGTTCCAGATGCCTCCTGGGCACGTCCCACCGGAAGGACACGCTGGAGGGACTGTGTCTCTGGGCTGGCCTGGGAACACCTTGAGGTCCTCCCGGAAGAGTTGGAGGAAATGTGCATGGAAATAGAAGTCTGGGAGTTCCTGCTTAGACTGCTGCCTCTGTGACCTGACCCTGGATAAAGCAGAAGAAAATGGATGGATGGGAAAATTGACAAGAGTGGCTGTGCAAAATCAATAAATAAAATAGTGTACATTGTTCAAAAGTGATGACCGTGTATCAGATTTTTCTATAATATCACTGCACAAATTGGGTCGTCCATTGAGAAAGTCACAAACACACAAGAACACAAACCAGCTAATACCATATTAATTTATTAACTGATTTAAACTGCTGGACACTCCTGCTCACCCACTGCACCAGACTATAGCGGGACAGATAATACTCCCTACAATTGTACAACAACACACCCACTGCACCAGACTATAGAGGGACAGATAACACTCTCTATAACTGTACAACAACTTGCGCTTATGTAACAGATAATACTCCCTATAACTGTACAATAACCCGCGCTTATGTAACAGATAATACTCCCTACAACTGTCCAACAACTCACCCTTATGTAACAGCTAACCCTGTGTCCTGTCAATCATCATATGATTGTTGCACTGTCTTCCTATGACCTCTTGTATGAGGTTTTATATTTTATTACTTATGTTTCTATTTCATTTTGTTTTATTTATCATTTTACTTGTACATTTAATTTATATTATTATGCTTTATTTGACACCTGTCTCTTGCCATCAACTTATTTAGAAATTTTTATTACCATTTATGTTTTTTTCCTCCTTGTTATTATATTATATTGTGATGTGTGAGCTACTCTGTTCAAATAATTTTCCAGTCAATAAAGTCTAATTATATTAATATATATATATTATATATATATATATATATATATATATATATAATATATATATATATATATATATATTATATATATTTATATATATATATAATATTATATATATAATTTATATATTATATATAATATATATAATTTTATTATTTGTATTAAAATAAATAATTAAAATAAATAATACATTAAATTAAATAATCAAAATTATTAATTATTGATGACTAATTATTATTTATTCATTATTAATTGCTTTTAAAAATATATATTTTGTACATTTTTTTTATGGGTCGTTTAAGCTACGCGGTCGCTATGGTAACCTCGGTGAATTTGTGCGTGTCTCAAATCTCGCGTGATTTCATCCTATTAACTAAAAAAAGTACGCTGAATCTCGCGTGATTTGGCGTAGCTGTCATGGCGGCCGCCCGCAGGTTGCAGCTGTGCGCCGTGTCTCCCACAGCGAAACACTCCGCGTCTGTGGTGTTCCTCCACGGATCAGGTGCTCCGGACTGTCCCTTTCCCTCCCGGGGACCAAACTGTGAAAAACGAGCCTTTGTCCGGGAACTGTCGCGTTGTTGTGGTTGTTTTTAGCGCGTTGTTTTTAGCCTGACCTCAGTACAAAACACTTCAAGCTTCTTCATGAGTGACTTTCTGTGGTGTCCTTTCACTTACAACGCTTTAAAATGCTCATATATTTATTGTATATATTTCTAAAGTAGTATTTTACCTCCGTCTATGTTAAAAAAGTAGCAATGGTTGCTTTTAGCATTTGTAAAGCTTAGTTTTTCTCATACATTTCCCCTTACACTGCTATTTGGGCACATGTGAACTTATCTGAATCATTTTATAAGCAAACACCGGATGCATAATGCCACTTCTTCAATTCTAGTTAAATGTTGTTTAATCTCACTCTAATATTGATTTAAATATAGTAGTTAACATGCAAATAAATTAACACAATTCAGTTCAGCTTTTTTTTTTTATAGTGTGGGAGACCTATAATTTCTGTTAGTTATTTGGAAACAGAGAGGGTCATCAGATGGAGAAAAGGATGCAGATGAGAGGGATAGATGAAGCAGTGGAGTAACATAATGTACACCTATTCTTGCGTCCTATTTTTCTCCTGCTGACATGGACTATGAGAGGCTCCTAAAAGTTTAACTCTAGAATCTGAAATCTCTCTCACTGCTGTTTGTTTTCCTCAGGTGACACTGGGCAGGGCCTGAGAGCCTGGGTCAGAGACGTGATGACTCCAGACCTCGCCTTCCCCCACATCAGAGTCCTCTACCCCACAGCTCCAGAGAGGTGAGAGCCACGGAGCTTCTTCTGACTCTCTCGTCTGCTCCATCTGACCCTCTCCTCTATTCTATCTGACCCTTTCCTCTGCTCCTCTGCTCCACCTGACCCTCTCCACTGCTCCTCTGCTCCATCTGACCCTCTCCTCTGCTCCTCTGCTCCATCTGACCCTCTCCTCTTCTCCTCTGCTCCTCTGCTCTTTCCCTCTGCTCCATCTGACCCTCTCCTCTGCTCCATCTGACCCTCTCCTCTGCTCCGCTGCTCCATCTGACCCTCTCCTCTTCTCCTCTGCTCCTCTGCTCCATCTGACCCTCTCCTCTGCTCCATCTGACCCTATCCTCTGCTCCGCTGCTCCATCTGACCCTCTCCTCTGGCTCTACTCCTGCTTGCTCCTGTCTCCTCCTAACTCGGCACTACACTCTGCTCCTCAGGCCTTACACTCCAATGCGAGGGGCTGTGTCTAACGTCTGGTTCGACCGGATGAAGATTTCCAGGGATTGTCCGGAGCATCTCGACTCCATTGACTCCATGGCTGAAAGTTTAGGCTCCATTATCCAGGATGAGGTCAAAGCAGGCATCCCCAAACACAGAATCATCGTAGGTAAGTGTGGCTGTGGAGGGAACTGTTGAAGCTTCAGTATGGTGTAGATACTGAACCCTGTCTAAAATTAAACCTTTTTTATCTTTTAAATTATTTGAACAGGTCAAGAACGCTTTTATTTCTCGTTTAGATGACTGTAATGCACATTTTCTCTGGCATTAGCCTCCATACACTGCGCACCTTTTAACTGGAACCAAAAAATGTAAGCACATTACCCCGATTTTAGGATCGTTCACCGGCTTCCAGTTCATTTTAGACTTGATTTTAAGATTTTATTGTTTGTTTTTAAAGCTTTGAATGGACTGGCCCCACAGTATGACTTTGACCTCATCCAAATTTACTCTCCTGCACGCTCTGCAGTCCAAGGGCCAAATCCAGCTCGTGGTTCCTAAGACGAGACTTAAAACCAGGGGGACAGGACCTTCTCTGTGGCCGGTACCGAGCTCTGGAACGCTCTGCCCCCCCACACCCAAACAGTCTAATCTTGAAAAACACTTTTATTCTCTGACCTTTAGCACTCCGTGAGTTGTGTGGTCCCCTGTGTCTTTTATTTATTTTATTTATTTGACTTATTTGTTATTTTATGATTTTTATGGTTTTGCTTTTATTTGATTTTTACTGGTTTTATTTTTTTTAGGTACTGGTATGATAACATTTTTAGCAATTTACCTTTTTGTTGTCTTCATTTTATGATCTCTGTGCAGCACTTGGGAAACTGCTTTGTTTAAATGTGCTTTATAAATAGTGGTAAAAAGTGGATTTGGATTTGTCACAAACCCATCAGTGGATTTTCATTCGGGCTATTTCTTATTTAAAAAATACAACATTAAAATACAACTGACACTACAGGAAAACTGGCACCTGCTCCATGTGAGTGTGACATGAACTCTGAGGAGTAACAGGAGAAATGGTTTCAGATACTCACTAATGTATCGAAAAGTATTGATTCTCATGCAAAATATCGATACTTGATACTTCAAATTTATCCAAAGACTGCAGTTATTTTTTTATCAGTTTTTAGATAATTTTAGTTTATCTTCAGATATATTATGGTACGTTTTTTGGTCCGTTCAAGCTGGACTGAGGCAAAGATAATAACGTAGCCAGATAATTATTACATTACTTAGTTTTGTCTCTAACTTTGTACATTTTTCAAGATGTTGAACCTTAAAAATGTAATTACCGAGCCTATCCTCATGAAACAAAAACAGGAGATATTAACCGCAAACCAATCTGCACTTTGGCAGTTAAGAAAAAACAATCTGTTTGATCAGGATCTGTGCTTTTTTCTGATTCTGGCTGTTCTTTTTTTGTTTTCGTCAGGCGGCTTCTCGATGGGAGGAGCTATGGCGCTGCACCTGGCCTGTCGCTTCCACCCCGACGTCGCCGGAGTCTTCGCTCTCTCCAGCTTCCTCAATAAAGACTCTGTGGCTTATCGGGTAAAAACTGTCTCCGTCTTTTTGGAATTTAACTATCATTATTATTATTTTTTTTAAGGTGACCAAGTGTAAATCATAATTACACTGAAAGGTCCTATGTTACTTAAAATTGACTCTTGTGAGCTTTAAGCCATGTTATAATGCTGTTACTCCTCAAAAACAGACTGGAGTTGGGTTTTGTTTACTTCACACATGTTTGAGTAACACTTTATTATTAGTCTGTCTACATCTCCAAAGCTCAAAATGCTCTGTTCCACCTTGTCTTGCCATAAAACCAGTAATGTTGAGGAGATGGCCAATTCCAAAGCTGAAATTATCCAAATGATTCTAGTTAAAGTGAATGGAGTTTAAAACACCGTGGAGCACTTCCTGTATTACCTCATGACATCCCAAGATGGAAGTGTTTTCTGTTTGAGAGAAGAACTGAGCCTAAATCTGCAGGGTTTGTGTGTTAAACATGTGTGAATGAAACAAAACACAACTCTAGGTTTGTTTTTGATGAAGTAATAACATTCTAACATGTTTCAAAGCTCACAAGAGTCCATTTTGTGTATTGAAAAGATTTAAAACCAGATTTATTGAGTATTTCCTTGTTGTTTTTATCATAGAGTTTGGACTTTTTGACACTGTGATAACACTACCCGGCTATTTTTTTCATTTTAATCTCCTGTGTTTCCAGGTGGTCGAGGAGCGTTGCGGGTCTGGTCTGCCTGTCCCGGAGCTACTTCAGTGCCACGGGACCAGTGACGAGCTGGTTTTACATCAGTGGGGCCAGGACACCTCGGCTCTGCTCCAAAAGGCTGGGATGAAATGCACGTTCCACTCGTACCCAGGACTCTACCACCAGATCTGTGGCCCGGAGATGGAGCTGCTGCGCGGGTGGATCCTCAGCAGACTTCCCCCCTCCGGCTCCTGACCTCCAAGACAGACTCACGGACCTGACAGAGATGTACAGCGTGTAATTAAGACTATGGTTTTGTGCATTTGTAGGAGAACAGACAGGAGCTGGGGCTGCAAGATTAACCGCAAATCAAATTGAAAATGAGAATGGCAATTGGGACCTTGCACCATGAAATACCATAATTTTAAGACCGCCACACACTACAGGAGAATTTGCCCGATTTAGGCTGCGATTTGCTTTTCCGTGAGTTTGCGGAAGTACGGCCTGACTTCATGTGTCTTCACGTGCTCTCCTCATGTGTGGTGTCAGTGTGACTCTGAGCTGCTCTGTCAGATCGTAACCACCAAACATCAGCAACGCAATGAGAACAGCAAATAAAACAGAGCGTCAGGGGCAGAGGAGTGACGGACACAGAGGCGCAAGATACAAACTCAAGAAATACCGAAAATAATGAGAAGACTTTATTCCTCACCTCTCGTAAAGTTGTAAATTTAAACTCCAGCACCTCATCCACATTATCTATAGAATCTGTCCACCACAAATAATAACCCCCAGTCCACAAAACATAAATATATTAATATAGTTTGTAGTAGAGCCCTTCACTTCCTCAGGGCGACGCAAAACAGTGCGGCGCAGGACACATTTTGAAAGCTCATTGCGGGTGCCGGTGGGTGGGATGATAAACTGCAGTCCCGCAAACTAAATCTGAGTGTAAAGTAAAATATACAAATGATGAATGTAAGCCTATGATACATCATTTGTGCTGGATATTTTATTGGCATTGGCAAAACATTTTAAGCAGCCTAAATTTGCAGACGTGGTCTAATCTGGAGCACATTTTAGTCAATTCCTTTCTGCTTCTCCGTGTTTGGTAGAGCTTAAGAAAGCGAAAGCATCCCCATCTTGCGGGTTTTGCAGGCGGAAGTGAGACAAAATATCAAAGATGCGGGCAGGAGCGGGAATAAAAATTACAGTTCTTTGCGTGTATGGGTGGGAGTGGGACTGAAAATTCCATCTCGCGCAGACCTCTAGTTTGAAGGGTTCGTTAAAAGTAAAAAGGCGAGAGTAAGAGTAAGTTCTGAAGCTGCAGATTAGTGACAGTGACTCTACTTCCTGTGAACTTTATCTCCAGCCTTCTGTGCTTTTAAAATCATGTTTCTGAAGTTTTGCACCACATTTCACAAATAATAATAACACAGTTTTGATTTGTATCTAAACGAGAAGTGCAGAGCAATGATCTTTTGAAGACTTAAGAGTCTCAAAGCGAGTGGTTTTGCTGTAGACTGGAAACGGCTGACTCGAGACGCGTTCACAACTTTATATCCTGTGGTTATCCTCTTTGCGATCAGAAATTTTAAGTCTCATAAGATTATCCTCATGTCTGTGGTGTGCGCTTTTCATTTAAGATAAAGGAAATAAAATCCTGTAGTGTGTAGCGGCATCAAAAACTCCAACCCTGTAGTTTAGATCTGTACAAACATGTTCTGAAATCTGATTCTTCTGTTACTTTGTCAGTTCAGATTTCAGTCTTTTTGTCAGTTCTTCTTTAGTTCAAGGGGCATTCCAGTGCTTTTTTTTTTTTTTTTGTAATCTGAGGTAGAAAACATCCCATTTACCGGTAGTCAGTTTGTCACTCTCACCTTTTTTTGCCAAAAATGTTTGTCAAAATGGGACCATGAACAATTGTATCGATGACAGGCTCCTGAAAATGTGTTGTTTAAATCCATTTTGTATTTTTTTTGAGTTTTCAGACGATTGTAAAAGCTAATGTGTGCACCATAGACATAATGCAGCCCTCCCCAGCACGATGTCACTGCAAAGGACCATTACATTTATAGTTTTTACACATCCTTGCCGTTATAGACTATGATCTCCCGTTGTCCTTTTACATCAGAACAGTTTTCCGTGTTTTTGAGGCTGTGGATGGAATAATCTTTATATAAACGTCTGTGGGTTAGTGACAAAAGCAGTGCCGAAAGCCGTGTTTATTTATTTAGTCTCCGCTCTGTCACGAGTCCAGACGGTAAACGGCACCACAAAAGGTTATGGTCCATGTCTGTCCACAGATATTCAAAAAGAAATTCTACACACACTACCAGTCAAACATTTGGACACACGTTTTCATTCATGTTTCTTCTCGATTTCCATTTATTCCACTTTTTTTTTTTTACTACATTATTCCATATATCTTGCTTCATGTATTTGATATCTTTCGCATGTATATAAAATATAAAATGTAAAAAGCAGTAAACAAACAAAAAAAAACTTGAGGGTGTGTCCAAACTTTTGACTGTAATTAGACAGAATGAATAGGTGCATGGATACATAATCTGATTTCTTTGATTTTCCACAAATATGCAGGCTTTAATTATGCAAAAAAGAGCAAAAATATAAAAATGCAAAGGAAATGTTAAAGATACACTGTGTAACCTTTCTGATGGAGGGTCGCCACATGATTGTTTCCATGGAGATGTTGCCTAGTACTTCATTAAACACTTGCATCTTGCATTTATTCAATCTGTACGGCTAAAATACATTGAAAAATATTACAATATTTTCTATTTGTACCATAGGGCCTCTCCACAGATCTGACCCGGTGGTGTCAGCTGCCTGTCTTCACTGATATAAGTTTAATGTGATATATTAAAGCAATTACTTTTTCGAACTATAAATCGCACTTAAAATCCTTTAATTTTCTCAAAAATCGACAGTGCGCCTTATGTATTAATTCTGGTTGTGCTTTCTGAGCTCGAAACGATTTTATGTGATGCACGGCGCTCAAAAGTCTGTCAAAATGTTTTGGTACAACTTTAGTAAACTACGAAGCTCATTCATCAAGCATTCAATTACGCCACGATCTGCCGATGGATCGTGGACGCCTGGGCTAAGGGATCAGTCTCAAGTGTCGTCTGTTTGTTTTGCTTAATGTTCCTTTTAATCCGGTGCGATTTATGTATGAAAATAATTGAGAGAATTCAACATTATTGATATTGCGCCTTATATTCCGAAAACACACAACATCTCCATAAAGACAAGCAGTTGGCGACCACTCCACCCGAAAAGTTACCTACAGTGCAATTTTAAAGGTATTTATATATTACACAAACTTGACTCATAAAGGTGCACTGTGTAACTTCTCAGATTTGGAGAAGTTACCATGGAGATGCTATTCCTTTGCCTGTAATGTTCCACAAACTTAAGATGCTTTTGATCAATTATAGGTGTTTTTATTGCTCAAAAATGCCTTTAAAAACCTGCATTCTGACTGTGAGCGGGGTCGCCTCTTCACAGATCTCACCTGTAAACTGCTCTGGTGGAGTCTCCTGCTCGTTTCTATGGCAACGGAAAAGATTAACGCCATACTGCAGTTGTGTTTTGTTTCATTCACACATGTTTGAGTAACGCTTTATTATCAGTCTGTATAAAATCTCTCATCTCCAAAATGCGTCGTATTTTGTCTTCCAAATGTAACAGCAGACCCGAGCACATCTCTTTACTGGGTTATCTGAGTTATCTGATTTGTAAAAGAACTCACTGTCTCGGAGACTGAGCTGAAAAAGATGTTATGATGAATGCTCTTGTTGTTCACTGTCCTCTGTTTTGTTTTGTTTCTATGTTATGTTTTATAACTTATATATATTCTTGATTTATGGAAAAAAAATCAATAAAGAGAATTATATTTTTGGAAAAGAAAAGTTCAGTCCCTGTTCCAGTCGATCTTGCTGTTGTTGTGTTCTTGGGCAAAACACTTGACCCTTTTACAAGTCCCTGTCGACACCGAATGTTTTGGTGTTAGGATTCAAACCAGGGCTCAAAACTTTTGCTGTGGTTCTCTGTGTTTGACCAATCTTTCAGTGGCTATGCTTACTAGTGCACCGCAAATCCAAACCTTATTTGATTTCTAGAGTTACCAGATTACTGAAAATCCAAGTAAATAGTTTTATCTGAAGTGGTCTTTCTGATGAGGTTTTGACAAGGACAGTTCTGCAAAAAAGACTGAAATGCTGACATGGTGAAAATGTACTGGGAATATTATGCAAAATACTACTATTATAGTTCATTCCACGCCTAATCTCCGAATGCCCCGCCCGACCATCTCAGATTTGACTGAAAAAAAATTCTAGGAGGTTCACACACTTTCTAATAAAAAAGTCTCAGATTTTAGCTCCCAACTTTTTATAGTTTTGTCATTAAAAAATATTTTGTCAGCTCCCCCCTGATCTGTTTTGAGCAGAGTTTTCCGAGGAGCCACTTTCAAATTGCTGTATCTAAAAAAAACTATTTAAGGTCAGTTCTTCAAATTTTCAAGGGTTAAAATTTGGCAAATGTACTTGTAGAATCTGGACTTTTACACATGTGGTTTTGGTTTATCACAGATTTCTGGGGGTTTGAATTTGCTTGAAAATTCTACTCTTCAGATCTGAGGGCATCTTTGAAGGGCTGTGGAAAGTACAATTTCAGAGACAGAGGTTTGATTTTGAACATACACCTTCCCACACACGCCACTGTGATCTTTGTATTTTAAAACTGACCCTCTGTGAAGAACGCTCTACAAGATATTAAATGTTAAAAATGGGAAAAAACTAAATTTGGTGCCATCTTTACCATGTTATGCCAAAACAAATGACAGCACCCACCAACATAAAATGGACTGTTTTAGAAAGACTAGATCCAACATTTGTGATGGTAGAAGACGCTGTATTTCTATTGTACTTTAGTTGTGCTGTTAGTTGTACTTCGTTACTGCTCCTGTTTAGTTTATGTGGCAAAGCTCTGCACTTTCGCAGAAGGAGCCCACATGACGTGCCTCTTTTTTTTTTTTTTTTATGCTTGCCACTCAGAGCTTCCGTAAATTCTTTTTCTGTTTCTGTGGTTGTCTCATCTTTACCGGCCTTTTCGATGCATCCAGAGACACAGGATCAGAAACCAGAAATAACAGTTTGTGTTCTTTAGTGGCTTTGTGAACTTTAGTGGGACGACAGTTCCATGTGTCACTGGACTAAAATGAACATAAGTTGGAGAGACAAATGAAAATACTCTGCTGTGGAGTTATTTCAGAAAAGGTGAAACGGATGAGTCACTTGTGCTGAAACAGAGGTGATAGAACATTAGTTTGAACTCAGTGGAGATGTAACCAGGCTGTAGTCTAAACACAAACTCAAGATAACCTATTAAAAAACTTTTCTTGGTGGAGGGTTCGTCAAACACTTTTCTCCATGTCACATCTTGGACTAAAATTGAAGCTTATAAACTTGGGGAGTTTTTCCATCTACATTTGAAGCAGTGATACATAGAATAAAATGCTTGAAAATGACTTTTGATGATAATTTGTCAATTTTCCTCTTACTTGAATAAAAGATTTTATTTTATTTTTTATAGTAGTACAATAGACAAATGCTTTATGTGACAATATGACATAATTTGAACATTTGTGTTTGTGTTTAGCTTTTGTCATTCTGTCCTTACATAATACCAAAATACCAGATTTTTGTGCATCATTTAATGTTTTGTCCTTCACATTACAATAACTTCAAAATTTAAATCAGATGTTACTCTTAAGTGAGTAGGTTTCCAAGTTGAGAGTTATTTTTTGACACTTTGTACTTCTACTTTAGTAATATTATTCTAAATGTTACAGTTATTGGCTACTTTACCAGTCTCTGTCTACAAGTGACAGAAGCTTTATGTTTCAATGTGAAATGATTTGAGCATTTGTGTTTCTTGCACAGATCCTTCAGTTTATCAGACATTTTAAATATTTGTCAAGATTACTACTTTCATTCTAGTTTAATATTGACATGAATTCTCCTAACCAACCTTTACTTGATAATTATATGCCTATCCTGTCATACCCACTACACCCATTTCCCAAAACAGTAAAAGTCCAAATTCAGACCTTTTGTGGTCATACAGCGCCTCCTACTGGACCATATAGTAATAATTTAAATTAACTTAAAAATCCAGGGGTAATAATGGACTCAGACTTGAACTTTAAAAGCCACATCAACCCAATAACATCTGCAGCCTAAAAAAAACAGCAAAACATCATAATGTAAGTCATGTTTAATAATGTCTAGACCAGGGGTGGGCAAAGTTTTTGACTCATGGGCCACAAAGGGTTCTAAAATTTGACAGAAGGGCCAAACCAGGAGCAGATGGATGGAGTTTTTTTGGTAATCCACCTCATAAGAGAAAAAAAATTACATGGAATATGTAAAAAACATATTCCATGTAATTGAACTATCCCATAATTGAAAATAATTACAACAAAATATGTGTCTTTCAAGTCCCACGGTATTTACTATTTATTGAAATGACTTTTAAAACACTGAAAATTATTATTATCATTGCTGTTGTTGTCGTCGTCATTGTTATTATTATTATTCAAGTTCAGTGGGCCGGGTTAAAAAGAATATTAGTGGGACGTAGTTTGCCCACCCCTGGTCTATAGTGTCTAAATCAGACTTGGAGAGACTTATTATTATTCATGCATTTGTCTCCAGTAGGTTAGACTCCTAGTCCAATGAGATTCATTTGGTCTTCTGATATTTTATGTTATTAGGTTTTTTTTTTCAGACCTAGAGTTTTGTTTCACACCTGACAGTTTCGACTGCTCACTAGCGGTCTTCCCCAGAGTCACGTAATGTTGCCGTGACTGTGTCTGGTCAGTTGATTTAAACAGGTTTTGGCGCTGTCTTCCTACTGGCGAGGGCAGGACGACAGCGCCATCTGCAGTCCCACTTCCTCAGGACAGTATCCCAGGTGTGTGAGAGTAAAAAAGCCCCCTCGTCCCGGTTTATAGTCCTGTGGGCACGTTTCTGTATAGGTAGGAAGACAGTGCCAAAATCTGTTTAAATCAGATGACCAGACACATCAATCACAATTTTTGGGATTATGACTGTCTAGGTATTTTAAAAACAAAAAAACTGTCCTATCTACAATTATATCAGCCTCTCCAAAATTAATTGCAATAAATATCGTACCGTGAGATGCAGATCGTGATAATATCGTACCGAGAGATTCGGATGTCGTTACATCCCTATAAACCAGGATTAAACTTGAGGAGTCAGTGTTTCAGATTCATGCAGCTAAAACTTAGTGAGGCTGGCGCCACCTAGTGCCTCCGCTCAATTTCATTTCTCTCCAGCGACTACGTCAGGAATCAGAATACACTAGACGGTTCGCAAAAACCCCGGAAGTGCGAGTTAGGGCACCAGCCAATCAGCAAAGAGCCATACTTTCTGTGTTGGCAACGAGATCCCGAGATCGAGGATTTAAAGCCAGAACAAAGAAAAAAACAACCATCACTTCGAATTACTTTGTGTGCAAATTGTCCGATACAAATAAAGTTGTCTTGTCTTAAACTCAGATAAATAAGTGCAAAAGACAAACGTTTGCATTCATCCAACCCTTTTTTATTCATTATTAAACATTGTATTTAAATAAAAGGGCTTCTTCTACACATCCACTCTTCACATATCAGGACTAGTACAGTTTTGTCATTTTATCTTAATAGATTTTCTGTTTTCATAATACCTTCATTTGTGCAACAATGAAAAAAGGAAAGTAATGGGTAATTCATTTTAAAGGTGAACTCTGTAACCTTTCTCTACTTCTTGTCTCCATGGAGATGTTACCTTATTGCTTTGCCTGGAATGTTTCACAGTATGGCATTAAACGTTTTTATTTTCACGGAGACCAAACCGGATCAAAATACAAGTCAGATCTGTGGTCAAAATGTCTGTTTTTCTAGGTATTTTTGAGCAATAAAACCACAATAAACGTAAGGTAGAGCTGTTTAAAGTCATACTGTGGAACATTCCAGACAGAGCAGTGACATATCCACAGAAACAAGCAGTTGACAGACCCTGAACCACAACCAGAAAGTTACATAGTGCAGCTTTAAAATGATCTCTTACACATTTAGTCAATTACTGTTTTTTTAATGCTTTCATGCCCTCATAGTTTCTTAGGGTAAATGGACTAGCCTCTTCACAGATCTGACTTGTAACTTGGCCCAGTGGTGTCGCTTGATTGTCTTAATGTGAAAAAAATCCAGGCAAATGTCTAAATATTGAAATGAACACTAACTTTAGAATTTAAGACTTCATTTTGGAATCATATCGAACTGATTTTCCTGCTTTGGACCACTTAAACTTGGGACTAAACCAGGACTAACCTAGGACTAACCCAAGATTAAGCCAGTCTAAACCAGGACTAAACAAAGCTGCATTTTTGAGAGACTCTATAACATTTATTTTCAACTCAAATCTTGTATCTGTGCTTCGAACTCGTAATCAGAAAATGTATTACAATGGATATGGTCAGGTTTACCATATTTTTCGAACTATAAGTCGCACTTTTTTTCATGGTTTGCGTGTTTCCTGCAATTTATATATTAAAATTCACACTGACAGCCACAAGAGGGCGCTCTAGGCTTGTGTGTCAGTATCTAGTACTGCTATTACTACTGTACCACTGTCACTTCGCATTCTACTGCGCATGTCTCCTGCAGAAAGAGCCTCTGTCTTGCTGCAAATAGTGAAATTTGCAGCCGAAAACCGTAATTGACCAGCAGAAAGAAAGTTTGGAGTGAGCAAGAAACTTGTGAGGGACTGGAGGAAAGTGGGGATGGAGGGTAACCAGGAGGGTGCACCATGAAACTTTCCTGGAAGTCACTGGATGAATTGACAAAGCCTGGACTTTAGTGACAACGAAACCATCCTGTCGGGATTCAGAAAGGTCGTAATAATTCTAACTGGAACTGATGCTGAGTCTGACGACAGCGACACAGAAGAGGAAGCGGCGCTCTGTTTACATCATGGATCTATGGTTTATCTCCAGAGGTCGCGCAGAAGTGACACAGAGGATGAAGAATTGAATGGATTTAGTGATTTGGAGTGAGATGGAGAGTTTGGTAAACTTATGTTCTGTTGTTTATGCTATAATTATCTGAATAATTGTTAATATGTGACGTTAACATATTAGTGCCTATTCAGCCTGTTGTTCTCTGTTCTATTGTTATTACTAGAACTTCCATTTCAAGATGAAATGTCGGTTCCTGGTCTCTGATTTTACATCTAATATACATTTCCCCAAAAAAGTGCGACTTATATATATACATTTTTTTTTTTTTTCTTCTTCATTGTGCATTTTTTGGCTGGTGCAACTTATAGTCCGGAAAATACAGTAACACATTTTTTTCTTATTTCAAGCCAATTTATAGAGATGATCCTAGCTCTGAATTTGCGTTTTATTGTTGTGTCCTTGGGCAAGACACTTCACCCACCTTGCCTGCGTAATGTGGTGAGTGAGTGATCGGCGGTCGGACGAACTGAACGTAACTAATTTAACTCTTATAAATCCCTTTTTGCTTTGTGAATCATTGAAATATTTTAAAGTCTGGGGCGTTTGTAAACCACTGGACAGATCATTCATTCATATATTTTTTACATTAAATATTCCAATAAAATCTTCATGATCCCATTCCCCTTTCACAAAAACAAAATAAGACTTCAGAAAATTAAAACGAGTCCAATGTGCAGTCCATAATCCTGAGGTCTGTTTTGAGTTGGCGGAAATTAAAAGTACAGAGTGACACTGTAAAAAAAGGAAGATCCAGCCTCGGTTAAAATGACTTGATTTGAGTATTTCAGTTGAGTGGTTTTACTTAGATTGAAATTTTTATATTTTGTACAGTTTTAACCGGTTTATTATTATTAAAAGCTTCCAGGTCAATTTCTCTTAAATGGACACTATTCGTTTTTAGGTTGTGGAGTCTGAAAACCTTTCTTCAGAGTTGTTTTGCCGGTAATGTTCCACAAAAAAATGGTATTAAACTTTGCAATTTTCGTGGAGAAAAGCCGCCACTTCAACAAAACTAAGTATTTTTGTCTGTAAATAAATGAAAGATACAAATTTGTTGAACATTCCGGGAAAAACGATAAAAGAACACTTGATTCTCTTATTATTTTCATGTGTAAATTTATGTTTTGAGGTTTAAATTGAACTCAACCGTAACACTTTATTATAAATATGCATTTTGAAGTCTTAATAAACCATGAACAAAGACCTAATTGATCATGAAGAGTGAATTAAGAATAATTCAGGCTTAGTAACTATTTCCTAAACTTCAAGTCCAAGTAGGGACTTCCCTTGGGTCGGACACTTCCACGGCGTCTCATTTCTCTTTCCTCGCTTCCTTCTCCTTGATTCTGCAAGAAATGGGTTGACGAAGTCCCACAGAGGAGACAGAAGAAGGAGAGAGGATAAAAACTCCTCATGCGACCAATAAAGTTTGATTCTTTTATCCGACGTTTGCCTCCTGAAGTCTCGCTCGTGTTCACTCCTTCCTTCCTTCTGTGGTTTTCTTCGGGATGTCGCTTGATTAAAAGGTGAAAAATGGAGGACTGAGGAGAGGAATCGATGAGGAGGAAGCGAGGAAAGAGAAATGAGACACGGTCATAGTCCCTCCGGCGTGTCCTGGGTCTTCATCTTCCTGCTGGGACGTCCAGGAGGAATCAAGAACAGATGTCAAAGCCTTCTAAGGTGACTCATCTTGACGTTGAGGAGCATTTTCATAAGCTGTTTGTTCATTTATGTATTCTCTCGTGTCTTTGTGCATGGTTTATTCAGGTTTAGTCATTATAACGTGACGCCAACTTCACTAAAACTACTAAAATTAAGCGAAAAACCCAGAATTCAAGCCATTTAAGCGGATCGTTCCCTTTCCCAGTGGTGTGAGATGTCTGTACTGTTTTTATATATGTGTGTTTTATTTAAGAGGATTTCAAGTCTTTCAGTTGGACGGAGGATCAGAGGAACCCGGGAAACAGATTCTGAAGGAGCAGGATCACCATCACGACCATCAGACCACAGGAGACCAGCATCAGCCACACCGGACACGACCCTGAAACAAACACACGGTCACGGTTCAGTCAGTTAGAGCAAGTAAAAACATTTGTGCAAAGTTTATGGTATGTTTCCAACCAAAACATGTTCTCACTGAAAATGTAATAATGCAAAATATTTTCTTATCTGTGTGTAACTATGTATGTGTCTTACCTGTTTTTACGCAGGTATCTTATATTTTTTTCTACGGACAGGTGTGGAAAACTAGAAAACACTCAGAGAAACGCATCTAGATTGTCTAATGCAATTGTGATGTCCTTAATTAACATACATAAAAAAATAATAATAATAAAAAAGCAGAATTGATACGTGATACTACACGTAACTCTATGGTGGAATGTTCAGCGGTTACCATGGAGATCGAAACAAAAAAAAACAAACCAAATCACTGTGTGACATCCCCAACCTCGGATAACCCCAACACAAACAAATTAAAATGTGTTAGAAGATATAGAAAAACAATCAATTGCGTGCACATAATTTGATACTTTTGCTGTCAAAAATGGCATTTAAGAGGTTCAAATTTCAAAACATTATATATTATTTGGTATTAGAGCTGCTTGATTATGGAAAAAAAATATGATCACGATTATTTTGGTCAATATTGAAATCATGATTATTCAAACGATTATTTACACTGATGCATTTATTCAGCATTCCTCTCTCAAAAACAACAACAACAACAACACATTGTTACTGATAATTTAGGCAAAATTTGAACAAATTGAAAATAAATATAGGCTACAAATATGAAGCTTAGAGCAGTTTTGCGAGCAGTTCTGCGATGTATAAAACTAAAAATTTATTAAAAAAAATACTTTGAACATGAAACAAGGCATAGAAAAATAAAAGTATCCAAAATAAACTACATATCCAGCTGTTCTACAATCTCTATATTAAAAAAAAATAATACATATACTTATTTATATAAAAAATATCCCAAAATAAACTTTGTTAAGCTTTATTGTTTCAACTTGATTATATGAGTTTGGAGATCGTTTGATACACAAGTCGAAATTGCGATCAAAATTTGATTAATTGCACAGACTTATTTGGTTTGTACGGTTAGGGCAGACGTAAATGAAGATATTGATATAAAAAAGTTGAACACAAATCTGTACTGCATAAAAATATTGTGGTATTCTTTTCCGGTGTACATTTTAGTCACAAAGGATGACAGTTGTGATTATTTTAAAGAGTTGCACGAAGATTAAACATGTTTTGATCAAGAATCTAATCAATACCGGCTCAAATATCTAGTTTCGATATTAGTTTTTTATAAAGATTATAACTCTTCAGCCAAACTGTACTGAAAACTCACTGCGGTTGCTGAGCGTGTGCAGTTGGCAGCGGCTGTCCACGGCCACACTCATCATGGCCGCCTCGTGGTTCCCCCTCAGCTGTCTGCCCCGGGGCGAGTCTGGCAGGAAGGCCAAGTCTGTGACCACAATCCCATGAGACTCCTGAACATAATAGAGCTTCTACAGAAAGAGCAGAGGGGGCAACAACAGACAAGAGGGTTAAACAAGTTCAAGGTCAAAAATTTATCTATGAACAAAAAAAAAAGTGACCAGATAACATTGTGACGAGTCATGGCAGATGGTATTGGAATTTGTACGCGGTAATATTTTTCTTATTTTATGTCTTTTAAACTACCAGTAAGTTTGGAAACACTTTTCGTTCATGTTTCTTCTTTATTCCCATGATTATTTCCACTGTAGATTCACACTGAAGGCATTAAAACAATGAACAAACACAAATGGAATGTATTAAAAAAATTTACGCAAAATAACTCAAAACATGTTTCTGATTTTTTTTAAATAGCCACCCTTCGCTTTGATCACTGTTTTGAACACATGGCATTTCACTTGTAAAATTTCAAAACTTTTCCATTCTTTTCATGAGCTAAAGTGAATTTTCCATGACTTTACAGCACCTACATGTGTTGAACTGATCAAACTTTTAGATCTAAATATGAAATGTTAACTCTTTCCACTCACCTTATGGTTTGGGATTATAGTTTTTTAACATTCAAAATCCTGTCAGTGCCTTTATTTTCATCTCTTTAAAACAAAAGGTGCAGACGTTTGGAAATAATCATAATAGTCTCATGAGAACTTAACAGAACGCTGTAGTTGCGTGAAAGAGATACTAAAATTCCATGACTTTTCCAAAACCGTCATTGAATTTACAAAATTCTATGGCTTTTCCAGGATTACCATGACTGTGGGAACTCTGTAATTGGTCACATTTTTATACAGCGCTTTTCCACCTTCGAGGCTCAAAACGCTTTACACCCTTTCACACACCAGTGTACGCAGACACTGTGGGCGAGATGGGTTGAGTGTCTTGCCCAAGGACACAACAATAGCATTCATCTGTGGGAGCTGGAATCACACTGCCAACCTGTGGGTCAGTGGATCTCACCGCTCAACCGATTATTTTTATTTAAAATTTTTTTACGTCAAAAGTAGGATTCGCACCGCCAGCCTCCTGATCAGTGGACAAACCCTCGACCTACTGCTGTCGCTGTGAAGTGAAAACCATTTGAGGAGACTTCATCATCATTTAGAAAAGGCCGAGGGCAGCTCCGTCAATAACGAAAAGGCTGGTTACTTTGAGTATCGGAATATAAAATAAGTTGTGAGTTATTTCAAGTTTTTTACTTTGCTACATAGCTCCATATGTCATGCTTTCTGTGTGTCTAAAAATGTAAAAAATAAAGAAAAAAACATAAATGAGAAAGTGTGTCCAAACTTAAGACTGGTAGAATAGATTTTATTAATACTGTACTGTTATTGTATCTTTGAGCTATATTCACCAAGTCAAGAGGAGAATGGCCTTTTTGTCATTTTTTAAAATATATTTTTTAAAATGGTCAAACCAATTAAAAAATAAGGATATGATGTACAAACTGTTCCACCATTTGCATCAGTTGATTTTATTTCACGGGAAATATACAAAACAAAATAATTGTAGTGATTGTAGAAAAGACAATGAACAATAGCAAGTTTACCCGTTTGTATTAAATATTATAAGCCTATAGAATATTGTGATGTCCAAAATCTTGCAATGAAACCTTTACATATTTAAAATACAGATGTAGTTAGAGAATTGTTACCTGCAGAGAAAAGGCGATGTAAATAGCGACAGATCCAGTCACTGTCCCCAAACCCAGAAATGTCCCAGAGTCACTGAAACAAAGATTAGCTGTGGTTATTATTATTGTTTATCATGTTTTATTCACACAGTCGGGTACGAGTCACTACACAAATACTACACTGCTCCTGTAGCTGGGCAAGCCAAGACTCTTCCTATTCTGTTCATAGAATCTAGACTAGACTGAACAACTTGGGAAAATATCCAATTGTGATTAGAGGAATTGACAAAAAGGCTGAAATATGAAATGACAAAATAATACAAGAATCACATTTCTGGACATGTTTGTACAAGTCTAAACTACAGGGTTAGCAGAGTATTTTGTTGTTTGTTGTCTGTAGAAGAAATGATGGTAGTTCAAAAATAACAGCTTTTGTGATTTGCTTATTGGGTCCATCAAATTGCAATTTTGTTTGGATGAATTAATCACCTTGCCCGAAACTGTGCCAAAACAAACATGGGACAAGATCTCGTGCCACAACATCTAGCAAGTCAAAATTGCCACAATATTGTGCATGGGCAAAACTATTTTATTTTTCCCCTCATGTGTTCACATTTGGATTGGACAAAAAACGATTAAGTGCAGGTGAGTCAGATCTTGAGAAGCTGGAGTTCCAAAAAGCAATGCTACAAAGACAGCAATTGTATTTAATAAAATTAATGAAGAATTGTGAGTCCTGAAGTCCCCAAGTCATGAACTGAGCTGCACAGTTTTTCAGTAACAAATTATGCCAAATCTCATCTCGTGGAATCAATCTCATATCTTGACTCTTCTTGTGGAAATTGTTTCTTGTCCCACCCCTAGTAATGGACAATGTTTGAAGAACAATTCAGGAGAGGGTTCCTACTTTTGAATCACAAGCATCACAGTAAATGGGTGTTTGGTTTGCTTGATTTACTAAGAAGTCCAAGTCCTGCCCCTGAAGCCAAATCAGACATATGTTTTTAAAATTACCTAACGGCGAGCGTGGAGATGACCTCTGAGCCACAGGGGGCAGTGAGCATGGGCAGGAAACTCTTGCCGTCCCATTTGGTGATGAAGCAGGGCGGGGGCTTCCTGTCGCGTTTGTGAGGGATCTGCACCGTGTAGAGCCGCAGAGCCTCCTTCTGGTCCTCCACTGCACCAAACCTGGAACACAGAAAAAAACGTATCAGAAATGTGTCCAAGTTCACATGGGGGACAGGACACCAATACTCTATGGGTGAGTTATAGATTTTGAATCCACTACAGATGGACCAAACTAGTCGACACATGTTGAGCTCAGAAAGTAACACCTGTGTAGAGTTACTAGTTCTGTGTGTCGCTGAGTGTGTCATTCTAAGAAAACTCATGTGACCGATGCATCTACTGTGTCCTGTGGTGCGGCTCGTGTCGGGAGCTGAAGCAGCTCATGTAGCACAAGTCACGAGGCTCAAGTCTTGTGGGTCTCTTCATCAGCTCAGAACCACAAAAGAAAAGAGGATAGGCCTATTCTTCTGTGTGGGATGTTTTGATCAATCCCAAAAGGAGCTCACTGCTGAATCACTATTATTTTACTATCATTTCCATCACTATTCACCTCGTCATAGCCTACTGTGTTGTACAAAAGGCTGTCATTTGCTTTAATGACATAAGACTGCGTTACCTTCTTGGACAGTTTTTTCCATTTGTTGGATATCAGAGCATATCTAGCACAAATTAAGCCTCATTTCCATTGGCACTCCAAGATTTTCCACAATGCACCTTGAAAAATAGTGGGCATTGGTGTTCACTAGAGCGACCAATAACGACCACAATGCACTGGGAGAGTCGGAAAACAACAGCGTACAGCAACAGGTCATTAACTGGACACAACACTAGTGAATGAATCAGATAGAATATCTTTTTTATCACACTGCTGATCCTGATTATGAATACAACACTCTTAAATAAATCGTTATGGTGTAACGTTTACCTCAGCATGAGCTATTAAAACATAATAAGATCAAATTTCCACATCTCTTGAGCTTCAGCGTGACAAAAATGTGCGTCTGATATGATCATTATTTATGACAGGGAAAAAAAAAGAAGAAGTTTAGCACACTTTTTTCTCACCCAGACGCCAGAGTGTGGTCTGAAACGTGTGGGTCTATGTAGTGAATGAGGCGTTAGGGCAGGGGTGGGCAAACTTTCTGGCTCGCGGGCCACATAGGGTCCTAAAATTTGACTGAAGGGCCAGACAGAAGACAGGACATAACGTGTTAAGAGCTCGGCTTCATTACTTTCTTATTCACATTTACCTAGGACTTCAGACGCTACACATTTCATCACTACTGTGAAAGATTCAAAACACATAAAACTGTTGAGACCTGTTCCACTGCACACCACGAGTGAATGTATATCATGACTTCACTGTTTTCAAATATGACTGATAACAGCTTAATAACAAAGCTCACGCCGTTCAATCACAGATACACACCTGTGAGTGCAGTAAAAAACCTGATTCCAAATTGTTGTACATATTAACAAATACAACTTACAGATTACAAGTTTTATTGATTGATTTATACCAACTCAAACTGGAAGCAGTGCAGTCTTATATCTTAAGCACCAACTACTTCACTCATGGTCTGAATAACTCCTGTAAGAACACTTTCCCATAAAGCATTGCGGCCAACATAATACACCGCAACTCAATGTATATATATCTACCATCTACTGGGAAAACGCTGGAAATGCATGACAAATAAAACATCAACAAGGTTTATTATTGTAATTTATTCCAGTTCGGCGGGCCGGATTAAAAGGTTTAAAGGGCCGCATACGGCCCCCGGGCCGTAGTTTGCCCACCCCTGCGTTAGGGTATAGGGGGGCATTCAGAACCGCCCTAGTTTAGATCTGGTGTCTGGTGTAGTCTCAGTACTGGTTAGTCCATACCTGCAGCCCATGTAGCGGTAGGTCTTGTCCCCGGTCCCAGGTCTGGTCTGGTGCCACTTTAGGCTCATGGCGAGTTGGTCTCCGCTCCACACGCTGCAGCTGAAGTCTCTGCCCACAGTCACCAGCTGAACACACATAACCACATTTAAACAACGCTGATTTCATGTAAACATCGTGGCCGCTTGGTAAAGTTAAAGTCTGTTGATTAGAAAATTACAATTATTAACTAGATGTCTACAGACATATTCTGAAATACATGGGATTCTTGTATTAGATTTCAGTTTTCTCTCAGATGTGGTGCTCCTGGAAAGCTTTTAAATGTGAAATTACACGTTTCAAAACCCTCAATATTGTGGAGAAAAATTTGCTCTGCCACTTAAAAGTATATTATACTGTGCCAGCATGGTTCTCTGTAATTTAACCTGCCCTTCACACAGCCGAGGTTAAACATAAGCACCAATCTTCAGGTCTTCAGCTACTGTCTTGGTCTCCTGGATAATTTGTCTGCTGCCTTGCCCACTGACACAACAACTGTATATGTTAGGACAAAGTTTGAACCATTTCCTCAAGTTTCTAATACAGCAGTGACATTTCATTCATTGTTGTGCATTTTTAAAATAAAATGGCAGACTAAAACACATTACATTTTCAAAAAAGTCACCTTATTCCCCGGGCTGATGTCCAGGTCTTCTATCTCGTCTTCATGTGCTTTGAAGTCGTATTTCTTTTTTAGGGACGGGAACTGTAAAAACACACACTGGAATTAGAGACAAGAGGGTCACATGGAGCAGAGGATGCAGAGGAGAAAAGCAGGTAGAGCAGAGGATGCAGAGGAGAGGGGCAGATGGAAGGAGAGGAGAGGGGCAAGCAGAGCAGAGGATGCAGAGGAGAGGGGCAGATGGAAGGAGAGGAGAGGGGCAGATGGTGAAGAGGATGCAGAGGAGAAGGGCAGGTAGAGCAGAGAATGTAGAGGAGAGGGGCAAATAGAGCAGAGGATGCAGAGAGGGGCAGATGGAAGGAGAGGAGAGGGGCAGATGGAGCAGAGGATGCAGAGGAGAGGGCAGATAAAGCAGAGGATGCAGAGAGGAGCAGATGGAAGGAGAGGAGAGGGGCAGATGGAGCAGAGGATTCAGAGGAGAGGGGCAGATGGAGCAGAGGATTCAGAGGAGAGGGGCAGATGGAGCAGAGGATTCAGAGGAGAGGGGCAGATGGAGCAGAGGATGCACAGGAGAGGGGTAGATGGAGCAGATGTCTTTACCTCCCAGACTCGTACGTGTCCGTCAGTGCCTCCGGTCAGCAGCAGGCTTCGGTCTGGACTGAACCGGACGACCTTCTGCAGAGGGTCCTGAGGGTTCTCGTCGGACTGGACCTCACCCAGACCCTGCACCTGGATCTGAGCCGTCTCGTCCTTCAGCTCCGTGCAGTCTCCAGAGTCCTGCGCAGGCTTATTCCCTTTACCTGCTCTCCTCCGGGGGGCGCTCTGCTGACTGCTGTTACCCGCTGAAGAGACCGAGTGCACACAAGTTACTTTACTAGTCCTGGGTTTGATTCCTCAGTTTAAAGTCCTCGGTTTTAAGTCCTCGGTTTTAAGTCCTCGGTTTTAAGTCCTCGGTTTTAAGTCCTCGGTTTTAAGTCCTCGGTTTTAAGTCCTCGGTTTTATTCCTCAGTTTAAAGTCCTCGGTTTTAAGTCCTCGGTTTTAAGTCCTCGGTTTTAAGTCCTCGGTTTTAAGTCCTCGGTTTTAAGTCCTCGGATTTTAAGTCCTCGGATTTAAGTCCTCGGATTTAAGTCCTCGGATTTAAGTCCTCGGATTTAAGTCCTCGGTTTTAAGTCCTCGGATTTAAGTCCTCGGATTTAAGTCCTCGGATTTAAGTCCTCGGTTTGAGTAGGTCCTGAGTTTAGTCCTGGGTTTAAGCCCTAGGTTTAAATCCTTAGTTTAAGTCCTGGGTTTACATCCTGGGTTTAAATCCTAAGATTAAATCCTAAATTTAAATCCTGGGTTTAAGTCCTGAGTTTAAGTGAGTCCTGGGTTTGAGTCCTGGGTTTGAGTCCTGGGTTTGAGTCCTGGGTTTGAGTCCTGGGTTTGAGTCCTGGGTTTGAGTCCTGGGTTTGAGTCCTGGGTTTGAGTCCTGGGTTTGAGTGAGTCCTGGGTTTGAGTCCTGGGTTTGAGTCCTGGGTTTGAGTCCTAGGTTTAAATCCTTAGTTTAAGTCCTGGGTTTACATCCTGGGTTTAAATCCTAAATTTAAGTCCTGGGTTTAAGTCCTGAGTTTAAGTGAGTCCTGGGTTTGAGTCCTGAGTTTAAGTGAGTCCTGGGTTTGAGTCCCGGGCTGAAGTCCTGGACCCACAAGGGGTAGAGGTATTCTAAGTATTGGTATTAGTAGCAGTAGTAGTACTTATACCATGGACCCATTCTCACCGTCTTTAGTTGCGGTGGTTTTTGTTTTGCTCTGTGCGTGTTTGAATTTCATGAGGCAGCAGTTCCCGTCCTGTCCTGTGGCGATGACATCATCAGCCAGCGCCAGGTTCATGTTGGCTTTGGTTTCAGTGTCGTGAGCGTGAAGCATTGTCGCACTAAACTCACGCTCCCCGACTCTCTGCAGCTCCAGGAAATGCTAAAAAATAAAAATAAAAATATTAAAACAAAGAGGACCGCTCCAGTCTGTTTAAGGCTGCTCACATATGGAAACAAATGGGAGATTATGCTGTATACTTGATTAGACTTTAATTCTTCCTTAAACTAAAATCACAATTATTGTGCTTGAGCCTGGTATGTAGTTAAAATCATGACACTAGTGGATCATTATATTATAATTTTGGATATTTAAATCACAGCTTTCATCTAAAACAACTTAAAAGAAAACTTCAGTGGCCAACGGGAGCTGACGTCACTGTAAACGTCATAAGAAAATGTAAGAACAGAGCAGTGGGCGTGCACCAGTGATGGTGAAAATGGGGGTGATCGGCAATAAGGCGTCTGGAAAATAAGATCAGACATGCACAAATCACTCCAAATACAACTTTGAAAGGGTAAATGAGAAGGAGAAACAACTATAATATGCTGCCCTACAAAGGCAAAAGAGCTTAACTCGCCAGAGTGTTAAACTGAGAAAAATGACTTTTCTGTTTTGTGCAGAAGTTTCTGTTTTGTCCAGACAAAAGTATAATAGGTAGGGTATAATGAAAAATTTTTGTATGTGAAAAATATTGAGCTCAAAATTGACCTTTGACCCTTATTTGTCAGTTCCTGTTCTCAGCCTTTGTATCATGAGCAAAAAATAAGAAGTCGAGCAAAGGCAAAAGGAAGAAACATGACATGATCATTATTGATGATTGATTTTCTCCAGACTTCCATCCATTATAAGAAAAATACCTCACCAAGTCATCATGGGGTTTGATTTAAATGATATAGAAGAACTTTGGATTTCCTCTTTAGTGCTGATCAGGATCGTGTGGCAACATTTACATAGTTAAACAGTTTGATAGACGAGTTACTTTGCCGTATAGTCTTTACAGTATGAATAAATACACAAAATACTTTCACATTAAAGATCATTTAAGTATAACTGAATACAAAGTTATATTTATTTAATGTGTTAAGACCCTGAGCCAAGGCCGCAACAAAAAGAAGGAGGTGAGAGGTTGGATTTAAAAAATAAAATATATTTATTAACTTAATGACAAACAAAACATACACAGTTTCTGCCTTTTGCCTTTGCACAACTCCTTATTTTGAGCTCAATATTCAAAATACTTATTCACGTGATAAAGGAGGTCTCAAATACCCCCAAAATTACATTAACTCACTTTTGACCAAACGTGATGTTACAGCGTTCTGTCTTTGTAGCAGCATGGTTAAAACCTCTAAAAAGTCGATAATCGGTTTGCCTAAAACTGAACTGGAGACAAGTCAGGACTCTATCGTGGAAATTGCTGTTTAACTGTTAGATTAACTGTTCGAGCCTCTCCACATGAAACAAAAAACGAGCACACAGTTCAATGTTTTCTCAAAAGTAGAATTATGTTTTCACAATAGCTTCAGAAAACTGCTCCATTATTGCCAAAAAGCCATTGTTTTCAGTTCAAAAGGACTTCAAACCACAAGATTAATATGGCATGTTTTGACAGAACGAGAACCCGAATACAGTATATATCTCAAGAGAACTGCATTTCAGTAACTGTTTGGAGCAATAATTATAATTGCATTACTGTAAGCAGTGTTGTTAATCATGTTAAAGCAAAGAGGAGGTCTGGTTAACACCTTGTTCATTTGCAAACAGGAGCCATAAAGAGCAGCTGACCATGTGACAAATGTGATGCAAGTGAATCCACAAAATAAACACCAACTGAAAGAACAAGAGGCCATTTTGTGAAACGCCCTTTTCAAACACAGCCTAACCGCTTTGACAGTAATACAAGCCTTTTATAGTTTAGTACTATAGTTCGTAGACAACCACAGTATTCTTTATGAAGTCTTATGTGAATGCTACGCACATTATACGTTATAGACATTGCCATTTCCGTAGTCATAAAATCTGTTTTTTTAAAGAAAACTCCCGCACCCCGTCTCATTCTTGATTTTTCTTTTATTGGTTAGACGTTTCGGTCCCTCAGATCTTTCTCAACCTAACCCTAACCTCGAGGTAGGTCTGAGGGACTGAAACATCGTACAAATAAAAGAAAAATCAAGAGTGAGACATTGTGTGGGAGTTTTCTTTAAAAACAGCTAAGTGCTTCTCCTCCAATGCACCTGTCACCCAGTCAGCTGTGCAGAGTCTTCTTCTGTGTCTCCACAAGTTTCTGATATAAAATCTCCTAACACTGTAGTTTAGAAGTCTACAAACATTGTCAGAGTAGTGGCACTTTACCATTTTTCAAACATTCCGATTTTCCGACATGAATAATATTAATGTGATAACCTATTATACTTTGCGCTCTCATATATCATAAGATACTTGATCAGAGAATACTTCAGCCACAGAGGATATCAGACAGTGAGAAAATGTCCTAACTGAGCTGTGGGAAAAAGTCATGCATTTACAAAAAAAAAAAGCCGGCTTCAGAAAAATATCTAATCTGAAACGGAGGCTGCATGGGCTTTTTCTGCTTCATTCATTTCGTCATGTATCTGCAGAGAACCACATATATGATGTGTCGAAATATCGATACTAAAAAGTGTCAGAAAACCAGAACATCTTAATAGAGGCGTGTCGTAATGAATAACGTAGTGATATAGGAATAGGCGGCGAACCCCGTTAACATGTGAGTACGACTGCAGGGAAAGAAGGCACCTGATTTATCTGTTATTAAATCTTGATTAATGGACAATACAGCAGAATAAAAACCCCAGGATCATGTAGAGCGTGTTAATACAAACCAAACCAAAATGACGGATCTGGGACAGCAGTCATACAGAGAGGGGTGACAGCTTTTGAATACAAATTGAATTTGAGCCGATTGGAGCCAGAAACGTGCCCATGCTCAATTCCTATTTGGATTTCCGCGGCTCTCAGTTTAGCTATGTCCGTTTATACATAGTCTATGTTTAGAACTGAGCGCGACTTCCTTTACTTTTTTCCTTTACCTTCTGTCTTACATTTTTTCCACCACACCTTAACTAATCTAAAAATAAGATAAATATTTACCACAGGAATTGCACCAAACAAAGTGATTATTACCAAATGGGAAAACCTGTTATGCACATGCACTTCAACAATGCTTTAAGTGTTCAGTTCACTCACCACAGCATTCTTGATTCCAGTTTTGGATGGTCCTCCGCCTCCAGCGACTATGACCAGCCCTGAACCCGGATCCACTTTGACCGAGTAGAGTGGAAATGGCGCCCGGTAAAGATCTGGCACTTCCTCTTCCCCATCGCAAACAAAACGCTTCGCTCAAAAGTCAGAGGAACGCAGCATTAAACCAACCTGCAGCAACAGAAAAACACAGACAACATGAATGATCTGGAGAATTCAGAGTAAACAAGAAGACATTATTACAATGCCACCTATGGTGGCACATATATATATTTCATTGGAAAGGGCTCGCGTCCAGTAACGCACCCGTGCGGTCCATTGTCAACGCGCTTGTCATTGACCTCTTCGATTACTCACATACCCAATGCACGTTTTTGGCGTTTACGAGAGTTAACGATTACAATTACTAGTAGTAGTCTGTACTACTGGATGCCATGAGTGTCACTATTGAGTGGCACTGAGTGTTTGATAAGGGGAGAGCGCTTCGCGCTCTGTTTTTGCGGGCGCACTTGACATCGTGCACGATGTCAAGAGCACCCTACGTTTTGAGTGAGCAATAACAATTAGGCCGCTGTCGCGGCCCACGGGCAATGCCACCGTGCCATGTCAGCGGGCACCAGTCACTGACATGTGAGTGTGAGTGTGTGTTTGGAAAGGGGAGAGCGCTTTGCGCTCTGTTGCGTGTGCTATGCGCACTGCTGAACAGTAACAATAGGCCCTACGCCACCCATGGCGCTCAGGCCTAATAATAATAATAATGATAAAAACATTACATTTAAACACCTTGGATTAAATTAATTTGATTCAAACAAGGATTAAAAGACAATGAAACATCCACAATTGAATGATTATCAAACATTGTCATGAAATATCAAACATTTCCTCAAACTGTTTTTAAACTGTTTTTAAATTCAATTACAGGTGGTTTTATAGCTCAAAAACAGCTAGAAAAACAAATATTCTAACATGAGTGGGGTCGCCTCTCCACAGATCTGACCTGTAACTAGGTCTGGTTTGGATTTCATGAAGATAGAAAGGTTTAATGTCATACTGTGAAACATTCCAGACAAAGCAACAACATCTCCATGGAAAAAAAAACAAAAACATTTGACGGACCCTCCAGCAGAAAAGTTACACAATGCAGCTTTAATATTTCTGTAATTACGTGTCCTATTCACGTGAAACAAAAACTAGCATCAAGTTCAACATCTTCTTTGTCAGAAAAAAAAAAAAAAAAAAAAAAAAAAAAGTGTTAATATTCCCAAAAGCGATTGTTGTCATCTGAAAGAACTTTAAGCCTCTTATCTGACAACTCTGAATAAATTACAGAGATAGAAACGCACTGGAGTTGGGTGTTATGGTAAACACTCACTATTATTTCATATTTTTGCACTTATTTTGCTTGGGATTTCTTGGTTTACATGAAAACCCGCTGCAAAAAAAAAGAGCAGGTTAGTAAAGCAAAAGTTTGTTGTTCATTCCTGTTCAGTCCACAGCTGCTAGTGGAGGGTTAGCTCGAGGGCTAGCAGCTCGTTAGCTTTTCTTACAACAGAATGTCTTACCTGTTTTTTCTTTAGGGGATTTAGTGTTTAGTGATATCACCCACCCGCGAGAGCCGAGGACACAGAATCATTTCATTCTTAAAGTCTGTCGCGGAGGTTTTTCTTTCGGTTTACAGAGGAAAGATTAGCGGCTAAAGGCTAAAGGACTTCCCCATCCCCACGTACACGTCAGCAGCACACGGGACGTAGCCAGCGTCACGACGTAACAGCAACATTTTATTATTATTATTATTATTATTATTATTATTATTATTATTATTATTATTATTATTATTATTATTAATTTATTTTTTGTAACCGCAATATAATACAAAATGGTAAGTGGAAGATAGCGAAAGTTTGTCAAGATGTATTTATATGGGGTTACTCTTCAAGGACATGCGAAACTGACGTGAACGAGGCTATATTCATTCACTTCATGTAGACTCACAATCTGAAGCATGTCTCGTGCTCTTCCTGCTGCTGCTGTCTCCCTGTTTCCCTGAAATAACCAACACTTCAGTTCTAAGTTAATGAACTGTAAAGCGCTATATAAATGCTATCAATCAATCAATCAATCAATCTAACAAGCCAGATCTTGTCTCTGAGCAGGGTCAGGCCTGGTCAGTACTTGCATGAGAGACCATTGGGACCATCAGGTGCCACGGGGGGTGCCAGTAGCAAAAACTATTATTGTGTCCTTAGTAGGGGTGTGCAAAACTATCAAAATATCGTATTGTTTAATGTAATGATACAGTATCGATATTGTGAGCTGCTGTATCGATATATCACCAAGAATATTTTTTTGGTATATTTTTCTACATTATTTTGTTACAGCCACAGTTTTGTTGCTTGTTCAGAGGAAAGAAACTCATTCATGTGACACATTTTGACATATTCACTGTTTACTGATTAAAATGAAACAAAGACTTTTAGTATCACAGCCATGATTTAGCCATTATTTATTGAACCGTATCGAATCGTTATCGATATCGTATTGAACAGAACGTGCACTGTATCGAGGTATTGTGGCCTGTGTATCAAGGTATGCATCGTATCAGCAACTTCTTAATGATACCCAGCCCCAGTCCTTAGGTAAGGCACTTTACCCACATTGCTTAGTATGAACGCGGTGTGAGTGATGGTGGTGGTCGGAGGGGCTGATGGTGAAGATTGGCAGCTTTGCTTTTGTGAGTCTGTCCCAGGGCAGCTGTGGCTACAATAGTATCTTACCACCACAGTGTGGAGTGAATGAATAATACTGTAAAGTGTCTGAGTGTCCAGAAAAGCACTATATAAATCAATTATTATTATCAATAGAAGTATTAGGTATCATAATGTTTTGTGATTCATGTTTTAAAGTCACTATAGACGAGGCCCTGTTCCAGGTTTTGCAGACAGAGAGTGTCAATATAATTCAAAACAGATTTCCAATTAGTTTTAATTGTACAAACAAAAATTGTAATCACAATAGAAATTCAATCAATTACAACGATTTTTAAAAAATATAATTGTTTTGTATTAAATCAGAAACAAAAATGTGTTACAATTATGAACAGTCCTTAAGACCAAAGAAAGGATTTACAAATATTTAGCACGGACACCTCAAACCCAGGAGAATCGTCCTGCAGTTTTGAACAGGAATGAACTTGTTTCTATAATCAAATAGTTTTAGATCAATAATGTGGTTTACAATGGACATGTAAAATAATGATCCACATAAATAACAGAAAATTGCATAATATGATTTCCTTAAAATGACAGATATTGTCTAAAAACATTCAAGGTTAAAAGTCAGGGTTTGCAGCCTGAACTCTTAAAAAATAAATAAGATAGAGCTTAACCTGCATACAGAGGATACACATTTTTCTCTGTCGTGTGTCTGGACACACCCGTCTCGTGTAAAAGTTCATGACCTTTAACACAGTCACTCTTCTAAAGATAATTAAAATTACAGCTAATACAATACCATGAACTTTCACAAATTAACCCTTAGAGAAGAAATACATATTCTCATTTATATATGTCCTTATGTTTTGTAATTCATTGAAAGCCAACAGAAAGCCACTGTAGATTTGAGGAGATTTTCTTGTATTTCAGGAGAAGAGCCTTTACACCATGCAGTGTATAGTAAAAGTGCAGAAGCAGCTGCCTGTGACTCTGAGTTGTTTCTCTGTTATGGTTCAAAATCAGGTACAGGAGCTTTAAACAGATGACAGCTGCAAACATCTGTATTTGAGTCATCAGCAGCAGAATCCAACACAAAACTGAACACAACCAAAAAAAAAAAACTTCAGTCACTTCTGTTCTGTGAGTTGTCATGTGTCTTTTCAAATGATATACAAGTACTAGTCGATACCTTTTATTACAGTTCAAACAGCTGTAAGGTTTCTCACCGGTGTGTGTTCTCACACATTTAACACGATTACTCTAATTAGATGTTTGTGTCTTGTTACACGTTAAACAGCTGTAAGGTCGTTCACCTGTGTGTTCTCAAATGTGCTTCTAGATTACACTTTTTTGTAGAGATGGGACGATTCATTTAACTTCTGATTCGATTTGGCTTTTGATTTTGGACTCCCAATTTTTGATTCTCTTCGAATTTGATAACTTCTTTAAATGAACATTATTTGTTCCCTTAAAATACAAAATATCATTAACATTGAGTTAGAAAATACAGTCATTGTTATTAATGATCAGAACTTTTGTTGGCATGAACAATAAATCATAAGATTTAATGTTCCTATTGTAGATATCTGAAATAAATGATTTATAATAAAAATAACTTTCTAAATTAAATAAAAAATAAACTTATTGTGTGTGTGTATGTATTATAGTATTTAAATGTATTATATTTTATTAATTATAATACAATACAATTGATATATTATATTATATATTTGAACTTTTGAACCCTGCGGTTTATATAACAATGCGGCTAATATATGGACAGATTATTTGCTTATCAACACAGCAGATGAGCCACAGCCTGAGTGCAGAAAGCGTCACTGTCTGACATGAAGTTGAAACACTAGCTAGAGCTGTTGTCAGCACTAAAACGGTTTCTCACTGTGTGATAAAATAAATTATGATGCTAAATTAGTGAGTGGGACACGTTTTAATGACCCATATGTGTTAAATTCAGGTGAGTGCATAAATGACGAGAGGATGTAGTCTGATAATCCTGTTGTAAGGTCGTAATGTTGTTTTACTGCCGTGTTACAGGCACTGTTCGGAAAAAAGCACATAATGGTATTTAATAAAAAAATAAAAAAATCTTTCTGTGTAAATATCTCAAGTTACAGCATGGACACCTGCAGCTTATAGACAAGTGCGACCTATATATGTAAAAAAATGTATTACTTTTAATATTTTGTTGATGTGTCTTATAATCAGGTGCGCTCAATAGTACAGAAATTACAGTATATAATTTTGTTGGTAAAAGTCTTTGCTCATCCTGACTCACTCATGTCTGTGTATCTGTGTTTCTTCCTTGTTCTCAACAGCAGCCCCTCCCCCTGATAAAAACTCTCTTTCCTCTCTTCTTTTCACCACTAAACATGTTATAAGACGTAATAATGTCCAAATGAGTTATTTAAGTCAAACTGAGGAGACTGTATTTTTAAAAAAGATTGTAGTAGTACAAGCTGCGTGTGTATTAACAAAGCCGAGTTTGGAGTATTTCAAAGTTTATTTCTGAGTCTATCAATGCAAAATAAAAAGTGTCTGAAAGATAAAACTCACCTCTCTTAGAATATACCAGCAGTGAGTCTCTGTAAAGCCGATTAGTTTCTGTATCTAAGAAAGGACCCCAGGCTTGACCTGTTCCTGCCCGTGCCAAAGTGACAATGCGGTGCACATGGAGGGACACGAGAAAATCCAATTCAACTCAGAATCAAATCGAAACCCCAGAATCCAATGCTTGGATCTTTTTTTTGAGAATCGTTCCATCCCTACTTTTTAGAAAATGTATTTACTGCTTGATCACCTGAACAGTTTCTCTGTGTGTCGTCTCATGTTTATCTCGATTATACTTTGTGGCAAAAGTCTTCTCACACATTGAACAGCTGAAAGGTCTCTCGCCTGTGTGTATCTTTAAATGTTTATCTAGATGACCCTTTATTGCAAATGCCTTGTCACAGGTGGAACATCTGAATGGTTTCTCTCCTGTGTGTTTCTTTACATGGTAAGATAGATTCACTTTATGGGCAAATGTTTTCTTACAGATTAAACAGCTGTAAGGTTTCTCGCCAGTGTGTATCTTTACATGATATTCTAGACTAGTTTTCTTAGTAAATGTTTTCTTGCAGATTAAACAGCTGTAAGGTTTCTCTCCTGTGTGGATCATTAAATGGTAATCTAGACTTGTTTTTTGGGTAAATGTTTTTTTACAGATTATACAGGTGTGAGGTTTTTCTCCATTGTGTAGCTTTTCATGTTTATCTAGATTTGCCTTTTGGTTAAATGTTTTCTCACAGGTTGAACAGCTGAATGGTTTCTCTCCTGTGTGAATTATAATGTGTCTTTGTAATTTCTGCACAGTCCCAAACCTCTTTTGACACACAGAGCACTGGTGTTTCTTGTCCTCAGCTCCTTCTGCTGTTCCTGACATGTCTGCATTGTTCACAGTGGCACTGGTCTCTGGTGCAGACTTGTATTTGGGGGATAGACTGGAGTTCTGGACTTGGTTGTAGTGGTCTCCATCAGCGTCTGTCTCCATTTGTGCAGTTGAGCAGCTGAGTGGAGCTCTCCAGTCTTCATCATCAGTGTCAGAGGAGTTCTCTGTGTCTCCCTCAGTCTCTGAGTGTAAATGTGTCTCTGCGCTGATGTCCTCTCCCTGTGTTTCCTCTCTGAGCTCAGTTTGTCTTTGTTGAAGCAGTGAGGACTCTTCTGTTGTCGCACAGGCAGTACTGGACTCTGGGACGCCCACTAAGACCTGGGGTGGGGGAGATTGACACACATTAATACTAATATTTGGACCCTCCTGAAAACAATAATCAAAATGTTTCTTGATTTCAGATAGAAATGTTTGTGATTTTCTTGGTTGAGGTTTGTTAGAAATATTGTTATACATTTATCAGTCTCAGTTTGAAAACAATGCAGAGCCTCCAGATCTGTGCTTAAGTTCGCTCACAAAATAATATAATCAAATATACACAGGTCTAACTCAGCCACGGGCAGTGTGCAACATGCAGTGTTTTCCACACTTTAACATTGTTTGAACAACATCCACAAAGAGATAGTTAGGGCTTCTTCATCCACAACTTAGTTTAAAGTGAGGAAGAAGGAGAAGCATTTCTCCTCTCCCTGTGTCTAGACTAGTCTACTATATGCCCATGGACCACTGATCAATTACACAGATATCAGGCTGCATGGGGATATAAAAGAAAGTATTGTCATTTAATGTTGAAAATCACATATGATTTTTATTATCACTGTGATATCAGAATCTGTATTGAGTATCAAGTTTACTCCTTAGTATCAAAATTGAGTTTGAAATTTTAGTATTGTGACAATAATACTGTATAACCTTTTGAACCACAGATCTGTAAAAGGTTCTTATGTCTTTGTGTAAATGCATTTGATGTTTGCAGGAGGAGCAAAGTTGCAAGTGACCACTCGAGCAGCGGCAGAGAAGAGAAACTCTGGGACAGGGTCCTAAAAGAACAAAGGATTTGATTCTTTTAAAAACTGACATCCAATTCCCAACATTCACGTTAACGAACCGTTCAAAAAGCCGACTCGTTCATGAACATCACATTACTAGATCAAACTGAAAGTTTCCAAGTACTGTACTCATTTACAAGTTACACTGCATCAGATTATTAATTAAAATATTCTGTATAAACAAACTAAATTTTGGAATGTATAAAGCATAACGACTATAGAGCCACACCAGCCCGTTAGAGATTATAATGTGTTAAATTTTGCTCTTTTTTTGAGCAAGGTACAACAGCAACAACAATAACAAAGAACAATGATATGTACATATTTGGGACCTACCCCAGTTGTTTTACATAATCAAATGATTGACACTTAACACCAAACACAGAAACAAAACGTAAAACTGCATGGTTCAATTGTTATATACTACTATAAACCTAAAAAAACAGCTCACTCCTTGTGCTGCCGATGCCATCAGCTGCTGTCGAACTAAAGGTCAGGACTGAGTGGAATATTTTTTTTTAATTCATACTAACAGCAACAAACTGTTGGGCTGCATCTTTTTAAATTAAAGTAAATTAATCAGTTTGTTACATAATTTTATGGATCAAACAGTTGCAGCACTTAAGGACTTAAATTTGGTTTGAAACAGGCCAGTGTGGCTCTTTTGTTGTTAAAGGTTGCAGACCCTTGAGCTGTTCCTACATGAGATGTATTAAGAACATGATGATGATGTAAATGTGTGAGAATGTGAATACTAGAGCCCGACCGATATATCGGTTGACCGATATTATCGGCCGAATTGAGCACCTGGAAGCATATCGGCTATCGGCCGATATACTTGCTGATAGGGGCCGATATTTCACGTGGGCATGTTATTCGTCGTTATAAAGCTTAGACTCTCTACATTATGTTCATTTAATCCAATTTACAGTCAGATAAATGTCCAAATATGTGGCTCCACATCAGTATTTATCTGCGGAGTCATTTGTCTGTGTGAGAGTCACGTGCGTTTGTTTACATCTGCAGACACAGATCCACTGGGATTATTTTCTTTTTACGGACAATCGGTTTGAGTCTGGATTAAAAGGACATTTATTAGTGCTGACATGTGATGTGAGGAGAAGCCTGTGTGAGCGGTGAGTGTTGGAAATATGTCGACTTTGAAGCAAGTTTTTGGTTAGCGGTTAGCTGCTGTAGCTCCCACACATAAATTGGCCGTTTTCTATTGGTCTATTGTAAAGTGACTATATTGGCCATATATTTGTTACTGGACCTGCATTGATATGTAAATGAGCTGTGAATAGACGTGTGAATGATGAAATTTGCGCATATAATTAATTACCGCGGCACGCAGCATTTACGCCTAAAGGCTAATAGCGATTGTTTATTTACTCGCTAGCAGTGATGGGTCGTTCGCGAACGAAGCGGCTCTTAGATCCGGCTCTTTGAAGCGAACGACGGGAGCCTGATCCTTATTGGGAGCCGTGTTTTCTCTTTCTCTCACTTTTTTCTCTTCATGCCGCTGCAGACTCGTGGTAGTTTGACAGCGGCAGCGGCTAAAAACGAAACTTTCAAAACTCTGCGTGTGCATAGTGTAAAAAAAAAAACTTGCAAAAATATATTCAGCATAAAATAAATAAACCAGGACTAATCTTGGGGTCGAGAGAGGGAGAGAGATAGAGACCGAGTCCCGACACTCAGTCCTGGTTAAATTCTGGTTTAGTTCCGTTTTGCACATAGTTTAGATCTGTTATAGTCCTGGTTTAGTGCTTTTTCAGTGCTGGTTCAGTTCTGGTTTAGTCCTATGACATTTCATGTAAAGAGGCAGAACAACAATAAATGTTGCCTAAATAAACCCAGTTTAAAATCCACAAGAGCCAAACCTAAGTTTTTTTTTTAAATAATTCAAGATTTACAGTGAATTTTACATCACTAAATATATTGGTGATTATATCGGCTATCGGCAGCTCCAACTATCATTATATCGGTATCATATCGGCCACAACAAAATCCATATCGGTCGGGCTCTAGTGAATACGCAGTCTTATGTTCAGTCCCTCCTAAGGACTGTAAATGAAAATGACACCTTCTATGGTCCATTTTAGTAAACTTCATCAGAGACAATAATGTGGATAAATCCCACCTGTACTAGGAGCGCATCTTCCTCCTGTTTGACACTCGGCTCCTGTGGCTCCTCTTTAATCCGTGGAGTCTGTGAACGGTTCTGGTTCAGACCGGGGTCAGGAGTCTTTGAGGGGCTCAGCGCTGAATCCAGGAGCTTCTGTTTCCTCTGGCTCTCCTCTTTGGAGCGGCAAACTTCCTTCTCATACTCCGCTATCATTTTTTCAAACAGCGCAAAGATCTCCTTCACCAAAGCTCTCAACCTTTGACCTTTCTGGACTTGGTTGTCGTGGTCTCCATCAGCGTCTGTCTCCATCTGTGCAGCTGAACAGCTGAACCGAGCTCTCCAGACTTTATCAGCAGTGTCAGAGGAGTGTAAATGTGTCTCTGCGCTGATGTTCTCTCCCTGTGTTTCTTCTCTGAGCTCAGTTTGTCTTTGTTGAAGCAGTGAGGACTCTTCTGTCTTCACACAAACGGCACTGGACTCTGGGACGCCCACTGACACCTGAGGTGGAGGAGATTGACACACAATATTAATATATTAATATTTTGACTCTCCTGAAAGTAATCAGAATATGTATTGATTTCAAATCAGAAATGTGCTAAATGTTTGTGTTTTCATCTTGGTTAAGGTCTGTTGTAAATGTTGTTATACATGTATCAGTCTCAAGTCACCAAGTAATCTTTATTCTCTGTATTAGATAATGCCCCGTCTCCCTCACGATATTGGTGTTTTTCAGATTATAGAATGTGATAACAGTTTTCTCTATTGATTACATTGCACTTTACAATTAAAAACATCCAAAAGGCAAATTCACAAATGCTGAACCTGATCATTTCTATTAGTGACTGGATCAAAGAACTGACTGAATTACAACAACAATCTGCATTAGTACAATATTTACTTTACCTGCCCCCCATCTGTATTAAATAATATTGGCCTGTAGAAAGTTGTGATGTTGTCTGAAACCCAGAAATAAAAAGACACAGCTCCCAAATGAATATTTTCTGTTCGAGATAAACTGAAACTAGAGATGGAAACGAGCTATTACAGTTTGATGGTACAAACATGAAATATTGATACAGAAGCTGCGCCCCTCCAACCTTAGATTGTCTGTTTTTATCCTGTCTTCATCTTAGACATAAATAAATCTCACCTGAACTAGGAGCGTGTGTTCCTCCTGTTTAACGCTCAGCTCCTCTGGCTCCTGTGGCTCCTGTGGCTCCTCTTTAATCCGTGGAGTGTGTGGAGGGTCCTGGTTCAGACCGGGACCAGGACTCTTTGAGGGGCTCAGTATCGAGTCCAGGAGCTCCTGTTTCCTCTGGTTCTCCTCTTTGGAGCGACACACTTCCTCCTCATACTCCGCTATCGTTCTTTCAAACAGCGCAAAGATCTCTTCAGCAGCCGCAGTCAGCCGCTCATTCACCAAAGCTCTCAGTGTTTGGCTTTTGGACATTTTAACAAATTGTTTTTAGCTTTAGCTCCGAGCTAACCGCACACGAGGGTCGGCGGTCTGCTTCCTGCTTTGTGTGCAGCAGAGTAGACACGGTGAGTGCATTACTGCCCCCACTGGTCAGGATGTTAAACTCCTAAAATGCTCATCACAGTGGCTCCTCCTCAGACTTTATAACATACTAATACCGCTGCATTTCTAGTTTATTCACAGCAGTTACCATGATGCTTCCAGGTAAGAACTCTGTGGTCAAACCTAAGGGATCATTCTGGTGGCAAGGGGCCTCCAAAAGCATCTGCAGGGTAAATGACCACGGGAAGTGGACGTGCAACTCTCCGTAGTGGCGAGGAGGAGATTTTTGGTTCTTAAATAGTCAAAAACTACTTTAAAGTGTACAGTTGTGTTCAAAATAATAGCAGTGTTTTTAAAAACGTGAGTAAAGCTCAAAATCCTTATAACATTTTTATTTCCATTCATTGGGAACACATATTTTTTACATCAAGACATGAAGAAAAAGTATCAATATTTTAATTACTTTACATAAAAAATAAGGAAAAAAATGATATTGGGCTGTTAAAAAAAATAGCAGTGTCTGCATTTTTCATTACAAACTCAAATATTTACTAAGTAAAACGAAAAAAACTTTGCGATTTAGCATTCCTGTCAATCACTAAACTAATATTTAGTTGTATAACCACTGTTTTTGAGTACTGCTTCACATCTATGCTGCATGTCCTGTCGACCAAATTCTGGCACCTGTAAACAGGTATTCCAGCTCAGGATGATTTGACAGCCTTCCACAATTCCTTTGCATTTCTTGGTTTTGCCTCAAAAACTGCATTTTTGATGTCATCCCACAAGTCTTCTATTGGATTAAAGTTTGGGGATTGGGCTGGCCACTCCATAACCTTAATTTTGTTGATCTGGAACCAAGATGCTGCTCGCTTACTGGTGTGTTTGGGTCGTTGTCTTGTTGAAACACCCATTTCAAGGGCATTTCCTCTTCAGCATAAGGTAGCATGACCTCTTCAAGTATTTTGATATAAACAAATTGATCCATGATCCCTGGTATGCGATAAATAGGCCCAACACCATAGTAAGAGAAACAGCCCCATATCATGATGCTTGCACCACCAGGCTTCACGCTCTTCAGAGTGCACTGTGGCTTGAATTCAGTGTGTGGGGGTCGTCTGCGGCCCTTGGACCCAAAAAGAACAATCTTACTTTCATCAGTCCACAAAATGTTTCTCCATTTCTCTTTAGGCCAGCTGATATGTTCTTTGGCAAATTGTATCCTCTTCAGCACGTCTTTTTTGAACAGTGGGACTTTGCGGGGGCTTCTTGCCGATAGACTACCCTCACACAAGTGCCTTTTAATTGTCACAGTCCTCACAGGTAACTTTAGACCATCTCTGATCTTCCTAGAGCTGATCATTGGCTGAGTCTGCCATTCGGGCTATTGTTTGATCCGTTCAAATGGTAGTCTTCTGTTTTCTTCCACGTCTCTCTGGTTTGGCTTTCCATTTTAAAGCAATGAAGATCATTTTAGCTGAGCAGCCTATCATTTTCTGCAATTCTTTATACATTTTCCCCTCTCCAATCAACTATTTAATTAAAGCACGCAGTTCTTCTGAACAATGTCTGGTACAACCCATCTTTCTCAGGTTTTCAGAGAGAATTGCGTGTACAACATGTGCTGGCTTCATCCTCAAATAAGGGCCATCTAAATGACATTTGTTTCTTCACATATTGATTGACCTCACTGATTGAATTCCACACGACTATTATTTTGAACACACCCCTTTCACTTAATTATTCAATTACACAGACTCAGGAGCATTTATATCATGAATGGGTGGTCTGTTAGTTTCTCTGACTCTATAATACCTACTGATAAAACATTTGCCACGTAATACTATGATTTATAACAAAAACAATGATGAGTCATGTTGGACTGCTATTATTTTGAACACAACTGTATATGTCAATAAAATGTTGAATTTCAATCTACTTCTTTATATTGAATAGGCCTGTAGGCTATGAGGGTTACAAAACAAAACAGTCAGTTCTTTTTTTGTTGTTGTTAAAAATTTGTGTAGGTTGTAGTAGGTCCCTTTCTCTTCTGGACATTGGAGACTTTGCAGGTTAAATTATTTTAAGGCAGTTTGGTTTATTATTGCACAACTGAATGTTTAATATTTAGATTTGATTGTAAAAAGCGTCAGTCAACTTGAGTGTCGGAAAGGGCTCTATAAATAAAGATTGACTGAAAAAACAACGACAACAAAAAAACTTGATAGCAAACTTCTGGAATTTACTTCTTTTTTTGTACAGCCCAAGTCAAAAACATGTTTACTTAAAAACTGAAGAAACACTAATGATTGATCAAAGTTTAATAGAAATGCATTGTATTGAGACGTATTGGTACTTAAAAACTCTTACAATATTGTACTTGAAGATATTTTGAGGACATGCAAGATAATTTTCTGAAAAATGTCTACTCGAGTGTTACACACAAAAGACAAATAAACTTAAACACTTACAACATGAAAATCTACCACTTGCTTCGGTGCAATGCAGCTATGAAGAGAATCAGTCCAAATCAACACCAGCTTTTCTTGTAGTTCAGAAGAAAAGCCTTTACATCATGCAGTGTGTTGTAAAAGTGTAGAAGCAGCTGACTGTGACTCTCACAGAGTTGTTTTTCTGTTATGGTTCAAAATCAGATACAAGAGCTGATCTGGGCCAAACATCTGTATTTGGAATCATCAACAGCAAACTCCAAAACAGAGATATTTTTCTTTAAAATATCTCATGAACACAATCAATAATCCTTCAGTCACACTCTGTTCTGTGAGTTCTCATATGAATATTCAAATGATGTCTCTGTATAAACCCTTTATTACAAATGGAAAATCTGTAGGGTCGTTCACCTGTGCGTTCTCATATGCATATTTAGTCTACATTTGTGAGAAAATGCCTTCTCACACATTGAACAACTGTAAGGTCTCTCACCTGTGTGGGTTCTCTCATGTACATCCAGAATATCTTTGCGGGAAAATGTCTTTTCACACGTTAAACACCTGTAAGGTCGTTCACCTGTGTGCGTTCTCACATGTTTATTTAGATCACCCTTTTGAGAAAATGATTTCTCACAAAATAAACAGATGTATGGTTTTTCACGCAGGTGTCTCTTAACATGTAGAGCTAGATCACCATTTGTTGTAAAGGATCTCTTGCACATTGAACAGCTGAATGGTTTCTCTGAGTGTATCTTTTCATGTTGATCTAAATAAGCTTTTTGGTTAAATGTTTTGTCACAGGTTGAACAGCTGAATGGTTTCTCTCCTGTGTGAATGATAATGTGTTTTTGTAACTGCCACTTAGTCCCAAACCTCTTTTGACACATAGAGCACTGGTGCTTCTTGTCCTCAGCTCCTTCTGCTGTTCCTGACATGTCTGCATTGTTCACAGTGGCACTGGTCTCTGATGCAGACTTGTATTTGGGGGATAGACCAAAGTACTGGACTTGGCTGTCGTGGTCTCCATCAGCGTCTGTCTCCATCTGTGCAGTTGAACAGTTGAATGGAGCTCTCCAGTCTTCATCATCAGTGTCAGAGGAGTATAAATGTGTCTCTGCACTGATGTCCTCTCCCTGTGTTTCCTCTCTGAGCTCAGTTTGTCTTTGTTGAAGCAGTGAGGACTCTTCTGTCTTCACACAAACAGCACTGGACTCTGGGACGCCCACTGACACCTGGGGTGGGGGAGATTGACACAAAATATTAATATTACTATATTAATATTTTGACTCTCCTGAAAGTAATGAGAATATATATTGATTTCAAATCAGAAATGTGCTAAATGTTTGTGTTTTCATCTTGGTTAAGGTCTCTTGTAAATGTTGTTATACATGTATCAATCTCAAGTCACCAAGTAATCTTTATTCTCTGTATTAGATAATGCCCCGTCTCCCTCACGATATTGGTGTTTTTCAGATTATAGAATGTGATGTGACAGTTTTCTCTATTGATTACATTGCACTTTGCCATTAAAAACATCCAAAAGGCAAATTCACAAATGCTGAACCTGATCATTTCTATTAGTGACTGGACCAAAGAACTGACTGAATTACAACAACAATCTGCATTAGTACAATAGGGTCATTCCACGCCCTTTCATCAAATTTCCAGAAAATCTCAAGCATCATGTGTTTTAAAAATTTTTTAAAAAATTACCAGCTGGTCCCTTACTATCATGTACCAATCCTGTGAAACTTTTGTCATTTTCGATCAATACTTTTTAAGTTACAGCTCATTTTATGAGGGGAGTATGTGTCAATTTACGGGCCCAAAATCGCATCATTTGTTCTCGGCCGTTTTCACAGGTCGATATCTCCGTAAGTATCACACATAGAGGGCTGAAATTTTGTAGGCTTGTGCTCCTCTACTCTGTGTTCAAATAACATCTATCGAAGGTTTGGTATCTCAACTCATTTTCATTTTATATGAACTTAAAAATGAAAAACAAAAAACTCGTACATTTCCGTGGCGTACCATTTTTAGCTCCTTTTTAAACCTACTTGTAGGTGTAGTAAACCCTTAAAATTTATTGAGAATCAAGATATGTACTAGGACAGTCAAAAAAAAAAATCACCAAATGTTGAAAATTTGAAATAGGTCATGTATGAGGGTCCTGTTAAAAACAAGAAAATGCAACATGGTCCGATTTTCACATGTAATTTATGGCATGTGGGTAGTGATAAAACATTTTTAAATAATTTTCGTTTGAAAGACCAGAAAAAGACCTTTCATATGGTACCAAACATATGTATTTTATGAAGCTCCTTCAATTTTTTATTGTATCTTGAACATTCACACTTGACACAATGACACAAGTATACAGTGACCATGTACTATGTTTTTATTCCAGCAGCTAAAGCTCCCAAACATGAAGAATGAACAAGAATGAATCAACAGGATGTGTTACAAGATATCTAAAAACCCAGAACACAGAACATGTATGTTTTATTCGTCATCAGTATCAGTAGGCACATCTTCATAAACCCGCAGTCGGTCTCGAAGCTTTTCGATTTTCATGGACAGTCCCCACAAGCTTGACCACCAGAATTCTCCTCAACCTGTGGAGGCTTTTTCATCGCTGGTGGACTGGTTTTAGATGGTTCAGTTGACCATGTTGACTGTGGTGTGGCCTTGTAACTTGAATCAGGCTCTTTGTCATCTGTGCACTTTATTAATTTCTTGGGAGTAGTCTTTTGGTCTCATGGTGATCCAAACATGTACTGGCTCTCTTAAAATATATATATTTTTAAAAACCCTTCAAAACAAATGTGCATTTGAAACTATATAGGTCCACCCCGGAATAAAGATGAATATGATTTTTTATATGTGATAAATTCCCACAAATCCTGCAATTTCCCTTAAATAGACAACCTTAACAATTTCCATTTAAGGCTCCATAAGACGTTCTTTACCTGCTCAGGCGATCTGAACATGATAGGGAACTGTGTCCTCACTTGGCTGCTTCTGGATGTTTGAGTTCCTTGTGCATCTAAATCTATTGTAACATTTGCATAATCTTGAACATCAATGTGCTGTCCACAACTAACGGAAGACAATATCATATTGTTGAACATGACTGAATTGTTTCTTTAATATGAGAATAATCTACAGCTGTTTTCGTGGATGTCAGATAACTTGTCACAGATACCCTGTCAGATCAAAATTTTTATCAAACCTTTTGATTCAGTCTTTAAATGTTTAGTGACCTTAGTTGCTGGAATAAAACATAGTACATGGTCACTGTATACTCGAGTCATTGTGTCTTGCACTGTGACCGAAACCTCAAAAACACAAATGTTCAAGATACAATTAAAAATTGAAGGAGCTTCATAAATACATATGTTTGGTACCATATGAAAGGTCTTTTTCTGGTCTTTCAAATAAAAATTATTCCAAATGTTTTAATCACTAATCACATGCACATACATTACATGTGAAAATCAGACCATGTTGCATTTTTTTGTTTTTAACAGGACCCTCACACATGACTTTTTCAAATTTTCAACATTTGGTGATTTCGTTTAACAGTCCTAGTACATATTTTGATTCTCAAAAAAATTTAAGGGTCTCCTACAGCTACAAGTAGGTTTAAAAAGGGGCTAAAAATGGTACGCCATACAAATTAATTAGTTTTTTTTTTTTTTCCATTTTTAATTTCATATAAAATGACAATGAGTTGCGATACCAAACCTTCGATAAATGTTCTTTGAACACAGAGTAGAGGAGCACAAGCCTACAAAATGTCAGCCCTCTATGTGTGATACTTACGGAGATATCGACCTGTGAAAACGGCCGAGAAAAAATGATGCAATTTTTGGCCTATAAATTGACACATACTCCCCTCATAAAATGAGCTGTATCTTAAAAAGTATTTGATCGAAAATCACTAAAAGTTTACAGGGTTGGTACATTATAGTAAGGGACTATTTGGTATTTTTTTCAAAATTGTTTGCGATCAAAGTGTGTGGGCCATTTGTTGAAATGGCGTAGAATGACCCAGTACTGATGTTACCTGCCCCCCATCTGTATTAAATAATATTGGCCTGTAGAAAGTTGTGATGTCTGACACCCAGAAATAAAAAGACACAGCTCCCAAATCAGGGCTGGGCGATATGGATAAAAAATATATATCTCGATATATTTTGCTATATCTCGATATACGATATATATCTCGATATATGTTCAAGAAAAAATAACCCCCTAAAATTGAAAACTTGCAAAAACAAATCTGCCAAATTCCACAAGGTCCTTTTTTTTTAAATTGAAGAGTAAGAGGTCGACAGTTCATATAGGAACATTTAAGATTACAAAAAAACCCTAATTACATAAATAATAATTTAACTATAAAATAAAAGAAATAATACATATTTCCTTCTTTTCATTCATAAATAAACCAACTCAACACAAGCTCATCTTTGCATTAACTCTGTTATCCAAACCAGAACCATAACCATGAGCTCATTTAGCAGAAGAAGCTCAGGATGCTCCTTATTTCAATAGATCCATGTTATTATCCAGCAGTAAAGAGCTCTGAGTTTTCCCACAATCCACTGCAGATCAAACCCAACGTTTCCAAACACTATTGTACAAGTGACACTGCAGCAGATTATTCATTAAAATCTTCTGCATAAATAAACTTTACATTGCTAAACTTTACAATATATAAAGCATAACGACTCTAGAGCCACATCAGCCCGTTTGCGATAATAATGTGTTTAATGCAGTTTTGCGCACGTGTGTTTACATTTTACAGAAACGAAACTTAAGCACATGGCTCATTTGCATAAACAGCGCACTTCTCACGCAGCTCAACTCGTTCAGCTTCTTTCGGGCTAAAGGACGCGACTCGGTGGAATATGAGGATGTGCTGCTGATGGTTTTGTCTGTAAATGGTGGAAAATGTTCGTGGTGCTTGAAGTTTTTCACTAGCACCAACTTTCGGCATTCACGGCGGTAGTGAGGAGTGAAGGAGACGCAAGCGAACAAAATCAGGGAGGCGGGGGCGACGAGAGAGAAGATAAACAAGCGAAGCGGCAAAATCAGAATTGAATATAAGCATTATATCGATATATATGATGTGTCAGAATTCATATCGAGTTTTAAAACTATCTCGATATATTTAAAATATCGATATATCGCCCACCCCTATCCCAAATGAATATTTTCTGTTTAAGATAAACTGAAACTGGATATGGAAACGAGCCATTACAGTTTGATGGTACAAACATTTTTTTCATGCTTATTGTAACAGTATAAATAATTAAAGCTGCAAGCGGTGTCGAATGGCCCTCGGCCGTCGCACACGCCATGCCCCGCAAACTCTGTGCCCCACAAACGGGGTGCTCTGCAAAGGCCAAGCCCCACAGTAACACTAATAACCATAAATCCCAACCACAAGTCTAACCCCTAGCCCCAATCCTAACGTTAGGCAAAACCCTACTCGTAACACTAACCATAGCCCCAACCCCAAATCTAACCCTAGCCCTTACCCTAACCCTAAACCCTTACCTAATCCTGCCATTTTTCTAAATTTGTGTGCCAAACCATTGTCCACCAGAAAATTTAGATAGTGTGCTTTTAAATTATTATTTTTTTAGGGGTCTTTGCACCCCATGCTGGCCAACCGTGAAAAATGCCCCATATCAGTAATATATGTTTTTGCTTCTAGTTGTTCATAGAATTGAATTCCCAAATTTGGTACAATTCTGATAATGTTGACTTTTCATGTCTATGGTAGGGGGCGCTATAGTGTTCACTTTTCATATTCTTTATAGTGTATTATATTCAGGCTGAGATCATACATTAGTGATTCAAATTTCAGCATGATCGGACTAAGCCTGTGTGTGCAATACTATTTTCAATATTTTTGGGGGGAGTCTATGCGCCCCTGCTGGTCAACAGTGGAAAAATTCTCCATGTCCATAATATTTTTTGTTTGTTTGTAATCACGCATAGAATTTAATTCCCAAATTTGGTGCAGATCTGACAATGTTGACGTTTCATGTCTATGCTAGGGGGCGCTATAGTGTTCACTTTTCATATGTTTTATAGTGTATTATATTCAGACTGATATCACGCATTAGTGATTAAAATTTAAAATCGGACTAAGTCTGTGCGAACAGGAGCAAATAATGTCATCTCGAAATTAGTCAAAATTTTGATTGAAATTTGTGGCCTCGCCGCACGTAAACCGTGACAGTTACCAAAATAAATCAGCTAACTTTAGATGTTCCACTTGTCTAGATGATGTACGGTGATTTTCAGGCCTGTGGGTGAAGCGCCTTCAGAGGAGTTCGTTCGAACGCAACGTCAACGAAAACGCGGACTCAAATTTCAATCCAAGATGGCCGCCTTCTGGTTTGACAGGGGGCGTGGCCATAATAACATTTTTTTTGTTTGCCTTCACGTGACGAATGTGTTTACTGAATTTCGTGGCTCTACGACAAAGTTGACCGGGACATCTCCCATAGCAGCAAAATTTTTGAGTTTTCCAGGTGGCGCTGTGTCGCCATTTTTTTTATGCCCGTGCATGAAACCTATATTTTATCAAATTTTCCGCCACTTCTGAATATTGTGCCAAGTTTGGTGAGTTTTTGAACGTGTTTAAGGGGTCAAATTAGAGCTCAAAGAGCAGAATAATAATAAAAATAAAATAATAATAATTCAAGCAAAAACAATATATCCGAAAATTATAGAACACATATTATACATTTTTTGAAAGCTCTTGACCTTCCCCACGTCACCGTGGGGTCATTACTGAGTGACGAGCGCGTCTGCACCATCTCATCGGGGTCGTCCCCTGACCTCCCATTGACTTCCATTCATTTTAGCAGTAGTAAATTTGGCTCAGGCCTTGGACGTGGGTTACTGGGATACTGCTGTTCGTGCCGGGGGCGACCGAGGACAATGTTGCATGGCGTCCTGTTCCATTCGGACATGCGCACGTCGCTCCCCATTCGCTCCGCATAGCGGAAGCAATAGGCCCTACGCCCTGTCGGGGCTCGGGCCTAAATATATGACATGAAATATTGATACAGAAGCTGCGCCCCTCCAACCTTAGATTGTCTGTTTTCATCCTGTCTTCATCTTAGACATAAATAAATCTCACCTGAACTAGGAGCGTGTGTTCCTCCTGTTTGACGCTCGGCTCCTCTGGCTCCTCTGGCTCATGTGGCTCCTCTTTAATCCGTGGAGTGTGTGGAGGGTCCTGGTTCAGACCGGGGCCAGGACTCTTTGAGGGGCTCAGTATCGAGTCCAGGAGCTCCTGTTTCCTCTGGTTCTCCTCTTTGGAGCGACACACTTCCTCCTCATACTCCGCTATCGTTCTTTCAAACAGCGCAAAGATCTCTTCAGCAGCCGCAGTCAGCCGCTCATTCACCAAAGCTCTCAGTGTTTGGCTTTTGGACATTTTAACAAACTGCTTTTAGCTTTAGCTCCGAGCTAACCGCACACGAGGGTCGGCGGTCTGCTTCCTGCTTTGTGTGCAGCAGAGTAGGCACGGTGAGTGCATTACTGCCCCCACTGGTCAGGATGTTAAACTCCTAAAATGCTCATCACGGTGGCTCCTCCTCAGGCTTTATACCATCCTAATACCGCTGAATTTCTCGTTTATTCACAACAGTTACCATGACGCTTCCAGGTAAGAACTCTGTGGTCAAACCTAAGGGATCATTCTGGTAGCAAGGGGCCTCCAAAAGCATCTGCAGGGTAAATGACCGCGGGAAGTGGAGGTGCAGCTCCCCCTAGTGGCGACATGTCAATAAAAATGTTCAATATCAATTTACTTCTTTATATTAAATAGGCCTATAGGCTATGGGGGTTAAAAACAAACAAATAAACAAACAAACAAACAAAAAAAAAAAAAAAAAACACTCTCACAGCACCCCCTGTTAAAAATTCGTGTAGGTTGTAGTAGGTCTCCCCTTCTCTTCTGGACATCTGAGACTTTGCAGGTTAAATGATTTGAATGCAGTTTGGTTTATTGTTTCACTACTGAATGTTTAAAATTTAGATTTTATTGTAAAAAGCCTCAGTCAACTTGAGTGTTGGAAAGGGCTCTATAAATAAAGATTGACTGAAAAAAACGACAACAAAAAAACTTGATAGCAAACTTCAGGAATTTTTTTGTACAGCCCAAGTCAAAACCATTTTTACTTAAAAACTTAAGAAACAGTAATGATTGATCAAAGTTTAATAGAAATGCATTGTATTGAGACGTATTGGTACTTAAAAACTCAATACTTGAAGATCTTTTAAGGACATTCTAGCTAATTTTCTGAAAAATGTCTACTCGAGTGTTACACACAAAAAACAAATAAACTGAAACACTTAAAACATGAAAATCTGCCACTTGCTTCGGTATAATGCAGCTATGAAGAGAATCAGTCCAAATCAACACCAGCTTTTCTTGTAGTTCAGGAGAAAAGCCTTTACATCATGCAGTGTGTTGTAAAAGTGTAGAAGCAGCTGACTGTGACTCTCACAGAGTTGTTTCTCTGTTATGGTTCAAAATCAGATACAAGAGCTGATCTGGTCCAAACATCTGTATTTTGAGTCTTCAGCAGCAAACTCCAAAACAGAATTTAGGCTCTTTAAAATATCTCATGAACACAATCAATAATCCTTCAGTCACAATCTGTTCTGTGAGTTCTCATATGAATATTCAAATGATGTCTCTGCATAAACCCTTTATTACAAATGGCACACCTGTAGGGTCGTTCACCTGTGCGTTCTCATATGCATATTTAGTCTGCACTTGTGAGAAAATGACTTCTCACACACTGAACAACTATAAGGTCTCTCACCTGTGTGGGTTCTCTCATGTACATCCAGAATATCTTTGCGGGAAAATGTCTTTTCACACGTTGAACACCTGTAAGGTCGTTCACCTGTGTGCGTTCTCACATGTTTATTTAGATCACCCTTTTGAGAAAATGACCTCTCACACATTAAACAGCTGTATGGTTTTTCACCCAGGTGTATCTTAACATGTAGAGCTAGATCACCTTTTGTTGTAAATGATCTCTTGCACATTGAACAGCTGAATGGTTTCTTTGTGTGTATCTTTTCATGTTGATCTAAATAAGCTTTTTGGTTAAATGTTTTGTCACAGGTTGAACAGCTGAATGGTTTCTCTCCTGGGTGAATTACAATGTGTTTTTGTAACAGCCAATTAGTCCCAAACCTTTTTTGACACACAGAGCACTGGTGTTTCTTGTCCTCAGCTCTTTCTGCTGGTCCTGACATGTCTGCATTGTTCACAGTGGCACTGGTCTCTGGTGCAGACTTGTATTTGGGGGATAGACCAGAGTTCTGGACTTGGTTGTCGTGGTCTCCATCAGCGTCTGTCTCCATTTGTGCAGTTGAACAGCTGAGTGGAGCTCTCCAGTCTTCATTATCAGTGTCAGAGGAGTGCTCTGTGTCTCCCTCAGTCTCTGAGTGTAAATGTGTCTCTGCGCTAATGTTCTCTCCCTGTGTTTCTTCTCTGAGCTCAGTTTGTCTTTGTTGAAGCAGTGAGGACTCTTCTGTCTTCACACAAACGGCACTGGACTCTGGGACGCCCACTGACACCTGAGGTGGGGGAGATTGACACAAAATATTAATATTAATATATTAATATATTAATATATTAATATTTTGACTCTCCTGAAAGTAATCAGAATATATATTGATTTCAAATCAGAAATGTGCTAAATGTTTGTGTTTTCATCTTGATTAAGGTCTGTTGTAAATGTTGTTATACATGTATCAGTCTCAAGTCACCAAGTAATCTATTCTCTGTATTAGATAATGCCCCGTCTCCCTCACGATATTGGTGTTTTTCAGATTATAGAATGTGATAACAGTTTTCTCTATTGATTACATTGCACTTCGCCATTAAAAACATCCAAAAGGCAAATTCACAAATGCTGAACCTGATCATTTCTATTAGTGACTGGACCAAAGAACTGACTGAATTACAACAACAATCTGCATTAGTACAATAGGGTCATTCCACGCCATTTAATCAAATTTCCAGAAAATCTCAAGCATCATGTGTTTAAAAAAAAAAAAAAAAAAATACCAGCTGGTCCCTTACCATCATGTACCAATCCTGTGAAATTTATGTCATTTTCGATCAATGCTTTTTAAGTTACAGCTCATTTTATGAGGGGAGTATGTGTCAATTTACGGGCCAAAAATCGCGTCATTTGTTCTCGGCCGTATTCACAGATTGATATCTCCGTAAGTATCACACATAGAGGGCTGAAATTTTGTAGGCTTGTGCTCCTCTACTCTGTGTTCAAATAACATCTATCGAAGGTTTGGTATCTCAACTTATTGTCATTTTATATGAACTTAAAATGAGAAAAAAAACAAAAAACGTGTTCATTTCCCTGGCGTACCATTTTTAGCCCCTTTTAAAACCTACTTGTAGGTGTAGTAAACCCTTAAAGTTTATTGAGAATCAAGATATGTACTAGGACTGTCAAAAAAAAAAATCACCAAATGTTGAAAATTTTAAATAAGTCATGTGTGAGGGTAGGGATGGGCATTCGTTGAAATTTTCTTAATCGATCGTCGGAAGTATTAACGATCGATTATCAATTAATCATTAACGTTTTTATATTAAAATGATCATCATTATTATTACTATCTGCACTACTAATCTGCATAAATAAATTCAACTTTACGACATATAAACCGTAACCACTCTAGAGCCACATCAGCCCGTTTATTATAATGTGTTTAATTCAGTTTTGCGCAACTCTCACAGAAACGAAACTTAAATCCGCATCGCTAATTTGCATAAACTAAGCGAAGATAAAACTACAGCTCTTGTGTCACTGATGCGGTCAACTTCTGTCGGATTAAAAGACATGACTCAGTGGAATACAGGTTAGTGTGACCATATTTGCGTTTGTCAAAACCAGGACACAGTACGGGGGGAGGGACGTGGGGACTCGTCATCGACATTGCGCGACTCTCACCTGGCAAAACTTTTTCCCACTGGACACCGAAACATATGTGCTGCTTTATACACTGTGCACATGGCCTCACACTTGTCCCGACCGGAACGGAAAGCGTGGAATTTCTTGTACAAGTCGTCGTTAAATACGCATATGCACCTCGGTACGTTGCAGGTGGACTGACTGTTAGTGTTTGTTCGCTCCTTCTGAGTGCAGAGAGCTACTTGTACGGACCTCCGTTTGGTCACGCTACACACAGCAACTTGCATTCGGTTTGTCGATTAACATTAACATAATCGATGAAATTCTTAATGATCAATTATCGATTAATCAACTAATCATGCCCATCCCTATGTGAGGGTCCTGTTAAAAACAAGAAAATGCAATATGGTCCAATTTTACATGTAACTTATGGCATGTGATTAGTGATAAAACATTTTTGAATAATTTTAGTTTGAAAGACCAGAAAAAGACCTTTCATATGGTACCAAACACATGTTTTTTATGAAGCTCTTTCAATTTTTAATTGTATCTTGAACATTCACATTTGACACAATGACACAAGTATACAGTGACCATGTACTATGTTTTATTCCAGCAGCTAAAGCTCCCAAACATGAAGAATGAACAAGAATGAATCAACAGGATGTGTTACAAGATATCTAAAAACCCAGAACACAGAACATGTATGTCTTATTCATCATCAGTATCAGTAGGCACATCTTCATAAACCCGCAGTCGGTCCCGAAGCTTTTGGATTTTCTGGCCGAGGTCACGGCAGCATGGACAGTCCCCACAAGCTTGACCACCAGAATTCTCCTCAACCTGTGGAGGCTTTTTCATCCCTGCTGGACTGGTTTAAGATGGTTCAGTTGACCATGTTGACTGTGGTGTGGCCTTGTAACTTGAATCAGGCTCTTTGTCATCTGTGCACTTCATTAATTTCTTGGGAGTAGTCTTTTGGTCTCATGGTGATCCAAACATGTACTGGCTCTCTTAAAATATATTTAAAAAATACTTCAAAAACAAATGTGCATTTGGAACTATATAGGTCCACCCCAGAATAAAGATGAATATGATTTTTTATATGTGATAAATTCCCATAAATCCTGCAATTTCCCTTAAATAGACAACCTTAACAATTTCCATTTAAGGCTCCATAAGACGTTCTTTACCTGCTCAGGCGATCTGAACATGATAGGGAACTGTGTCCTCACTTGGCTGCTTCTGGATGTTTGAGTTCCTTGTGCATCTAAATCTATTGTAACATTTGCATAGTCTTGAACATCAAAGTGCTGTAAACAACAAACAGAAGACAATATCATATTGTTCAACATGTTTGTTTCTTTAATATGAGAATAATCTACAGCTGTTTTCTTGAATATCAGATAACTTGTCACATCAAAATTTTTATCAAACTATTTGATTCAGTCTTTAAGTCTTTAACTGCTGGAATAAAACATAGTGCATGGTCACTGTATACTCGAGTCATTGTGTCAAATGGGAATGGTCAAGATACAATTAAAAATGGAAGGAGCTTCATAAAACACATATGTTTTTTTTAATCACTACCCACATGTCATAAATTACATGTGAAAATTGGACCATGTTGCATTTTCTTGTTTTTAACAGGATCCTCACACATAACCTATTTTAAATTTTCAACATTTGGTGATTTGGTGAACAGTCCTAGTACAAATCTTGATTCCCAAAAAAATTTAAGGGTCTCCTACACCTACAAGTAGGTTTAAAAAGGGGCTAAAAATGGTACGCCACGGAAATTAACAAGTTTTTTTTTTTTTTTTTTTCATTTTTAAGTTCATATAAAATGACAATGAGTTCAGATACCAAACTTTTGATAGATGTTATTTGAACACAGAGTAGAGGAGCACAAGCCTACAAAATTTCAGCGCTCTATGTGTCATACTTACGGAGATATCGACCTGTGAAAACGGTCGAGAACAAATGACGCGATTTTTGGCCCGTAAATTGACACATACTCCCCTCATAAAATGAGCTGTATCTTAAAAAGTTTTGATCGAAAATCACTAAAACCTCACAGGGTTGGCACAGGATAGGAAGGGACTATTTACTAATTTTTTCAAAAAAATTTTGAGATCGAAGTGCGTGGGCCATTTGTTGAAATGTCATGGAATGACTCAATACTGATGTTACCTGCCCCCCATCTTTATTAAATAATATTGGCCTGTAGAAAGTTGTAATCTCGTCTGAAACCCAGAAATAAAAAGGCACAGCTCCCAAATGAATATTTTCTGTTCGAGATAAACTGAAACTAGAGATAGAAACGCGCTATTACAGTTTAATGGTACAAACATTTGTTTTCATGTTTATTGTAACAGCATAAATAAATATATGACATGAAATATTGATACAGAAGCTGCGTCCCTCCAACCTTAGATTGTCTGTTTTCATCCTGTCTTCATCTTGGACATAAATAAATCTCACCTGCACGAGGAGCGTGTGTTCCTTCTGTTTGACGCTCGGCTCCTCTGGCTCCTCTGGCTCCTGTGGCTCCTCTTTAATCCGTGGAGTGTGTGGAGGGTCCTGGTTCAGACCGGGGCCAGGACTCTTTGAGGGGCTCAGTATCGAGTCCAGGAGCTCCTGTTTCCTCTGGTTCTCCTCTTTGGAGCGACACACTTCCTCCTCATACTCCGCTATCGTTCTTTCAAACAGCGCAAAGATCTCTTCAGCAGCCGCAGTCAGCCGCTCATTCACCAAAGCTCTCAGTGTTTGGCTTTTGGACATTTTAACAAATTGTTTTTAGCTTTAGCTCCGAGCTAACCGCACAAGAGGCTCGGCGGTCTGCTTCCTGCTTTGTGTGCAGCAGAGTAGACACGGTCAGTGCTTTACTGCCCCCACTGGTCAGGATGTTAAACTCCTAAAATGCTCATCACAGTGCCTCCTCCTGTCAGCTTCTCGTGGAGGCAGCCTGAACACAGAATCTTAAATAAGAGTCTTGGAGAGTTAAAACAGTTCTCAGACATCTCTTTATTAGTTCAGGCAGGTACAGGTCTCTCCGATTCAAGCTGATTTACATGATTCGCCTACGCGGCGTCTCTTTGCGTCGTCGTCCCTCGACAACGCCTCTCGAAAATGGGGGACCCATTTTCTCAAAGAAAAAAAAAATGTCGGATTTGCTGGCGATTGTTTACCTATTTTTAGATCATAAACTTTTTCTCAGCTCAAAATCCTTCACTTGTCTTAAAAAACGCTTTATAATCGTTAGCTTCGGCTCCACTGTGCTCCGCTCTAGCTTCTCTCGCTCTGATTGGTCAAAGCGATCACGTGATACACGAGCCCGTGCTCCGTGCGTGCGGACGCGTGCATTCGCGTGTGCTCGCGGGAGAAAAGACACTACCGCGAAGCGCGAGCTCGTGTATCACGTGATCGCTTTGAGCAATCAGAGCGAGAGAAACTAGAGCGGAGCAGAAGCGAACAGTTATAAAGCGTTTTTTAAGACAACTGAAGGATTTTGAGGATTTTGAGCTGAGAAATAGTATATGATCTAAAAATAAGTAAAAATTGCCACAAAATCCGACATTTTTGAAAGTTGTTGGTCCCTGTTAGCCTAACACGAGCAGTTTATGATTACATTGCGCTTTATGAGAAATATCTTGTCTCGGCCTATGGGACTTTTTCTGCTGAAGTTCCAGTGACTGGCCATTACGTCAACTGGAGGCAGCTACAAGCAGCAATACTGTATCCAGTTATTTTAATGGATCCATGAGATCTAGCCACTTGCTGCTACGACGCCGTTCGTCACTATGGACCCTCCAAGAAAGATAAAGTTTTCTTCCGTGTGGGATCATTTTGATCTCATAACACCTGATAAGGTAATGTGTATTCCATTCCCGTTTCCACGGCAGACAAAGTATTTTATATATATATATTTTTGACCCACAGGTGAAATGTCGTCAATGCTCAACGGAGTTGTCCTATGCAACCCGAAACACATCATCAATGCTACGGCATTATAGAGTTCGCCATGAAAGAGAACAAAATACACCAGGGATGGACACTGGTGGATTAGTATTTTGTAATCAGTCACTAATTATTATGGAGCATTCCCAGAACTGAACACCCATTGGAATATTGAAATTCTCAAAAAAAAGACCTATCCACACTTATTCAAACTGTCCCAAAAATATTTGTGTACTCCTGCCTCATCAGTTCCTTGTGAACAAATTTTCTCTAAAGCTGGAGAAATTATTTCCAAGAGGAGAAATCGTTTGGGCCCAAACATGCTTCAAAAACTTTTCTTAATAGAAATGTTTGAAATCCACCCCCCACCCCCCAAAAAAGAAAAAAAAGACAAGCACTCAAATGTTACAGGCGCAATGTGTAAAATGTTCACAAGCACTCATATGACACACACAATTAATCATCACAAGAATATTCACTCTAATTTCACATAGAGATTATTGAACATTGGCAAGTAATATCTTGCACTTAGTTATGCAAACTCATTACAATGTGTTTCTTTTGTAGTATAGCTGTAGTATATTTTTAAACTACTAGATGAAACCCATACACTGACCAACACAGCGTGATACAGTCTCGACACACAAGGGGAAAAGTGTGATACACACACTGAGGTATCATCTGTCCATAACTAGCCTATAGGCTATGAGGGTTAAAACAAACAAACAAAAAAATTCAGAGTTCTTATGTGTTGTGTTGTGTTGTTAAAAATTCGTGTAGGTTGTAGTAGGTCTTCCCCTTCTCTTCTGGACATCTGAGACTTTGCAGGTTAAATTATTTTAATGCAGTTTGGTTTATTATTTCACAACTGAATGTTTAAAATTTAGATTTTATTGTAAATAGCCTCAGTCAACTTGAGTGTCAAAAAGAACTCTATAAATAAAGATTGACTGAAAAAACGACGGCAACAAAAAAACTTGATAGCTAACTTCTGGAATTTACAGCTTTTTTTGTACAGCCCAAGTCAAAAACATGTTTACTTAAAAAAAAAAGAAACAGTAATGATTGATCAAGGTTTAATAGAAATGTATTGTATTGAGACGTATTGGTACTTAAAAACTCTTACAATATTGTACTTGAAGATCTTTTAAAGACATTCCAGCAAATTTTCTGAAAAATCTCTACTCCAGTGTTACACACAAAAAAACAAATAAACTTAAAAACTTCAAACATGAAAATCTGCCGCTTGTTGTTTCTCTGTTATGGTTCAAAATCAGATACAAGAGCTGATCTGGGCCAACTCAGCAGCAAACTCCAAAACAGAATTTAGGCTCTTTAAAACATCTCATGAACACAATCAATAATCCTTCAGTCACGCTCTGTTCTGTGAGTTCTCATGTGAATATTCAAATGATGTCTCTGTATAAACCCTTGATTACAAATGGAACATCTGTAAGATCTCTCACCTGTGTGGGTTCTCTCATGTACATCCAGAAAATCTTTGCGGGAATATGTCTTTTCACACGTTGAACACCTGTAAGGTCTCTCACCTGTGTGGGTTCTCTCATGTACATCCAGAATATCTTTGCGGGAATATGTCTTTTCACACGTTGAACACCTGTAAGGTCGTGCACCAGTGTGGGTTCTCTCATGTACATACAGTTTATCTTTACGGGAATATGTCTTTTCACACGTTGAACACCTGTAAGGTCTCTCACCCGTGTGGGTTCTCTCATGTACATGCAGATTATCTTTGCGGGAATATGTCTTATCACACGTTGAACACCTGTAAGGTCGTTCACCTGTGTGCGTTCTCACATGTTTATTTAGATCACCCTTTCGAGAAAATGACCTCTCACACATTAAACAGCTGTATGGTTTTTCACCCAGGTGTCTCTTAATATGTAGAGCAAGATCACCATTTGTTTTAAATACTCTCTTGCACGTTGAACAGCTGAATGGTTTCTTTGTGTGTAGTTTTTCATGTTGATCTAAACAGGCTTTTTGGTTAAATGTTTTCTCACAGGTTGAGCAACTGAATTGTTTCCCTCCTGTGTGAATTATAATATGTCTTTGGAAACACCGCTTAGTCACAAACCTCTTTTGACACACAGAGCACTGGTGTTTTTTGCCCTCAGCTCCTTCTGCTGTTCCTGACATGTCTGCATTGTTCACAGTGGCACTGGTCTCTGGTGCAGACTTGTATTTGGGGGATAGACCAGAGTTCTGGACGTGGTTGTCGTGGTCTCCATCAGCGTCTGTCTCCATCTGTGCAGCTGAATAGCTGAATGGAGCTCTCTCACCTGTGTGTATTCTCTCATGTACAATTAGATGACACTTTAGAGAAAATGTCTTCTCACACATTGAACAGCTGTATGTTTTTTCACGCGTGTCTCTTAACATGTTGAGCTAGAAAACGTTTTATTTTAAATGACCTCTTGCACGTTGAACATCTGATTGGTTTCTTTTTGTGTGTCTTCTCATGTTTACCTAGATTGGACTTTTGGTTAAATGTTTTGTCACAGGTTGAACAACTGAATGGTTTCTCTCCTGTGTGAATTATAATGTGTATTTGTAACTGCCACTTAGTCCCGAACCTCTTTTGACACACAGAGCACTGGTGTTTCTTGTCCTCAGCTCCTTCTGCTACTCCTGACATGTCTGCATTGTTCACAGTGGCACTGGTCTCTGGTGCAGACTTGTATTTGGGGGATAGACCAGAGTTCTGGACTTGGTTGTCGTGGTCTCCATCAGCGTCTGTCTCCATCTGTGCAGTTGAACAGCTGAGTGGAGCTCTCCAGTCTTCATTATCAGTGTCAGAGGAGTGCTCTGTGTCTCCCTCAGTCTCTGGACATCTGAGACTTTGCAGGTTAAATGATTTTAATGCAGTTTGGTTTATTGTTTCACTACTGAATGTTTAAAATTGTGATTTTATTGTAAAAAGCCTCAGTCAACTTGAGTGTTGGAAAGGGCTCTATAAATAAAGATTGACTGAAAAAACAACGACGACAAAAAAACTTGATAGCAAACTTCTGGAGTTTACTGCTTTTTTTGTTGTACAGCCCAAGTCAAAAACATTTTTACTTAAAAAATGAAGAAACAGTAATGATTGATCAAAGTTTAATAGAAATACATTGTATTGAGACGTATTGGTACTTAAAAACTCTTACAATATTGTACTTGAAGATCTTTTAAAGACATTCCAGCAAATTTTCTGAAAAATCTCTACTCCAGTGTTACACACAAAAGACAAATAAACTGAAACACTTAAAACACGAAAATGTGCCGCTTGCTTCGGTGTAATGCAGCTATGAAGAGAATCAGTCCAAATCAAAACCAGCTTTTCTTATCGTTCAGGAGAAAAACCTTTACATCATGCAGTGTGTTGTAAAAGTGTAGAAGCAGCTGCCTGTGACTCTCAGAGGGTTGTTTCTCTGTTATGGTTCAAAATCAGATACAAGAGCTGATCTGGTCCAAACATCTGTATTTTGAATCTTCAGCAGCAAACTCCAAAACACAATTTAGGCTCTTTAAAACATCTCATGAACACAATCAATAATCCTTCAGTCACGCTCTGTTCTGTGAGTTCTCAGGTGCATATTCAAATGATGTCTCTGTATAAACCCTTTATTACAAATGGGACACCTGTAGGGTCGTTCACCTGTGCGTCTTCACATGCACATTTAGTCTACACTTGTAAGAAAATGTCTTTTCACACGTTGAACACCTGTAAGGTCGTTCACCTGTGTGCGTTCTCACATGTTTATTTAGATCACACTTTTGAGAAAATGACTTCTCACAAATTAAACAGCTGTATGTTTTTTCATCCAGGTGTCCCTTTACATGTAGAGCTAGAAAACCTTTTGATGTAAATGATCTCTTGCACGTTGAACAGCTGAATGGTTTCTTTGTGTGTAGCTTTTCATGTTTATCTAGACTGGTCTTTCGGTTGAATATTTTCTCACAGGTTGAACAGCTGAATGGTTTCTCTCCTGGGTGAATTATAATGTGTCTTTGTAAATGCCACTTAGTCCCAAACCTCTTTTGACACACAGAGCACTGGTGTTTCTTGCCCTTAGCTCCTTCTGCTGTTCCTGACATGTTTCTATTGTTCACAGTGGCACTGGTCTCTGGTGCAGACTTGTATTTGGGGGATAGACCAGAGTTCTGGACTTGGTTGTCGTGGTCTCCATCAGCGTCTGTCTCCATCTGTGCAGTTGAAAAGCTGAGTGGAGCTCTCCAGTCTTCATTATCAGTGTCAGAGGAGTGCTCTGTGTCTCCCTCAGTCTCTGAGTGTAAATGTGTCTCTGTGCTGATGTTCTCTCCCTGTGTTTCTTCTCTGAGGTCAGTTTGTCTTTGTTGAAGCAGTGAGGACTCTTCTGTCTTCACACAAACAGCACTGGACTCTGGGACGCCCACTGACACCTGGGGTGGGGGAGACTGACACAAAATATTAATATTAATATATTAATATATTGACTCTCCTGAAAGTAATCAGAATATATATTGATTCACAAATGCTGAACCTGATCATTTCTATTAGTGACTGGACCAAAGAACTGACTGAATTACAACAACAATCTGCATTAGTACAATAGGGTCATTCCATGCCCTTTCATCAAATTTCCAGAAAATCTCACGCATCATGTGTTTTAAAATTTTTTTTTAAAAATTACCAGCTGGTCCCTTACTATCATGTACCAATCCTGTGAAACTTTTGTCATTTTCGATCAATACTTTTTAAGTTACAGCTAATTTTATGAGGGGAGTATGTGTCAATTTATGGGCCCAAAATCGCGTAATTTGTTCTCGGCCGTTTTCACAGGTCAATATCTCCGTAAGTATCACACATAGAGGGCTGAAATTTTGTAGGCTTGTGCTCCTCTACTCTGTGTTCAAATAACATCTATCGAAGGTTTGGTATCTCAACTCATTGTCATTTCATATGAACTTAAAAATGAAAAACAAAAAACTCGTACATTTCCGTGGTGTACCATTTTTAGCCCTTTTTAAAACCTACTTGTAGGTGTAGTAAACCCTTATATTTTTTTGAGAATCAAGATATGTACTAGGACTGTCAAAAAAAAATCACCAAATGTTGAAAATTTGAAATGGGTCATGTGTGAGGGTCCTGCTAAAAACAAAAAAAACGCAACATGGTCAGATTTTCACATGTAACTTATGGCATGTGATTAGTGATAAAAAATTTTTGAATAATTTTTGTTTGAAAGACCAGAAAAAGACCTTTCATATGGTATGAAACATATGTATTTTATGAAGCTCCTTCAGTTTTTTATTGTATCTTGAACATTCACATTTGACACAATGACACAAGTATACAGTGACCATGTACTATGTTTTATTCCAGCAGCTAAAGCTCCCAAACATGAAGAATGAACAAGAATGAATCAACAGGATGTGTTACAAGATATCTAAAAACCCAGAACACAGAACATGTATGTCTTATTCGTCATCAGTATCAGTAGGCACTAGGGATGTGAATATTTGGCAAAAACACTATTGGAAAATCAATGACAGCTATTCGAATATTATTCGAAAATCGACCCCTCCCCTCCCTCCCTTCCCCCACCCGCCCGCACGCATATACGAGATGACAGATGGGGTATTTAAGCGCTAAAGGTTTAATCAAACAACAACCTTCCAAATCAAAAATGAACATATTAATTGAGCAACCCACATATGAAACAATATGAAATTATATTCAAGGCTATCTCAATTTTAAAAACGCATGACCAAGCACATACTGTAGCCCACTGCGCTACTTTCATTGAGCTGCCCGCTGCAGAGACTCGCTCCGATGGCACAGATGTCGCACACACACCTAAGTAAGCGCTCGCTAACTTTACCAGTCAGGGGTATTTCTGTTTGTTTCTTTTCCACCATGTCATCGGGTCAGTGTGAAGCGGTGGGCATATCTCCTGGCAGTACTGAGTTCATTTGCGCATGTTCCCGTGTTTCGGCGTGTTTCACTCTCAGATGGCTCTGCATGGTAGTGGTTGATCTATGGTTTGCGAGCTTCACCTGACAGATTTTACACTGAACCTCTTTGTCATTTAACAAAGTAAATAACGATCATAGGGAACTTTTACTTCCTTTCTGCATTGCTAATGCCGCGCGACAAGTTTTCTTCTTCTGTTATTCCGGAGCAGCCTCTACACTCGGCCTTGTCTACCGCGCCTACAGGGAGTTTTACAGTCTGTTAGCGCCACCTTCTGGCCGAATGCCGTACATGAAATATTGGTTAGGAAACGTCTTTATTCGAAATTACTATTCGATATTCGAACGTATGACGAATATTCGACTATTCGAAAATCATGTCTCATCCCTAGTAGACACATCTTCATAAACCCGCAGTCGGTCCCGAAGCTTTTGGATTTTCTGGCCGAGGTCACGGCAGCATGGACAGTCCCCACAAGCTTGACCACCAGAATTCTCCTCAACCTGTGGAGGCTTTTTCATCCCTGCTGGACTGGTTTTAGATGGTTCAGTTGACCATGTTGACTGTGGTGTGGCCTTGTAACTTGAATCAGGCTCTTTGTCATCTGTGCACTTCATTAATTTCTTGGGAGTAGTCTTTTGGTCTCATGGTGATCCAAACATGTACTGGCTCTCTTAAAATATATATATTTTTAAAAACCCTTCAAAACAAATGTGCATTTGAAACTATATATGTAACATAGTTAATGTGAACGTTGTTAAATCCTGCTAAATTGTGAACTAGCGCCATCTCCTGGTGCCCGCCGTACCTGCACTTGCTAAACTCGCGCGAATTCTGAGTCCTCCTCATTGCTATGGAGAACTCGAGACGAGGTAACGTGGCTGTGAAATTGTGTGGACAAAAATTATTAATTCACTCATGTGTAGCTATTTTATTGCTAAACTGACAGTTGTGTGTTGTACTGGAGGTATTTTATGTTTGTTTGGCCATGATCTGCTGAAGTCAGTTTACAGTATATTTGAATTGACCGTGTTTTTCTTAGTTTTGCTAGCGGCTAATAAATGACTGTTTTCTACAGATGAAACACATGATGAATGTCCACTACAAATCAATTCACAGCAACTGTTCTCTATATTTTGTGCAGGTACGTAAGGTACAAATGTTTTATGCTAATGTACATCTGGTTATATTATTCTAAGTGCGTTGCACGTTACAGAAAAAGAAAAAAAATATTAATTAGAAAAATGTGACAGACAGGCAAATTGCACTGAGGGTACAAATATAAATTGCCCGTTGAAAAAAAATTGTATTTTATTTTATAGTACGAAAATCCACTATACGGTCACAAGAACTATTTACAGAGTATTGAGTAATGCTGCTGTTCTATTTTTGTTATTACAATATTGTAAAAGACTTAATGTTGTAATAACCTGAATGTTGTTGCGTGTACTACTCATTGCTATGGAGAACTCGAGACGAGATGAAACACATGATGAATGTCCACTACAAATCAATTCACAGCAACTGTTCTCTATATTTTGTGCAGAATAAACTGCTGTCACACCAAACTCCAGCAGCCTCCGTGGGTCATTGAGATAAAAAGAGAGGGCAAAACACACCGGTCACATATAGGTTCACCCCGGAATAAAGATGAATATGATTTTTTATATGTGATAAATTCCCACAAATCCTGCAATTTCCCTTAAATAGACAACCTTAACAATTTCCATTTAAGGCTCCATAAGACGTTCTTTACCTGCTCAGGCGATCTGAACATGATAGGGAACTGTGTCCTCACTTGGCTGCTTCTGGATGTTTGAGTTCCTTGCGCATCTAAATCTACTGTAATATTTGCATAGTCTTGAACATCAAAGTGCCATAAACAACAAACAGAAGACAATATCATATTGTTCAACATGTTTGTTTCTTTAATATGAGAATAATCTACAGCTGTTTTCTTGGATATCAGATAACTTGTCACATCAAAATTATTATCAAACCATTTGATTCAGTCTTTAAATGTTTAGTGACTTTAGCTGCTGGAATAAAACATAGTACATGGTCACTGTATACTCGAGTCATTGTGTCAAATGGGAATGTTCAAGATACAATTAAAAAATGGAAGGAGCTTCATAAAACACATATGTTTGGTACCTGTGACGGATATGAAAGGTCTTTTTCTGGTCTTTCAAAAAACAATTATTTACTTTTTTTTTTTCATCACTACCCACATGCCATAAATTACATGTGAAAATTGGACCATGTTGCGTTTTTTGTTTTTAACAAGACCGTCACACATAACCTATTTCAAATTTTCAACATTTGATGATTTCGTTTAACAGTCCTAGAACAAATCTTGATTCTCAAAAAAAATTAAGGGTCTTCTACACCTACAAGTAGGTTTAAAAAGGGGCTAAAAATGGTACGCCACACAAATTAATGAGTTTTTTTTTTTCCATTTTAAATTCATATAAAATGACAATGAGTTCAGATACCAAACTTTTGATAGATGTTATTTGAACACAGAGTAGAGGAGCACAAGCCTACAGAATTTCAGCCCTCTATGTGTGATACTTACGGAGATATCGACCTGTGAAAACGGCCGAGAACAAATGATGCGATTTTTGGCCCGGCTGATGCCTTGTTTAGTTCGTTGAGACACTTTTTTTTGTTCGCAGTAAACATTGAGTTAGATTTGGTACATTGTATTTAGTTAGGGCTCTTTAGTTTATTAGATTATTTTGTTTTGTTGTTTGCAGACGATGTTGTCCTGTTGGCTTCATCGAACCAGGACCTGCAATGTGCACTGGGGCGGTTTGCAGCCGAGTGTGAAGCAGTTGGGATGAGGATCAGCTCTTCTAAGTCCGAGGCCATGGTTCTCGACCGGAAAAAGGTGGCTCCACCCACCTCTCCGGGTCGGTGGAGAGTCCCTGCCTCAAGTGGAGGAGTTCAAGTATCTCGGGGTCTTCTTCACGAGTGAGGGGAGGACGGAACGTGAGATTGACAGGCGGATTGGTGCAGCTTCGGCAGTGATGCGGTCGCTGTATCGGACCGTTGTGGTGAAGCGGGAGCTGAGCCGAAAGGTGAAGCTCTCGATTTACTGGTCAGTCTTCGTTCCTACTCTCACCTATGGTCATGAGCTCTGGGTAGTGACGAAAGGACGAGATCGTGGATACAAGCGCTCGAAATGAGTTTCCTCCGCAGGGTGGCTGGGCGCTCCCTTAGAGATAGGGTGAGGAGCTCAATCAAACGAGAGGAGCTCGGAGTAGAGCCGCTGCTCCTCCACGTCGAGAGGAGCCAGTTGAGGTGGCTCGGGCATCTGTTCCGGATGCCTCCTGGGCGCCTCCCTCAGGAGGTGTTCCGGGCATGTCCCACCGGGAGGAGGCCCCGGGGAAGACCCAGGACACGCTGGAGGGACTATGTCTCTCGGCTGGCCTGGGAACGTCTCGGGATTCCCCCGGAGGAGCTGGAGGACGTGTCTGGGGTGAGGGTAGTCTGAGAGTCCCTGCTTAGGCTGCTGCCCCCGCGACCTGGCCCCAGATAAGCGGACGAAAATGGATGGATTATTTTGTTTAACTCCAATTTATTTTCACCTTAATTGCCTGTTTTTTTTTTTTTGTCTTCCCTTGCACTGTAAATAATAAATGCACAATTTTTAGTTAAACATCCCGATTTTTTTTTTGTTACTTCCCTTTCTCCCCTAGCAAAGGGGACGTAACACCCCCATCTGTATTAAATAATATTGGCCTGTAGAAAGTTGTGATCTCGTCTGAAACACAGAAATAAAAAGACACAACTCCCAAATGACTATTTTCTGTTCGAGATAAACTGAAACTAGAGATAGAAACGAGCTATTACAGTTTGATGGTACAAATTTTTTTTTCATGTTTATTGTAACTGCATAAATAAATATATGACATGAAATAGTGTTGCAGAGGCTGCGCCCCTCCAACCATCCTGTCTTCATCTTAGACATAAATAAATCTCACCTGCACTAGGAGCGTGTGTTCCTCCTGTTTGATGCTCGGCTCCTCTGGCTCCTCTTTAATCCGTGGAGTGTGTGAAGGGTCCTGGTTCAGACCGGGGCCTGGACTCTTTGAGGGGCTCAGTATCGAGTCCAGGAGCTCCTGTTTCCTCTGGTTCTCCTCTTTAGAGCGACACACTTCCTCCTCATACTCCGCTATCGTTCTTTCAAACAGCGCAAAGATCTCTTCAGCAGCCGCAGTCAGCCGCTCATTCACCAAAGCTCTCAGTGTTTGGCTTTTGGACATTTTAACAAACTGTTTTTAGCTTTAGCTCCGAGCTAACCGCACACAAGGCTCGGCGGTCTGCTTCCTGCTTTGTGTGCAGCAGAGTAGACACGGTCAGTGCATTACTGCCCCCACTGGTCAGGATGTTAAACTCCTAAAATGCTCATCACAGTGGCTCCTCAGACTTTATAACATACAAATACCGCTGCATTTCTCGTTTATTCACAGCAGTTACCATGATGCTTCCAGGTAAGAACTCTGTGGCCAAACCTAAGGGATCATTCTGGTGGCACCTCCACTTCTGCGGTAAGTGGAGGTGCAGCTCTCCCTAGTGGCGAGAAGGAGATTTTTTGTTTTTAAATAGTCAAAAACTACTTTAAAGTGTATATTTCAATAACATGTTGAATTTCAATCTACTTCTTTATATTTAAAATGTATTTTAAATAGACTGGTCTAGGACACTGGTCTCTGGTGCAGACTTGTATTTGGGGGATAGACCAGAGTTCTGGACTTGGTTGTCGTGGTCTCCATCAGCATCTGTCTCCATCTGTGCATTTGAACAGCTGAGTGGAGCTTTCCAGTCTTCATCATCAGTGTCAGAGGAGTGCTCTGTGTCTCCCTCAGTCTCTGAGTGTAAATGTGTCTCTGTGCTGATGTTCTCTCCCTGTGTTTCTTCTCTGAGCTCAGTTTGTCTTTGTTGAAGCAGTGAGGACTCTTCTGTCTTCACACAAACAGCACTGGACTCTGGGACGCCCACTGAGACCTGGGGTGGGGGAGATTGACACAAAATAATATTTATATTTCAGAATATTTCTTGATTTAATTTATTTATTACACATTTATCAATCTCAAGATGAAGGGATCACCATGAAGTACACGTCACCATTTTCATGGTAAAGGACACAAGAATTAAATGTTTGAAAGACGCATCCTGACGCCTCCCTACTCCGATCACACCGGACCTAAATTACACTGTAAGATTTTTCAAGTTGGACACAGCTGAAACTTTGGATTGAATTTCTCTCAAAGAGCCAGAACAAAATAACTGACAATCTCTTTCAGTAAAGAAACAAGCACTGACCAAGATACAAATAGAAGACACTGCCGTTTGATAAAACAGGCGACTTTCTCAACAGACCCTGGAAAAAAACACAACAATCCAACACAGGGCAGCAGGACAAAAACATAGTCACACTACCATACATCAGAGGAATAACCGAACCCATCCAGAGAGCCATGAAAAAACACAACATTAGCACTGTAGGAAAACCATACACAAAACTCCGTCAACAGCTCGTACACCCCAAGGACAAAATCCCACAAGAACAAAAATGCAATGCCATCTACGAAATTCAATGCAAATCATGCAATAAATCATAAATAGGGGAAACAGGCCGGGCATTTCACATCCGAAAAAAGGAACACCAAAAGGAATGCGAGAAGGAAACGTCAGGGAGACTCACCAGAACAGAAAAAGACAAAGCAGAACAGAAAACCTAAAATCTGCCATATCAGACACTGTAAAAGGAACAACCACATTATGGATTGGGACGGGGCTTGGGTCATTGGATCGGAAAACAACAAGTTCAAACGCTGGATCAGTGAGGCCATTGAAATCAGGAAACGAGGCATGGACAGCATTAACCGTGATGAAGGCGCGTTCCTCCTTTCACACACCTGGGACACCCTCCTCCAGAGAACACCGGGCGACGGGAGGCGTGGTCAGTCTGAGCGACCTGCCAGGTCCATCAGGTCTGACCACGCCTACAGGAAGTAACAACAGCTGATATACGACACGTCACCACCAACACCGGTGACAGTTCTGAAGATGACTCGCAGCTAGCAGTCGAAACATGTCAACAAGGTAAACACACTTTACTGCATTGTCTTTAAAAAGAACCCAAGAAGTTAAAGAAAGAGGAATGATGTAAATTGTTCATGCTGTGAATATTGTGAATGTTGTTTGCATATTGACTTGTTAATGTTTTGTTTAGAGAAGACCACACTCATTTGCATATTTCCTATTCAAATGCTGCCTCATTAACTTGGTCAGTAACTTGCTTTGGTGAATAATGATGTTATTTACAGTTATTTCTAGATATGGATCAATGATATGGTACAAGAACCTATGAACCTTCAGAGCACACACAAAGGCCATATTTATATTCTATACATTCTTGGCAGTTTTAGTTTAACATGAGACATGAGAGGACTTTTTCAGGTTTAAACCAGGTCCATGCAGCTTTATCATTTTATTTAGAAAATTTGTATTTTTTCAATGAAAACTGTGATCCATAACTGACCACTAACAAAGAAAATTTCACATGAAATTGTTATTGTCTTTATGTTTTTTTTTAAATTAACAACAGAACATTGACTGTGAGTCTGTGTAATCACATGAACATTTTTTAAAATTAATTTATTTTCCACTTCACCTTTGTACTTACAGAACAAACTAAAGCCATTGTCAGAAGCGATGAGGTAAATAAAATATTTCACTTTCTGTATATTCTTTAAGGCACCAAATTGACCAGGCCACTAAAACAAAGGCATAATAAACTTATTTTTGTTTTATTACAAAAAAGTACTACATGTACTTACTGTTTGTTAAATAAACAATAACAACCTGAACATCCATGAGCAACTGGGAAACTTAAGAAAATAATTCAAATATTAACATTATACCTTGGCAAAATATACACATGCATATTACAACTTGCAGATCCCAGTGGCTCTATAAACACATTTACTTACAGGTAGAATTTAACTCAGAGTGAATGTCTTTTGTGTAATCGCTGCATTGGCCTGTGGGCTGAGGAAATATTTTCATTGTGGTAATTTTTCTGGTTTGGCCTCTATTTACACAAAGACATGTGCACAGTTATCCTTGTAGCATCATCGCCCACGTCAAACACAAATAAAGAACAGTATGTGGAAGATTCAACATCATTTTATACTCATATAAAATTATATTATGACATTTGTGATTAGTGTTTTGTATTCCATACCTGAAATTCACATACGTTTGTAGGAGTTAAGTAATTATGATATGAGAATAATAAAATGTTGATGTAAACTTAACTAGTAGAAAAAGCCTGAGCCCTGCCTAATATAGGCTGTACTTGCTCTTACACTTAGTCACTTTTAAGAGTAGAGCTGTATAATTAGAATCTACCATCACAGCACCCATGAAATTCACTATTAATGTAAAAATCTATGGGTGGCTTTTCAGGAAATATTCCGTGCTGTTGAAGTAATTTCTCCTCTTCAGGACATTTATTTACAAATGCAGGCAGACAGAAATATTTGAGATGTACCATACAGATTAGTCATGGTTATACATCTTAGAGAAACCCCTCGATGACTTCCATTCCATCTAATGAAACGGTGAGAACATTTGCTTCTGGTTGCTAATTCTGTTTAGTACTATTTTGTTTTATAGTTTTAGTTTCTTCTTGGATGCAGTGATCCGATTGTGGACAAAGCTTTTTATGTTAATCCAGTCTCTGTCCTTGAGTGCGTGGGGTTCTGACTGGAGGCAGGAGGTACAGCTTCTTTTACCAGGTACTTTACGGCGTGTGATGAAGTCCATCATATGTCGCTCCACCGCTTTTACTTCGTCAAGCGTCCAAGCCTTCCTTCTCCTCGCAACTTTAAGAAGTAAAAACACTTTATTCAAACTTCCATATTTATGAGGATTATTTTATTCAGAAATGTTTCATATATAAAAACAAGCAGAAGTACGTGCTTTATTTAACCAACATGAATACACCCTTTAATGAAATTCATAAGGTGGTCTTTCTAAATCAATTTTGTGTGTTTTGTTTAAAAGACACAAGGTTTGTTTTTCTTAATGTATACACACTTTCTTAAGGTATACACACTCTTCTGACTCAAGGCTACTACAGGCTACTAAAGTGAATGTTTTCTTCAAAACTTTCAGAAATAAATACAAATGTAATATCTAGGGGTGTAACGATATCCAAGTCTGATGATACGATATCATCACGGTATGAACCTCACGGTACGATATTTATTGCAATATTTTGTGGAGACTAACAAAACTGTGAATATGCTTCTTTTTCCTCTTAAAATGCCTTGACAAGACTTAATCCAAAGAACTAAGACTTAAAAGTGTTAGAACTGTTATTTCTTCTTATAGTCTGCACTGAAATGGAGCAAAGGATCATGGTCTATGTAGTTCCCTGTGTCTTTTTTTAGCTATTGCTGCAGCATAACTCTTAATTTAAGCAAAGAGACTTGTAATTTGATATATTGTGATGGTCCACGATATTATTTGAGAACTTTGACGATACAATATCACAATATTTCGGTTACTGTTACATCCCTAGTAATATCCAAACTCAGCTCAAATGGATTTTTCTGTGTTCAGAAATGTTTAATTAAGTGGAAATGTTTAATTATGTGAAAATGTTTAATTATATGGATGAGATACACGCGTTCAATTCAGGTATAAGCAAATATAAATGTATAATTTAACCAATGTGAATACAGGATGTGACTGACAAATAAAATATGATCACATTTTAGTCAATTATGTAATAATTATTCCTGAAAAGCCTGTTTACCTTGCTTGGGAATGCTGTGCCCCGGGCTTGATTTAGACATGTTCTGTGGAAGTGCTGTGCTGCTTTGTGAATTGGGATCTATTCAAACACACATTTAATTATTGAAAAAGCTGCTGGATTATTGTGACTATAAATTCACATTACCATTTGGTTTCATTTCCTCTTGGGTTGTTGACTCAGACGGTTCTCCTTTGCACGTCTCATCAGGAGAGCCTTCAAAAAATAAATAAATAAATAAATAAATAAAAATAAAAATACATGAAGTGTTTTGGTTTGTTATTTGATCACTTTGTTTCTAATAGTTATTAATGACATTTCATTATTACCTCTGCTGTTTTTATAGACACAGAAATCTGAACACAAACTAGGAATTACAGAATAACTTAGAAATAATGCTTACACAATTACTCCAAATACAAGCTTTGATCACTGGTTTGCACTCTTGGCATTCTTTGACCCTGACAAAGCCCAGCGGTGACGTTCAAGAGATTTCTTCCAGACGCTCATTTAAAGAAGAGCGAGAATTTGTAACGCTGTCAACAGTGAAAGCAAAAAGTGGCTACTTTGAGAAATTTCAATATAAAATGTTAGTGTTATTAAACTTTTTTTTCTTTCCAACATAATTTCATAGATCTTGCGTCTTACATCTGATGTCTTCTGTACAAAGTAGAAAGTGGTAAAGGAAAAAAACATTGAACGAGAAGGTGTGTACAAACCTTTGACTCGCAGTGTATATGACCAGTGTTGGGGATTACATGTACTGGAATTAAGTAATCAGAGTACAAATTACGAGTAACTGTATTCGGTTACAGTTATTGTTTCAGTGAGTGGTAATTGGATTACAGTTACTTTGTTGAAATAAAAGGATTACACGGCGGTATTTTCCTTTTTTCACATTTTGGGCTATATTTTTTTTCTTTTTTCAGTAATTCCACTCATTGCCGGAAACTAAACCAGGTCTGAACCAGTCTGGACTAAAAGAGGTCGAAAACCAGGACTAAACCAAGACTAAACCAGGACTATAACCAGGTCTAAAACCAGGACTAAAACCAGGACTAAAACAGGATTTAACTGGATTTAACAGCATGAAACCATTCTGCCTTCTCCTCTTCTATCAATAATATTTTTAATACGGTTTAGTAAAGTCTGGGCTTTTCATTTTCTTTTAGCAGACAAAACATCTTATGTTACGATATCCTAGTCTTTGCTTTTCTACAGCAAATCAAGTAATCCAAAGTATTCAGATTACATTACTCTTTAAGAAATTTAATGGATTATGTAACAAACTACATTTTGGGGTTTGTAATCTGTAATCTGTAGGGGAATACATTTTAAAAGTAACCTTCATAACACTGTATATGACATAAGCAAAGACTACATGATGAAAGCTACATAAGAAAATAATTCGCACCATAAATACCAGAGGTGGAAAAACTACATAAAAATTGTAATTAAGCATCTTTACTTTGCTTAATTCCTACTCAAGTAAAAGTAAAAGCAACCATCTAAAATTCTACTCGAGTAAAAGTAAAAAAGTGCCTCTATCTAAGTGCCTAAATCTAATCCAGCACAAGTTGTTTTAATCGATTTTTAGGTGATACAGTGCAAACATTTTACAATTTAAAGAAAACCGAGCTCACTAAAAACTTACTATTTTAAACACTCGTATTATTATGTTATTCCCTATTTTGCGTCACAAAGTCCGAGGTTTGGCCAAGGGTTTCCTTCGCTTTCCTCTTGAGAATTATTCAGTGCACCTTCTTCTTCAATAGTTAAAATGCTGCGTTTTTTTTTTTTTTTTCATTTCCGGCAGATTGATAGAGGAAAAAAAAAAGAAAAAAAAGAAACAATCTGATTTTAGTTTGGGTTCCAAAATAATGAAGTAAAATATTTCAGGCAAAACACACTCGAGTAAAAGTAAAATTACCAAATTCAAAAACTACTTAAAAAATTACAAATTACTCATAAAAACTACTCAATTATAGTACTTTGAGTAAATGTAATTTGTTACTTTCCACCCTTGATAAATGTTATTGTTGGTATTTGTTAACATGAAACATTTGCACAAATAAATTAACCAGGATACCTTCGATCTGATGTTGGTCTGTGCTGACTCCTTCACCAGAATCTTCCTCCATTTTATCTGATTGGGTAAAACATATTTAGAGAAAAAGTAAATTTTATTTATACTTTTTGTTTATTTTTAGGTGAAATGATGAACAATTCAAGCCAGTTAAATCTAAATCTCACCTTGAGGATTGAAAGCAGGCATTGGTAAACGAATGAATGAATACATCCGTTTTCGTCGACCTTTAGACTCTCCCTGGATAGATGGATTGTGGGTGTTTTTTATGTGTCTCCACAGAGTTTTTCTTGCAAAAAGGCCTTGACAAACCTTACAGTGTACAAAGTCACTGGGCGGTTTTGATTCACCTGGACGTCTACAAACAACCAGCTCTCCAACACCAGAGGACGCCACTGTTGAATTGTGAAAAAAATTCCCTCTATTCCTAAGAGAACTCAACATCTCTTTTCTTTTTCTGGAGCCCTTTTTCAAACTAAAGGCCAATGCCACCTCCCTCTCATTTCTGTGGACAGCTCCAAGATGTCTCGCTAGTTTGTAAAAAGGCTTTTGACAAAAAAGACAGTATTGCCTTTTCTTGTACTTGCTTCCCTTTGCAGCTGCTGGTGGCACTGGAGGAACATGTGTGGCCATGTCTGTGGAGGACGTCACTGTGCTGTTGTCTGAAGAATTATTCAGAGAGTTTTGTGCTCTACTATCATGAAAGCTACAGTCAGGCTCCTTGGTTTCAGTAAAAGTCTCCATACTGCATGAGGTCACATTCGTTATTGAAATTTGATTTAGTTTTTCCCATTTATTATCACTGTTTTCAAGTTCATCACTATAAGAAATTCCATCGAAGGAATCTGTATCTGGAACAAAGTCTCTGGTGATAGAAGCTTCATTCGTGTTGTATGACATCTGCAGGAAAATAAAAAATATGAGTTATCGATGACTTGTTAGCATAGATTTGTAAATGAAGGCATTTATTCAATATTTGGTTATCATGGCTTGTGCTTCCATCAACACTTTGCTCATAGAATTGTTAAGCAGGTTCAGAATTCACTGTCTTTATCTCAGTAATTTCCTCTGTAGCTTCATAAAACCGATTCAAACGTGATGCTGTTTCAGATGTCCAAGACGGGCTGCTCTACACTGTCATTACACACAAAATACAAATACAATTCCAGTATCTAACCTTTTGACATGACATTAGAGAAAAACACTCCTCTGCAATCCCAATAAACTAATAATGAGAGGACAATAAAGAAAGAAGTACAGAGAAGACTCTCCACATGAAGGTGAACACTAACGGCAAAAAATAATACCAAAATCATCAAAATTATTATGAGCTCAAGGAGACTATGTTATTAGGTTCTTGTTTTCAGACCAAGAGTTTGTTTTCATACCTGACAGTTTCGACTGCTCACTACCAGTCTTCCTCAGAGTCACATCTCGATGTGAGACGTGTCCGGTCAGCTCATTTATATAGATTTTGATAAATGTGGAAATAGTGACTGCTACACCTTGGAGTCCAGGTGAATGACAGACTGGACTTTAGGGACAACAGTAATGCTGTGCACAAGAACATGAGTAGACTCAACTTCCTGAGAAAGCTCAGGTCTTTCAACGTGTGCAGCAAGTTACTGGAGATCGTCTACCAGTCTGTGGTGGCCTGTATCTGGCTTTGGTCTGCTGGGGGAGCAGCACCAGGAAAAGGGACACTAGGTGGATCGATGAACTGATCCGTAAAACTGGTCATGTGATCGGCCGTGAGCTGGAGACATTTGTCACACTGAGGAACAGGAGGACAAACTGCTCTCCATCATGGACACTCCTGCTCACCGACTGCACCGGACTATAGCGGGACATATAATACTCCCTACAACTGTACAGCAACTCACCCCTATGTAACAAATAAACCTATATCGTGTCTTCCTATGACCTCTTGTATGTAGCTGAGCTAAATAGCTATATATATTAATATATATATATATATATATATATATATAATTCAGAGAGAGAGAGAGAGAATATAGCTTTAATATTTTATTACTTATGTTTCTATTTTATTTTGACATGTACATTTACATTTATATAATTATGTCTTTTTTGACAAGTCTCTAGCTCATTTTTGCTACTTATAAATTGTAATAATAAATTATTTTTTCTCTTCGTTATTATATTATATTGTGATGGGTGAACTACTGTGTCCAAATAATTTCCCTTGTGGATCAATAACGTCTAAGTCTAAGTCTAAGTCTAAATCTAAATCCTTATACTAGTAACTTATTACCTATCCTACTTAACTTAACCTTTCATTATGATTTTTTTATTTTTTATATTAGTATCTTTAAAACAAGAAGCAACGCAAACAGGTGTCTTTGAGTGTCCAGAAAAGTACTATATTAGTTATTAGATGTTTAGAACATACAGGTGTTGGAATCCAGTCTCACACTGCAGTATGGGGGAGTATGTCCCCATTTTAACAAAGGTCCTCATAGTGTGTTTTTTGAACGCTCTCATTTTTAAAAAGAATAAGCACACACCCACCCACACACAAATCCTCTGCTGCAGCGTCTCCCCCAGAGTCTTCATAACCATTTTTTTTTAATGTGATATATTGCTGAAGTAAATCTAGATGATAAATGAAAATACTAAAACCAAATTATGAAGCAAAATTATCTCCAAAACATAGTCGAAAATTCTACAACACTGTTAAAAAACATGAGCTGCAATAAATACATTTTTGTTTGTATTTCTGGTACATAATTTAACCCTCTAATTGGTTCATGTTTAAGTAGATTTCATTTGGAACTTAACTGGCGATGTCCTTATGGTGAAATAGAGGAGTGGAGGATCATGTGTGCAGACTGCTGCAGGAGGATTTTATAATCCCAATATTTTTTCATTGTATGAAATGTGCTTTTTGTCCACATAAACTCTTTCACTTACAGCTGTAGTCATGTGAGCGCCAGAACCTAACTAATTGTTGTTGTCATGTAAATGTACCATTTTGGTCTATTTGGCCATGGAACCCACCTGCTCCTCCTGTTTGACGCTCAGTTCCTCTGGCACATCTTCAATCTGTGAAATCTGTGGAATGTCCTGGTTCAGACCTGTCTCTTCAGCAGTCACACTCAGCCATTCATTCACGAAAGCTGTCAGCGTTTGGTCTTTCTGGACTTGGCTGTCGTGGTCTCCATCAGCTTCTGTCTCCATCTGTGCAGCTGAACAGATGAATAGAGCTCCCCAGTTTTCATCATCATCAGTGTCAGAGGAGTATAAATGTGTCTCTGCGCTGATGTCCTCTCGTTGTGTTTCTTCTCTGAGCTCAGTTTGTCTTTGTTGAAGCAGTGAGGACTCTTCTGTCTTCACACAAACGGCACTGGACTCTAAGACACCCATTGTGACCTGGGGTGGGGGAGATTGACACAAAATAATATTCATATTTTGACCCACTTAAAAACAATAATCAGAATATTTCTTGATTTCAACATCCAGTAACCAACTTCACCACAGTTATTTTGGCTCACACTAAAATGCAGGAAATGTGTGATACCACAGAACCTATTTCAGCCATAAACATATGTTTTATTTAATAATTAATACACATTTTTATAACAATGACAATGTAGGTCAATTAAATTTGATTTAAATTATAATAATGACTATAATAGCTAGGTCTACATGTGTGAAGGACTTGGATAAAGCCTTTTATTCTAAATGTGTGAGTGTGAACACTGAGTCTATTGTAAAGTTTTCCGTTGTCCAGGATACACTGTAAGAAGTGTAAAAGCCACACTATTGTTTATGTAATCCTTTAGTCTCACAGGAAGGCTACAGATGCCGCTGTGTTTCCATTTACATGTTTTTGTTTGATCATCCTGATCCTGACCTGACAAAGGTCCTGTGGCTCCTCTTTAATCCGTGGAGCGTGTGGAGGGTCCTGGTTCAGACCGGGGCCAGGACTCTTTGAGGGGTTCAGTATCGAGTCCAGGAGCTCCTGTTTCCTCTGGTTCTCCTCTTTGGAGCGACACACTTCCTCCTCATACTCCGCTATCGTTCTTTCAAACAGTGCAAAGATCTCTTCAGCAGCCGCAGTCAGCCGCTCATTCACCAAAGCTCTCAGTGTTTGGCTTTTGGACATTTTAACAAACTGTTTTTAGCTTTAGCTCCGAGCTAACCGCACACGAGACTCGGCGGTCTGCTTCCTGCTTTGTGTGCAGCAGAGTAGACACGGTAGTGCATTACTGCCCCCACTGGTCAGGATGTTAAACTCCTAAAATGCTCATCAGACGCTGTAGGAGCTATTTGCTTGTTTCGTTTATTCTAAAATTAGTTTAATTTTGTTTGTCAGTTAGTTTACTAATTTAGTTTTGTTCATTTGTATAATAAATTTTTGTTGTATAATATTATGTTTGCTAATTTGTTTAGTCTAATTATTATTTACCTTGACACCTTTTCTGTTTTTGGTTTAACCCGTGGGGTACCTAGCACAGACCCAAAAAAAGTAATTATAGTTATTATTACAATTTAAAATGTATTATTGTATTAATATTTTAATATAATATTTGAATATTACATGTATAAACTGTAACTTACAGGGAGAGGTTCAGTCGGTGCTCATTGGTCGCTGAGTAAACTTGTTACATTAGATTTCAGCGTCTGTTAAGCTGCAGACAGGTCAAATAGTTTGAACTGAAAAAAGTTTACTAGACAGTTTGTCGCTCATTCAATCAGTTTGCATTTTCGCCAAAAAATGGATTTACGAAAAGGGCTTAGACTTCCTCCTCATCCTCCAGCAGCAGACACTGACACTCTGGTCACCTGTGGGGGTACACGATTCGTGACTGAACCAGGACTAAACCAGGACTTAAACCAACACTGAACCAGGACTAAACCAGGTCTAAACCAGAACTAAACAAGGACTACACTAGGCCAAAACCAGGTCTATATATATATATATATATATATATATATATATATATATATATATATATATATATATATATATATATATATATATATATATATGTGTTTCTCACCTTCCACGGTGGTAGGTCTCTCTCACCCTCATTCAGCTCGGGTCTTCTACCAGAGGCCTGGGAGCTTGAGAGTTCTGCGCAGTATCTTTGCTGTTCCCAGTACTGCACTTTTCTGGACTGAGATGTCCATTGTTTTTCCCGGTATCTGTTGAAGCCACTCTTCCAGTTTGGGGGTTACAGCCCCGAGTGTCCGATCACCACAGGCACCACTGATGCCTTTACTTTCCAGGCTCTCTCCAGCTCTTCCTTGAGCCCCTGGTATTTCTCTAGCTTCTCGTGTTCCTTTTTCCTGATATTACCATCGCTTGGTATTGCGATGTCAACCACCACGGCTCTGCTCTGTTTCTTATCCACCACCACTATGTCTGGTTGGTTCGCCATCACCATTCTGTCAGTCTGTATCTGGAAGTCCCACAGGATCTTGGCTCGGTCATTCTCCACAACCTTTGGAGGTATTTTTCCACCTTGATCCTGGGGTCTCCAGCCCGTACTCTGCACAGATGTTTCTGTGGTAGATCTGGGCCTCTATTGCTCGAGTGCCCAGGGCCTGCTCCTGAGCAGGCAGGATCAGTGCCTCTGTGCTGTCCTTCAGACCAGCCCTCTCAAGCCATTGGTAGGATTTCTTGATATCAGCCACTTCAGTTATGTTCCGGTGGTACACCCCATGTAGGGGTTTGTCCTGCCATGATGGTCCCTCCAGCACCTCTTCCTCTGGACCCCACTGTCTGAGACATTCTCTGAGCTCCTCATCTGCCGGGGCCTTGTCCTTGATGTACTCAAGGAGCTTGGATGTTTCATCCTGGACAGTGGTTCCCACACTCACTAGTCCTCGGCCCCCTTCCTTCCGGCCTGCGTACAGTCTCAGGGTGCTGGATTTGGGATGGAACCCTCCATGCATGGTGAGGAGCTTTCGTGTCTTAACATCTGTGGTCTGTATCTCCTCCTTTGGCCAGCTTACAATCCCTGCAGGGTATCTGATCACTGGCAGGGCGTAGCTGTTGATTGCCTGCACCTTGTTCTTGCCATTGAGCTGGCTCACTCTTTGCAGGTATTTGGCCGTAGCCGCTTTCCTTGTTGCCTCTTCAAGGTTGCCATTTGCTTGTGGGATACCAAGGTACTTGTAACTGTCCTCAATGTCTGCTATTGTTCCCTCTGGGAGTGACACCCCCTCTGTGTGGACTACCTTCCCTCTCTTTGTCACCATCCTGCTACATTTCTCAAGCCCGAATGACATCCCAATGTCTGTACTGTAGATCCTTGTGGTGTGGATCAGTGAGTCGATGTCTCGCTCACTCTTAGCGTACAGCTTGATGTCATCCATGTAGAGGAGGTGACTGATGGTGGCCCTGTTTCTGAGTCGGTATCCATAGCCAGTGCGGTCGATTATTTGGCTGAGGGGGTTCAGGCCTATGCAGAACAGTAGTGGGGACAGTGAGTCTCCTTGGTATATGCCACATTTGATGGACACATGTGCAAGTGGCTTCCCCTTGGCTTCAAGGGTGGTTTTCCACAACCGCATTGAGTTCGCAATGAACGCCCTTAGAGTCCTGTTGATATTGTACAGCTTCAAGCACTCAGTGATCCATGTGTGTGGCATTGAGTCATAGGCTTTCTTGTAATCAATCCAGGCAGAGCACAGGTTGGTCTTACGGGTTCTGCAGTCGCGGGCGACTGTTCGGTCAACCAGGAGTTGGTGTCTGGCTCCCCTGGTGTTTTTGCCGATACCCTTCTGTGCTGCGCTCATGTATTGATTCATGTGCCCACTTATCTTAGCCGCAATGATGCCTGACATGAGCTTCCATGTTGTGGAGAGACAGGTTATTGGCCGATAGTTGGATGGGACTGCACCCTTTGAGGGATCCTTTAGGATCAGGATCGTACGCCCTTGGGTTAACCATTCAGGGTGAGTCCCATCCCTTAGCAGCTGGTTCATTTGTGCTGCCAGGCGCTCGTGGAGGGCAGTGAGCTTCTTTAGCCAGTACGCATGAATCATGTCAGGGCCCGGTGCGGTCCAGTTTTTCATACCTGAGACTCTTCCCTGGATGTCTGCCACTGTGATGGTGACTGGATTCTATTCAGAGAGGTTGCTGTGGTCTTCTCTCAGATCCACCAGCCACTGTGCATCGGTGTTATGTGATGCCTCCCTCTCCCATATGCCTTTCCAGTACCTCTCAGTCTCCAGCCTTGGTGGGTCTGCTCTGGTGTTATTACTCTGCCACTGAGCGTACACTTTCGCCAGTTGTGTTGCGAACAGCCGGTTTATTCGTCTGGCCTCGTTATCTCGTGTGTACCTCTTTAGGCGGCTGGCCAAGGCTTGGAGCCTTTGTTTGGCAGTTTCGAGTGCTTCAGGTATGGGCAACTGGTTGTACCTCTTGGGCACTTGTTTTTTCATTGCACTTTTCTGGGCCTCTGACAGTTGGCTCACTTCTCTCCGCACCTCCTTGATTTTAGCCTCTAACCGTCTTTGCCATGGTGGGTATTGTATCGCATGGCTCCCATGGTTGCTCTTATAGCCCAACACATCTAGGATCACTGCTGCTGAAGTGTATATCAGCTCATTGGTTTCAGTGATTGTTGTGGTAGGGATCGCTCTCAGTGCTGCATTCACATCGTCTAGGAGACTTTCAGATGGTACTTCACTTAGCCTCTGTAATTGGCATCGGGGCTGCCTTGTGTTCATTCGGGCCATGATCTTATCTTTCAGGTCAGTCGCTGCCTCGCTCAGCATGATACTTATTGGGGCTTCGTACCCAATCTCTGGTTGGGGAGTTGGTGTCAACTCCCCTCTGACCTGGCACACTGGTTCCCCCTTGCCGTGGCATTTGTGTTGTACCTCATCAATCTCTAGTTGTGATAGCAGTTGCCGTTTGTGGATGTTGGAACACTGAGCTACTAGTCGTTTGGCTGTTAGCTTGGACTGTATGTATATATATATATATATATATATATATATATATATATATATATATATATATATATATATATATATATATATATATATATATATATATATATATATATGTGTGTGTGTGTGTGTGTATATGAATGCCTGGAGAGGAGTGGGATGAAGGACTTGTAGTCCGAAACGTGCCAATAAATTTCACGTTGGGAGCTTTAAAACAGTGTGCGGATTTTAATTATTCCTGTTTATCTGATTTTGTTGGTCCTGCACCTGCACTTGGCTGGTGTGCGCACATCCTTTCTTCTTTTGGATCAAAATTATTACTAAACCAGGACTAACCTTTAGTCCTGGTTTAGTCCTGATCCCTCATGTGGCAGGTCACTATAGAACAGTCCTGCAGATATTGTGAATCTGCAGTTTGTTTTCACCATTGCTCCGGTTTCACATTTAAGTTGTAGCTATTTATATTTGTTATTTTTTTATATCTCACATCAGGAGAAGTGGGTGGACGGCGAACCCCTGCAGACCACGCACACTACACCCCTGGTGCTGCCTGATTACATGCTTCTTTCAGTGATGTTGTTCAGGGTGTTTTTGATGAGTGTGAGGCTGTTGTCTAATGTTTACAACCCGTGGCAAGTCTTACATTTTTTTTAAATAGACCTCAACCTTTTATTGATAATAATAGGTTGAAGTTTATTTAAAAAAAAATTAAAATAAAAATAAACATCCAATAAAAGTGTGTAGTACAGCAGGACCAGAGTGCACCTGGGTGGGCCTGTTGTTTTTACCAGCCAGCAGGAGAAATAGTAAGTAGGATTGCTTATGTATGCTTGTTGTTTGCCTGTTAAAAACTGTAATAAATCTTTTAAAATGCATCTCTGGATCTGGACATTGAGTTTGCTTTACTTTAGATTAGATTTGATTAGAAAACTTTATGTATCCCCAATTATCCATCACAATTCTATTTGCAGTCACAGAACACAGCATAAAAAACACACACATACATTTCACACAGGTCAGGGGCTCGTACAATTATGGGTATCAGAGCCTCAGCATTGGTGCAAATGACACATAAAGGGCAAAGGCCAAATACAAAACAGAACAACAACATCAGAACAGTAAACAAAGGATAAAAAACATACTTGGCCATTTCACCTCTGTGTTTAAAAGCCGGAGTAAACCACATCCCCAAGGTGCCCAAAGCTGATTATTTGAGTTGTGTTTAGTTCTAATTTTGCTCACCGCCTTTGTTTGTTAGTTTTTGTTGACAAATAGTCACTACACTCACCATACTTGCTCCTCCTTAAACTTACACCCCTGCATTTCTCGTTTATTCACAGCAGTCACCATAAGAACACAGATAAGAACTCAGTGGGGATCATTTTGATGACAAGGGGCCTCCAAAAGCATCTGCAGTGTAAATGTTGCTGTAGCAAAACTTGAATTTCCCTCAGTCGCCATAAAGCTAAAACGGCCTAAGATTAGATTTGATGTTAACTGTATGTGCTCGTGTAGGTTGTAGTAGGTAGTACGACTTTGCGCATTAAACTATTTTAATGCAGCTTGGTTTAAGGTTTGATTTTTATTGTAAAACAGAATTTAGGCTCTTTAAAACATCTCATGAACACAATCAATAATCCTTCAGTCACACTCTGTTCTGTGAGTTCTCATGTGAATATTCAAATGATGTCTCTGTATAAAGCCTTTATTACAAATGGAACACAATGTAAGGTCGTTCACACCTGCGTCTTCACATGTTTAACAAGACAATTCTGCTCAGAAAATGTCTTCTCACATAATCAACAACTGTGATGTCATTCACCTGTGTGTGTTCTCTCATGTCTAATTAAATTACTCTGATCAGAAAATGTCCTTTCACACGTTGAACAGCTGTAAGGTCGTTCCCCTGTGTGTGTTCTCTCATGTCCATCCAAAATATCTTTGCGGGAAAACGTCTTCTCACATGTTGAACACCTGTAAGGTCTTTCAGCTGTGTGGGTTCTCTTGTGTCTAACAAGACTACTCTGCTCAGAAAATGTCTTCTCACATGTTGAACACCTGTAAGGTCTTTCAGCTGTGTGGGTTCTCATGTGTCTAACAAGACCACTCTGCTCAGAAAATGTCTTTTTACACACTGAACATCTGTATGGTCGTTCACCTGTGTGTATTCTCACATGTTTATTTAGATCACACTTTTGAGAAAATCTCTTCTCACACGTTGAACAGCTGTAAGGTCGTTCACCTGTGTGTATTCTCACATGTTTATTTAGATCACACTTTTTAAAAAATGTCTTTGCACAAGTTAAACAGCTGTATGGTTTTTCACCCAGGTGTCTCTTTACATGTAGAGCTAGAAAACTTTTTGATGTAAATACACGCTTGCATGTTGAACAGCTGAATGGTTTCTTTGCATGTATATTTTCATGTTTATCTAGATTGGCCTTTCGGTTGAATGTTTTCTCACAGGTTGAACAACTGAATGGTTTCTCTCCTGTGTGAATTATATTATGTCTTTGTAAATGCTGCTTAGTCCTAAACCTCTTTTGACACACAGAGCACTGGTGTTTCTTGCCCTTAGCTCCTTCTGCTGTTCCTGACATGTCGCCATTGTTCACAGTGGCACTGGTCTCTGGTGCAGACTTGTATTTGGGGGATAGACCTGAGCTTTGTGCAGCGGAGCTTCGGGTTCTGATCTGGACTTGGTCGTCGTGGTCTCCATCAGCGTCTGTCTCCACCTGTGCAGCTGGACAGCTGAATGGAGCTCTCCAGTCTTCATCATCAGTGTCAGAGGAGTGCTCAGTGTCTCCCTCAGTCTCTGAGTGTAAATGTGTCTCTGCACTGATGTCCTCTCCCTGTGTTTCCTCTCTGAGCTCAGTTTGTCTTTGTTGAAGCAATGAGGACTCTTCTGTCTTCACACAAACAGCACTGGACTCTGGGACGCCCACTGAGACCTGGGGTGGGGAAGATTGACACAAATTAATATTCATATTTCAGGAGATATATATATATATTTTTTTTAATTTCAATCAGAAATGTGCTAAATGTTTCTGTAATTTTCTAGATTGAGGTTTGTTAGAAATATTATTACACATTTATCAGTCTCAAGATGAAGGGATAAACATGAAGCACATTTCACCATTGTCATGTTAAAGGACAAAAGAAGGAAATGTTTGGAAGATGCATCATGGGGGGTTTTCCATCAAAGTGATTTAACAAATCCAGGCTTGTCCTGAAATCCTGAACTGAATCTAACTCCAACTTATCTTAAGCCTCAAGTCGTTTCATGGTGGAAATTCAGCCTGAGTCTGACCAAAACTAATTCAGGCCTGAAGTTTAAGCTGCGCTTTATGCTTCTGGTGACTCTGGGAAGGCAAGATCAATGGAGCAATGACATCATGGAAAATGGACCAAAAATGTGATGTTTTTTACGATATGACTAAAAGAGTGGAGCCACAGCGCACACCCGCAGAGTCTGATTTGGGCCATGGAACTTTTCTGGTCATTCTGATCTGAGGAGTGAGAGGAAAGACAAGACTCCCCCCTTGTCTCCTCCTCTCCCCCTCCTCTTCTTGTCGCTCTGGACAGAGAGGAGGCTGGCTGCAGAGTGCAGACTCCAGAATCAAAAACAATCAAAAACAAAAGTAGCACCAAAACCTACACACTGCAACACTCACCGCTCACACAGACACCTCTCAGATCACAAGTCTTCACTAATTAGTGTCCTTTTAATTCTGAGAAGATTGTCCATAAAAATAATATATTCAGCAGCTGTGTGTGTGTCCTCTGTCTGTGGGACAGTCCTCTCTTATTCACACTTGCACTTTGATAAAAACAAGCAGTAGTTTTTTTGCTGGCCTAAACTACACTAAAGTTCACTTTTCTTTATAGTCAGTATCTTGGATCAGACTCAAGAGCGTTTAAAGCAGCGTCTCAGTCTTGCAACATGCCACATACTAGGACATTTATATGTCAGTAACTTGAATTAAATCGACTCAATATAGAGAGTCTAAGATTTATAACGAGGTACAACATGCCCACGTGGACTATGGGCCCATATCGGCAAGATTTAGGCCGACAGCCGATATGTTTCCAAGTGCCCTTATCGATATATCGGTCGGGCCCTAATCCCAATATTTTTTCACGTATGAAATGTGTGTGTGTTGTGGCCACATCAACTCTTTCATTTAGATTTTGACGCACACCTGGCTGCAACTCTAATAAATTGTTATTGTCATGTCAATTTACCATTTTGGTCTATTTGGAAACATAACCCACCTGCTCCTCCTGTTCGACGCTCGTATCCTCTGGCTCCTCCTTAATCTGTGAAGTCTGTGGCGTGTCCTGGTCCAGACCTGTCTCTTCAGGAGTCACACTCAGCCGCTCATTCACTAAAGCTGTCAGAGTTTGGCCTTTCTGGACTTGGTTGTTGTGGTCTCCATCAGCGTCTGTCTCCATCTGTGCAGCTGAACAGATGAACAGAGTTCCCCAGTTTTCATCATTAACAGTGTCAGAGGAGTGTAAATGTGTCTCTGTGCTGATGTCCTCTCCCTGTGTTTCCTCTCTGAGCTCAGTTTGTCTTTGTTGAAGCAGTGAGGACTCTTCTGTCTTCACACAAACAGCACTGGACTCTGGGACGCCCATTGTGACCTAGGGTGGAAAACAATGCTCAGAATATTTCTTGATTTCAATCAGAAATGTGCTAAATGTTTGTGTAATTTTCTTTTCTTTTAGTTTTCTGATAACAAATGCACAGCCTCCAGATGAAGGAGCGCCGTGACCAGAAGACATCAAGTCAGCAAATGGCCCTAAACACATATTCTCTGCATTAGAGAATGTTCCCTCTTCCTTCAAATATAAAAAGGCACAGCTCTTATTTGTACATTTTCTGTTATAAATTGTAAGGTACTGGGTTGGCCTGCTGAGCCCCAGAGCCCTGAGGCAGTGGTGATATTCTGACATGGTTTGGGGTAACTGGGTCAAATGCACTAAAAACTCTAAAAGAAAAACCCCTAATTAAACTGAAAATCTGAATGTCTGTCGAACATCCAGTATCCAACTTCACCACGGTTATTTTGGCTCACATTAAAATGCAGGAAATGTGTGAAACTGCAGAACCTATTTTAATCATAAACATATGTTTTATATAATAATGAATACACATTTTTATGACATTGACAATATAGGGTAATTATTCAAATTATAAAAATGACTATAATAGCGAGCCCTACATGCGAAGTGTGAAGGACTTGAATAAAACCTTTTATTCTAAATGTGTGAGTGTGAACACTGAGTCTATTGTAAAGTTTTCCATTGTCCAGGATACACTGTAAGAAGTGTAAAAGCCACACTATTGTTTATTTAATCCTTTAGTCTCACAGGAAGGCTACAGATGCCTTTGTGTTTCCATTTACATGTTTTTTGTTTGATGTCTTCCTGTATGTTTTGGTTTTATTTTACAGATCATTTCCACAACACCCCCCAAGGACTACAGGTGGAAACTACCTATTACAGTTTGGTGGTACAAACATTTGTTTTCATGTTTATTGTAACTGTACATAGTTCTGATAAATAAATAAATGACATGAAATAGTGATACAGAAGCTGCGCCCCTCCAACCTTAGATTGTAAATTTTACCCAACTTCATCCTAGACATAAATAAATCCCACCTGTACTAGGAGCGTGTGTTCCTCCTGTTTGACGCTCGGCTCCTCTGGCTCTTGTGGCTCCTCTTTAATCCGTGGAGTGTGTGGAGGGTCCTGGTTCAGACCGGGACCAGGACTCTTTGAGGGGTTCAGTATCGAGTCCAGGAGCTCCTGTTTCCTCTGGTTCTCCTCTTTGGAGCGACACACTTCCTCCTCATACTCCGCTATCGTTCTTTCAAACAGCGCAAAGATCTCTTCAGCAGCCGCAGTCAGCCGCTCATTCACCAAAGCTCTCAGTGTTTGGCTTTTGGACATTTTAACAAACTGTTTTTAGCTTTAGCTCCGAGCTAACCGCACACGAGGCTCAGCGGTCTGTTTCCTGTTTTGTGTGCAGCAGAGTAGACAGGGTCAGTGCATTACTGCCCCCACTGGTCAAGATGTTAAACTCCTAAAATGCTCATCAGACGCTGTAGGAGCTATTTGCTTATTTTGTGTATTCTAAAATTAGTTTACTTTTGTTTGTCAATTACTTTACTAATTTAGATTTGTTCATAATACATTTTTGCTATGTTATTGCTATGCTAATATTATGTTTACTAATTTGTTTAGTCTAATTTGCCATCATTTACCTTAGCACCTTTTCTGTTTTTTTTTAAGCCTTGGGGGACCTAGGGGATAAAAGCGGGTGGTACAGCAGGACCAGAAGGCACCTTGGGAAACAAAGGGCCTCCAAAAGCATCTGCAGATTTGATGTTAACTGTATCTGCTCGTGTAGGTTGTGGTAGGTCTCTCCCTCCTGGACATATGAGACTTTGCACGTTAAATGATTTTACAGTTTTTCTCCATTGGTTTGGCTCATTTCTTGAACAGAAATTACATTCTCAAAACAACATTGACAAACCTCCAAGCCATCTTGCAGTCGTTCAAAACAGTATGGCATTTCTCATGGATTTCATCAAATTGTAAATGTCTTAGTGCGTGTCTCAAGTGTCTCAGTGCATCTTTGCACATGGTTCTGTACAAGTTGTTTACAATTTGCACAATGAGCCCACATTTAACACATTTTCCAAATAAATCGATCTTGCTGATCTAAACTGATGAGTTGATTCTCAGTCTAATGGTTGGTCTCTCCAAAACATGTCAGCATGATTTCATTGTCTGAGTCATCATATGCTCAATTGTCAAAATTATCAAATCAAACTTTATTTATAAGTAAGTAAGCCTTTATTTATATAGCGCTTTTCACAGACATATGTCACAAAGATGCTTTACAGAGCATTATAGATTCATTATTCTTTGTTTTTTCTCCACAACTGGTGATGGTAAGCTACTATTGTAGCCACAGCTGCCCTGGAGCAAACTGACAGAAGTGCAGCTGCCATGCCAATCGGCACCATCGGTCCCTCCGACCACCACCGTCACTCACGCACACACCACTTTCATACTGGGCAATGTGGGTGAAGTGTCTTGCCTAAGGACACAATGACCAGCCACGCTCTGTTCTGTGAGTTCTCATGTGAAAGTTCAAATGATGTCTCTCTGTAAACTGTTTATTACAGATGGAACATCTGTAAGGTCTTTCACCTGTATGTGTTCTCTCATGTCTAATTAAATTACTTTGATGAGAAAATGTCTTCTCACACATTGAACAACTGTAAGGTCTTTCACCTGTGTGCGTTCTCTCATGTTTAACAAGACCTCTCTGCTCATGAAATGTCTTTTCACATGCTGAACACCTGTAAGGTCGTTCACCTGTGTGTATTCTCACATGTTTATTTAGATCACCCTTTTGAGAAAATGACTTCTCACAGATTAAACAGCTGTATGGTTTTTCACCCAGGTGTCTCTTTACATGTAGAGCTAGATCACCTTTTGTTGTAAATGATCTCTTGCACATTGAACAGCTGAATGGTTTCTTTGTATGTATCTTTTCATGTTTATCTAGATAGGCTTTTTGGTTAAATGTTTTCTCACAGGTTGAACAACTGAATGGTTTCTCGCCTGTGTGAATTATAATATGTCTTTGGAAACACTGCTTCGTCACAAACCTCTTTTGACACACAGAGCACTGGTGTTTTTTGTCCTCAGCTCCTTCTGCTGTTCCTGACATGTCTGCATTGTTCACAGTGGCACTGGTCTCTGGTGCAGACTTGTATTTAGGGGATAGGCCAGAGTTCTGGACTTGGTTGTCGTGGTCTCCATCAGCGTCTGTCTCCATCTGTGCAGCTGAACAGCTGAGTGGAGCTCTCCAGGCTTCATCATCAGTGTCAGAGGAGTGCTCTGTGTCTCCCTCAGTCTCTGAGTGTAAATGTGTCTCTGCGCTGATGTCCTCTCCCTGTGTTTCTTCTCTGAGCTCAGTTTGTCGTTGATGAAGCAGTGAGGACTCTTCTGTCTTCACACAAACAGCACTGGACTCTGGGACGCCCACTGACACCTGGGGTGGGGGAGATTGACACAAAATAATAATCATATGTCAGAATATATATATATAATTTTCTTGGTTGAGGTTTGTTATAAATATTAATTACTTATTTGTTTTTAATGAGACAGGAACGGCGCACAATTTTTACATTAACCTGAACACGAGGTCCCTGCTTTTGACTGCCGCCCAGATTTCTCTGCACCGGCCCCATATGGATCCTCCCGCAGGTGGTGGCCCCACAGGAGGGCGGTCCCACGTCGCTCGTTTGGGCTGTGCCCGGCCGGGCCCCATGGGGGAAGACACGGTCACCAGGCGCTCGCCGTCAAGCACCCACCCCAGGCCTGGCTCCAGGGTGGGGCCCCGGTGACACCAATTCGGGTAACGTATCTGGCCTCGCTGGTTCACTTGTCATATGGGACTTCTGAACCGTTCTTCGTCTGACCCGTCCCCCTGGACTTGTTTGCCTTGGGTGACCCTACCAGGGGCATGAAGTCCCCGACAACATAGCTCCCAGGATCATTCGGGCACTCAAACCCCTCCACCACGATAAGGTGAGGGTTCGAGGAGGGGCTCGAGGATGTGTCTGGGGTGAAGGAAGTCTGGGAGTCCCTGCTTAGACTACTGCCCCCGCGACCCGGCCCCGGATAAACGGAAGAAAATGGATGGATGGATGGAGGAGAGATGCATTGTATCAGGTTGTAGCACCAGAGCTAATTTCCATCTGTAGCCCCTGGGCAGATTCACTGAGTTAATTGATTGTACTTAATTGACTTTAGCTATCAACTGTTCTTCCTGGAGACCTGTAGCATGTTTTGGGTTGATGGGGGAAACCAGAGCGCCCGAAGGAAACCCATCCAGACATGGGGAGAAACGTGCAAATTCCACAAAGAAAGGCCCGGGTGACCTGGGGATCAAATCTGGAACATTCTTGCTGTGAGGAATGAGTGCTAGCCACTCGGCCATGTATTTCACCATTGTCATGGTAAAGGACCTACGAATGAAATGACAATAAAACAACTGTGACCAGAAAACATCAAGTCAGCAAATGGCCCTAAACACATATTCTCTGCATTAGAGAATGTTCCCTCTTCCTTCAAATATAAAAAGGCACAGCTCTCATTTGTACATTTTCTGTTATAAATTGTAAGGTATTGGGTTGTCCTGCTGAGCCCCAGAGCCCTGAGGCAGTAGTGATATTCTGACATGGTTTGGGGTAACTGGGTCAAATGCACTAAAAACTGTAAAAGAAAAACCCTAATTAAACTGAAAATCTGAATGTCTGTAGAACATCCAGTATCCAACTTCACCATGGTTATTTTGGCTCACATTAAAATGCAGGAAATGTGTGAAACTGCAGAACCTATTTTAATCATAAACATATGTTTTATATAATAATGAATACACATTTTTATGACATTGACAATATAGGGTAATTATTTATTCAAATTATAAAAATGACTATAATAGCGAGCCCTACATGCGAAGTGTGAAGGACTTGGATAAAGCCTTTTATTCTACAGTCCCTGACAAAAGTCTTGTCGCTTATCCATTTTGTAGAGACAAAAACATATAACCTGACTTTAAATTAATCGATTGGTTTTAGAAATGTCTCATATGAAAGCTAAAACCCTCCCAAATTATGCTCAATAAACTAAAATAAATTTGCTTCACTGAAGAATTATTGATCATTTAATGAACACAGAAAGGTCAGATTTTGGCAAGACAAAAGTTTTGTCGCCTACAGAAAATTGAACAAATAATTTACTTCAAATACAAAACTATGTTGCATAGTGAATTAAGTAGTAGTGCTGTGAGATCCACATTTAATATCTTGTATGACTTCCATGAGCTTGAAGGACTGCATCCATGCGGTTCCACAATGATTCATACAATTTGTGTATGAAGTCATCAGGAATAGCAAAGAAAGCGTCTTACATGCCTCCCAGAGTTCATCAAGATTCTTTGGTTTTGCCTTCCATGTTTCCTCTTTCATTCTACCCCAGACATGCTCAATGATGTTCATGTCTGGTGACTGGGCTGGCCAGTCCTGGAGCACCTTGATCTTCTTCACCTTGAGAAACTTTGATGTAGAGATAGAAGTATGCGATGGAGCACCATCCTGCTGCAAAATTTGACCCCTTTTATGGTTGGGAATGTAAGAGGTAGCTGATACTTCTTGATATTTGAGGCTATTGATATTGCCTTCCACCCTGCAAATGTCTCGCACACCCCCATACTGGATGGAACCCCAGACCAGGATTTTTCCTCCACCAAACTTAACTGTTTTCTGGGTGAATCTTGGATCCATGTGGGCTCCAGTAGGTCTCCTACAATATTTGCGGTGGCTGTGATGTAATTCAACCGAGGATTCATCTGAGAAATCCACCTTCTGCCACTTTTCCAGTGTCCATCCTTTTAGCAGGCTGTGGGCCTTGGCAAATGCCACACTTTTTTTTAATTGCCTTTTGTTTAGTGCTGGTTTCTGTGCACTGATTCGACCACGGAGGCCATTTGGAGACAGAATTCTACAAACTGTTGTGGTTGACACAGGGACTTGAGGTGACCAGGCCTGGTGGAGTCTGCTGCAGTGGAAAATCCAAGGCCAGCCCGGATTTTCGAATCAACAAACGGTCCTCCCGGGCAGTTGTCTTGCGGCGTCTGCCAGACCTGGGCTTGTCAAAAACATCTCCAGTCATTTCAGATCTTTTTCTTATTCTTTGTACTTGACGCTGAGACACATTGAAGGTGTCAGCCACCTCAGCAGTGGATCTGGTCTTCAGCCTCTTGATAATTAACACTTTGGTCTCAGGGTGGATCTTAGGCATGTTGTCAGAGGTCAAGTTGCAGTTGATGTGAAGGTCTGGCGTGCTGGGCTTCTTTTTATACACAAACACTAATTGACTGATCAGTAACAGATCACAGGTGAGGCTGTAATCTAGGATTGGATGCATCATATGACAAGGCCACAAGACTTTTGTCTTGCCAAAATCTGACCTTTCTGTGTTCATTAAATAATCAATCTTTCTTCAGTGAAGCAAATTTATTTTAGTTTATTGAGCATAATTTGGAAGGGTTTTAGCTTTCATATGAGACATTTCTAAAACCAATTGATTAATTTAAAATCAGGTTATAAGCTTTTGTTTCTACAAAATGGATAAGCGACAAGACTTCTGTCAGGGACTGTAAATGTGTGACTGTGAACACTGAGTCTATTGTAAAGTTTTCCGTTGTCCAGGATACACTGTAAGAAGTGTAAAAGCCACACTATTGTTTATTTAATCCTTTAGTCTCACAGGAAGGCTACAGATGCCTTTGTGTTTCCATTTACATGTTTTTGTTTGATGTCTTCCTGTATGTTTTGGTTTTATTTTACAGATCATTTCCACAACTAGGGATGGGCATGATTAGTCGATTAATAGATAATTGATCACTAAGAATTTCATCGATAACGTTAATTTTAATCGACAAACCGAATGTAGGTTACTGTGCGTAGCGTGACCAAACAGGGGTCTGTACATGTAGCTCTGCATCAGAAGGAGCGAACAAACACAAACAGTCGGTCAGTCTGCAACGTACCGAAGCACAAATGCGTATTTAACAATGACTTCTACAAGAAATTCCACGCTTTCCGTTGCGTTCGGGACAAGTGTGAGTCCATGTGCACAGTGTACAAAGCAGCACATATGTTTCGGTGTCCTGTGGGAAAAAGCTTTATCAGGTGAGAGTCGCACAATGTCTATGACGAGGACCCACCTCCCTTCCTCCGTACAGTGTCCTGGTTTTGACAAACGCAAATCTGGTCACACTAACCTGTATTCCACTGAGTCATGTCTTTTAATGTGACAGAAGTTGACCGCATCAGCGACACAAGAGCTGTAGTTTTATCTTCGCTTAGTTTATGCAAATTAGCGATGCGGTTTTAAGTTTCGTTTCTGTGAGAGTTGCGCAAAACTGAATTAAACACATTATAATAAACGGGCTGATGTGGCTCGAGAGTGGTTACGGTTTATATGTCGTAAAGTTGAATTTATTTATGCAGATTAGTAGTGCTGATAGTAATAATAATGATGATTATTTTAATATAAAAAATGTAATGATTAATCGATAATAGATCGTTAATTCTTCCGACGATCGATTAAGAAAATTTCATCGAATGCCCATCCCTATCCATAACACCCCCCAAGGACTACAGGTGGAAACGACCTATTACAGTTTGGTGGTACAAACATTTGTTTTCATGTTTATTGTAACTGTACATAGTTCTGATAAATAAATAAATAAATAAATGACATGAAATAGTGATACAGAAGCTGCGCCCCTCCAACCTTAGATTGTAAATTTTACCCAACTTCATCCTAGACAGAAATAAATCCCACCTGTACTAGGAGTGTGTGTTCCTCCTGTTTGACGGTCGGCTCCTCTTGCTCCTGTGGCTCCTCTTTAATCCGTGGAGTGTGTGGAGGGTCCTGGTTCAGACCGGGGCCAGGACTCTTTGAGGGGCTCAGTATCGAGTCCAGGAGCTCCTGTTTCCTCTGGTTCTCCTCTTTGGAGCGACACACTTCCTCCTCATACTCCGCTATCGTTCTTTCAAACAGCGCAAAGATCTCTTCAGCAGCCGCAGTCAGCCGCTCATTCACCAAAGCTCTCAGTGTTTGGCTTTTGGACATTTTAACAAACTGTTTTTAGCTTTAGCTCCGAGCTAACCGCACACGAGACTCGGCGGTCTGCTTCCTGCTTTGTGTGTAGCAGAGTAGACACGGTCAGTGCATTACTGCCCCCACTGGTCAGGATGTTAAACTCCTAAAATTCTCATCAGACGCTGTAGGAGCTATTTGCTTATTTCAATTCAATTCATTTCAATCTTTATTAAGAACACGTAATATCTGGTTCATAGTATTAAAAAGAAAATAGTAAGAATAAAAAAGTTAGATACAGTGAATGTTATAATGTACAGACAAGAGCAGCAGTGTCTCCACAGCTCAGAGGTGAATCTGACAGAGCGCCTCACAGACACACTAGCGCTTCCGTGATTCTATTGCTCAGATTCATGGCTCTACACATAAATGAATAAATACAACATGTGATTGTGACGACACAGGGTCTCACACCACAGTTTACAAACATTTCACTGGCGCTACAGAACCTCGGCACTTTCAGTAATATTCTCAGAGAGTCATTATAGGCCACTGTCAAACTCTGCAAACTCTTTTTCTTGTAGTTGGCCCAAAGATCCGCAGTATACAAGAGTGAGCAGAAACATTTAAAAAGTGCATTTTGACATCACTGGAGCACATGGAAAACTTACGGAAGAGCATATTGACCTGACCGTAAAACTTACACTGCTGCCTACACATGTCTGTATCATCTGAGAGGTCACTGGTGATATAATGCCCGAGATATTTGACCTCATCTGTGAGTTGGAGGGCTCTCCTGCACAGAGAGAAAACAGGAAAGGATAGTTTTTTGTCCTCTTTTGTTTTGACAATCACAATGTGACTTTTCAGAGCATTGTAATTAATGTCATATTCAAAGCCAAACTGGGAACAGATATTTAAAAGCTGCTGCAGACCTGCACTGTAAGGTGTAAGGGCACAGCAGGACAAGATCATCTGCAACATTAAATGGTTATACAGATAATCACCAGCAAAACATCCAGTTTGACATCATTCAGCTGCACAGACAGGTCATCAACATAAATATTAAACAGAAGGGGAGACAGGACTCCACCCTGGGAACTCCATTATTGACCCTAAGAGTCAAAAGTAGAATCACCCCATTTCACCTGCATGGACTGACAGGTGCACCAGAAAATAAGTATTCTAGTGAGGTACCCTGGAACACCTCGGTTTGTTAATTTGTTGAATAGTTTTCCATGATTAATCCGATCAAATGCTTTAGAAGCATCTATAAAACACATGAATATAGTGGACCCCTGGGAATTATATTTATCCATCTCTTTCAGTGCAAAGATACATGTGTCAGTGCCAAGCATAAAGCCAAACTGATTAGCTGTAGAGTACAGATATGACTCGAGTCTGGTTAACAGAATCCTCTCTAGCACTTTTGATAATGAGCTAGCCAGTGCTATTGGCCGATAATTGTTAATGTCACTAAGTTTACTCATTTTATTTTTGATAACAGGAACCAAAACAATAGACAGGAGGGACTCTGGCAAAAGGTCAAGGACCAGGAACCCAGTAAAGCAGATGGCTAGGAGTGGACACAGCTTAGCACAAGCAAACGTCAGGTGTTCGTTTAGTTTATTCTAAAATTAGTTTAATTTTGTTTGTCAATTGCTTTATTAATTTAGTTTTTTTCATAATACATTTTTGCTGTTATTGCTATGTTCATATTATGTTTACTAATTTGTTTAGTCTAATTTACCATTATTTGCCTTGGACCGAGGGGATAAAAGCGGGTGGTACATCAAAGGGCGTCCAAAAGCATCTGCAGATTTGATGTTAACTGAATGTGCTCGTGTAGGTTGTAGTAGGTCTCCTCCTTCTGGACATACAAGACCTTGCAGGTTAAATGATTTCAATACAGTTTGGTTTATTATTTCACTGCTGAATGTTGAACTTGAAGATCTTTTAAGGACCTTCTAATGATTTCTCTGCATTTGGTGCTTGACCAATTTTAAGCTTATTTCCTGAAAAATGTCTACTCCAGGTCAGTGATAAAAAATGTAGTCACACACACACACACACACACACACACACAAATCAAACAAACTAAAACAAACAAACTTAAACACTTAAAAATGAAAATTTGCCACTTGCTTCGGTGTAATGCAGCTATGAAGAGAATCAGTCCAAATCAGAATCAGCTTTTCTTGTAGATCAGAAGAAAAGCCTTTACATCATGCAGTGTGTTGTAAAAGTGTAGAAGCAGCTGCCTGTGACTCTCAGAGAGTTGTTTCCCTGTTATGGTTCAAAATCAGATACAAGAGCTGATCTGGGCCAAACATCTGTATTTTGAGTCATCAGCAGCAAATTCCAAAACAGAATTTAGGCTCTTTAAAACATCTCATGAACACAATCAATAATCCTTTAGTCACACTCTGTTCTGTGAGTTCTCATGTGAATACTCAAACAATGTCTCTGTATAAACCCTTGATTACAGATGGAACATCTGTAAAGTCTTTCGCCTGTGCGTTCTCACATGTTTAACAAGACTACTCTGATCAGAAAATGTCTTCTCACATGATGAACAGCTGTAAGGTCGTTCACCTGTGTGTGTTCTCTCATGTCTAATTAAATGACTGTTATCTGAAAATGTCTTCTCACACATTGAACAGCTGTAGGGTCTTTCCCTTGTGTGCGTTCTCACATGTACATCCAGAATATCTTTGCGGGAAAACGTCTTCTCACACACTGAACATCTGTAAGGTCGTTCAGCTGTGTGGGTTCTCTTGTGTCTAACAAGACTACTCTGCTCAGAAAAGGCCTTCTCACACATGGAACACCTATAAGGTCTTTCACCTGTGTGCGTTCTCACATGTTTAACAAGACCATTCTGCTCAATAAATGCCTTTTCACACATTGAACACCTGTACGGTCGTTCACCTGTGTGTGTTCTCACGTGTTTATTTAGATCACACTTATGAGAAAATGTCTTCTTACAAATTAAACAGCTGTAGGGTCTTTCACCCAGGTGTCTCTTTACATGTAGAGCCAGAATACTTTTTGTTTTAAATGATCTGTTGCACATTGAACAGCTGAATGGCTTCTTTGTGTGTAGCTTTTCATGTTTATCTAGATTGGACTTTCGGTTGAATGTTTTCTCACAGGTTGAACAACTGAATGGTTTCTCGCCTGTGTGAATTCTAATATGCCTTTGGAAATGCCACTTATCCCCAAACCTCTTTTGACACACAGAGCACTGGTGTTTCTTGTCCTCAGCGCCTTCTGCTGTTCCTGACATGTCTGCATTGTTCACAGTGGCACTGGTCTCTGGTGCAAACTTGTATTTAGGGGATAGACCAGAGTTCTGGACTTGGTTGTCGTGGTCTCCATCAGCATCTGTCTCCATCTGTGCAGCTGGACAGCTGAATGGAGCTGTCCAGTCTTCATCATCAGTGTCAGAGGAGTGCTCTGTGTCTCCCTCAGTCTCTGAGTGTAAATGTGTCTCTGCACTGATGTCGTCTCCCTGTGTTTCCTCTCTGAGCTCCGTTCGTCTTTGTTGAAGCAGTGAGGACTCTTCTGTCTTCACACAAACAGCACTGGACTCTGGGACGCCCACTGAGACCTGGGGTGGGGGAGATTGACACAAAATAATATTAATATTTCAGAATATATATATATATATATATATATATATATATATATATTATCTCAATCAGAAATGTGCTAAATGTTAATAGCATTTTCTTGGTTGAGGTTTGTTAGAAATATTATTACACATTTTCAGTCTCAAGATGAAGGGATAAACATGAAGCATATTTCATTCACCATTGTCATGGTAAAGGACATAAAAAGGAAATGTTTAGAAGACGCATTAAAGTGGTTTAACAAATCCAGGCTTATCCTGAAATCCTGAACTGGATCTAGCTCCAACTTTATCTTAAGCCTCAGGTCGTTCCATGGTGGAAATTAAGCCTGAGTCTGACCAAAGCTAATTCAGGCCTGAAGTTTAAGCTGCTCTTTGTGCTCCCATGACACTGGGAAGGCCAGATCAGTGGAGCAATGAAGTCCGACCCGCACGTCCGACCCGCACGTCCGACCCGCACGTCCGACCCGCACGTCCGACCCGCACGTCCGACCCGCACGTCCGACCCGGAGGAAGCACGCGGTCAAAAGACAATCCAAGTCGAGCTGCAGCCCTGCCCGATCCCTCCTCACTCTCTCACACACAATATCAGGACGTACAACCCTGACAAATGGGGAGATGCGTTTCTGAAGTCTCTACAGACCTGAGTCTGAATGAACGAGCCCTGTGCTGTGTCAATGCTTCTGCATAGGAAGCAGTTCATTTTTTACACCACCAGATGTAATCATTAAATATACATAATTTGCAGCATATAAACGCATTTAACCAAAAAAGGAATAGGCTGTAAATTTTACACTAGTATATTACTAGTAGTATGTCCCCATTTTCCCAAAGGTCCTCATAGTGTGTTTTTTCTAACGCCCGACAGATGAATGGGAGTTGGAGGAGCCGATAACAAATATAAAAGCTGCTAAATTTAGTGATGCAAAAATTCACTGTAAATCTTCAATTCATTATAAAACTTAGGTCTGGCTCTATTGGATTTTAAATTGGGTTTTGTAGGCTACATTTATTGTTATTTTGCCTCTTTACAGTCATATTTAAAGACATTTGGCCTAATGGCATTTTTCATGATATTTCAGCCAGTAAAGAAAGTAAGTAAACTACCACTATCTTTAGCCGTAAATGTGTGCGCGGCACAGTAATTAATTACAAGCTTATGAGCATATAATTAAATGTTTATACGCTGTGGGATAGTTCTCTCTTCTTCACACTTGCACTTTGATAAAAACAAGCAGTAGTTTTGTTGCTGGCCTAAACTGCACTGAAGTTCACTTTTATTTATAGTGAGTATCTTGGATCAGACTCAAGAGCGTTTAAAGCAGCGCCTGAGAGTCGCGCACATGGATCTATGGAGGCGCACTGGTGGAAACAAGCACACGTGATTTACATTATTCTGGGGGTGCGTTCAGGAACAGTACGGCGTCACAGACACAGACAAATTACTCAGAAAATAAATATTAATGCGGTGCCACATATTAGAACAGTCTTTCCCAAACTTTTTTGCGATCCAAGTCAATAAACATTATTCATAAATTACAAAACAAAGGTGGATTTGATTATTATTAAACATTATAAAGGATATTTTATTGTTGACTAAGTGATCATGTCTCTGAACAATTAGTATTACTCAAGTTTTAAACAATGAAAAACAGCAATAAAAGGATCCATAAGTCGCCTATTTGGACATTAAATGTAGCCCATTTCTTTCTCTTTTCAACATTCAATTGAGCCAGCAATATTGGAACAAACTAGTCACTAAAATAATTACAAACGATTAGAAATTATACAAAACATATCTTAAAATTTCAACATTTCCAATGAGATAGGTGGACCTGTCTGTGTTTTTGTAGCGTGTTCCAGTCCGGGTGCAGGAGGAGACGCAGCAGCAGATCAGGAGCAGCATTCAATCTGTTTCTGTGCTTTGTCTTCATTTTTGTGAGCACAGAAAATCCAAATTCACACATGTGAATTAGTGAAAGGCATAAGCACAGAAATACTGGCCCTACTGAGGACTACTGAGTCTTTTGCAGACCAACATGTAGATGGTGACAAGGCGACCCAAAAATCTTCTCTGAGAGTCGCGACCCAGTCTTTAGGAAACGATGTATTATGACATTTATGTCTGTAAATTTGATTAAATTGACTCAATATAGAGAGTCTAAGCTTTATAACGAGGAATAACATGCCCAAGTGGACTACAGGCCAATATCGGCAAGATTTAGGAAGACAGCCGATATGTCTCCAAGTGCCCCTCTCGATATATCGGTCAGGCCCTAATCCCAATATTTTTTCACGTATGAAATGTGCGTTTTGTCCACATAAATTCTTCCAATTAGATTTTGACGCACACCTGACTACAGCTCTGATAATGGGCTGATGTTGTCATGTAAATGTGTCATTTTGGTCTATTTGGACACAAACCTGCTCCACCTCCTGTTTGACGCTCGGCTCCTCTGGCTCCTCTGGCTCCTCTGGCTCCTCTGACTCCTCTTTAATCCGTGGAGTGTGTGGAGGGTCCTGGTTCAGACCGGGACCAGGACTCTTTGAGGGGCTCAGTATCGAGTCCAGGAGCTCCTGTTTCCTCTGGTTCTCCTCTTTGGAGCGACACACTTCCTCCTCATACTCCGCTATCGTTCTTTCAAACAGCGCAAAGATCTCTTCAGCAGCCGCAGTCAGCCGCTCATTCACCAAAGCTCTCAGTGTTTGGCTTTTGGACATTTTAACAAATTGTTTTTAGCTTTAGCTCCGAGCTAACCGCACACGAGAGTCGGCGGTCTGCTTCCTGCTTTGTGTGCAGCAGAGTAGACAGGGTCAGTGCATTACTGCCCCCACTGGTCAGGATGTTAAACTCCTAAAATGCTCATCAGACGCTGTAGGAGCTATTTGCGTATTTTTCTTTGTCAGCTATTTACTTTTGTTCATTTGTATAATACGTTTAGTCTAATTTGCTGTTATTTACCTTAACATCTTTTCTGTTTTTGGTTTAATCTGTGGAGCACCTCAGCTTCCTGTGGCTCAGAGACTTTAAAGTGGCTCTGCTTGTGTACAGGTCTCTCCATGGCTGAGCACCAAAGTACATCTGTGACATGTTAGTGTCATATGAACCATCTCGCACTCTGAGGAGCTCAGGGACCGGCCTCCTGCTGATGCCCAGAGTCAAGACTACTCTGTAACAGTCTTCCTGAAGATGTGAGACATACTCTACTTTGACACTGTTTAAATCCATGTTTTGTTCAGCTGCATATGACTGAGCCACACTCTTCTCTCAAATTTATGTAATTAATGTTTTTAATTTTATGATGATTATTTATGTTTTGACTTGATTTTATTGTGACTTTAATGTATTTCTTATTCAGTAAAGCGCTTTGAATTACTTTGTGTACGAATTGTGCTATACAAATGAACTTGCCTTACCTTGCCAGAAGAGACCACAAGTAGGCTTGCTTATGTATGCTTGTTGTTTGCTTTGGTGAATAGTGATGTTATTTCCAGTTATTCCCAGATATGGATCAGTGATATGCTACAAGAACATACGATCCTTCAGAGCAGGCATAAAGACCACCTGAGTCCTACTTTAAAATTAGAACTTAATGTAATTCCAAATCAATCTTAACTTAACGTAATTCCAGATCAATTACCCTTTAACGTCTGGAGCTGCAGCACGCAGTACACACTCTTCAGAGACATGACTCAAAGCCCGAAGATCCCCACACTGTCAATGTGTTTCTTAATAAAATTATCACTGGACACACGTCTGACCCACACGTCTGACTCGGAGGAAACACGCGGCCAAAAGGCAATCAAAGTCGATCCCTCCTCTCTTTCTCAGACACACACACACAATATCAGGACGTACAACCCTGACAAACGGGACATGCCTTTCTGAAGTCTCTGCAGACCTGAGAGTAACAGATTTGAACCTGCGTTAACAGTAACACAGCCGCTGTTTATATTCTATACATTCTTGGCAGCTTAAGCTTTAGTTTAACATGAGACGTGGGACTTTTTCAGGTTTAAACCAGATCCATAGAGATTTATGATCATATTCAGAAAATCAGTATTTTTCGTCATGGAAAATTGTGACCCATTACGGACCACTAACAAAGACAATTCCATGTGAGACTGTTATTGTATTTATTTATGTTTTTTAAATTAAAAACAGAACACTGACATCTACTTCACCTTTGTGGTTACAGAACAAACTAAAGCCATGATGTAAATAAAATCTTTCTGTCTATTCTTTAAGGCACCTGCGCGAGGCTCAAATCTGTCGCAGTGTCTCGGTTCATCATCACAGAACCACAGAGAAACAAGTCAGGCCTGTTCCGTGTGGGCTCATTTTAATCAGTCCCAAGTGGAGCTCTCTACAGACTTACTGAAAGAACTAGATTATTATTTTCACACCCATTCACCTCTTCATGTATCACGTGTGCTTACTTTATTGTACAATGGGCTGTGATTTTCTTTAATGAGACTGCATCACCTTTTTGGTCAGTTCTTTCATTTGTTGGATATCTCAATGTGTTTCCTCTGAGCTCAGTTTGTCTTTGCTGAAGCAGTGACGTCACACAGACAGCACTGGAATGAAATCAGATGGAAAGTCCCCCTGAATTGTTCCCTTTATGAAACTACGTTAATTTATATACATATTAATTGTAGGAGCTATTTGCTTATTTTGTTGATTCTAAAATTTGTTTATTATTTTTGCTTGTTAATTCGCTTACTAGTTCAGTTTTGTTAATTTGCATAATATATTTTTGCTATGTTAATATTATGTTTAATTTCTTAGTCTAAATTGGTATTATTTATGTTAGTACCTTTTTGTTTTTGGTTTAGTCTGAGTCACCTAAGGGATAAAAGGAGGGTAGGACACGTAGACCAGAGTGCACCTGGGTAGACTTATGGTTTTTTACCAGTCGTATGGAAAAGCAGCAGGAGTCGGCCTTCAACATATATCCTTGTTGCTTGCCAAAACTGGAAATAAATCTTGGAAATTCAGCTCTGGTCATGGACATTGATTTGTAATTTTGTTACTGCGTAAACCACATACCCATCAAAACGACCAAGCGCCCCACAATCCAGAGCGCCCTATACACAAATCCACTCGGGTGTCCCAGCACGACTTCAGTAAACTACAAAGCTGCACCACCTGCAGAACACGCAAACACACACGGAGCAGACAGCGACCGCACAGCAAAAAACACCCACAGACACACTCATCACTCCACGCCGACGAGGAACAGAGGAACAAACCGAAAAAGCGAGTGCAATGTGCCACTTCTAGACACAACTGAACAACTGAGTCATTGCGAACACACCGACAATCCAGCGTTCCCAGACAGCACCCTCCCTACACGCCACAACTGAACAAAGCCCAGAGTCACCGTGAACGAACAAACAAACAAAACCACTCACCCATCACACTGCTGTGTTTCCTTCAAAGTCCGGTACAGTTTATTTGTGAAAAAAGTTTGAAAATAGATCATTTAATGACAGTGCGCCTTATAATCCAGAGTGCCTAATAGCCCGGAAAATATGGTATTTCAAAACGATTCAATATGGTTCAATAAAAATAATGTGTGACTGTGATACTAAAATCTTTGTTAAACCTTTTCTTGTGCAAAGTTCATATGAAACACAAACATTTTAATCATCAAAACAGTGAAAATGTCAAATGTGTCACGTAAACAAGTTTCCTTCCTCTGAACAAACACAACTGTAGAGCTGTGACAAAATAATTTAGTAAAATATTCTAAAAAGTATGCTTGGCGACATATCGATACAGCAGCCCACGATATCAATACTGCATCATCACATTAAATGATACGATATATCGATATTTTGATATTTTTGCTCACCCCTAATACCCATGGTGCCCAAAGATGATTATTTGAGTTATGTTCAGTTCTGAGTTTGCTCACCGCTTTTGTTTGTTACTTTTATTTGACAAATAGGCTACGTTCAGACTGCAGCCTGAAGTGACCCAAATCAGATTTTTTGGCTTCTATGTGACTTGTATCTGATCTTTTAATGACAGTCTGAACAACACAGATACGATTTTTTCAAATGTGACCCAGGCCACTTGGATATGTGCTCCTAAAACCGATACATATCCGATCTTTTGACATGCGACTTCAGTCTGAACGGCCAAAGCGCATTCATTCGACCTACACGTTATCAACAAGCCACAAACGTCACTATTCTGCGCTGAAATAGGCGAAAATTGTTAATGAACTCCGTGTCACTGAAGTGAAGCACATCACCACTCACCACTCTTGGCTACGTCTGCACATCCACACGTTCCTTTCAACGGACTGTCTCACAAAACACCACTGCCAAAAACCTCATCCTTCTCCTTCTCAATCTCCTCCTTTAAACAAGTAAGTTGTTCATGTTCTGGCTCCGGTACGAGAGGAACTTTAAAATCTCCAGGTGCTCAATGCTCGCGTCCATGTTTGGACAACTTCCGTAAACACAGAGCACGCTCGCTGCGGTTGTCGTCGTCGTGTCTCCAGTGCACATGCGGGACACTTTTGGGCCGTTTAATGTTCACACTGGAGATCACATACAAGTCGCATTTAACTGGAAATGTGAACGACCTCGTAAAAACATTGGATTTCCCAAAAAAATCCGAATTGAGCGTTAAGCCCTGCAGTCTGAACGTAGCCATAGTTACTACATAAATAAAAAAACAGCAACTTTTTTTTAAAATTATATATATTGTATTAATTACACTTTTTCTCTGGCTAGGTAATCCAACTGTTGGGATGTAGATAATATGTGACGCTGTCCTTCATACTCAATGTCCTCAGAAGGAACATTGTCACTGTCCAGTTCAAAGTCTAGACTCACTGGATGGTTTGGTCTCAAGTTTTGCCTCACGCGATTGGCCTGACGCAGCAAAGTGTTCACATTTGGTAGCTCCTTGCCACTCTGCTCTAAGTCAATGCTCGCTAAAGCTCGGCTCACAATGGCACCAGATGAAGCAAACATCTCCTTCCTTGCCATTTCTTTCACGATGGCACGCACCGTTGACTTCAGCTCTGCTCCTGGATTGCTGGGATGATTATGGTGTCTTGGTCCACGAGTGAAGGTGGTGGTTCCCAGTGGTTGTCGCACCGTCGCCGGACACTTCTTGCCAGTTCGACAGTTCCAAGTAACCGCCACACCAGACTGACGTTTCTTGGAGTAGGTAAATCCAAGGGAGTCACTGAGCAGCTGACCACCTTTCCTGTTGCCGCCTTCGATAATCTTGTATGTGACAATAGAGTCGTCCATGAGAACATCTGGTATTTGCTCCTCACCAGCAGAATCCTCACTGGCAGGTAGAAGTTGTGGGTGACTTGATCTTTCAGCGGTGAAGCTGGTGTTTAGACCCACAGGTGAAGGTGGAGGCAGTTCTACGTCCATCTCTATGTAGGTGTCTTCCTCTGACGCTGAAATAATAAAAAAGAAATACATAAATACCCGATGAAAATGTACACAAAAACATTTGTAAGGGAAAAAATGTCATATTTTGTAAATTTATTTTATTTCTAAAAAGTTTACATGGTTTATAAGTATTTAAGTTTATTTTATTTCTGAAAGGATTTTATGGTGGCAAAAAATAAATTAAGTTAAATAAAATAAATAATAGTAGTCGTTTATCATAAAATGAATGCTGACCAATAAATATAATACAATAAATAATAAATAACAAAAAATAAAATGATTGATACATACCTGTGGAAGACATGACTTCAGGTGAACTGTGATGTTCTTCTGGCTCCTCATGTTCTGCTGTTGTGCATTTTGGAAGCTGACATTCAAAGCAGATCCACTGAGAGTCCTGCTGGATCATCTGCTTGTACCTCTTGGTTGATAATTCTGTGCCACCATAAATGGGCCTGCATCTGCTACACGACGCACACTTCAGGACTCCCTGTGTTTCCTCTCTGAGCTCAGTTTGTCGTTGCTGAAGCAGTGAGGACTCTTCTGTCGTCGCACAAACAGCACTGGACTCTGGGACGCCCACTGAGACCTGGGGTGGGGGAGATTGGCACAGAATAATATTAATATTTGGACTCTCCTGAAAACAGAGGTTTGTTACAAAATATTGTTTAACATTTATCAATCTCTGTTTAACAAATGCAGAGCCTCCAGATCCAGGCAGTGTGGAATATGCAGTGTTTTCCACACTTCCACAAAGAGATATTTAGGCCTTCTTCATTCACAACTTAGTATAAAGTGAGGAAGAAGGAGAAGTGTTTCTCCTCTGCCTGTGTGTAGACTAGACTAGTATGAGTCCATGGACCAATGTGGAACCTGCCTGCACCACTGATTGATTACACAAATATTAGGCTGCATGGGAATATAAAAGAAAGTACTACCATTTAATGTTAAAAATCACAATTGAGAGTCCAAATATAGTGTTTTATTATCACTGTGGTATCAGAATCTGTATCGAGTATCGAGTTTATTCCTTATTATACTGTATAACCTTTTGAACTACAGATCTGTAACCTGTGTGATGGAAATGTGTATTTGTGTTGTGTGGAAAAGATTCTTATGCCTTTGTGTAAATACATTTGATATTTGCAGGAGGCCAGAAATGAACATTAACATGGGATGTGCAGCAGACTGTCTCCATGCACAAGCACAGTGATAAATGTGGAGGGGAAAAACAGTGTTATTTGGATGAAACGCCTCAAAATATTAATGTTTCAAGGGGCCTCACCCCCGAGATTTACGGCATAGAGGTCCAAAATACTAGGCAGGCTGGCGCCACCTAGTGCCTCCACACAATACACAATACACTAGACAGTTTGCAAAAAAAAAATGGAAGTACGAGTCCAGGTACCAGCCAATCAGTAAAGAGTCATATATTCAGTGTTGTCAACGATTCCCGAGATCGAGGATTTAAAGCCAGAATAAAGAGAATGTGTGTTGAATTTTATCCAGGAGAAAGACGTTATTGCCCTTCTTCCTACGGGACTTGGGAAAAGCTTAATATACCAGTTAGCCCCATTAGCGGTGCATTACATACGTCACGACCAAATAGCAGCGATTGGTTAAACGACAAAAAATACCCGCCTACCATCGAGTGAACAAATTCCAATTCCAACTTATCTGATGAGGAAATCATAAAGAATTACATAAAAAGAGTTTTTTTCTGTTTTCTAGTGCTCAGTTTTTAACAAATAAAATATAATAAACTCAACTTTGGAAACTATAAAGCATGAAGACTACAGAGCCACACCAGCCCATTTGAGATTATAATGTGTTAAAAGCACTTTGTGCATATTTGTTAACGTTTTACAGTCCAACAGCAGCTGATTGCTGATTCTGTTTATATTCATACTAATAAACAGTTGGTCTGCGTCTTTTTAAATGAAAGTAAATTAATCAGTTTGTTACAACATTTTGTGGATCAAATAGTTGCAGCATTTTAAGATTTAAATTTAGTTTGAAACAGGCCAGTGTGACTCTTTTGTTGTTAAAGGTTACAGACCCTTGAGCTGTTCCTACATGAGATGTATTAAGAACAAGATGATGATGCTAAATGTGTGAGAATGTGAATACGGAGTCTAATGTTCAGTCCCTCCTAAGGACTGGAGATGAAAATGTGACCTTCTATGGTCTGTTTTCCCAACTTCATCTGAGACAATAATGTGGATAAATCCCACCTGTACTAGGAGTGCGTCTTCCTCCTGTTTGACGCTCGGCTCCTCTGGCTCCTCTTTAATCCGTGGAGTCTGTGGAGGGTCCTGGTTCAGACCGGGGCCCGGACTCTTTGAGGGGCCCAGAGCCAAATCCAGGAGCTTCTGTTTCCTCTGGTTCTCCTCTTTGGAATGACACATTTCCTTCTCATACTCCTCTATCGTTCTTTCAAACAGCGCAAAGATCTGATTCACCAAAGCTCTCAACCTTTGACCTTTCTGGACTTGGTTGTCGTGGTGTCCATCAGCATCTGTCTCCATCTTTGCAGCTGAACAGCTGAACCGAGCTCTCCAGACTTTATCATCAGTGTCAGAGGAGTGTAAATGTGTCTCTGTGCTGATGTTCTCTCCCTGTGTTTCGACTGTGTTTAGACTCTCCTGAAAGTAATCAGAATATTTCTTGATATAAAATTTAAAAAAAATTGCTAAATGTTTGTGTTGTCGTCTTGGTTAAGATTTGTTGTTTTGTTATACATGCATCAGTCTCAAGATGAAAACCAATGAACTGTCACCAAGTCCCAGCTGGCCCTTAATGTTTATTCTCTGTATTACATAATGCCCCATCTCCCTCACGATATTGGTGTTTTTCAGATTATGTGATGTGATGGCAAATTCAAATTCTCAAATGCTGAACCTGATCATTTATATTAATGCATGGACCAAAGAAACGACTGAATTACAACAAAAATTTGCATGAGTACAACACTGATTTTAGCTGCTCCCCACGACTATTAAATAATACTGGTCTGTAGAAACTTGTGATGATTAGATGTCCGTTTCATCCTGTCTTCATCCTAGACATAAATAAATCTCACCTGTACTAGGAGCGCGTGTTCCTCCTGTTTGACGCTCGGCTCCTCTGGTTCCTCTGGTTCCTCTGGCTCCTCTGGCTCCTCTGGCTCCCGTGGCTCCTCTTTAATCCGTGGAGTGTGTGGAGGGTCCTGGTTCAGACCGGGGCCAGGACTCTTTGAGGGGCTCAGTATCGAGTCCAGGAGCTCCTGTTTCCTCTGGTTCTCCTCTTTGGAGCGACACACTTCCTCCTCATACTCCGCTATCGTTCTTTCAAACAGCGCAAAGATCTCTTCAGCAGCCGCAGTCAGCCGCTCAGTCACCAAAGCTCTCAGTGTTTGGCTTTTGGACATTTTAACAAATTGTTTTTAGCTTTAGCTCCGAGCTAACCGCACACGAAGCTCGGCGGTCTGCTTCCTGCTTTGTGTGCAGCAGAGTAGACGCGGTCAGTGCATTACTGCCCCCACTGGTCAGGCTTTTCTGTTCGTCATTTAAACTAAAATATCTGTTCAGTTATGATTTAAAAGAGTTTATAATTATCTAGTTATATCCATCACCAGAGGAAGCTCTAGAGTCTTAGCTTGTATTTACATTGAAATATTTCTAAATTATTATTATTAAAGCGTTTCGTCCTTAGTTACACTTATTCAAATGGTCAAAAAAAAAAAAAAAAAAAAAAAAAAGAATAAAATTAACTTTTTAACCCTCTTTTTGTCCATTTTATTTCCTGGCTTTGTTCATTGGAGTATGGCGCTATCTTCTGGACAAAGTTGAGAACTGCAGATATCCGCAAAAGTACTTGTAGTTATCCCATATGGCCGCTAGAGGGAGTGTTAACTGTTAAACTAGTTTATTCATGAATGTATTTATTCATTGTAAGTAATAATGAGATTATATTATTACAATAAAAAGTCGATCTGTAATATCAGTTCATTTATTTTTAATGTATTTTTTTAAAATCAATTACATTATGTATGTCTCATGTGAACAAAAAATGAGAAGTACACATATCCCCAAAAACGGGACTTTTATCAAAATATTCCACTCTATTTAAAATAAAGACACATTCTTGATGCTGAATTTAAAATTATAAATATATTAACATTCCAAAACAATAGTAACAGAAATAGTTGAATAATTGGAGTATAAATATTCAAATCTTTTTTATGTGAAAACACACTGTTTACTAATAATTTTAAAATATATATAATTAATAAAATAAAATAAAATTTAAAAAGTACTGCGTATTTAGTAATACATGTTTTTTTTTTTGTTTTGTTTTTTTTATAATTTGTCCTGAAGTTTTGTTTAGTGGAGGTTGGCGCCATCGTGTGGACAAAACAATGAACTGCATAAATCTCTCCAAAGCTTGTAATTCTGACCTGTGTCCGCTAGAGGAAGCGCCAGAGTATAATGAATTTAATTTATAAATTAAACTAATGAATTTAGTTTATAGTTTATAATTTGGTTTCTAATTGTAATACAGTTTATATATCTACTAAATATTTATTAGTTTATTTTATTCATGTTTCTTTTTTGTTTTTTTATTTTTATTTATTTATTTATTTTTTGCTGTGGTGTGGCTCAGAAGATAAGACACAGACACACATAGACTCCTGCTGGACTGGAGGTTGAGGGATTGAATCCAGCCTGTGACTATGAGCTGATCTCTTCCCACTGTCTGTGACCTTTAAAACACTATTTATTGTCCAAATTAACTTCTCGTTGAGATCATCATGTTCTAACCTCACTGACTAGTCCTAATTTCCAGGTTCTGTTGCAGCGCAGTATTGAATTAGCAACAGAAGCCTGGAGTTTGAGGCTTTAAGTTGTGCTACAGCGTGGCTCAGTATGCCTATGGCCAGATTAAATTTGATCCGAAAATGTATATACTTAATCTTTTCTATATACTACTTCATCAAAAACACTTAGGTACCCATTCACAAATGCTGTGATTCAGGGGTAAAGACACAGACAGTTAGAGTCTCATGCTGGTCCTGAGGCAGTGTTACAGGACACTTTCATTGTGGAATTGATGACATTTGATGCCCTGAACTTTGTTACACTTAGATATGGAAATTAGTTCTAACGGCAGTAGAGCTGGAGGGTTTTTATCATCAGTTCACTGTTACAAACAGGACACGAGAGTTGTTACTGCGATTTCGAATAATGTCTGAAAAGTACCGCTGTCTTGTTCTACCCAAACTGTGGTTGTACATGTGCATCTTTTCTCTGTAAATCTCATAAGAAACCTGGAGGTTTGACTTGCATCATTTCTGCTCGGCCCCCTGGCACTCTCTTTTCTGTGCCCTAACCGTGTCATTATTCCTACACGGAGCTTTTTGCATATCTTTAACCATTTGTCATGGGTTCTTTTTAATGAAAAGAAATAATACAACGAAGTAAAAAGTAGTGTTTGTGAATTTATTTAGACAAGTACCCAAAAACAGTGAAAAATGGGAAAAAACTTACATATTTACAGGTGGTGATAGTCGTTTCAGTTGCTCCTGAACTGGTGCCTGTGGTGCACACAGCTCTCCTCCTCAAAACACACACTGCCTTTCTGCAGATGGGAGTCCCCTTTTATAGTATGAGACTCCTCCCAATCAATTAGTAAACAAAAAACTGCTGTTTCTCTACTAACAGCCAAACATTTGTATTTTGAGTCGCCAACAGCAAACTCCAAAAAAAGAATTTAGTCTCTTTAAAACATCTCATGAACACAATCAATAATCCTTCAGTCACACTCTGTTCTGTGAGTTCTCATGTGAATATTCAAATGATGTCTCTGTATAAACCGTTTATTACAGATGGAACAGCTGTAAGGTTTCTAACCTGAGTGCCTTTTCATATGTTTATTTAGCTCACACTTTTGACAATGTCTTCTCACATAATGAACAGCTGTAAGGTCTTTCCCCTGTGTGTATTCTCTCATGTACAATTAGATCTTACAAGAAAATGTCTCCTCACACATTGAACAGTTGTAGAGTCTTTTACACTGGTGCATCTTAACATGTTGAGCGAGAATAACTTTTGTTGTAAATGACCTCTTGCATGTTGAACAACTGAATGGTTTCTCTCCTGTGTGAATTCCAGTATGTCTTTGTAAATTCCACTTAGTCCCAAACCTCTTTTGACACACAGAGCACTGGTGTTTCTTGTCCTCAGCTCCTTCTGCTGTTCCTGACATGTCTGCATTGTTCACAGTGGCACTGGTCTCTGGTGCAGACTTGTATTTGGGGGAAAGACTTGAGTTTTGTGCAGTGGAGCTTCTGGTTCTGATCTGGACGTGGTTGTCGTGGTCTCCATCAGCGTTTGTCTCCATCTGTGCAGCTGAACAGATGGATGGAGCTCTCTCACCTGTGTGTATTCTCTCATGTACAATTAGATCACACTTTTGAGAAAATGTCTTCTCACACATTGGACAGTTGTATGTTTTTTCATGCAGGTGTCTCTTAACATGTTGAGCTAGAAAACATTTTGTTTCAAATGATCTCTTGCACGTTGAACATCTGATTGGTTTCTTTTTGTGTTTCTTCTCATGTTTATCTAGATTGGACTTTTGGTTAAATGTTTTCTCACACGTTGAACAGCTGAATGGTTTCTCTGTGTGAATTCCAATATGTCTTTGTAACTTCCACATAGTCCCAAACCTCTTTTGACACACAGAGCACTGGTGTTTTTTGCCCTTAGCTCCTTCTGCTGTTCCTGACATGTTTCTATTGTTCACAGTGGCACTGGTCTCTGGTGCAAACTTGTATTTGGGGGAAAGACTGGAGTTTTGTGCAGTGGAGCTTCTGGTTCTGATCTGGACGTGGTTGTCCTGGTCTCCATCAGCGTTTGTCTCCATCTGTGCAGCTGAACAGATGGATGGAGCTCTCTCACCTGTGTGTATTCTCTCATGTACAATTAGATCACACTTTTGAGAAAATGTCTTCTCACACATTGGACAGCTGTATGGTTTTTCACGCAGGTGTCTCTTAACATTTTGAGCTAGAAAACGTTTTGTTTCAAATGATCTCTTGCATGTTGAACATCTGATTGGTTTCTTTTTGTGTTTCTTCTCATGTTTATCTAGATTGGACTTTTGTTTAAATGTTTTCTCACAGGTTGAACAGCTGAATGGTTTCTCTCCTGTGTGAATTCTAATATGTCTTTGTAACTTCCACATAGTCCCAAACCTCTTTTGACACACAGAGCACTGGTGTTTTTTGCCCTTAGCTGCTCCTGCTGTTCCTGACATGCCTGCATTGTTCACAGTGGCACTGGTCTCTGGTGCAGACTTGTATTTGGGGGAAAGACTTGAGTTTTGTGCAGTGGAGCTTCTGGTTCTGATCTGGACTTGGTTGTAGTGGTCTCCATCAGCGTTTGTCTCCATCTGTGCAGCTGAACAGCTGAATGGAGCTCTCTCATCTGTGTGTATTCTCTCATGTACAATTAGATCACACTTTTGAGAAAATGTCTTCTCACACATTGGACAGCTGTATGGTTTTTCACGCAGGTGTCTCTTAACATGTTGAGCTAGAAAACGTTTTGTTTCAAATGATCTCTTGCACATTAAACATCTGATTGGTTTCTTTTTGTGTTTCTTCTCATGTTTATCTAGTTTGGACTTTCGTTTAAATGTTTTCTCACAGGTTGAACAGCTGAATGGTTTCTCTCCTGTGTGAATTCCAGTATGTCTTTGTAACTTCCACATAGTCCCAAACCTCTTTTGACACACAGAGCACTGGTGTTTCTTGCCCTTAGCTCCTTCTGCTGTTCCTGACATGTTTCTGTTGTTCACAGTGGCACTGGTCTCTGGTGCAGACTTGTATTTAGGGGATAGACCAGAGTTCTGGACTTGGTTGTCGTGGTCTCCATCAGCATCTGTCTCCATTTGTGCAGTTGAGCAGCTGAGTGGAGCTCTCCAGTCTTCATCATCAGTGTCAGAGGAGTGCTCTGTGTCTCCCTCAGTCTCTGAGTGTAAATGTGTCTCTGCGCTGATGTCCTCTCCCTGTGTTTCTTCTCTGAGCTCAGTTTGTCTTTGTTGAAGCACCGAAGACTCTTCTGTCTTCACACAGACAGCACTGGACTCTGGGACGCCCACTGAGACCTGGGGTGGGGGAGATTGACACAAATTAATATTTCAGATTTTGACCTACTTTTTTTTTAAATTTCAGTCAAAAATATGCTAAATGTTTTTCCTTTTCATTTTCTGCTGAAAACTTTGACTAAACAGTTTCTTTAGACGTTCATGGAGACAGAGATAAAATAATCTTAGTCTGGTCCTGACCAGGGGCCTGATTTATAAAGCTTGCTTACGCAAAAATCCGTGCGTGCGCGCTTCCTACGCCAACCGCGGTATTTATAAAACTCGACTAAGGCGTGGCTCTTTGCTTAACTCTACGCCAACTCGGGACCTCCTGTAAGTTCTACGCAAAGTCTGGAGACACGGGGAAAAAGCGACACTCGTGGAGATGAGCAAAAGTGAACAGAGTTTGAGGAAGTGTTTGATCAGAAAATCCACGTATATAGAAGAATTACCTTCAGATTTGCGCATTTAAGTGTTTGGTTCGCCAAAATACGGAGAAGGGCTGTTTATTCCACTCATTATTCTCCACAATATTATACATTTGAAACTCGTGCACGAGCGCGGCCACGTTCCCGGACTCGGTGTAGCGCAGAGTCCCACAGTCCACACCGCGACCATAGACTTCTATAGAACACAGTCTGTGACCAACACAGAGGACGAAATAATGACCCAACCTGAGAGAAAACTCTTCCCTTGGACGCAGCAGGAGCCAGGCTTTGATTTAATGAACGCAACTTTAACACTTTTACTTTAGTAGTTATTGTGTAAAGCACTTTGAATTACTTTGTGTACGAATTGTGCTATACAAATAAACTTGCCTTGCCTTGCCTTGCCTTAGTCTTTACGCACCGAGCGCCAGAGTGACCTGAGTCTGTGGACAACACGAAGCCTACTGCCCGAACCTGACCCCAACCAAAATCTTCCCTACATTTTTGTGTAATGGGGAACTCTTGTACATGAGAACTGCTCTCTCACTGTATGAAGAACAGAATAATGCCCCCGACCCAGACCCACACTCACAGGTTCAGCAGTTTGGATGTATCGTGTGGACTTTAATTGGCAGAATAACATCTGTATCTGATGTGTTTCGTGCTAAATCTGTGTCCTCGTGTCCTCGTGTCCCTCCCTCGCTCCTTTCCCTGTCCAGGGGAGGGCATCTGAATCTCTCGCACGCGCTCATAATTTGACCATTCAGATCAGCGCGTGCACGTTTCTACGTGTATATGCATAAATACACAGGGCCAGTCCTCACACACATCATAGACAGACTTAAAAATATAGCGATAAAACTCTTGAAACAGCGAAAAAACACATGGGCTTTACTGTAAAGATGTGCTGCCTAAATATTATAAAATATGATCAAATGAACAGATGAGTCATTGTTGTCACTTTTTTAGTTTTTATGTATCGCACTAACTTACGACAACTCCTGCGCAGTTTTTTATAAATGAGGCCCCAGGTCTTCCGGGTCCTTTTTACTGCAGCAACTCAGAATCAGCTATGGTTACTCACTTTGGTGGAAGTGAGGCTTCGACAAACTTGGATTGGCCAAATAAAACAGTTTTAGCTCGCTTTGTGGAAACCCCCCCGGTGCCTATCTACCCTCATCACACTGGACCTAAATTCCATTGTAAGATTTATTTATTACAAGTTGGACATAGTTAAAACTTTGGATTGAACTTCTCTCAAAGAACCACAGAGTTTCTACCAGAACAAAATAACTGACAATCTCTTTCAGTAAAGAAACAAGCACTGACCAAGATACAAATAGAAGACGCTGCCATTTGATAAAACAGGCGACTTTCTCAACAGAAAGAGGAATGATGTAATTATGTGCTGTGAATAATGTGAATGTTGTTTGCATATTGATTTGTAAATGTTTTCTTTAGAGAAGACCACACTCATTTGCATATTTCCTATTCAAATGCTGCCTGATTAACTTGGTCAATAAATGTTCATAAATTGCAACTTGCTTTGGTGAATAGTGATGTTAATTACAGTTATTTCCAGATATGGATGAATGACACGGTACAAGAACCTATGAACCTTCAGAGCACACACAGACCATGAGTCCTGATTCACAATTAATAATAACAGAATGTAATAATTAATAATAATAATAACTAAATGTAATTCCAAATCTTTCTATCAATTACCCTTTAAACTCACTTCACCGTGGAACATTTCACATCTCCATGCGTGTGGTCCACACTCTTCAGAGACACAACTCAGATCCCCACACTGTCAATGAGTCCCTTATTGAAATGATCACTCGACACACACGACCGGCCCTCTACAACTGACTCAGAGGAAGCACACGGCTCAAAGACAATCAGAGTCGAGCTGCAGCACTGCCCGATCCCTCCTCTCTCACTCTCTCTCCCTCCCTCACCACCCCCCCTCCCTCTCTTACTCACTCACTCTCTTCCTCCCTCCCTCTCCCACAACACTCTATCTCCCTCCCTCCCTCTCACTCTCCCCCTCCCGCTTTCTCTCACTCACTCTCTCTCCTTCCCTCTCTCTTCCTCACTCACTCTCCCCCTCCCTCTCTCCCTCACTCACTCTCCCCCTCCCTCTCTCCCTCACTCACTCTTTCCTTCCCTCTCTCTCCCTCCCTCCTTCATTCTCCCTCACTCCCTCCCTCATTCACTCACTTTCTCTCTCCCTCCTTCTCTCTCTCCCTCCCTCACTCACTCTCTCTCTCACTCTCCCTCACAAAACGCCTATACGGGTTTATATAGTTGAACAGGACAATTTCACGAGACACGCCCGGTGGTGGTTTAGGTGGACTACCCTTTCCCAAGGTCCTACAGCTTTGGGAGTTGGCTTAAAATGCTCTAAAAAATCTGAAAAAAATTTGGATCACTTCAGAGTTCATACACTCTCAACAGAACTTCATACACACGACCCTGTTCAAATTATGGTTTAAGCAGACAATTCACATTTTGACAAATGTGTGGTTTATGAGGACAGAAAGAAACACTATCCGGACAGTGATGTCATTTTTTTAATTTAACATAAACATAACATACATGTACCTGACAGCACAGCATCAGCAGGACATGTCATTACTTTGAACTGTAAAAGCACATTATTGTATGCGCAAATTAAATACAAAAAAAAAAAAGGTAACAATATAAATAAAAAAGATGAACATTTTATATTGAAACCACCCTGATTAATGGCAAGAGAAATTCTCACTATGTTCAAAGTGGACCTCAGTCTGCTATACTTCTCCACCTAAAAGCCAGGATTCTCCTTTGAGGACAGTGAGGTACAGATTTTAGTCAGAGAAAAGAATTTTAGATGGGAGTTAAAGAGGCTATTTTTGTTAAGACAATCCTTCCTTGAACAGAAAGAGGCCTCGGACCTCATCTGTCTCCATCTACAACTCCATCCTCAGAGCTAAATCAGAGAAAACAATGGTGTTAGTCAGGTCAGAGCCAGAGGTGTGAAAGCTCCATTATGGGCCTGAATGATTCTGCTAATATGACCCACACTCAGTGCAGTTGAATGGGCCTAACAAACAGAAACTAAACAAGTAGGTGTGTTAGTTTCAGAGGAGTTTCAGTGTAGTGAGCGCCCCCTTCTGGCAGATATTAGGCAGTGTCCACCAACCTCTGACCAGAATTGAAGAAGCAGCTTGGATAAGCTGTGAAACATTTTTCAAATTTTTCAAATCAAAATCAATGTTTGCCCAGTTGAAAAATTGCCAATCCATGGCAAAGGAGAAATTCAAAGGAAAAAGAGGGATTCTGCACACACCTTGTTTGGTTTAAAACAATAAAAAAAAAAACTGTTCTCTTGCACACAGATTTGTGAAGTCACAGATTTTGCTTTCTTGACAGCTTTTTTGCGGCTACTCCTCGGTTTCTAACAAAGTCCCTTATATTTTGCACTGTTCTTTGCTCTAACACAGACCCTTCAACCAACTTGCAATGAGCACATTCAGTTTTGGTAGCCAATTTTCCTTTAGCTATGTGAACTTTAAAATATTTCATTACTGCATTGATCTCAGCCTTAGACCATGTTTTCTTAGGTGTTCGTCTACCTTCATTGTTGGATGTTGGACCAGCATCTTGCCCTGTGTTTGTAGAAAGACAAAAAACTGTTAAGCCATTTACCGATTTCCACAGATTCTTGTTTGTTTCTAGGACTGCAATTGTCAGCTAGTTTTTCACCATGTGGTCATAATATCACCACTTAAAATGGAGTCTCACATTAGCTGCAGCTAATCTAATTGAATTCATTTACTCTTTTTGTATACCTTTAAACCAGCAGCAGATCTCAGAACAGCTGCATTTATTGTCATCAGGTTTATGTCTGACATGTTTCATTCTGATGTCTGACATCAGACATAATTTGAATAAACTGACACCTCCATGATAATACTGTGAAATAGATAATTATATGAACATCTAAAATGCACAGCACTATTATATTTTTGCAGTTTTTATCTTCTATTTTATTCTATTGAATTTCATTTGTGTTCTTTATTATCTTCTAAATGTGTTTTAAATAGTCTCCATGCATTTTTCTCTTAAAAGTGTAAATATGCTCTTTAATAAACATGTCTTACCTTCATAGCCTGGGATAGTCTCATTAATTGTGGATGCCACTGTTGAGACAGTTTCTGCTGAACACGTGTTGGGGGGAAAAAAATGTCAATGTACATTTCATCAACATAAACACACCTATTAAGTAAGGCGACTTACCAAAATCTCCAGTGCTATGGACCTGCTCTGTGACTGTAGACTGTGAAGCAGCATCAACAGGTTCACTGGTTCCACACTCTTCTGTTTTTATCACTTCCGTGTCACCATCATCAGACTCATTCTCTTCAGTATCACTAAACACAATTTCATCTAGGAAAAGGTTTGAATAAAAGTCAAATGATGACTGTGTACAGTTGCTTCAAACTAATCAAACACTCCAGTAGATGTACAAACCCTCTATCTCGATCTCATCAAGTGATTTTCCCCGCATGCTGGAAAGATGTCCTTTCTCCATTGCCAAAAGTAGTTTTGAAATCTTTGCCAGCTGTGTTGTGGGAACTGGTAGTCTGTAAAAATTTCGATGAACATTGATATCATGACCCAGGAAATCTGCAACCTGATCAAGTTCATTATGTTTTAAATTCAGGACTTGTGAGAGTGTGGCGACATGTTTCCTGAGTTGTGTTGATCTGAGATGCTCAGGGTACTTTGCTCCACACTGGTCCGCATAAACACGCAAACAGTCCTGTCCTCTGTAATAGCTTATTGATTTGGGTTTTGCAAACAGGAAGACATTTGTGGCACAAACATCACATTCACTTCTTTTACTCGCCAGTAGTGAAAGAGAATTCACCGCACTTGGTGGGAGAAGAACTGTAACCTTTCGACCTCTTTTGCCCACGATTTCCACTCGACTAAAATAGTTGCAGAGCCTCTGTTCAATCTTTGACAAACCCATGGCAACATCTTTATGAAGCTTGGTGTCGTCTCTTTCATTAAAACTTTTGAACCGCATTTTTGAAACCTCCTCAGCAGGTCTTCGATTGAACACAATGATTTGTGCAAGTGTAACTTTTGCAAGTTGAGCATAGTTGTGCGGGCTAGTCACTTCCTTCAAGCTGGAAAAGGCACTTTCTGCAAGATTTCTCAAGGTACTGATGGAGAATCTGAACATCCTCAGTGAAGAGTAATGTTGATGGCTTGTTGTACTTTGCATCACTCAGTGTGTTCAAGGCACTATGAGGCACCAATTCAGACCACTTGGAGGCGTACAGCTTCTTGAATCTATCGGTGGACTTGCACAGTTCTTCATCTTCTACCACGAGAGCCCTACAGTGGATAATGTCACAGATTTTTTTAAGTGTATGTCCCAATTTAAGAGCTAGGCTTGGTGTTCCATACAGTTGTTTTTCTTCATCGAAACCAGCAACTTTCTTCACAGCTTGCACAACTCTCTGGAAGTTAACAGGTTTAACAGCCTCCTCCAGGTTATGTATTGAGAATTCTGTGCGCAGACATAACAGCAAACGGCCCACTTCTCTGAGCTGCTGTCTCATGTATTCTCTCTTTGTAGGGTCTTGTCCATGTCTGTTGTAGAGGAACTGTGCAAACTGAATGATAGACAGGTCATTTCGCACAACTGAGGCAACCTCATCCTGTTTCATGGCTGTCAGGAGCTTCCACACACCACTTGAAATCTGGTGACTAGATACAGTCTCTAGAGTACCAGCCACACCCAGTACTTTGGTTCTTCCAGGTGCTTTATCAGTAATTTCATTGTCTGGCTTACAGGGGCATTTGCGGACATGTCTCCAAAGTTCCTTCCGAATGAACATCCCTTGACAATGCATACAGTGAATAAACTTTCCTGATATTTCTTTAGTTTTAGGTTTTCTCTTAACTTTCACTGGTCCTGAAGCGCCTTGTAAAACTGCAGTGTAATGTCTAAAATTTCCCTTATTCCGCATTCTTTCTAATAATCTTTTCCGCTCTTTTGAGTGGTCAGGTAGGGAAAATACATGTAGAACTTCATCGTGTGTTGTGTGTGTTCTCAAGTGGCGGGAAATTTTGCTTTGTGGCTTACCACAAATGTAACAGTAATTTTTTATAGTCATTGTCAATTGTGTTGAGTCATGATTGGGAAGCTGTTCTTCATCCTTTGGATTTTCCTTTGGTGTGCCTTTGGTAGAAGTAGATGAATGTGATGTTTTAGTATTATTGGAAACCACATGGTCTTCAAGAGGAGGTGAAACCTTGGATGTGGTAGGCTCAACTTGGATGTCAGCGTCTAATCGATGAGATGTTCCTTCTTCAGGCATAAAGTTTTTTTCTGTAACCTGTCCATCTCTTGACTGATTAGGTATAAAAGGTATGCCAATATCTGAATCATTGTCTTCTTGTGACTTGGAGTCTGGTATGTACTCTTCATCAGACAGGTTATCATCAGCATCTGATATCTGACCCACTTCTGAATGTACACGGTCCTGAAATAATGAGAAAACAAAATAAATAATAAGACCATGCTGTTTGGGTTAAAAAGGTGTTAAATATAAAATAAATATCTTGGGTGAGTGGGCCACGCACTGGACTTTTCAAACTCTGGTTGCCTTCATCTATTTCAGGCTGGTTGCTCTCAGTCATAATCTGTAAAAGAAACATTATGCAGGAAATAAATAAACTGACAACGTATTACTAAGATTGTACAATTCAATGAGATTCTAGAGGTTTGAATAACTGTAACAATTCTACTCCTTACAAAAGCAGAAGTCCTCATTGGAACCTCACTGGATGATTTTATAAAACGGTATAGAATGCAAGATATCAATAATAATCTATGTATGATGAGGTTATACTTCTTCAAAATCCTTGGTTGCGGATGAGAAAATCTCTTTACGAATATTAATCTGCTAACATTCAAGACTATTTAACCAAATTCTTCACCATTAGTGCTTATTGATCAATTTAACATTTGATTCCTTTCCATTTCTATATCTATAACACTCTTCTAGGAGGTTGCCTGTAAGTTTTTCTCTTGAGTAAGGACATTTCTTTAGTTTTTAGATCTGATGAAATTTATGTAAGATTCTGCACACACACAATACCTATATCACGTGTTGATGGACTTAAAACATTCCACAAAACATTGCCATTGTAATGAAGGCTCCATTTGATTTACCTTTTCATCTTGGCTGAGTGGATCATGATCTGGACCTGTCAAACTCTGGTTGCATGCATCCATTTCTGTCTGGTTAGCTCCATCTATTTCAGTCTGTTTGTCTTCACCCACCTCAGGCTGGTTGCTTTCAACTACCAACTGTAAAAAAAAAAAAATATGAAGGAAATAAATAATGAACCAAGAATGTATTAACATGATTGTACCATTCAAGGGGATTCTAGAGGTTTGTGTAACTATAACAATCCTTTTCCTCACAAAGATCAGAAGACACGGTTTTGGAAAGCATTTCATAAACACTATCACATTCAGGTTACTACACACAGACACTCACACACTTTCAGATCTTATACTGACTTAGACTTTAGAAATTACTTTAAGAGAGGGTTCTTACAAAACAGTGTCTTTACAAATAATGTCACATGCTGATGATTACACAGTAAAAAACACTTTGAAAAAGAGAGTCCTTTCAAAACAATGTCCATATAAACCATATCACATTCAGGTTATACTCCTATATCTATTTCAGTGTCCACGTCAGGCTGGTTGCTTTCAACCACCATCTGAAACATTATGGAGGAAATAAATAAGCTGCATCAGACAGTTTCTCCTCTAAACCGAGCCTTGCTAAGTCACGTAGCTAATGCTAGCTAATAAACTAACATTACATTAAGAAAACTAATTTCTAACCAGACGCATCATGCAGTGTATCAGTTACTAAGTCATATAAGTAAAAAAGACGTCTGTACTAATAAAAGGCTGCTACATTTGCATGCATGTTTGGTTACCTGTATGTTTTTAATCCTCCATTATCGCCATGCTTCTGTGTTGCTCCAGTGCGCATGGGCCCCGAGGTCTTTAACATGTGTTTAAACTGCACATGTGCAAACTGAGCTCTGGCCGCGTTGTAAGCCCCGCCCCCTGTCACGCCCGTCCCGAGTGTATCAGAAATGTGTATAAAACTGCAGTACTGCTTTGGGAACTAGAAGGTAGTGTGTTATACCCAAAACATGCTACATAGGTCTCCAAGAACAGTTGATAGTCAAGGTCAGTTAAATGCAATCAATCAATTAACCTGCCCAGGGCTAGTGGCTAGACACTTCACCCTCATTGACTAGTATGAAAGTGGTGTGTGCATGAGTGATGGTGGCGATCGGATTGACCGTTGGCGCCGTGTGGCATGGCAGCCACGCCAATGTCAGTCTGCCCCAGGGCAACTGTGGCTACAACAGTAGCTTACCATCACCATGTATAGAGTGAATGAATAATATGCTGAATGTAATGCTCTGTAAAGTGTCTTTGTGACAAAAATGTTTGTGAAAAGCTCTATATAAATAAAGACTTACTTACTTATACACTGAAATACACCCAAAAAACAGGTTTCGGGTTAAACTGGACTTTTCAACAAAAAAAAGAAAAGTGTGTATATATGTATATGTATGTATATGTATGTGTGTATATATATATATATATATATATATATATATATATATATATATATATATATATATATATATATATATATATATATAATTATGTTATTTAGACATCAGCAAAAGCACTCTTTGAATTAGCCGGACCTTGGCATAGTCCGGCTATACAATAAAAACCAGCACGCGCACACACACACACAAAATCAGCCCTGCGCTGTGTTGATGCTTCTGCATAAGAAGAAGTTCATTTTTTAAACCACCAGATGAAGCTATAGAACACACCAACACAGAGTTAACACAGTGTTGGAAATGTGTTGCACACACCTTGAGGCTTCATCCACCCATCACTACTAAACACTATTTGCATGTTCTTCCCATGTCTGTGGCAGAGTCCTACACCTGATCGGGTACCTGCGGGTACGGGCAAATAATTGTGAAACGGGCGAGTTTCAATGTTCTGAATTTTACAGGTGGGTAGTGATTACACACAAACGGGTCAAGACTAAACCAGGACTAAACCAGGACTAAACCTGGACTAAACCTGGACTAAACCTGGACTAATCTTGGACTAATCTTGGACTAATCTTGGACTAATCTTGGACTAATCTTGGACTAATCTTGGACTAATCTTGGACTAATCTTGGACTAATCTTGGACTTAAGAGAGAGATCGCGAGAGAACCCTGAGCCTGCAGAGTAGGGTCTCTGCAAAGCGCAGCACATACCTCTGTGTGGCACGTAGCTCTAGTCCAGTCCTTTCTCCTACGGTCACTCCGGGAGTCAGTCCGGGAGTCAGTCCGGGAGTCAGTCCGGGAGTCAGTCCGGGAGTCAGTCCGGGAGTCAGTCCGGGAGTCAGTCCGGGAGTCAGTCCGGGAGTCAGTCCGGGAGTCAGTCCGGGAGTCAGTCCGGGAGTCAGTCCGGGAGTCAGTCCTGGTATCTTGATCAGTGTTTCTTCTGCTCAGTAAATAAAATCTGTGAAGTGATGACAGTCGAGTTGCTTCTGTGAATTCGTATTCGTACTGAAGAAAGTGAAACCGTCTCATTTCATTTTGTGATTGTAATTCTTGAATTCGTAACTTTTCAGTTCATATTCTCATTAGGGATGGGCATTCGATGAAATTTTCTTAAAATCGATCGTCGGAAGAATTAACGATCGATTATCGATTAATCATTAACGTTTTTATATTAAAATGATCATCATTATTATTACTATCTGCTCTACTAATCTGCATAAATAAATTCAACTTTACGACAAATAAACCGTAACGACTCTAGAGCCACATCAATCCGTTTGACATTATAATGTGTTTAATTCAGTTTTGCGCAACTCTCACAGAAACAAAACTTAAAACCGCATCGCTAATTTGCATAAACTCAGCGAAGATAAAACTACAGCTCTTGTGTCGCTGATGCGGTCAATTTCTGTTGGATTAAAAGACATGACTCAGTGGAATACAGGTTAGTGTGACCATATTTGCATTTGTCAAAACCAGGACACTGTACGGGGGGAGGGAGGTGGGGACTCGTCATTGACACTGTGCAACTCTCACCTGGTAAAGCTTTTTCCCACTGGACACCGAAACATATGTTCCTGCTTTGAACACTGTGCACATGGACTCCCACTTGTCCCGAATGCAACGGAAAGCGTGGAATTTCTTGTACAAGTCATCGTTAAATACGCATTTGTGCTTCGGTACGTTGCAGACTGACCGAATGTTTGTGTCTCGCTCCTTCTGAGTGCAGAGAGCTACATGTACGGACCCTGTTTGGTCACGCTACGCACAGCAACCTACATTCGGTTTGTCGATTAAAATTAACGTAATCGATGAAATTCTTAATGATCAATTATCGATTAATCGATTAATCATGCCCATCCCTAATTCTCATGGATGCTTCAGTTAGAGTGTTTTTACGCTGTGTGTGATTTATCACGGGCGGGAAATGGGTGGAATGTTAACAGGTCCGGGTGGGTGCGATGTTGAACTGTGCAGGTGCGGGTCTCCAAAAATGGACCCGTGCAAGACTCTGGTCTGTGGTGGTAGGCAGTTTCCCTAATTAAACAAAACTTGCACCACAGGAACAATCGAGCAAAGATCAAGGCTGAAGTAATCCTTATACTAGTATATTACCTATCCTATTAACTTAACCTTACATTATGATATTTTTTATATCAGTATCTGTAAAACAATAATCATTATAATTGGTGATATATTTGTTATTAGATGTATATGATATACAGATGTTGGAATCCACCTTAACACTGTAGTATGGGGGGAGTATGTCCCCATTTTTCATACAAACGCCCTCATTTTGAGAAAAAATTTGCACACACCCACCCATCCTCTGCTGCAGCATCTCCCCTGGAGTCTTCATAAACATTTTTTAAGTGTGATATATTGCTGAAGTAAATCTAGATGATAAACGAGAATACTGAAACCAAACTATGAAGCAAACTTTTCTCCAAAATTCTAAAATTCTACAACATTGTTAAACATGAGCTGCAATAAATAAACTGCAGAATGCAACACTTAAGTTATTAGTTTGTAATTTTGGTTCGTAATTTAACCCTCTAATTGGCTCATGTTTAAGTAGACTTCATTCAGAACTTAACTGGCGTTGTCCTTTCATGGTGAAATAGAGGACTGGAGGGGCATGAGGTAGGATCATGTGTGCAGACTGCTGCACGAGGATTTTATAATCCTGATATTTTTACACATATGAAATGTGCTTTTTGTCCACATAAACGCTTTCAATTAGATTTTGATGCACACCTGACTACAGCTCTAATAAATTGTTGTTATCATGTAAATTTACCATTTTGGTCTATTTGGACACATAACCCACCTGCTCCTCCTGTTTGACGCTCAGCTCCTCTGGTGCATCCTTAATCTGTGAAGTCTGTGGAGAGTCCTGGTTCAGACCTGTCTCTTCAGCAGTCACACTCAGCCACTCGTTCAATAAAGTTGTCAGCGTTTGGTCTTTCTGGACTTGGTTGTCATGGTCTCCATCTGCGTCTGTCTCCATCTGTGCAGCTGAACAGATGAATAGAGTTCCCCAGTTTTCATCATTAACAGTGTCAGAGGAGTGTAAATGTGTCTCTGCGCTGATGTCCTCTCCCTCTGTTTCTTCTCTGAGCTCAGTTTGTCTTTGTTGAAGCAGTGAGGACTCTTCTGTCGTCGCACAGGCAGCACTGGACTCTGGGACGCCCATCGTGACCTGGGGTGGGAGAGATTGACACAAAATAATTTTCATATTTTGACCCACTTGAAAACAATAATCAGAATGTTTCTTGATTTCAATCAGAAATGTGCTAAATACCCCAGATTGCAGTCGACACCAAGACAAGAGGACACAGTTTGAAACTAGCGAAACCTCCGCTGTCACATTTTCAGCCATCATATTGTAGACGACTGGAATTCACTACCAGAAAACATTGTCTCTGCACCATCAGTCAACTCCTTCAAAAACCACCTGGACAGCTACTGGAAAAATCACCCATGGAAATTCCAGTGGCATGCTGACCTGGGAAGCATGCCTTACAAACCGCACACTCGTGCATGCATAACAACTAAGTTTGTAAAAAAGTTAGAGTATGCATGTACAAAGGAACTGAAGACTACAGATCTGGTCTCAGAGGCTATCAGCCCGTGAAAAGGAACATCCTAAGTATCCTAAGTAAGTATGTATCGTATTTTCCGGGCTATTAGACGCTCTGGTCATTAAATGGTCTATTTTCAAACTTTTTCCACAAATAAACTGCACTGGACTTTAAACTAAACACAACAGTTGGATGGGTCAGTGGGACTTTGTTTGTGGCGTTCATGGTGACTCTGGGCTTTGTTCAGTTGTGGCGTGTAGGGAGGGTGCTGTCTGGGATCGCTGGATTGTCAGTGTGTTCGCAGTGACTCAGTTGTTCAGTCGTGTCTAGCAGTGGCACATTGCACTCGCTTTTTCTGTTCGTTCCTCCGTTCCGTTCCTCGTCGGCGTGGAGTGATGAGTGTGTCTGTGGGTGTGTTACGCTGCGCAGTGGCTGTCTGCTCCGTGTGTGTTTGCGTGCGCTGCGACTTTGTAGTTTACAAAGCACCTACTTTTTTATCTAGTGTGTTTCTTTTTATTGTTGTTATATGTGCAAAATAAATAATAAATAAATAAATAAATACATAAATACATACTGAAGTCATGATGGGACACCCGAGTGGATTCGTGTATAGGGCGCTCTGGATTGTGGGGCGCGCGGTCATTTTTTGATGGGGTTAGAGGCTTAAGAGCGCGTCTAATAGCCCGAAAAATAAGGTAAATGTTTGTGTAATTTTCTTCATTGAGGTTTGTTAGAAATATTGTTATACATTTATCAATCTCAGTGTGATAACAAATGCACAGCCTCCAGATGAAGGGACCGCCGTGACCAGAAGACAGAAGACCTCAAGTCAGCAAATGGCCCTAAACACATAGAGACATCGAGCGTCCCCCTCCTCCATCCGGCCGCCCCCTTCTCTTTGTTGTCACACGGCCCCCTACCCCGCTGTGCCCGGGAGAGGAGGGAGGCTCTTCTGTTTTTAATTTTCCCCAATTTCATCCTAGACATAAATACATCCCACCTGTACTAGGAGCGTGTGTTCCTCCTGTTTGACGCTCGGCTCCTCTGGCTCCTCTTTAACCCGTGGAGTCTGTGGAGGGTCCTGGTTCAGACCGGGGCCAGGACTCTTTGAGGGGATCTGAACACCCGCCCTGAGCAGCACGACTCTCGGGCTCAGCACCGAGTCCAGGAGCTCCTGTTTCCTCTGGTTCTCCTCTTTGGAGCGACACACTTCCTCCTCATACTCCGCTATCGTTCTTTCAAACAGCCCAAAGATCTCTTCAGCAGCCGCAGTCAGCCGCTCATTCACCAAAGCTCTCAGTGTTTGGCTTTTGGACATTTTAACAAACTGTTTTAAACTTTAGCTCCGAACTAACCGCACACGAGGCTGGGCGGTCTGCTTCCTGCTTTATGTGCAACAGAGTAGACACGGTGAGTGCATTACTGCCCCCACTGGTCAGGATGTTTATTTATTTATTTATTTATTTTATTTATTTGAGACAGGGACAGCGCACAATTTTCGCATTAACCTTGACAGGAGAGATGCATTGTACATCAGGTTGTAGCATCAGTGCTAATTTCCACCTGTAGTCCCTGGACAGGTTCATTGATTGATTGTATTTAACTGACCTTGACTATCAACTGTTCTGGAGACCTGTAGCATGTTTTGGGTTGTTAAACTCTTAATTTTCTTCTTCGAGTAGTGTTTTAAGTTGGCAAACAACTTTTGGTGATGAGTGCAAACTGGAATGCTGAATATATGTAAAAACAAAAAGTAAATATACTGTGTATGTATATAAATAGAAAACATAATAATAATAATAATAATAATAATAATAATAATAATAATAATAATAATAATAATAATGTATATCACTCAAAAACCTAAGTCAAATTTTGAAACTTCCATCACTGATACTTTATTTCATTTCTTTCCTGAGTGTACTTGTCCTCCAAAAACATCATATATTCAATATTTTAAGTCAAAATCATATATTATATTGACTCGAGGCACACAGAGTGAAGGTTTCAAGCCTTTATTTCTTGACATTTTGGTGATAATATTTATGGTGATTGTTGGGTCTGGTTTCTCTCATTTTCCTCTTAATAATACCCCATAGATTCTCTGTGGGGTTCAGGTCAGGTGAGTGGTCATTTAGCCAGTTTTGGTACCTTTGGCTGTGTGGGCAGGCGCCAAGTCCAGCTGGAAAATGAAATCAACACTTCCATATATGGCTGCGTTGGCTGTGGACTTCAGAAAACACAGTGGATCAACACCTGCAGATGACATAGCAGCCCAAATCATCACTGACTGTGGAAACTTCACACTCGACTTCAAGCAGTGTGGGTTCTGTGCTTCTCCACTTTTCCACCAGACTCTGGGACCTTCATTTCCAAAAGATATGCAAAAGTTACTTTCAGCTGAAATGAGAACTTTAGACCACTGAGCAACTGTCCAGTTCTTTTTCTCCACAGTCCAGGTAAGACACTTCTGACATCTTCTCATGTCCCATTTAGACTTTGCACTAACTCCAGCAAAAGTCCAGTCCTTATGACGCGTCCCCAAATTCTTGAGTTGATTTTGCTTGACTATCCTCTCGAGGCTGCAGTCATCTCTTTGGTTGGTGCACCTTTTCCTACCACTTTAGGACATGATTAGGATGTGACCTTTGCGACGACCCATCTCACTCAGACCCGGATGGTGCACTCGGACCCTGACTCCCCCAGGATCTGAGTGAAGTAACAAGTGTGAGTCAAAGGTCCCCCTGACAGAGGGCTCTGCCAGATGTTCCCAACAGACCCTTAAGATACGCTTGGGCCTGCCAGGTTTTTCCAACTTCCTCCTCCTCCAGCAAACTCAACTCACCACCTCCGGCCTGTGTGTCCTCATGCCACGTGGTCTGATGGATGCCCTTGTCCAATCTGGTCATTGAGGCCCCTGCCATCCTCAATAATACATTCTCTTCTTCTCGACTTACATTTTCAAAATCAAAACATAGTCATTTTTTTCATCTTCAAAATATTCACCAGAAGCATAATCAACATGTAATTGTAATGTTAAAGGCTGTAGCTTTATTATATTAGAATAAGTAAAATGTTTTAAACCCAAAAGATCAGGGACCTCAAGTGACTTTGAGGTTTTTTTTCTACTCAATTTGTAATACAATATTTTAAAGGTCCTATATTACATGACTCTTGTGAGCTTCTTGTTGTTGTTGCCTCATCAAAAACATACCCGGAGTTAACAGCTAACTATTACCTTTAATTCAACAGAGATGGGCAATTCCAGGACTGAAATGATCCAAATGATTCTACTGATGTATGGAAAAGACAATGGAGCACTTCCTGTATTACCACATGACATCACAAGGTGGAACAGAGTGTTTTCTGTTTGAGAGAAGAACTCAGCCTAAATCTGCAGGGTTTGTGCGTGAATGAAACAAAACACGACTGGAGATCTGTTTGTGATGGAGAAACATTATAGCATAGATCAGAAAATAGCAGAATATGAGCCTGTAAAATAAACTCACACATTCACACTGACTCCACACCTGACCGTAAAACACATAATGCACCATTACCAGAAATCGCCTCAACACGTCTGAGGGATGTCACCACAAAGAACCATTAAGGCCGTGTCCAGCCCAGTCTACAGTGAACACCGGTGAACAAATCCTGCATATTTAGGCTGAGCTCTTTTCTCAAACAGAAAACATTGTGTTCTACCTTGTTAGACCTTCAAATCATTTTAAAAGGAGCTTCATTACAGTTGCTTTTGTACTAATTTATGTTAATTGTAATCTATTTAGTACCCTGTCATGAAAAGTCATGTTTTTTTTATATTTTTAATAACAAATCCATTCTGCTCTGGAGTAATGTAACACTTTATTTTGTAATTGTGTTTTTACAGAGTATCCCCAGGTTTGACTACCCAGAATTTGAGACTTTTTAAAGACCTTTTTAAGACCACTGAAGGCTGTATCAAGTGGTGGTTTGAATATTGTTTAATGAAGTTACACATTAGTTGAAGCTTAAACTGAAATCTGTTGAACAGTACCATTGTGTTTCCTAATAATGAACCATGTGCTTCTAAGCAATTTCCTTTGCAGAACTGGGACTGTGGAGATAACCATGGCTATCTAAACAGCGGTGTGATTTACAAAAAAAGAAGAAATGCACCAGATCCAATTCTAATATATGACCAGACCAACAACAGTAACAACAATCTGACCCAGAGCTCTGTATTAGAATTGTATTGTCTAAGAACTTAAATTGATTGAGTCTAGTAATTTTTTATAGAACTAACACCACTTAAATGTGACCAACAGATTAAGGCAAAAAACACCAGATCCAATTCTAATAATGACCAACCAACAACTATATCTAGAATCTAAGAGTCACTGTGGATTAAAGCGATACTTCCCCACGATCCATCCAAAGTCTTCCTCCACTCTACTGATTGTTTACTCAGAAAACCAGAAACCAAAGTATTGTTTGCGCATACCCCATATTAGATGTACATTCACATTTCACGTTGTATTTTTTTTTTCCCTTTCTCCATCGCACTGCAGCCCGGATGAGTATACAAAAAAAATAGGCTAATGAAATTTAAGACCTTTGTGAAAAAAGTCTTGGACAACATATTTTAAGACTTTTAAGACCCCGCCGCTACCCTGTTTTATGTGTCTATTGTGTGGAGTTGATTGAATGAAATGCACAATATGGGACCAACTTCTCAAATCTGTAAAACAAATTTACCTACGGCTACAAATAAAGCAACGTAATCTAACATGACCTAATATCATGTGAAAATCACAGTGGAAGTGCTCCACTTTGTTATTAAACCTGACCCAAAAACATACTACACAGGTCTCCAGGAAGAATAGCTGATAGATAAGGTCAAATAAATACAATTAATCAATTAACCTGCCCAGGGACTACAGGTGGAAATTAACACTGGTGCTACAACCTGGTACAAAGCACTTCTCCTATCAAGGTTAATGTAACACTGTCCCTGTACCATTAAATAAATAAATTATAAACAAAATGCCATACAGCCTCACTAAAAGACAGCGATTAATTTGAAAACACCCCTTTAATTAACATCACACGGTGATGCGCTGCTGCTGCTGCCACTACAAATTACAGTATTTTTCGGAATATAAGACGCACCAGCCAAAAAACGTGTAATGAAGAAGAAAAAAAGAAATCGCACTGGACTATAAGTCGCACTTTTTGGGGGAAAATTACTTTATAAAATCAGAGACCAGGAACCGACATTTTATCTTGAAACGAAAGTTCTAGTAATAACAATACTGTAGAATAAAGAACAATAAGCAGAATAGGCATTAATATGTTAACGTAACATTAACAATTATTCAGATAACTATAGCATAAACAACTGAACATAAGTTTACCAAACTCTCCATCTCACTCCAAATCACTAAATCCACTGAATCCACAGAATTCTTCATCCTCTGTGTCAATTCTGAGCAACTCTGCCAGTACAGACTTTGTCGACTGATCCAGTGACTTCCAGGAAAGTTACATGATGCATCCTCCCGGTTGCCGTGAAGCTGTGTTCTCCATCCCCGCTTTCTGCTAGCCTTCACAAGTTACTCGCTCACTCCAAACTTTCTTTCTGCTGCCCGATTACCGTCTTCTCCTGCATATTTCACAACTTGCAGGAGTTTTTATACAGGAGGCATGCGCAGAAAACTGACACATAAGACTAGAGCCTCTCAGGGCTGTCAATCTGAAAATTTTAATGTATAAGTCGCACCAGAGTATAAGTTACAGGAAACACCCAAACCATGAGAAAATAAAAAATAAAAATGAAGAAAAATACGGTAATCCCTGAAGAATCTACTTGGTTAGTAGTGAAACATCGGCTGCAGTAAGCCCAGTTAGTTTTGATTAACTTTGTGATATACTACTGATAGAGACTTACAAAAACAGACTAATGTGACTGTGATTTATTTTATATTAATACCAGAAAAAAAAACAAAAAAAACATGTATATGTAAACTTAAATCTTTATACCACTGCGTTGACAAAGCTGTATTTTTTCTTTTTTACTGTGACAAAATTTAGATTCAAAACAGGATGAAAACTAAATCTCTATGCGTATAAATATTTCTGTTGTGTACACATAAGCCTTTTTCTACAGTTTTAATATGAAAGATGTTGTCCATATAAAACTATAGAGGATACTAGGGGATGGGACAAGACGCAATTTTCACAAGACGAGACAAACCCCGAGATTAGGTTTACGAGAATGAAGTTTTGACATAATTTGTATAAGTAGTGCAATTGATTTCACAATTTTTATTTTATGTAATACTTTAGCAGTCATTTTACTACTGCTTTTTGGAACTACAGCTTCTCAAATTGTACAACTCCCCAGCTCTTAATTCTTTTTTAGTCCAAGCCAAAGGTAAAATCAGGGAGAAAAAAAAAATCTCTCAAGATAATTTTTTTCCATCTTGTGGCAATTTTGTCTCACCAGATCTTGTGGTATGAGATCTTGTCCCATCCCCAGAGGATACTATTTTTACATCCCAATCCAAATAACTTTAAGACATTCTGGGGCAAACAGCAAGTCTCCACTGTGATACAATTACATTTTATATCATCTGACAAAACTGTCACAAATACATGTTTCATTCAGTTCAACTCATATCATACGGGGAACACAAGTGAATCCATGCATACATACTTGAAAATAACTAAATGCAAATTTAACTCTACTGACAAATAAATTAGCATTCAAACTTTTGGTTTTAAAATGGTTTCAAAAGTGGTATGAAATATATAAGTTAAAGAGAGGTCGAGTATAGCAGGCAGAATCTTTATGATTCTTGTTAAAAATCAGGTAGATAAGCTTTAACCACAGATGGCAGCTCCAAACTTCTGTATTTGATTCGTCAGCAGCAGACTCCAACACACAACTCTGGGCTCTTTAAAACATCTCATGAACACAAACAATAATCTTTTTTAAATACATTTCAGTCACACTCTGTTCTGTGAGTTGTCATGTGTCTTTTCAAGTGACTCTTTTGCACAAACCCTTCATAACAGATGCAACAGCTGAAAGGTCTTTCACCTGTGTGCGTTCTCACATGTTTACTTAGATTATTCTTTTCAGAAAAGGTCTTCTCACACATTGAACAGCTGTAAGGTCTTTGCCCTGTGTGAGTTCTCACATGTGCGTCTAAATTACACTTTTGAGAAAATGACTTCTCACATATTGAACAGCTGTAAGGTTTTTCCCCGGTGTGTTTTTGTCTATGTATATTCAGTGTATTCTTCTGAGCAAAGGTTTGCTTACATATTGAACAGCTGTAAGGTCTTTCACCTGTGTGTAATCTGATATGCACATCAAGATTATACTTTTGAGAAAATGTTTTTTTACATATTAAACAGCTGAAAGGTTTCTCTCCTGTGTGAACTCTAATGTGTCTTTGTAATTTCTGCATAGTCCCAAACCTCTTTTGACACATAGGGCATTCATATTTCTTCTCGTCAGCTCCTTCTGCTGTTCCTGACATGTCTCCATTGTTCACAGTGGCACTGGTCTCTGGTGCAGACTTGTACTTGGGGTATAGACCTGAGTTTTGTGCAGCGGAGCTTCTAGCTCTGATCTGGACTTGGTTGTCGTGGTCTCCATCAGTGTCTGTCTCCATCTGTGCAGCTGAACAGCTGAACCGAGCTTTCCAGTCTTTATCATTGTCAGTGTCAGAGGAGTGAAAATGTGTCTCTGTGCTGATGTCCTCTCCCTGTGTTTCTTCTCTGAGCTCAGTTTGTCTTTGTTGAAGCAGTGAGGACTCTTCTGTCTTCACACAAACAGCACTGGAGTCTGGGACACCCACAGGGACCTAGGGAGAAGAAGATTGACAAAATTAATATTTTGATTTTCCTGAAAACAATAATCACAATATTTCTTCATTTCAAATCAGAAATGTGCTAAAAGTTTCTGTAGTTTTCTTGGTTGAGGTGTATTAAATACATAACAATATTTCTAGCAACCTCAAGATGATAAATGCACAGATGAGGGAATTCCAAATACTACCGTCACTGTAACAAAAATCAGCCATGTCCAAGCACTGCAAGAGACAAATCCACATCATGATCTGAAACATTCCCAGAGCCATCTGTGCTTAAGGAAACAAACTCCAACTGGATCAGCGAGGCCATCGAGATCCGAAAACCAGATGCAAGGAGCAGAAATTTGGAGTGTACACTTTATTACACACATAGACTGTATAAAAAAGTGGATTAAGCGAGTGTGATGTGTTCAACATGGCTCAAACGAAGCTTGTGATACTACAGGGGCGAATTTGGAGCCAGTTTCAAGTAGATTTTTTAAAATGGACAAACAGTGAAAACAAAAACCCACCAGGATCACGTAGAGCAGGTTAAAATGGACAATTTAAGACCAAAATGATGAGAGGGGGGCAACAATATTCTAATCTAAGTCAATGAGAGCCAGGGTCAGTAGGTCAGGGTGTAAACAGGCTTACAGATGTATGATCCTTTTTATAGGAAGGGAGCTGAAAACCCCCACCTCTGGTACATAGAAATAAAATATGCCTATAGAGAGCATTATCTACAATGCATCTGGTCACATTTTTTGACTAACAATCTAAATTTGATGTGAATACTGCATCTGTTGTCAAACGTGGCCAGCAGAGACCACACCTTTTGAGGAAGTTTTGTGTCACTTTTATCTGTCCTATATGAAAGAGCCTGTGTATATAGTGTCCTTCCTCTTTGTAAAAGACAAGAACAGTCTTAATTCTATTGCTGATATCTGTTCTAAAATCACAGCAGGGCAGGCAGCTCAGAGACTTAACCTGTCTCACATCCGATTGATAGATGTGTCACTCTGAATTGAGTTACACTGACATTATCGATCTGGAAGGGCTCTCACTGAAAGAGATTGGGAAACATGGAGCATCATGACGACTACTTGAATCTTACTGGTCGAAGTGTCACAACAGAGGAACAAGCCAAAACATTTAACTTATTAAATCCATTTGTGGGAAAAGCACTCACATCTTCCCTGTCCACAAATGCCCAAAGCTCTAACCTTCTACATGTTTTTCACAAACTAAATAGTCTGTATTGACACTACAGCGCTCCACTATTTTTCACAAAATTTCAAAATTTTTCCATGACTTTTTCATGACCTAAAGTGACTTTTCCATGAATTATGGCACCTACATGTGTAGAATTGATCAGACTTTTAGAGCCAAATAGGAAATGTTAACCCTTCCCTCTCACCTTTTAACATTTTTTAACATTCAAAATACTGTCAGTGCTTTTATTGTCGTCTCTTTTAAACAAAAAGGTGCATAAGTTCAGAAATAATCATAACAGTATAATGATTAACAAAACACTGTAGTTTAGTGAAAGAAACTAAAATTGCATCGGGATGTTTGTTTTGATTCACTCTGACTTTTGCTTCTGAACAAACCTCAATGCTGCGACGTGACTGATCAACCACCACCTGTTAGGCAATAATGCACCAACGGCACCAAAATGAATCCTTTGTGAGATTGTTCTTCCTATGCACACATTTTACAAAAAAGCCAATGTGATTCTTACTTCACAGAGTCAGATTTTAAAAAGTGAATTCTCTTTACTGCCCTCATGTTGTCACTATGTTGTCCCCTATTAAAAAACAAACAGGTATTTGAAATCTTTTGTTCCTACTGCCATTTACGTTTCATCCATATACATGAAATGCCTTTTTATTGTTGTTTTAATTTATTCAGGAGTGCTCCATGTGGTGAATGTTTGGTGTCACTGTGTTTTTTTAACTTCTCAAACCAATTGTCCCTGGGATCAGAATAACATAAGACAATTTTATCCAATGTATGACAGTTAAATGTTTGTGAGAATGAATAGTAGAAACGATTAAAAATAGACCAATCACACTGCTCCTCATATGTCCAGGCCATATGGTCCAGACCCCACCCCTCCATTCCTCTCACGCTGCCCTTTAGTCCTCCAGGCACTGCCCAGTTTAGCAGCTTTGTGTGAAATGTGGATGAGTTTAAGAAATCAGCAGTGCTAAAAGAAAGCAGCCCATTTTATACTAACTGTATGAGTATGAATTCTTATGTCTGTGGTTGTGTTAAAGGTGCAATGTGTAACTTTTCTGGTGCAGGGTCCGTCAAATGCTCGCGAGATCAAGTTACAGGTCAGATCTGTGGAGAGGCGACCCCGCTCACAGTCAGAACACCTGTTTTTCTAGGTATGTTTGAGCAATAAAACCACCCGTAATTGAATAAATGTACATGTAAATGTAAATGTCAAGTAGAGCGGTTTAATGTCACACTGTGGAACATTCCAGCAGTGACATATCCACAGCACAAGCAGGTGAGAGGCCAGAAAGTTAAGCAAAAAATTACACAGTGCACTAGGGCTTGGTATCATTAAAAAGCTGCCGATACGATACAAACCTCGATACAGTGAGCTTTCGATTTGATATAGTTCAATAAAAAATAAAGGCTAAACCACAGCCGTGATACTAAAAGTCTTTATTAAACCACTTCTTGTGTAAAGTTCATATGTTACACAAACATTTTAATCATCAAAACAGTGAAAATGTCAAATGTGATGCATAAATGAGTTTCCTTCCTCTAAACAATCAACAAAACTGTAGCTCTGAAACTAAATAATTTAGGAAAATATGTCTAAAAACACTCTTGGGGATATATATATCGATACAGCAGCCCATGATATTAATACTGTATCACATTAAACGATACGATATATCGATATTTCAATATTTTTGCACATCCCTACAGTGCACCCTTAAAAGAACTGAATGCACTTGACCACTCCTCATAAAATCCAGATAAATAAATATATGAAATGTTGATACAGAAGCCTTTTGGCCTATTTTACCCATTTGGACAGGCCTCTACACACCCACCTGTACAAGAAGCGTGTGTTCCTCCTGTTTGACGCTCGGCTCATCTGGCTCCTCTTTAATCCGTGGAGTCTGTGGAGGGTCCTGGTTCAGACCGGGACCAGGACTCCTCGACAGGCTCAGCACCGAGTCCAGGAGCTCCTGTTTCCTCTGGTTCTCCTCTTTGGAGCGACACACTTCCTCTTCATACTCCGCTATCGTTCTTTCAAACAGCGCAAAGATCTCTTCAGCAGCCGCAGTCAACCGCTCAGTCACCAAAGCTCTCAGTGTTTGGCTTTTGGACATTTTGACAAACTGTTTTTAGCTTTAGCTCCGAGTCCGAGCTTACAGCGCACACGAGGGAGGCTGCGCTTTATACTCCAGTTTATCCTTACCAATCACTTCCGGTCGAGAGCTTCCGTTTAAACCAATTTATTTATTTTTAATGGCAGGTGTGGAATGTGGATATACATACATAATTTAAAACCAAAAAAAAAAAAAAAAAAAAAAAAAAAAAAAAATCAAAAATCAAAATTAAAATTTACGTCCATGTAAACTTAAACTGAGGCAGATAATACGTACAAAGAAATTAATACAAGAAACTGAGGAAGTGGTTAAAAATTAAAAATACAATCCCAATTCTTCTGTAATATTGAGTGTTTTGATAGATTTAATGTTAGAAATACTGTTTAGTGTTCGAAAATAATTATTGATTCCGTTTAAACTACGATACCCAGCATGCAACATCCGTAGACGTCATCACAACAGGAAGTAGCCGAGGCGGGGTTCTATGGATTGAGGCGATTTTAGCTCCAGTATGTTATGACAGTGGACAGAGGGAAACACACATTATAAATCAAAACCTACTTCCTTTTTTAATGCGTGGCAATGGACCACACTCCAAACTCGTCCTGTCGCTTCTAAAAACTAAACTAAAAAGCGTCCGGAAGCTGCCAACATTCGCTGGATTCGCACCTTTCTCCATCCCGCGGTGCAGCCCAGTCCTGGAACCGGGTGGTTGGCTCACCTCCTCGGCCTGGATTATGCCCATGTTTCGCCTATGATGGAGCGGGCCATGGAGCAGCTCAACGTACAGCTGAACCGCCTGACACGCTCCCTGCGCCGGGCGAGGACCGTAGAGCTCCCGGAAGGTGAGTCTGGATGGATCTGGCTTTTTATAAACTTGACAATAATGCTTAATTCTTCTAAATAAATTAAGGTGATCAAATATGCACATATTTCCCCGGGACAATCCCAGTTTTGAGCCCTGTGTTCCCTGTCCCAGTGGATTTAGCTAAAACCAGTGATTTGTCCCAGTTTTATACAAGAAATGTCCAAAGTGTCTTTACTTTTAACCAATTTGATCCCAGTAACAGTAAAGAGATTCATACATTGTCATTTGTTTAGGTAAAATACAGAAAAAACTGCTTAAAAATGACCATGTGTCCCCTGTTCCAGTGGATTTGTCCCAGTTTTATACAAGAAATGTCTCTATTTTTGACCAATTTGATCCCAGTAACAGTAAACATTGTCATTCGTTTAGATAAAATACAGAAAAGCTGCTTAAAAATGGCCATGTGTCCCCTGTCCCAGTGGATTTATCTAAACCAGTGACTAGTCCCAGTTTTATACAAGAAATGTCCCTAGTCTCTCTATTTTTAACCAATTTGATACCTGCAAAGGGTAAAGAAAGGCATATATTGTCATTTGTTTAGGTAAAATACAGAAAAGCTGCTTAAAAATGACCAAAACATAAACAAAGTGACTCATTTTAGTCATGAATGTGCCAAATGCAGAACAATTTTCATTAATTTCTAGGGATGTAACAATAACCGAAATATCGTGATATTGTATTGTCAGAAGTCTCAGTAATATCGTGGGTCATCACAGTATATCAAATTACAAGTCTTTTTCCTTAAATTAATAGTTATGTGGTTTTTATGTCTTTCTTTGTGGTTGAATTATCTTTCTTAATCTGTAAAGCACTTGGAATTAGTTTGTTTATGAATTGTGCTGCACAGATAAACTTGCTTTGCTTTGCCATGGTGCACCACGAGCTAAAAAAAAGAGGGAACTACATAGACCTAACCTGATTCATTAGCTGGTTTCACTTCATGGAAACCTTCTGACCTCGGAGCATTAGGATTCGTTCACTTGACAGAAAGCGAGAACTTTTTTTATTTAAGCAATTGCTGCTGTTTGGTCGTGACGTATGTAATGCGCTAAATCCTTTAGGAAGAAGGACAATAACGTCTTTCCCCTTGATAAAATTCACCAAACATTCTCTTTGTTCCGGCTTTAAATCCTTGATCTCGGGAATTGCTGCTAAACACAGAATGTCGGTCTTCGTCTACATCCATCTCGACGCTTTGTTTACTGTTGTGTTGTTCCACAAAAGGGACCGGGACAGGTGCAACGAGTTTGACGTCATGGCTTCACAACTCTTCTCTGATTGGCCGGTGCTCGGTCTACAACTTCTGGGGTTCTTGTAAACCGTCTAGTGTATTCTGATTCCTGACCTAGTTGCTTGAGAGAAATGAAATTAAGCAGAGGCACTAGGTTTCACCAGCCTGGCTAACATCGACCATGATCCTTTGGTGTTTGGTGAAATAACTTATTAAGCACTTTTACATCTTAATTCTTCATATTATATCAGTACCAAAGGACGTTTCAAGGCTTTTCCAAGACTTTTAAAAGGAAAAGTAGCATATTCGCAAAATATTTGCAATAAATTTTGAACCGTTAGATGCATATCGTGAAAATATATCGAGGGATTTTGATATCGTTACATTGTTATTAATTCCACACTCGATTCACAATTTTATTATTACCTCCCACCACAAACCGGGGGTGTTCCAGTTTTTGATTTTGTAGCGTACAATAAATCTTAATGTGATATTATGGAAAATTTTAGATGTAGCTTTAACATCTCCATGGAAACAAGCATGTCGTTGACGCTTCACCAGAAATATTTGAGTAGATATACAATTTTTTGTTTTTAGATTTTTGTTTAATATTATGTTTACTATAAAGTTTATATTATGGAAATTTGAATGAATGGATGAGTTCTGTTTTAGAGTTTCATATTTGACATAAACATGGACACTCTAAAATACAAGTCTTGCCACAAATAATGAGATCACAAGAGCAGTCGCATCTCAAATTGAAAGATTTTATATAAAAGCTACAGAATTACAAGTTGACTAAGGAGTAGATACTTGCTCAAATGAGTATTTAGTTTCAGTACTGATTAAGTATCAATACTAAAGAAGTCACATTGACAGGACAGAAATGAACCTTTCCGGAATCACTTTAGAATCATCTTGAGCTTTATCAGAGCAAGTATAAGAGCACATAGACTAATATATGCCCATGGACCACTGAGAGATTACACAGATATGAAACCACATGGGAACGGAAAAGAAAACACTACGATTTAATGTTCAAAAGGACATTTTATTGTCTAGTGTTTTAATTATCAATTGTCGTGTGGTATCGGAATTGGTATTGAGTATTGAGTCTATTCCTTAGTATCTAAATGATCTTGAAACTTTTGTATTGTGACAACACTACTAAGAAGTGGGAAGAAACAGGACATCATTTATTTAATCCCACTCTTTTCCTAATTGGGAATTTAAATTGATTGTTTCCTGTTACATGTTTATAGTGGCAGTGATCGCCCACACACATTTCTCATACATAGTTTTCCAAAAAAGGTCTTCCTCAGAGATAATCAGCTTTGTGGTAATTAATTCCACACTCGATTCAGAATTTTATTATTACCTACAATAAATCTTAATGCCATATTAAGGAAAATTCCAGGTGTAGATTTAACATCTCCATGGAAACAAGCATGTGGTTGACCCTTCACCAGAAATGTTTGAGTGGATATACAATTTTATTTTTTTGTTTAATATTATGTTTATTATTAAGTTTATATTATGGAAATTTGAATGATTGGATGAGTTCTGTTTTAGAAATAATATTTGACATAAACATGGACACTCTAAAACACATGTCTTGCCACAAATAATGAGATCACAAGAGCAGTTGCATCTCAAATTGAAAGATATTTTATACAAAAACTACAGATTTACAAGTTGACTAAGGAGTAGATACTTAATCAATACTGACAACTAGGGATGGGCATTCGATGAAATTTTCTTAAACGATCGATTATCGATTAATCATTAACGTGTTTATATTAAAATGATCATCATTATTATTACTATCTGCACTAATCTGCATAAATAAATTCAACTTTACGACATATAAACCGTAACGACTCTAGAGCCACATCAATCCGTTTGACATTATAATGTGTTTAATGCAGTTTTGCGCAACTCTCACAAAAACGAAACTTAAAACCGCATCGCTAATTTGCAGAAACTAAGCGAAGATAAAACTACAGCTCTTGTGCGCTGATGCGGTCAACTTCTGTTGGATTAAAAGACATGATTCAGTGGAATACAGGTTAGTGTGACCAGATTTGCGTTTGTCAAAACCAGGACACAGTACGGAGGGAGGGAGGGAGGGAGGTGGGGACTCGTCATCGACATTGCGCGACTCTCACCTGGCAAAACTTTTTCCCACTGGACACCGAAGCATATGTGCTGCTTTATACACTGTGCACATGGACTCACACTTGTCCCGAACGCAACGGAAAGCGTGGAATTTCTTGTACAAATCATCGTTAAATACGCATTTGCGTTGCAGACTGACCGACTGTTTGTGACTCGCTCCTTCTGAGTGCAGAGAGCTACATGTACGGACCTCTGTTTGGTCACGCTACGCACAGCAACCTACATTCGGTTTGTCGATTAAAATGAACGTAATCGATGAAATTCTTAATGATCAATTATCGATTAATCATGCCCATCCCTACTGACAACGCTACTAAGAAGTGGGAATAAACAGGACATCATTTAGTTAATCCCACTCTTTTCCTAATTTGGAATTGAAATTAATTGTTTCCTGTTATGTGTTTATAGTGGCAGTGATCGCCCACACACATTTCTCATACATAGTTTTGTGGTAACTAATAACCGCAAGACTTATACTTTTATGTAAAGTCTGTAACTTTATTAACATTTTATAAAGTTATTAAAGCGTTTTGCAGAATCTTGCGTTTAAAATGTGCTTTTTGGACTTAAAACAACCATGTTATAGATTCTAGTTGGCACACAGCCTTTGAACTTTTAATACCTTTAATATCTCTTTTTAAATCTGTGAGAAAAATGAATGAAAATTTTCCTTAGAAGTGGACAGGACTGTTGAGCTCCATTCATGTAGTCAATAAACTAACCAAAAAACACTTTAAATTAGCACTTTTCACAGCTCATCGGTGTAGTTTCTTGAGATTTCTCCCTAAATGTTCTCCTGCTTGAAGATTATTTCAAAGAGCTCGACTGATGTGTTTTTTCATGGCTGATGCAGATACCACTTGGTTTGATGTGTAAATGTAGTGCTGATTTGTGACAAAGAGGGCCTTTGTCCCCATTTTTCACCTTAGTTCAGTTACATCTATCTATATCAACTAAACAGCTAAATAATAACTATCCCGGGTTTGTTTTATTTAGTCTTTGTTTAATTGATCACATTCACACAGTTACTTTAAATTCATTTTATTTGGTTATATCCCTTCATTTTTGTTTAAACTTACCACCTTACCTGTGACTCCACATGGTCTGGGAACAAAAGAGGGGGCGTGTCCTTTGGCAGCCATATTTATAGGCTCAGGGGGAGGTGTTGGCCCAGACCATGTGGAGGGAAGCCTCGGAAATGGTTCTCTTTGTTTTATCAAATGGGTTATTAGAATTTTGGTTTCAGTGTTATCTAGTTAAGTTGGAGCACTGTTCAATTTAAAAGGGGGATTAGGCTTCAGAAAATAATTTAAGGCAGCACACCAGTAAGGAAAGGAAATTGCTACAGTTTTCCCCGTAAGTTGGTGTGAACCCAGGGGGAGGGACTTCCTCTCTGGGGGGTATATAAGTAGAGGCAGTTTAATCAGTAGGTAGGTCACCATCAGTGCAGCCAGGTGCCTGTGGGTATTTTCTTTTGTTGCGTTATTTTCTGTTGCTTTTGTTTAGTTAAGCACAGTTCTTTTTTTGTAAATATGTATATAATTTTGCCCACGACTTGGAAGGATCCAATAAAGAATTTGGTTTGGTGAAGGACAACTTTGCACTGGACTCTCATTTTGACCACTTGGGCCAGCTTCCCCACATGATTTAACATTTTTTTTCACAAAATATATAATTCAAATTGATTACAAACTCATCTAGCACCGTATTTTACTACAAATTGCATAAGAGAGCTTTGTAGTCATATTTTGTGGTGTTTCCTCTTCGCACTAAATCAGACATGTCAGACTCGGGCCCAGGGGCCAAATTTGGCCCACGTTATAATTATATTTGGCACAGGAGATCATATCAAATATGTATTAGAGCTGCCTGCCGGCTACAGATAGACTATAGATTATAGAAGCATTATTTATTTAAAAATGTGTTATTATTTTACATTTTGCTTGTTCTCTATTCAATGTTTAAGCAAAACTATTATTAAACATTTATTTTAATAAGAAAAGGTTTAACATTACATATCTTGAAAGAAGAGAAAACATGCAGATGTTGTTGACATTTTTCAATAAATATTTAGTTTGGCCCATGACTTAGTCCCAGTTTTTAAATCTTAGCCCTCTGTGAATTCGAGTTTGACACCCCTGCAATAAAGTGTTCAAATTAAGCTTTATACCTCCTTTTTAGGCAGCTGGTTGGTCAAAACAAAATATCGGCCTTTGCTGGAGATTTAAAACCAATAACCAATACAATTAAAAGTACAAAACGTCTATCTCTAATTTAGGGATGCACCGATCCAATAATCAACCGATGTCCTGGTTTGACATAAATGTATTGATAACATTAGAAATATTTTTGAACTTTTATTTATACAAAGCTGTTCTGCTCTGTAACATCCATAACACATCTGGAACAGTTCTGTCTAATTTTATTTTTGTTTTAAGGAAATAATTGCTGTTTTTGGTCTCTTCCCTGGTATTGGTCAATATCGGATTTTAACAGACACTTAAAGTTATAGCATTGGTATTGGGGGAGTGCAAAAATATTGAAATACTTATATATCGTATCGTTTAGTGCGATGATACAGTATCGATATCGGGGCTGATATATCGACATATATCGCTAAGAGTATTTTTTGGTCTATCTTGCTAAATTATTTTGTTACAGCTACAATTTATTACTTGTTCAGAGGATGGAAACTCGTTTATTTGACATTTTCACTGTTTTGATGATTAAAATGGGCTTTTTCATATTAACTTTATACAAGAATTATTGTATTATTGAACCGAAAGTGTACTGTATCGAGTTATGTATCATATCAGCAACTTCTTAATGATCTCTAGCCCTAATTGGTATCAGAACTTAATAAGCTGGTGCATCCCTACTCAAGTATCTCATGTAGGTTCAAGTGATTCCCTAATTTAACACAAAATTATGACCCCTTTGAACATACTGCTGACTTCTCATTTGAAACATATGAGTATGTTTTTTGGTAAAATAATGATCTCCTTCCCTCCACAGACAATGAGACGGCCGTGTACACGCTTATGCCCATGGTTATGGCTGACCAGCACCGGTAAGTTCCTGCACGACATCCCAATATGTGATGTAATAATTTCACATTGAGGGCAGAGGTACATGAGGGGGCACTAACGGCTCCTTCTGACCCTGGCTCCGATTGGCTTACACTGAAATTTTGTCGTCCCTCTCTCCGTAACTGCAGCTGTGAGCCTTGTCATTTTGGTCTTAAAATGTTCGTATTAAACCGGTCTATGTGATACTGGTGTTTTTATTTTGCTGTTTTGTCCGTTAATATATTTCTGTTCCTAATATTGAGCTGGGTTCCAAATTCGCTTCTATAACTGCAGGCCTCATTGAGATTTATTTGACTGGAGTGGACTGTTATGAGTGACGTCACACTTGCTTCTTATACTCACTTCTTTATACAGTCTGTGGGTATAACTCTACGAGCAATTTACTTTTTTTAAATAATTAATCTTAACATGAAATCCACAAAATTATCATTATTTGTTCATTTGAGCTGTCAAGGCTTAAAGTCATTTTAACAACAATCACGTGTTTGTGATGGTAAATTTAAATGTTTGTGTGTTGAGAAGACATTGAACTTTGTGCCATATTTTAACCTGGTGAACAGGTCCAGTAAATACTGAAGTATTAACCATGAGCTGGACAAACAAAGACAACTTCTACCATACCATTGTTTCATATGTGTAACACTCTGAATTGAATTCTACATATTGTGAGTCTGGAGCGGCTCTCACTCAAAAAGATGAGAGAAAGTCTAACTCTTTTGAAAAAGTGCACTTCAGAATGATGTCACATATATGAACGGGCAGTCAGTTGAGTGTGTAGAGTCCTATAAGTATCTTGGAACACTCATTGATTCAAAATTGAGCTTTGACGATAATTGTACTTTTTATTTTGTTTATTATTGTTTTTTATTGTTTATTATTGTTTATTATTTGTTTATTATTATTTTTGTATTATTGCGTGTAAAAGAGACACAAGCGCATTCATTGTCTGAGGAACTTGTCCTTTTACCATGTAGACAGAACCATGATGACACTGTTCTGTAAAACATTTATGGAATCAGTTTTAACTTTTTCACTGGTCTCATAGTTTGGGAGCATCTCTGCTAAAAACAAGAACTCCAGGAATCAGTTGGTTAAATGGACGAGTTCGGTGATTGTTCATCCTCAGACCTACCTGGACTCTCTGTATTCAGGACAGTTACAGACGATGTCCCAGAGTATTTTATTTTCAGCTGCTTCCCTCTGGTCTGAGGCTTCCCGAGATCTAGAACGAATTGTTTTAAAAGCAGCTTCATTCCAGCTGCTATTGTACTTATGCATAAATTGTTATCTATTTAAAATTGTGTGTTTTTATATATATATTTAATATTTATTGTGTTTTTAGTCAAGCGTGATGGGTGAATTTAACTAATCGTTTATGGAACAAACCTAATCTTCACTGGAGCACTGTAACACTATTTTGTAATTGTGTTTTTATACCTGTTTATTGCACATATTGTAGATAAATGAAATGTGAAATGTGTGACCTGCCTCAAATCTGCAAAACAAATTTATCTAGGGGTACAAATAAAACAACCTAACCTAACATTCAGGTAAACACTTGAATCTAAATGGGCGCCTGGTCACAACAGCATAACAAGTCGAGCAATCAAACTTTTGTTAATTCCAATTGAGAGAAAACTACAGATGTCTTTCCATCCACAAATGCACAAAGCACTTCCCTCTGCACATTTTTAAATTAAAATATTCAGTTTTTCTGATGAATTATGTCTAAATATGCCCGGGAGTTTCGCCATGTTTAGTTAATTTGGGTGCTTCACGCTTGATGTCCACTCAAACCACAATGCTGTACTGTGATTGTTCCAATCTCCGAAACACTGTTGGCCCAGGTTCAGTCACGCCAGAGAGAGCCGGACCAGATGGATTCTCATGAGTTCCCAAAAACGGGGTGGTACTGATCCGGGGACCGTGAGATGACGTGGAACTATGACACAATTGCTATCAGTATTTTATCACTCGGATTTCCCTTTTTAGGAGAAATTCAGGTGTCCGATAGCAAACACAATCATTTTATCACAGTCATTTTCAGGAAATTATCTAAAAAAACTTAAAGAACTGAAGTAAGTACAGTTAAACCTGCATTTTTGTATCGTTGCAAATTGAAATAATTACAAATGTCATGAAAAGTTTTGGAAACCACTCATCTAAACTACTGCATTTGAAGGTTGTATCCATAATAGGCCCTATGAACATAACTATACAACAATACATTTGGAGTTTTTGGATTTTGATTCCATTGATCTTTGAGTTCCTTGTAGTTTTGTTGGTACTAGGAATCTCTCTTTCTCTTCTGCCCCCTACAGGTCAGTGTCGGAGCTGCTGGTCAACTCCAAGTTTGACGTGAACTACGCTTTTGGACGTGTCAAAAGAAGCCTGCTGCACATCGCTGCCAAGTACAACTGTTTTCTCTTCACAATTTTCTACAGACCAATAATATTTAATACAAATGTGGGGCAGCAAAATGAATAATGTTGTAATGCAGATTTTTGTTGTAATTTAAAATGTCAGTGGGTCTTGTCAGTAATATAAATGAGGTTCCACATTTATGTATTTACTTGGTCTTTCATCTTCCCTCCTTCTACCTTTGATAGTATCTGTGGTCAATATTTCTCAGAGTTTTACACCAGCCAAGTAGAAATTTGTGGAACTAAATTACATGAATACAGGAAGTAAACATAATGCATCGACAATTTAGGCACAAGTGTAACATTTTTTAGACAGTTTAAACATTCATTAAAAAAAAAAAAAGTCTAACCATTAAAATAATAAACTTCACCAGAATTTCAAAATTAGAAAACACATACACAGAGCACCCCCAGTGTGACGTCACTGCAACGTATACATCCCTTACAGTATGTGGTGCTTCTTTGTGTACATGAATTGTGATACAAATCTGTTGTGGTCTTAGCCCTAAAAAGTGGTTTCCTCCACAAATAACAAAATCTCCTGTCTTATTCTGCATAAAACAGAAACTACTTACTCTGTAGTTTACATCTGTACAAACATGTTCTGAAATATCAGTTCATTTTTCAGTCTTTTTGTATTTTCTTCTGGACATGTGTAAAATGTGAACCTTGAGAGTAAATCTATAACAATTGCAATTATTTTCCCCAGATTGTTTTCCAAATGTTATGTCTTCTTGCAGTTGTGGGTCGGTGGAGTGTCTCGTCCTCTTGTTGAAACGTGGGGCAAATCCGAACTACCAGGACATCTCTGGCTGCACCCCTCTGCACCTCGCTGCCAGGAATGGGTACGGTGTTTTTATTCTGTGCATAGGCCCAGAAATACTACATCAACTTATCGTTCAGTGTATGAAAGCTGGAACTATATATTTTGGGATTCAGTATTTATCGTGTGTACATTTTCTTTGTAATAGTGGGGGGGTTTGGGAATTTTTTTTGTTACTGACACTTTGCAGCTGGTGTCACAAACATTCTCTAGGATTATGATGCTAACTGAGTCACTTCTCCGAGCTTTATTTTAACACATCCTAACCCAGGGGTCACCAAACTTTTTTCTCTGGGGGCCGTGGTCGGGTTGGCTGCATAACAGAATAGTTTGACCCTCTTAGAAAATGGTAACACTTTATTTACATATAAGACAAACTGCACGGTCCTTGTACTCAACAAAAAATGATTGGTCGTCCACTGTTCTTTGAAAACTCAGCACTCACTTTCAAGTTTTCGTACTTTAACACAAGCCATTTTGCTGTCCTTAACTGCACTACAGAACTGTCTGTGTGTGTGTTTACTATCACTGTTTGATCTTGAGCTTGTCCAGTGACGAAATTTTGGCAGCAAATGTAAATACGTCTTATAATTATTTAAATATAAATCTAATTTTTTAATTGAAAAAATCAACAAAATACAAGATGATTATTTGCTAAAAAGTAGTTAAAAAAAAATAGGCCTTGACAACTTTTGAGGATCGCTTCATTGGTGGGGGGACAGAGGGGCTGAGGGGCCAGTCAAAGGGGTGTGGAAGACCCACGGGCCTTTGTTTGATGACCCCTGATCTAACCAGAAAGAGCTGATTTAGTTGGAACTACAACAGGTGATCTGATTTGTGTTGTTAAACCGTAGAACTGTAATAAAATCTGGAAGATGAATCCAAGATAGCGTTGTATTGTTTTCAGTGTCCTGTGCTCATTGGCTCATGGACCCAAAAAGATTTTTACTTTCGCATTACTGCCTGAATACTGGCCTTATCCCGCAAACCGTGACATCAGAAACGTGCGGGGCTGGGTTAAGTCTTACAAAGTGAACTTTTAAGTATGTACACAGACACATGAGTGTCCTGGTTTCTGTGAGAACATGTGGTGAGTGAACACTCTGTCCAGAATGCTGTCATCACCAGGATATTCGCGTGTATGTAAACGCACTCACTGTTAACATGATAATATTACTTAGATCAAATTACCTGTGACAAAACATTTCTGTCTGTTCATTGTTACAGCACTGTGTTTGAAATAAGACACTGTACCCCAAAGCACTGTGCATGTGAAAATTGACGTGCATTGCCAGTCCACTGAAATTATGTTTTATACATTTTAAGAAATTATTATTATTATTACCCAATTTACTCACATTTTTGTCAGACATAACAGTTATGTGTATGTTACTTCTTCATTTATGTTACTTCTTCTTATTTCCATGATTATTTATGTTGTAGTTTGTCACTGAAGGAATCAAAACTATGAATGGACTCGTGTGGAAAGTAACAAACAAAAAATAAACTAAAATAACTCAGATCTTGTTTTAGATTTTTAAAAATAGCCACCCTTTGCTTTGATCACTACTTTTCACACTTGACATTTCTTGAACCTGGCGAGGCACAGCTGTGGAGCGAAAACCTTTGAGGAGACTTCACTTCATCATGAAAATCATTGTGAGAAGGCCAAGGGTTTGCAGCGCTCTCAACAAAACAAAGGGTGGCTATTTTGAGGATATGAAAAAAAAAAAAAAAAGTTGAGTTATTTCACTTGTTTGTGCTTTTTTTGTTACTTAATCCCATGTCTTGTTTCATATATTTGATGCCTTCCATATTTAATTTCCATCAGGGTGAATAAAGTAGATCTCTCTATATATAAAATGTTGAAAGTAGTTAACAAAAAAGGAAAAAAAAAAAAAAATATATATATATATATATTGAATGAGAGGGTGTGTTCAAACGTTGACTGGTTGTGTATCTCTACATATCATCATATCTGCTGCTGTGTCCAACCAGGAACTAAAATTATAAACCAAAATTTTAAAAACTAGAAAAAGGCCTCAAGTGGAGGAGTTCAAGTATCTCGGGATCTTGTTCATGAGTGGGGGAAGAACGGAGTGTGAGATTAACAGGTGGATCGGTGCAGTGTCGGTAGTGATGCGGTCGCTGTATCAGACCGTTGTGATGAAGAGGGCCGAAAGGCGAAGCTCTCGATTTACCGTCAATCTACGTTCCTCCCCTCACCTATGGTCATGAGCTCTGGGTAATGACCAAAAGGACGAGATCGCGGATACAAGCGGTCGAAATTAGTTTCTTCCGCAGAGTGACTGAGTGCTTAGAGGGCCTTACAGATAGAGTGAGGAGCAGGAAATGCTGTAGGGACTATGCCTCTCAGCTGGCCGGGGAACACCTCAGGATCTTCCTGGAGCAGCTGGAAGAAAGTGTCCGGGGTGAAGGAAGTCTGGGAGTCCCTGATTAGACTGCTGCCCCCGCAACCGGATAAGCGGAAGAAAATGGATGGATGGATGGATAGAAAAAGATATACATATTTTTTAGTAAAATCTTATGCTTACTATGTTTTGGTGAAATGAGTAGTCTAACCTGCCATATGCACTTTAAAGAGACTTAGACTTAGATTAAAGGCGGCCACACACTACAGGAGAATTTGGCCGATTTTTGCGGCGATTTACGATTCTTCCCGAATTTGAGGAGCTGTGACCCAACTTTGTGTCTTTGTGAGCGATTTTTAAGCCGCTGTGTGTGGTGTCAGTGTGACTCTGAGCTGCTCTGTCAGATCATAACCACTTAACAATAAAACAGCAAGATACAAACTCAGGAAATAGTGAAAACTATTATTACTCATCTCTTAAAAAGTCATAAATTTAAAGTGCAGCATCTCATCCACTTGTACCTATAGCATTTGTCCTTTAGAAATAATGACACCCAGTCCACAAAACAGCGCCTTTAGACTTCGACAAACTTTACTGATCCACAAGGAAAATGATTTGGACACAGTAGCTCACAAAGGACAATATATTATAATAACAAAGAGTAAAAATATAAACGGTAATAATACATTCTAAATAAGTAGCAAAAATAGCAAGAGACTCTTGTCAAATGATGCATAGTTATATAAATGTACAAGTAAAAATGTAATAAAATAGAAATATGTAATACAAATATCTCAGCAATATACAAGTGTTCGTATTAGTTTGTGTTTTTGTATGATTTCTGTGCATTATTCTGCTCTGAAAGCTCCTGTGTTTCCCTCAGGCAGAAGAAGTGCATGGGCAAACTGCTGGAGTACAACGCAGACGTTAACATCTGCAACAACGAGGGACTCACCGCTGTAAGACACAACTCTGTATCATTTTATTTCTATTGATACTTTGCAGCTGACAAGTCTCAGCCGTTTTTCAGTTAGTCATTTGCCACGTTTACATGAGAGCTTTAATTCCGATTAAAAATGATTAAATTTGGACTTAATTCATAATGACAATTCGGAATTAAGTGGGTGTTTTATTCCAATTTTTAAGCCAAATTAATTAATTCCTCAATCATTTAAATGTTTATCCCTCTTAAAAATAATTCCAGTCGTTTAGTGCATGCTCATTGGGTCACCCTTCTGACACGATAAGTAAAATTATAAACCACACCAAATAAAATAAATTTGACACAAAACATCTTATGCTAACTGTGTTTTTTGTGAAGTGAGTAGTCAAACCTGTCCAACATTTGCAGCTTTAGTTTTAACCACATTAATCTAAACAATATGGAAACTGAAGGCCCTCTAATCTAAGAAAATTGCAAATAAAAATGACGATGTGCATTGTTCTCGTGTTCAAAGACGTCACCATCTCAAACTTGCGTGTTCTTACCGTCTCAGATCCACTGGTTGGCAGTGAACGGTCGCACTGAGCTCCTCCATGACCTGGTGCAGCACGTCTCTAATGTGGACGTGGAGGACGCTATGGGACAGACGGCTCTGCACGTGGCCTGCCAAAACGGGCACAAAACGGTAACATCTGCAAACGTGTACATGAGGATAATAACACTGAGTATATTTACAAAAATCTGAACTAGAATAATCTGTTAACCCAGTAATTAGATCTGTTTGGGTGTGTGTTTACAGCACAAGAGAAATCAGGTGATCAAAACCTCACACCTGGTGACATGGGTCAGTTTATCTGTCGTTTTAAAGATAATTGTTGTATTTGGCAGACTAAGAACAATGGATTTTAAAACAAAGGCATGTTAAATATAGGTTTATTTTTTGGGGGATTGAAATGAATCTAATTGTGCTTCCAAAATTGTCCCTGTTAATGATTTTTTAGTTCCTCCGATTCCGTTGTGACCTGTAGCATCAATAAAACGAATAATCTCAACTAGGCATTGGTCAATATAGAAATTTGTTGTCACAATTATCATGGCCAAAGTAACTGCAATAATAAATTAACATGACAAAAATGACTAACAGTTTGAAAATATTTGCTATATTAATAATAAATGTCCCATGAATGATTATTGTGTACTCTTTTTATCATGATAAGCTATATTATTGTTGAGAGAGAGTGTAAAGACAGAGTGAGACAAAAGGAGTGAAAGAGAGAGAGCGAGTGAGAGAGAGGGGGAGACTGAAAGAGAGAGAAAGAGAGCAAGACTGTTAGAGTAAGAGAGAGAGTGAGAGAAAGAGATTGAGCGAGAGGGAGAGACTAAGAGAGAGGGAGAGACTGAGAGACAGACAGAGAGAGAAAGAGACAGAGAGTGAAAGAGAGAGACTGAGAGAGAGACTAAGAGAGGGAGAGACGGGGGGAGAGACAGAAAGGGAGAGGGAGAGACTGAGAGAGACTGTAAAAGAGAGAGACTGAGAGTGAAAAAGAGACAGAGAGGGGGAGGGAGAGACAGATAGAGTGAAAGAGAGACTGAGAGAGAATGAGGGAGAGACTGAGAGAGAGGGAGAGACTGAGATTGAGAGAGAGAGTGAGACAGAGAGAGAGGGGGAAAGACAGAGAGAGAAAGAGACAGAGGGAAGAGAGACAGAAAGGGAGAAGGAGAGACTGAAAAAGAGACAGAGAGAGAGGAAGAGGCAGAGAGAGTGAAAGAGAGAGACTGAAAGAGAGTGAGAGAGAGACTCAAAGAGGTTGAGAGAGAAGGAGAGACAGAGGGAGAGACTGAGAGAGAGAGAGAGAGAGGCAGAGAATGAGACAGAGTGAGAGTGAGAGAGAGCGAGACTGAGACTGGGAGAGACAGAGAGGGAGAGTGAGACAGAGAGAGAGAGAGAGAGTATGTTAGAGAGAGAAACTGAGAGAGAAAATAAGAGAGAGAGAGAGAGAGTGAGGGAGAATGCGAGTGTGAGATAGGGTGAGAGTGCCTAATCTTAACACACTACTGTCATTTAATTTACTAACAGAGCGGTATTTCTGAAAAAAAAAACATGCACTTCTGTCACTGGTTGGTTTAGTTTTGCCTTTAACACGAGTGATCTTGTATATTTTTTTCTAGACGGTGTTGTGTCTTCTGGACAGTGGAGCAGACATCAACCGGCCAAACGTCTCTGGAGCCACGCCCCTTTACTTCGCCTGCAGGTCGGAAAACATGACAAAGAACTCGAGTTTTCACAAATCTGCAGTGTTTTGTTGTTGGATTGGCCACTGTTTTACAACACGACAAGCCATGTGTTCATTCAGTCTGTGACGGGAGACCATTCAGAGCTCATAAATACTGGACAAAATGGTTTTGTTGGAGGCATGCGAGTACTGTCCGCATTGTCCCACAAAAGCACATGGTCTAAAAGTTATCTTCAAGATATCATTACTTCTGCAGTGTACTATAGTGCCGATCGATTTAGTTTTTTGGTGCGTTATTCTGACCACAGTTGTATGTAAACAAGGTCCAATACTCCATTACATTGTTGTGTTGTTTGATGTTACTGGTTGATAAAGTAATAATATTTTAATAAAAAGTGTATTCCTTTACAGTCATGGCCAAAGGGACACAGCTCAGATTCTTCTCTCTCGCGGTGCCAAATATCTCGCTGACAAGAACGGAGTCACGCCCCTGGACCTCTGTGTTCAGGTGAGCCTTGAACTTTAGACTTAGACAAAGTTTAATGATCCATAAGGGAAATTACTTGGGCACAGTAGCTCACACATCACAATATAATATAATAACAAAGAGTAAAAAATATCAGTGGTAATAAAAAAGAAAAACAAGTAATAAAATATAAAATGTCAGCTATACAGAAGAGCTCATAAGAAGACAGTGCAATAATATAATGATTGACAGGACATGTGGTTATCTGTTACATAAGGGTGAGCTGTTGTATAGTTGTAGGGAGTATTGTTTGTTACATAAGGGTGAGTTGCTGTCCCTATAATCTGGTGCAGTGGGTGAGCAGGAGTGTACATGTTGGAGAGCAGTTTATCCTAACTAGAGGTCTGCGCGTGGACAGAATTTTCAGTCCCGCTCCCACCACATCCGCAAAAAATTGTCATTTTCATTCCCGCTCCTCCCCCATCTGCGATATTTTGTCCCGCTTCCACCCGCAAATCCCGCAAATTGGAGACGTTCACTTTCTTAAGCTATATCAAACATGGAGAAGCGGAAAGGAATTGTCTAAAATGTATGAGAGAGTAGACCACATCTGCAAGTTTAGGATTTTTTTCTGTTCTTGGGCTGCTCCCTCTCCTCCAATGGACCCATCTCAAGTAATTGATCTGCAAAGTTCTAATTCTTTTATGTTCAACAGAGGTAAAAAACTGCAATTTCAAGTACTATGTGACACAGTGTTCTTCATAGCCCAAGACCCAGGCCCTCTTGTCCCTTCACTTTGATCTTAAATCCTCCAGACACTGCCCAGTTTAGCAAGTCTATGTGTGAGGAGTCTCAATTCTCTTTCCTCGCTTCCTTCTCCTTGAATCTTCTCCTCGATCCTCCATTTTTCCACTGTCAATCAAATGTGCCATATTAAGTGGTGTCCCAAAGAAAACCACAAAACAAAGGCGTAAACACGAGCAAGGCTTCAGGAGACGGACATCAGAGAAACGAATTAAACTTTATTGGTCTCAGTGAGGAGTTTACTCACCCATTTCCTGCAGATTCGAGGAGAGGAATCACCCAGAAGGAACCAAGGAAAGAGAAATGAGACGCACCCTATTTGAGATGTGTTGTGGGCAGAGTATAGGTGTTTAGTCCCTCTTGAATATTTTGCTGCTGCCCTCTGCTGGAACAGTTTTGAATAATAGAAGTGCAGGAATTTTTTATGAAAGAGATAAGAGATAGATAAAGATAAAATAAACAGTTCACTTCCAAATGTCGCCCCTAAACGAGAAGCAGACAATAGAAGTTTTGGTTTAATACTTTCTATTTTTCAGGGTGGATATGGAGAGACATGTGAGATCCTGATCCAACATCACAGCCGCTTGTTCCTGACGCTCGTTCAGATGACGCAAAATGATGATATCAGAGAAAGCATGGTACACACCTCTTCTATAATTCACCTATTTGATAATGTAATGTTGTGTTTAAAGGCGCTGTACCTGATTTTCACAGTTTTATTATTTAATTTTAAACACTTTGCAATGGTTCATAGTGATTCCTTACTTACTTTACACACTTACTTTACACAGTCCGAGCATCCTCATTATTTACCGCGATGAGTTTATAAGCACGTTTTTATAGCTTTCGATGGCTAGAGTGTCATAGTGCCATCAACTAGTAAGATAACCTCACACTTCCTGATAGCTGGACAGTAAAACACTTTATAATGACATCCACGTAGTACACAGCAGACTTATTTTTACCTTAAGAGCTTATACATTATATCTGTACTGTGTTTTTTCGGACTATAAGTTGCACTTAAAATCCATTAATTTTCTCAAAAATCGACAGTGCCCTTTATAATTTGGTGCATTTTATGTATTAATCCTGTTGAGGTTACTGACCTCGAACCGATTTTCACACATAATCCACTGAGTCGTGTCCTTTAGTCCGACAGAAGCTGAACCACATCATCGCCACAAGGAGCGAGCTGTTTTATTTAGAGCTTATTGTTTATGCAAATGAGCCATGTGGTTTTAAGTTTTGTTTCTGTAAAATGTAAACAAATGTGTGCAAAGTTGAATTAAACACATTATTACTCAATGTATATTTGAGTCATGCTCATAGGAAAGAAAAAAAAAACAACTTAAAGTATCCACCCACATTCACATTCATAATCCACATTCACCAAGACAGGGAGGCAACGCTGGGTGAATTATGCCACGATCTGCTGATGGATCGCGGACGCCTGGGCTAAGGATCAATCTCAGGTGTCGCCCGTTTGTGTGCCTTATAATCCAGTGTGACTTATGTATGAAAATAGACGAGAGAATTCAACATTATTGATATTGCGCCTTATAGCCCGAAAAATACGGTAACTGGGCAATACAGTTTTTGTTCAAACACATTAAAAGGTGTGCATTGTGTAACTTTTTTGGTAGAAGGTCCTTCAAATGCTTTTCTCCAAGGAGATGTTATTGCTTTGTTTGGACTGTTTCACGATATGGCATTAAACGTTTCTATCTCTATTGAGACCAAACCAGACCAAGTTACAGGTCAGATCTATTGAGAGGCGACTCGGCTCACAGTCAGAATGCCTGTATTTCTTGGTATTTTTGAGCAATAAAACCATCTATAACTAAATTAATGTAAAGTAGATCCTCCACTAGAAAACTTACACAATGCACCTTTAAGTTTTGCTTAAAAAATCCTTACTCTTACGCTTCATGCCTCCAGCTGCGGCAGGTTTTGGAGCACTTGTCCCAGCAGAGCGACTCTCACTATCAGAAGATCCTCATCAGTTTGGCTGAAGTGGCCACGACCAACGGACACAAACTGCTCAGGTACACAAAGACTATGGTTACATTTACTATTACATTATTTTATTGTTATTGTGTAGAGCTGTGGAATTGCAAACGGCCTCTGTAAATCAGTCCTTTGTAAATGCATTGGTAATAATTAATTTTTTTGATAATTTTTTATGCTGCGTTCACATTTATCCAATCCAGGTTTTCATTAATGTAGTTTTCTTGCTTTTTTGTCTCTTGTTTTTAATGTTCTGCTTTTAAAGCTGCACTGTGCAACTTTTTTGGTTACTTGTTTCTATAGATATCTCACATTGTTCTGCCTGGAATATTCCACAGTATGACATTAAACAGCTCTACTTTGCATTTATTCAATTTATTCAGGTGATTTTATAGCTCAAAAATATCTAGAAAAACAGGCATTCTGGCTGTGAGCGGGGTCGCCTCTCCACAGATCTGACCTGTGACTTGGTCTGGTTTTGGTCTCCATGAAGAAAAGCATTTGACGGACCCTCCACCAGAAAAGTTGCACAATACACCTTTAAATGTAGAATGTTAAAAACAAGAGACAAAGCAAGAAAACTACAATAATATAAAAAATAAACAATATATGCCATCCTTTCAAGTTAGTTGTCGCCCAGTTTGAGTCCAAATATTTGGTCTTTTTGGGTCTAGTCCTGGTTTAGTCCTGGTCTAGATTTAGTTCCAGGTTTAATCCCGGTCAAGTCCTTCTTTGATGTGGTGATTGTGCAAACACAGTGTGAACAAAGCCTTGATTTTTGCTTCTGAATCAGTTCTGAAGCGACTACTTTTATTACTTTTAAGATTACTTAAATCCTTAACACCGCAGTTATAAGACTGTTTTTTGTAATATACTATCAGACATAACATTTACTGATCACAATTCTGCATTTATGTTTGAATCTGATAGCCACATGTGCTCTGGAACATACAGACAGAATGTATTTATCAAATTATCAAATATTTTGTGATAGAATGTAAAGGAAATAGACTGAAATACACTGTACAGATGGAATATTTACCCTTGTATTTTATTGTCTTTGTATTGTCTTCGATCAGTTTGTCCAGCAGTTATGAGGCTCAGATGAAGAGTTTGCTGAGAATCGTTCGTATCTTCTGTCACGTGTTCCGTCTTGGACCCTCGTCTCCAAACAATGGCAACGACATGGGCTACAACGGCAACAAGACCCCCAGAAGTCAGGTCTTTAAGGTCTGTACCACCCAGCTTCACCTGTGCATGTTACATTACAACCTTTGTAAAGCTCCCATCTTATGCTACATGCTTTTTTTTACAATTTTTTTTAGCTCATATATTATGCTCTGGTTCAATCGTACCTAGAGTTTTATTTCATATTATTCACGCACATTTCCATAAGTTGTCTCCCTCTTCAGAGCTCAAATCAAAATGTGTCCCCCCTCCAATAAAGGCAAGACAAGTAAAGCACAATTTATACACAAAGTAATTCGAAGTGCTTTACAGAATAAGAAATTCATTAAAATCACAATTCACACAAATCCAAACATAAATTATTATTATAAAATAAAATAAAAAAGAGAGAGAGATTTTAAATGAGAGAGAAGAGTGCAGAATATAAACCTTTCAGTTCAATGCAGCTAAATAAAACCGTTTTGAGTCTGGATATGAACATAGTGAAAGTAGAGGCCTGTCTCACATTTCCAGGAAGACTATAAAAGATGTGGCTTCTTCATGTTTCATTCATTTTTGTGAGTGACTTTTTTCCATTACTTAATGTGGCGCTCCATAACACAACTCTACTATGGTGTTTCAGAGGGACGTAACAATAATAATGATATTGTATCGTCAGAAGTCTCACAATAATATAGAGAGCTGTCACAATAAATCAAATTAAAAAGTTCCTTTGCTTAAATGCATTGTTCTTTAGTAGGAATATCTAATAAACATAGGGAACTACGTGTCCCATGAGTCATTTCCGCACATACAACATGAGGAAGTATGTGTTTTACTTGAATTCTTGAGATTCTGACAGTAATAGTTTGCACCAAAATCTTGTAAAGGTATTTTAAAAGCAAAAAATTGTCTTATCTAGAATTATATTTGCTACTCCGAGATATCACAATAAATACCGTACTGTGAGATACATATCGTGATAATACCAAGAGATTTGGATATTGTTAAATCCCTAGTGTTTAATTTATACATACTGAGGGAATCCCCCAATTCAAGAAAGTTTATCTAAGATTTAGATTTCAAATTCCATCGATATGATCTAACTGTGTCCCCAGATACAAGATAAATATGTTTAAATCAAGTATAGCTTTTACTGATCAAAATTCTAATGCTGATTTATTCTTAATTACAAAAATGTGGACACAATGGCCAAGTTGTTCAAGTTTGTTGTTTTGTTTGGTTGTTCAAGTTGGGTGCTTTTGGTTCACAAGATGATTATCCAGTCAGAGTTGGTTTAAACCTAAAGAGACTCTGTTATCTTAATAGTCATAACTAAACCCCTAGTCAGGCTGGTGCCACCTAGTGCCTCCGCTCAATTTCATTTCTCTCCAGCGACTAGGTCAGGAATCAGAATACACTAGACAGTTTGCAAGAACCCCAGAAGGGCGAGTTCGGCCACCAGCCAATCAGCAAAGAGCCATACATTCTGTGTTGGCAACGATTCCCCAGATCTAGGATTTAAAGCTGGAACAAAGAGAATGTTTGGTGAATTTTATCAAAGGGAAAGATGTTACTACCCTTCTTCCTACGGGATCTGGGAAAAAGCTTAATATACTATACATATATAGCAGCGATTGGTTAAATAAAAAATGTACCTGCCTACCGTCGAGCGAACAATTTCTAATACTGCGAGGTCAGACGGTTTCTACAAAGTGAAACTGGCTGATGAATCAGGCTAATAAACCCCAGCACCTGCCAATCATCAGTCAGTGCTAGTGCACCCTCTGCAGCTCACTGAGTGGCTTCTATAGGTTCTGAGCTTTCACATGAGGCATGGCCTGTCCATATACTGACAAAACCTTGCATGTGCTACCTGCAAGTTTAGGCGTTGACAACACAGGTTGACTTTAATACCTTTGTTAGATCAGTAAGATCATAGCCTAAGTACATCTCTTTTAAGTCATCCTCCCCTAATCATGTAAATATTAATTATTTCAACTCTATAACCAATTCAAACCAAAATAGGCTCCTATTTGATTTTAAAACTCCATACACCTTCTTAGAACTAATATCTGCACTCAAAGTAGAGGGTCAGTCAAGGACAACAGGCTTTGTATCCAAGTCTTACCATTGAAAGTGAAACATTTACAACTCCCTTATAAACATTACCCACACTTATTTAATATTTATGAGTAAAAAAGTGAAGTGTGTACACGTCTTATTGTTGTGTTCAGATGTTAAAAGCATAATATGGGAGCTTTAATTTCACTTTGACCATTCTCTCGTTCCATGCGTCATGTAATGGGTTTCAGATGCGAGCAAAACCACTGGAGAGAGAGGAGGGTGTGTCCACAGGCTCTGCAGCTTTAGATGTGAGATTTTAAACTGAATAGACAAACTGCATGACAAACTGATCACACAGAATCACTTCTTCAAGCTTGCTGAGAGTGGTGCTTAAAACTGAGCTTGGTGGCAATTTGCTTGGTCACTAACTGATTTCGTGCATAATTAAAAGTGGAGAAATACTAATCAATTTCATGGGGAATCGGGTGCAATAATCTGTGAAATGCTGTAATTTTTTAAAGGTGCTCTGTGTCACTTTTCTGGTAGAGGGTCCACCGACTGCGTGTCTTTTCCTTGAATGTTCCACACTTTACGCTTTACGCTATTATTTGATTTAATTATTCACATTTTTATTGTTCAAATATACCTTAAAACATACATTCTTGCTTTGAGTTGGTGGGCCCTCTCCACAGATTTGACCTGTCACACGTCTTGCACTTGTGTTGCTTTTTAAAGGGAAAAAAATTAAAAAGAAGGTAGTTTTTAGGGATTTTTTTCTTTGTATTTGACCCATCCTTTAGTGAAGCTCGAGTTAAAGCTGGTAGGGACAGGGCCATCTCCAGATCTCGATCTTTGTGTGGTCAGAGAGCGGATTAGCCTATTGTGCATGGATTTATTGACACAGTGGTTAGTGCTTTAGTCTCACAGCGAGAAGGTCCTGGGTTTGACTCCCGGGCAGAACTGGGGGTGTGAAGTTTGCATGTTTTTGAGTCTGTCCGGGTTCTCTTGCCACTAAAAACATATACAGGCGCCCTAAAAATAGATTCTGAATGTCAGTGAGAATTTCTTGGTTAATCAAATATAAAATACATAGGTTGAGTACAGAGGGAATTTGTTGTCCATGTTTTTTTTATATATGTATACGTTTGTAATATGTTTAGACTAGGGATGGGCATGATTAATCGATGAATCGATAATTGATCATTAAGAATTTCATCGATTACGTTAATTTTAATCGACAAACCGAATGTAGGTTGCTGTGCGTAGCGTGACCAAACAGGGGTCCGTACATGTAGCTCTGCACTCAGAAGGAGCGAGCAAACACAAACAGTAGGTCAGCCTGCAAGCGTGCCGAAGCACAAATGTGTATTTAACGATGATTTGTACAAGAAATTCCACGCTTTCTGTTGCGTTTGGGACAAGTGTGAGTCCATGTGCACAGTGTACAAAGCAGCATATATGTTTCGGTGTCCAGTGGGAAAAAGTTTTACCAGGTGAGAGTCGCGCAATGTCGATGACGAGTCCCAACCTCCCACCCCCCGTACTGTGTCCTGGTTTTGACAAACGCAAATATGGTCACACTAACCTGTATTCCACTGAATCATGTCTTTTAATCCGACAGAAATTGACCGCATCAGCGACACAAGAGTACTGTATTTTTATCTTCGCTGAGTTTATGCAAATTAGCGATGCGGTTTTAAGTTTCGTTTCTGTGAGAGTTGCACAAAAATGAATTAAACACGTTATAATGTCAAACGGATTGATGTGGCTCTAGAGTCGTTACGGTTTATATGTCGTAAAGTTGAATTTATTTATGCAGATTAGTAGTGCAGATAATAATAATGATGATCATTTTAATATAAAAACCTTAATGATTAATCGATAATCGATCGTTAATTCTTCTGACGATCAATTAAGAAAATTTCATCGAATGCCCATCCCTAGTTTAGACCATTGTAAGTAGTTTACAAGAAATCATAAGAATCGTAATTTTGATTATTACCTTAAAGGGACAGTCTGGAATTTTGGATATAGGACCTCATTTCCTTTTGAGCCAGAGTGCTGGAGACGTGTGGAGACACTTTAAAATATTCCATCCAGTCCCTGTATTTGCAGAGATCGCTGGTGCTAGGCTAGTGCATGTCAATGACCATAGTTATCCTGCCACTAAAAACAGTCTTACCCACTCCACAAAACACCCAAAGAAAATCTATGATTACACCAGACTGTCGACTGTTATTTTACGTGAGCTCCCCCTGCATGTGTAGTCTTGTAAGTGCAGTTTGGGTCAGATACACAGAGATGCGTAATAGTTTTGACTTTTGAGAGCTTTTGCCACGCTCCCTTTTTAGTGTAGAATTTCTTTAGTCGATTCCAGCTCTACAGAATACAAAACTTTGTTACAAAACATACACATATTGACCTGTGATTTGACCCTGTAATCTGTGTATCATTCATTCATTTGTTTTTCAATATAAAGCCAAAAATATGAAAACAAAACAACTATTTTCTTCATTATTTGTCTCCAAAACCAAAATGAAAATAAAAAAACAGGTAACAATTTGTTTTTTCAGTTTTCAATTTTTGTTTAAATGAATAATGGAAAAAATGAATAAAGTCCCGTTTCTGTGACTTAAACTGCAATGTTGGACTTTTGCGCTGCATACGGACTGAACCAGGACTAAAACAGGACTAAACCGGTCTCAGTCCGAGTCTAGTCCTGGTCTGGTCCCAGTCTCAGTCCTGATCACCTGACAGTCTACGCGGATGTAGCTCAGGGCCTGTCCGACTCTTAGTACTGGTTTAGTCCTAATTTAGTTCTGGTATAGACCTATTTAGTCCTGTTTTAGTCCTGGTTCAGTCCTGGTTCAGTTCGGGAAACGGCCATTATCCATTTTTTCCATTATTAATTTAAACACAAAATCGAAAATTGAAAAAACAATTGTTATCTGTTTTTTCATTTTGGTTTTGGAGAAAATTGTTGTTTTTTTCATTTTCTTATTTTTGGTTTTATTTTGAAAAACAAATGAACGAATGATACACGGATTCCCTGTGTTTAAATGTCTGCAGAGATGTTTGTGGTGAATCTTTTCCTTCCTCTTCTATTTCATCTCAGCCTCTAGAGCTGCTCTGGCACTCTCTGGACGAGTGGCTGGTTCTGATCTCCACTGAACTGGACCGAACCAGGACCGACCCGCCCGGCTCCTCCGGCAGCGAGATCGCCTCCCTGCTGCTCAAACAGAGAGACGCCTCCTCAGCTGGCCCCGCCTCCGTGGCCTCCCTCGACCAATCAGCCGCCTCCACTCCCTCCTGTGACTCGGCCCCCTCCTCCGCAGACTCCGCCTCCAAACTTCCCCCCGCCCTGGACCCGCAGCTGGTCGTCATGGAAGCGGAGGCGTGCGCGGACGGCGAGGACGTGATTTCGATGACGGCGAACAGACTGAGCGCGGTCATACAGGCCTTTTACATGTGCTGCTCCTGCCAGATGCCACAGGGGTGAGTCAGGAAGGGTATATATCTCCATGGAAACAAGCAGGAGACCCCGCCAGGCCAAATTACCAGTCAGATCTGTGGAGAGGCAATTCCACTAACAGTAACAATGCAAAAACAGCAGAAGTTAAATCCCATACATTGAAACGTTCCATGCAAAGTTTATATGTTGATGGTTTGAACAGAACACCCAAAAGTGGCGTTGCGTCTTCACTTTATATTCCACATTTAGACGAGCGTTTTCGGGAGGAAATCTGCGTGCATACGGTGACGCGAAAGTGTGTGGAATTCAATTGGGTTGCATGCCAGGCAGCTAGGTGGTGACACGCGGTGGTGATGTATGTGACGTAAATGTGAACGTAACGTGAGCAGATCTGACCAGAGTTTTGCGTCTTGGGCAGTGTAGTCGGAAACGCTAGAGCGGAGCGTATTCAGCTTTTCCACTCTGGAGGGTGCTTTCAGATTTTTGCCTTTTTAAGACCCAAAAACGGCATCACCGTCTAAACGAAAGGCACTTCCAATAAAATATTTTGTCATTTTTACTCTCAAACATTCTCGTGTAATCAGGCCCTGACTTCTTAATTGAAATTTCGAAGTTAAGTTCCCAATCTCCTTTAAGTCTGTCTCTTCTTCTCTCCTTTCTCTTTCTCTTTCAGAATGACATCTCCTCGCTTCATAGAGTTTGTGTGTAAACATGACGAGGTGCTCAAATGTTTCGTGACCAGGTCAGTCCAAACTCTCCTTCTGAAAATATTTTCTCCATTTCACTTAATACACTTCTTAATTATGTCTCCCTTTCCATCTCTATTCCTCCTTTTCTTCACCCTCTTTTCTCTCTCTCTTCACCTACTCCACTACCTCCTTTTTGCTTTTTCCTTTCTCTTTCTTCCCTCTCTTTTTCTGCGCTCCTCCTTAATCCTTTAATCCTCTTTTTTCCCCTTCCTCTTCTCCTCACTTTCCTCTTTTTCTCTTTCACCATCCCCACTTTTTCTTACCTTCTCCTCTCCACCTCTCACTCTGCTCCTCTCTTCACACTCCCTCCTCTCTGTCTCCCCGTGTCTCTCTGTGGTCATTTGTTTGTTTTTCAGGAATCCAAAGATTATTTTTAACCACTTCCATTTCCTGCTGGAGTGTCCCGAGCTGATGTCCCGCTTTATGCACATCATTAAAGGACAGGTGAGGAATACTGACAAATAGATGGTTCCAGTTTGAAATAAGTTCACGTTTATTCACTTAACAAGTTGTTTTGTACAAGTTCTGTTTTACGTTCACAAGTAAAGGTTCTCTATGACACAAAGTTGACTCTTGTGAGTTTTAAGTCACGTTATAATGCTGTTACCTCCTCAAAAACAGACCTGGAGTTGTGTTTTGTTTCATTCACACATGTTTGAGTAACACTCTATTATTAGTCTGTTTGCATCTCCAAAGCTCACTGTAGTTTTCATGTTAACAGCTACTTTTACCTTTAGTTTCTTAGAGATTAGTAATTTCAGGGCTGAAATTATCCAATGCACCTTTAAATATCTTCCTTTCTGCATCTATTAATAGCATTAAAATACTGAATTCTTGCTTTCATTCTGCGGAATGAAAAACCTTTCAGTCATATGCAGCTAAACAAAACCGTTTTTGAGCCTGGATTTAAACAGAGTCAAAGTAGAGTCCTGTCTCACATCTTCAGGAAGGCTTCCAGGTTTTAGCTGCATGAATCTGAAGCTCTGACTGCCCGTGTTTAGTCCTGACTCGGGGCACCAGCAGGAGGCCGGTCCCTGAGCTCCTCAGAGTGCGAGATGATTCATATGGCACTAACATGTCACAGATGGACTTTAGTGCTCGGCCATAGAGAGACTTGTACACAAGCAGAGCCACTTTAAAGTCTCTTCTCTGAGCCACAGGAAGCCAGGGCTAGAGTTTTGTTGCTTGTTTAGAGGAAGGAAAGTTGTTTAAGCACCACATTTGACATTGTCACTGTTTTGATGATTAAAATGGGCCTGTTTCATATTAACTTTGCACAAGAAGTGGTTTAACAAAGAGTTTTAGTGTCACAAACATGTCTTAGCCTTTATTTTTAATTGAAAAAAGTGCACTGTATCGAGGTATGTGTCGTATCGGCAACTTCTTATTGATACCCAGGCCTAATCTCCATGGAGACAAGAAGGTACCAGAAAAGTTCCTCCCCCAGAAAAGTTGCGCCTCTACTTTTATCATGCTAAATCTGATTTCATAACTGTAATTTCCTTTGTCGCCTCCGGTGGAAAAACGTTACATCACATTCACTTAAAAAGGCACAGCATTGTCTGAGCGTCTTGATTCAAAAATCTAATAAAAATTGATTCTTGAAGATTAAATGTGAAAAAATTTTTTTTTGGTTTGTTTCTTTTTTCTGTCAGCCTTTCAAAGATCGCTGCGAGTGGTTTTACGAGCACCTTCTGGCCGGACAGCCAGACTCGGATATGGTTCATCGCCCGGTCAATGAGAACGACATCCTGCTCATACACAGAGGTGATATCAGCTTTGGAATTTCATTTTTTCTAACTTAAACGAAACCTAAAAGGACTTTATGGTGTAAATACTTGCCACTAAATTCCAATAATCATGAATTCTGTCCCAAAATCTTCAACAGGTACAATAGCCATTTTGAGATCCAATCCACAAAAACTAATTTATTTATTTATTTTTTGTATATTGAGGTGTTTAACATACATAACAAATTAATCTCTCTTTCCCTCTCTGTTTTTTCAGACTCTATCTTCAGGAGCAGTTGTGAGATGGTTTCCAAATCGACCAATGAGAAGCTGAAGCAGGGGATCGTAGTGCGTTTCCACGGAGAGGAGGGCATGGTGCGTTTTTTGCACACACTGGGTTTCAGACGACATCACAACATTTGATTTTCCAGTAATGTTTAATACGGAGAGACCAAAATGCTGCTAAAATGGATATTGTTAAAATATATGCAGTGATTTTTGTTCTTGGGTCTAGTCCCAAATCAAAGTTATCAGGTTTGACATTTGTGCAGTGGTGGAGCATAACGAAGTAAATCCTTAAGTATATATTTTTTGGTATCTGTACTTTACTGTAGTATCCAGTCCAATCCACATTATTTTTACAGCACATTTCACAAACTGAAAACTGCCTGTGTTCAACCCACTGCTGACTGTTCATCTGCAGTTCACCTGTATTACAGTGATATTACATTGATATTACATTGATATTACACTGATATAACTTAACCCGTGTGTGTTTGTCGTGCAGGGCCAGGGCGTGGTGAGGGAGTGGTTTGACATTTTGTCCAGTGAAATCATCAACCCGGACTACGCTCTGTTCACTCAGTCTGCCGATGGTATGGTTTAGTGACATTTATTTTAGGAAATTTAAAGAAGATGTATTATACTTTTTTGTAAACCACTATATTGATCCCTAACACTTTAGTAAGAGAAGCAGGTCCAAAATGACAGTGTAGCAAGCAGCAGATTTTCATTTACTTGCTTTTATTGTTGGAAAAATGCTATGTGACTTTTTTTTTATTTATACTGTGTGCTTCTTCATCATGTTTGAGTAATTCTGTGCTGCCCTGCATTCAAGGCTTAACTGTGCATAAAGTTTCTCTTTTCACCTACCCCCTATCTCCGCCCACACCGGTGTACATAGATTATTCAGAAAAGATGACGCCGGTGTCACATAGTAATTTTTTAACAATAAAAACAAACAAACAAACAAATCAATGGACCCGTTTCTATTACTATGCAGTTTTAGACCAATACTGCAGTTTACACTGAACCAAATGTAAAATACTGATCTATAGTATACAGTAGTTTTTGTTTATATGTATGATGAAAAACCAAGACAAGGCAAATTCCTAAATGCAACATAGATATTTTAATCACAAAAATAACAGGGTAATGTGATTGGTAATAAACCAGTCCACAATCTCTTACTTGTCTCTCGTCCTCTGTCTGCAGGCACCACGTTTCAGCCGAACAGTAACTCCTCAGTGAACCCGGATCATCTGAACTATTTCCGGTTCGCGGGGCAGGTCCTGGGTCTGGCTCTGTACCACCGCCAACTCGTCAACATCTACTTCACCCGCTCCTTCTACAAACACATCCTTGGTAAAAAAAAAAAAAACATCATCTCAAAGTGTATGATATTATTTTATGTCTCCTGGTCGGGGATCCGTTCTGCTGGAGATATGTTTGAATTTTGTAAATTACAGCCTTCCATTTTATAGCGGAGCTAATGATAATAATGTAATAACTATAATTTTCAAAAACACAAATACAAAATGCTTCACATATTCCCGTTGCCTGGCAAATCCACAATGATATCTCTGTACTTTTATACAGACAAAATCAGTCTGGTCCACACACCAAAGCACAGCTGTGTTTGATGGAGCTTCACATCTCAGTTTAGTGCTTCTCTCATTGATTCTGCAGAAATCGGGGATGTTTTTCAGTCCTCTGTGAAAAAAATGTCATTTCTTTTTTCTCGTGAGCAGTCATATTTGCTTTGATACAGACTTACCATGTGTATAAAGAAATACTCGCCAAATTTCACAGAAGCTGTAGTCTCGATGAGACTCACTAAAATGTTGATTTGACCGAGCAGATGATTGAAAATCAACAACTATGTCACTGTTATAGTACCATTTTTAATAACAATAATAATGCATCCGTTTTATATCGTGCTTTTCTGGACACTCAAAGACGCTTTACAGAGCATTATTCATTCACTCCACACTCTGTAATGGTAAACTACTATTGTAGTCACAGCTGCCCTGGGGCAGATTGACGGAAGCGAGGCTGCCAATCTGCATCATCAGACCACCACCACCAACACACACACACACACACACAAACCACTTTCATACTAGGCATTGTGGGTGAAGTGTCTTGCCTAAGGACACAAAGACAGAACTGGCACCCCCCTGTGGCACCTGATTTTCCCAGCGGTCTCTCATCCAAGTACTAAACAGTTCTGGTCTTGCTCAGCTTCTGAGATCTGAAAGGATCAGGTTTTGACGAGCCGGTATGGAGACTTTTTTGCTGTGGATAATAGTATACAGTTGTTGTTTTTTTTGCCCATATTGATTTCCAATATTCATGCTGCTGTTGTTGTTGTTGCTGATAACAGCAAAACAAATCTGTGGAAATCCTCTGATATCACTGATAATGCTGATACCTGAAACACTATTCATAAAATACACAGTTGAAGAAATACAAGTTTTTATTTATAATGATACATTTTAAATATTATAATAATATTTTGTGCAGGATCTCATAATGTCTGTATGTTCTCGTCATTCTGTGCACTGATCTACCAAACTTGTAATTTCAGTTTTATTCATTAAAATATCTGTTAATTATTATTTTTTCCAGTATTAAGCAACCCATTGTATTTGTATCTTATACTTTGTATCGTAAACTAACTCTACCCAAAATGTCACACCCTTTAGATTCTGTGCACGCTAATATATTGAATATATTTTCCATTATTACAGTTTTTAAGTCTATTTTATTTATCCACCTCAGCCTTGCATTTCATGTATTTTATTTCCGTACTTAGGTATCCCAGTGAACTACCAGGACGTGTCCTCCATCGACCCAGAGTATGCCAAGAACCTGCAGTGGATCCTGGACAATGACATCAGTGACCTGGGCCTGGAGCTGAGCTTCTCTGTGGAGACGGACGTGTTCGGAGCCATGGAGGAGGTGCCTCTCAAACCGGGGGGCACTGCCATCTTAGTCACCCAAGACAACAAGGTACAAGAGACAAAGAGCTCAGTATACAAGATACATTTTTTTTTTTTAAAACAACCGTTAAAGTGGAAATCCGCCATATTTCTGTCACTTGTGCATGTTGTCTGTAGAGATTCTACATTAGCCAAAGCAAAGTCAAAAGATAAACAAAAGTGTAGTGGAACAACACGATAAACTGTTGGGTCTCTGCTGGTAATACATTGTTCTATAGTGTTGAATGAACTCCAAACTCAGTATTCAGCATCTTAAAATCTCCATTAGTGTAACATTAGGCTCATTGAAAATTTTGGTGATGAGTGAAGTCACAATCCCAACCCCTATTTTGTCTGGAACGTATTTCTAGTGTTTGGAATGAAGTAAATCTACGTTTACTGTTAACATGTATTCAGAAAACTCATTTGGAGGAAATCTACCTCAGTTTCTCTGTCATTTGGTGCTATTCACAATACAATACTTTTCTGAAAATCAAGGGAGACAGTGCTGCATTTGATGAAACCTATTAAGGCTTCAGACTACACAACACTTGATATGTTGTAGCTGATATCATCCTTGAAGTGCGTACATGTGTTTTTTTCCTTCTGTGCTCTGTGATACATTCATGCGTAACAGTGACTTTGTTCACATGCACACAAAAATCTGATTATAATCTGATGTCTCGACGTTAAAGAATATTTAAATGACACGCAAACCACAAAATCGGATGTGAGTGATGAGAGGGACTACGATCAGATAGAAATAAGATAACTGTGCTGTTTACATATTGGTTTAATAATCTTATAAATCCAGAAATCTGATAATAATTGGATTTGTGTGTACATGTAACCGCAGCCAGTGAAGCAAACACAAAGCTGTTTTTAATAGTCTGTTGCCGTGCTGTGGAACGTTCTAAGCAAAACTATTACTGTATATCTCCCTGGAAATGAGGAGATGGCTGACACTCTACCAGAAAAGTTACATAGTAGAATTTTAAGTTACCGTAAATTCCGGACTATAAACTGTTACTTTTTTCTCACACTTTGAACCCTGTGGCGAATACATGGATGGATTCTTTGTTTGGCACATTGTCCATTCATATTTACGGTCTATGGTTTGGTAACACAGTGGATACTCGCAGCCTGAGTGCAGAAAACGTCGTTGTCTGTGCAGTTACACATGGATCTAGGGTTCACATGAAGTTGCGACACTAGCTTGCGATATTGTCAGCGAAGAAATGTCTCAAACTTCAGTATTTGGACATTCACTCATACCTGATTGATAGAACTAACCCCGCCCCCGATAGAGTCTGAAATCTGCTGAAATCCTCCAAGACACTGACATGATACAGACAGGACAACAGCTCTTTCTGCAGGAGACATGTGCAGTAGAGCCTGGGCAGAGACAGGATGATGTGCCGAGGAAGATTCTAGTTTGATTGTGTTTTGAACAGTTATTTTGAACTTCATACACACACACGAAGACACGAAAACACACGAAGAAATGCAGATGATGCAGCTTTGATGTAGCTGTGGAAGAAGGAAACAGAGCTGCTGCACGTGAGCTCGACATCAATGAGTCGATGGTGAGATTTTTGCGACGGCAGCGTGACGAACTGACTCAATACAAAAAGACAACAAAAGCTTCAGAGGTGATAAAAGCGGATGGCTCGAACTTAATAATGTTCTTGAAGATGTGGACACCAACGGGTTACATTCAGGTGCAGTCTATATATATGTACAGTTTTAAAATTTAGTTAAAATTTAGTTGATGTGGCTTATATTCAGGTGCGCTCAGTAGTCCAGATTTATGGTAGTTACAAACTCATTACAAATTCAGCTGCACACTACAGGCTTTCTTTACAGTAATTTACCCACATTAACTGCATTTTTCTGATATGTTTTATAATTAAGCAATAAAACTAAGTAACAAACATTATAAATCCACCTTTTAAAAGGAGTATAATGTAAAATTGTTTGTTTTTTAGCTTTCTACTGATGTTATAACATCATCAAAACCATGCCTGAAGAGGTTTTAGATGTCAACCATGCATGTTTGAGTAATTTAGCGATCTCTCCTGGGCCTTTTTCAAACCTTTCTCACATTTAGCTGTATGATTCTGTTCAAAGCTCTGCCCACAAGCCTACATCACTCATACGCCCACTTGACAATTCTGCATAAATATACAAAAACAAGATAAAAAAAACTGTACACAACAACGCTGTGTTGTGTTTGTCTGTGATTGTGTTGTATGTGTAACAATAACCAAAATATTGTCATATCGTGGCAAAGTTCTCACAATAATATCGTGGACCATCACAAAATATTGAATTACAAGTCTCTTTACTTAAATTAAGAGTTTTGGAGAAGCAATAGCTTAAAAAAGACAGCGGGAACTACATAGACCATGATCCTTTGCTCCATTTCAGTGCAGACTACAAGAAGAAATAACAGTTCTAACACTTTTAAGTCTTAGTTCTTTGGATTATGTCTTGTCAGGGCATTTTAAGAGGAGAGAGAAGTATCATATTCACCTCCACAAAATCACAATAAATATCGTACCGTGAGATGTATATTGTCAAAATATCGTACTGAGAGATTTGGATATTGTTACATACCTAATCGTGAGCTTCCCCACGATATCTCAATAAATATTGCATCGTGACGAATTCGCATCGTGAGACTTGAATACACCCCTGGTCGCGCATGGATTAAGGAGAGGGGGGCTCAGAGCGTCAAAAACGAATCTAAATATGTATAAATATGTATTGTAATTGTAATGTATGCAGAAGTGTAATACCCCCTCTTTAAGTAACCATCACTTATTTATATTGTTTCTTAATATTTTGGCCACCCTTCCCTAATCACCAAAACGTACCTCAAATAGAGTGTCTTGCTCACCTAAATCCACTTCCATATTCATAACGTCATCGAGCGGTTACTTCTGGTCCAAAAGTTTCCAGTATTTTCTGTGCAGTTCGTTCGCGTTAATGACCAGCCCAAGTCCCCTCTCCTAAACACATCCATATCTGCTCCTCTATGAGCGATTGATCCGACTCCAGCTCCTACCACTAACAGGCCTAATTAGAGAGCGCAGTACCGCAGGCAGACTCCAGGTGGCACTGTAGTATCACGTATAGAGCAAACTGGAGGTGGTAAAGTCTGCTGCTCCAGAACCTTTTTAAATCCTTCCCTGGTCCATCCATTAATAAAACACACGTGGGGAGTATTTAGAAAGTCAAGTAGAATGGAGTGTAGCCATAGGTAACTGTATACGTAATTATAATAATAGGATAACTCCAGAAATCAGATAATGATCAGATTTTTGGTGTAAACATAGCCGCTGTATCATTGACCCACCGTTGAGCTGTTTTTTAAGTTTATCTATTTATTTTTTAATTGTATTGATGGCAACGAAAGTATAAAAAAACATACATTACTAATCTTATTTAAAGGGGCGACAGTAGCTCATTTGGTAGAGCGTTTGTCCACTGATCCAAAAATTGGCCCTTTGAATCCTGTTCTCGACATAAACATCATTGGTAGAGGGTTTAGATCCACTGACCCAAAGGTTGGCGGTGCGATTCCAGCTCCCACAGATGAATGCTGTCATTGTGTCCTTGGCAAGACACTTTGATTGCCATGAAGGTGAAAAAGCGCTATATAAAAATGTGACCGTTTAAAGGTTCTATATTTTGTAAAACTGACTCTTGCGAGCTTTAAGTCATGTTATAATTAAGGATGTAACAATAACCACAATATCGTGGTATCGTATCGTCAAAGTTCTCACAATAATATCGTGGACCATCGCAATATATCGAATTACAAGTCTTTTTGCTTAAATTAAGAGTTATGGTGCAGCAATAGCTAAAAAGAAAAAAGACAGAGGGAACTATGTAGACCATGATCCTTTGCTCCATTTCAGTGCAGACTACAAGAAGAAATAACAGTTCTAATACTTTTAAGGCTTAGTTCTTTGGATCAAGTCTTGTCAGGACATTTTAAGAGGAAAAAGTAGCATATTCACAGTTTTTTTAGCCTCCACAAAGAATCGCAATAAATATCATACTGTGAGGTTTGACGATATCGTATCATGAGACTTGGATATCGTTACACCTCTACTTATAATGTTGTAAAGTCTTGTTTCACTCACATATGTTTGAGTAACCCTTTTTTATTATTAGTCTATTTACATCTCAAAATCTCAAAATGCTCTGTTCCACCTTGTGATGTCATGTACTGGTAGTTTTTTTTTTAAGTTAACAGCTCCTTTTATTTGGTCATTTATTTTGTTTATTTATTTCATTCATAAAGTATAAAAAAGACATTAACAGTGCCACAACACCAAACATACAAAAAAAATGAATGAAAAGGAGCAGAAAGAAGAGTAATCTTATGTTATCTTATGCTACCTATTCCCTTTTTTCCAAACACTGATAGTCACTTTAAAACATTTCAAATCAGTACATTTCAGCTCAGGCACAATTATTAATCAACTGCAACAGAAATCTTCACTATTATGCACAACAGCTTAGTTTCCTTTTTCATACTAACACATTGGACTGGATTTTATGTGTTTTTTAAATGCCATTATTGTGTTTGATTCTTTTATATCTTTGTCAAGACTTTTCCTTAAATAAACTTCTTTCACAGTGATGTTTCGCTCCATAACCTTAGTTCTGGATCTGGGTTTTTTTAAAACATGTAGGTTCTTGTTCTTGTCTCAGTCTTTGAATATTTACAGGTAATACATTGCACTTTGCTTTATATGTTACTTTGGCATTACTTTTACCTTAAGTCCAGTGGAGACAGGCGATTCCAGGGCTGAAATCATCCAAATGATTTTAGTGAAGGTGTGTAGAGTTTAAAAACACTGAAAGAAGAACTCTAAATATGCAGGTTTTGTGTGTTAAACATGTGTGAATTAAACAAAACACAACTCCAGGTCTGTTTTTTTATGAAGATGAAGCAACAAGATCCTAAGATAGAGCAGAAAACATCGTAATATAGGCTCTTTAATACGTCTCTTGTTCGCAGGCGGAGTATGTGCAGTTGGTGACGGAGCTGAGGATGACCAGAGCCATCCAGCCCCAGATCAACGCCTTCCTCCAGGGCTTCCACACCTTCATCCCTCCCTCCCTCATCCAGCTCTTCGACGAGTACGAACTGGTGAGGAAAGCACCATAGAATATAAAGAAACATATTTATATTAATGTGTTATGTTGAGAAATGTTTACACATAAATTAGGTAATAGATTAATAGAGTTACTTTTGATTTGGTAATAGGCTGGGCACATGTGATGGCATTATATTGTTTTCTATGCTTTAGAACTACAGACTAGACTTTATTGATCCACAAGGGAAATGACTTGGACACAGTAGCTCACACATGACAATATATTATAATAGCAAAGAGAAAACAATATAAATAGTAATAATAAATTCTAAAGAAAGAGGAAAAAAGACAGCAACAGACAGGTGTCAAATAAGGCATAATTATATACAGTTGTACCTCGCTATATCGCGGTCCACTTTTCGCGGTCTTGCTGTTTCGCGGATTTTTTTAGTGCAGTGTTTTTTTGACAGCGTATGAGCACGTATTGTGTTCCTCCCCCTGCGTCCTGATTGGCTAAGGGATTGTAAACCATTGTCAATCAGTCTCTTCTGTGCCGTGTCTCCTGTACAGTACAGAGTGTGTTCAGCTTGACAAGTTTACATAAATGTTCGATCTCTAGCAGTGTGATTCTGAAGTGCAGTGCGATCGGGCAATTGCCGCGCTTACTGTGAGGTGCGGAGCTCTCCATCGGTCCTTTCTCCTGCAGTCACCTCCGAGCCTGTCCCGACAGTGAGTCCTGGTTCAGTTCTGGTTTAGTTCTAGTTTAGTCCTGGTTTTAGTCCTGGTTTACTCCCGTTTTAGTCCTGTTTTAGTCCAGTTTTAGTCCTAGTTCAGTCCTGGTTTAGTCCTGGTTTAGTCTTGGTTCAGTCAGTGGCGTGTTCAGCACAAAAGTTTAATATAATCTCGGGTTAACGTGCGGGTGTGGTGCTGTACTGTGCGGGCCCGGGTCTCCAAAAATGGACCCGTGCAGGACTCTGCGCTGTAGGGCTCCATTATGGAATAAATTAATCTTTGGTTCGTTACAAAAAGAAGGAGGAAAATAACAAAAGGACGACAGCAGCAATAAATTTTAAGAAGGATGTAAAAGGAGTTGTAAGTGTCCTGTGTGAGAAAAGTGTATAAAGTGTGTGGTGAGGGGTTTTACAGACTTAAAACATTTATAACTGTAAATATAAAGTTGACTACTTCGCGGATTATTTTTAGAACGTAACCCCTGTGATAAACAAGGGACCACTGTAATTGTATATTATGTACAAGTTGAAATACAATAGAAAATGTTATGGAGTTTTGGATCCCCTGCATAGACTCAGCAAGGACACCTCCAGGTCATCGTTGACATTTCTGTGGTTTGCTCTGGCGTCATAAAACTATTACAGAGTTTGTCGTTCTTTAACATGATCAGTTTCCTTGGTCAGCTCGTCTCACAGAAGCGTTCTGCTATGCTTTTCTCATTTTATTTCGGCCAGCATGTCTCCAGCCTGTCCTTCTTAGCTCCTGTTTAAACCTCCTTGTGTGGAAGCAGAGTCAGGGTTGAATAACCAATGCTAACAGCAGTGTGCAGAGTTGAGTGTTCAAGTTTAACGGGTCCCGGACTGATGGTAAATAAACTCCTCCTGCCTCAGACATCCAGAGTCTCCTGCCTGATAATTTGTTTCAATCAGATTGTGAATTCTAAATGCCATAGTTTTATTCTAAATTAGTTGCTGAAATTTGAAGTGTGCATTTTCCAAGTGTTTAAAATTCAAAATAAAATTTAAAAAATTCACCTTTTAAATATTCTGCACAAATATTTGCAAGCTCTCAAATTCAAAAGTCAAAATTCAGTGTAAAATTAGCAGCAAATATCCACAATACCAAGAGCATAAGCAATCGATCCAAAATGATTCGATCTAACTTAGTAACGAGCAGGAAATGATGCAGTGAAGTGATCTGATTGTTTAGAAATAGCCTCATCAAAACCTCATCTCTTTTCTTATTTCTTAAGTGTAAACCCCGCCCACAGATGAGAACGGCCAATAGGAAACGGCGTCTGTCCTCCTCACTCACACAGGATCGATTGCTTCTCCCTTGGCATCTTGAATCTTTGCTGTAAATTTTTCACTGTGAATTTAATTGTACTCATGGCAACGATATAATAAAAAAAAGCATACATTACATTTGTAAGCTTATTTAAATGTCCTATTTTGGAAAATTTACTCTTGTGAGATATAATGTTATAAAATCAAATGTGTATAGTACAGTTGTGTTTTATTTAATTCACACATCAATATGACAAGTGAATAAGACTGATTAGTTCCTTCAAAAACAGTGAATCTCCCGTAGAGTCTCCCTCCGTCTGAAATTGTGACATCGACATTTGCAAATACAGTTTATTTGTTATTATCTATATACTAAATGCTAATAATAATTTTGTGTAAAAGTGTATTTGATTTAACCATAATTTGTTGTAGCTCTTAAGGTCAAAATAAGTCCACTCCCTCCTGTCTGTGTCTAATTACAACGTCTTTTATTGTCTGATAATCGGGAAATCCATTTTCTGATCTATGTTAAAATGTTGTTTCCTCATCACAAACATACCCAGAGTTGTGTTTCTTTTCTCATTCACAAATGTTTGACACACAAAAACTGCATATTTAGACTTGAGCTCTTCCCTCAAACCGAAAACACTGTGTTCCACCTTGTGATGTCATCTGGTAATACAGGTAATGCAGTGTTATTCTGAAGTGCTGTGCGATCGGGCGACGGCTGCGCTTACCTTCGTGAGGTGCGGAGCTCTCTGTCGGTCCTTTCCGGTCACCTCCAGGCCTTTCCCGACAGTGATTCCTGGTTAAGTACTGGTTGAGTCCTGGTTTACTCCTGTTTTAGTCCTAGTTCAGTCCTGGTTTAGTCCTCCTCTTCAGTCCTGGAATCAGTCCTAGGTTAGTCCTAGTTTGGTCCTGGTTTAGTCTTGGTTCAGTCCATGGCATATGCAGCGCAAAAATTTGATATAATCTGGGGTTAATGAGCAGGTGCGGTCCTGTACTGCATGGGTGTAAAAAGGGTTGTAACTGTCCTGTGTGAAAAAAGTGTATAAAGTTTGTGCTGAGAGGTTTTACAGCCTTAAAACAGATATAATAATTGTAAAATATTTCACCTATCCCGGGTTATTTTTAGAACATAACACCTGCGATAAGCGAGGGACCACTGTATCTACAGAACAAAACATAAAAGGTAGCTGTTAACTTGAAAACTACCACTACATGACATCACAACTTGGAACGGAGTGTAGACAACCTAAAAATAGAAGATTATTCAAACATGTGAATGAAACAAAACACGACTCCAGGTCTATTTTTGAGAAGGTGACACCATTTTAACATAAAGCTCACAGAATCAATTTGCGTAATATGTATAGGACCTTTTAACTGGCAACTTTCAAACTCCAATTTCGTTGTAATTGCGGTTAATCTTTGGACCCTACACTCTGATGTGTTCATCGATTTCCTGCAGGTCCGTTTGAAGCCGTGAGGGGGCGGGGCTTGTTGCCGGGACCTTGCGGCCCCTCCCCCTCCGTCCCTCTCAGATCAGATCAGAGTTTTTTTTCGTGTCTGCAGATTCTCGTCCCCTTTCGATCGATGCAGCACTGATTATCCCGCCCTGGATTGGCTGGACATGCCTCGGTCATGCTGTCATTGCTGTGTCTGATAAAAGGGACACAGTGTAGTGGAGGATTCAAGGATACATTTGACTGCAAACTATTGAAAATATTAGTGTTTTGTTGAGTCAGGCTGCAGGATTTTGGAAAAAAAAAAAACTGTGTAATTGCAATTTTTCTGACAATCTTTGTGGTTTGATTTGTGATTTATTTTTTTGTTATCAAAAACAGACCTGGAGTTGTGCTTTGTTTCATTCCTACATGTTTAACACACAAACCCTGCATATTTAGGCTGAGTTCTTCTCTTAAACTGAAAAAAACAAACACCTTCACTAGAATCATTTGGATTATTTCAGCCCTGGAATCGCCAACCTCTACTGAACTAAAGGTGAAAGAGGCTATTATCTTGAAAACAATCACTACATGACATCACAAGGTGGAACAGAGCGTTTTGAGCTTTGGGGATGTAGACAGACTAATAATAATCGGTTACTCAAACGAGTGAATGAAACAAAACACAACTCCAGGTCTGTTTTTGATGAGGTAACAACATTATAACATGATTGACATCTCACAAGAGTTAGTTTTGTGTAATATAGAACCTTTTAAAAGTAGGATTTGATTTAGAGTGCATTAACTTTTGAGAAAATACTGATAACCCATGGATTTGTAGAGGACTAAATTACAGATACAACAAGATTTTTCTATAAAAAGACAGGATAAGTTGTTTTGCCAAGGACAATTTGTTATTTAAATAATTACGGCCCTTGTGATTTGATCATTTTGCCAACTCAAATTGAGATTTTGATTTGAAAGTAGACATTGGTTATTGGTAGTCTGATTCATTAGTCGGTTTCACTTCTTGGAAACTGTCTGACCTCGCAGCATTAGGATTTGTTTGTTTGATGGTAGGCGAGTACTTTTTTTAATTTAACCAATCGCTGCTATTTGGTCGTGATGTATGTAATGTGCCAAATCCCGTAGGAAGAAGAGCAATAACGTCTTTCCCCTTGATAAAATTCACCAAACATTCTCTTTGTTCCGGCTTTAAATCCTCGATCTCGGGAATCGTTGCCAACACAGAATGTCTGTCTTCGTCTACATCCATCTCGACGCTTTGTTTACTGTTGTGCTTTTCTACAAAAGGGACCCAGACGTGTGAGTTTGACGTCATGGCTTCACAGCTCTTCGATGACTGGCCAGTGCGCGGTCTACAACTTCCAGGGTTTTTGCGAACCATCTAGTATATTCTGATTCCTGACCTAGTCACTGAAGAGAAATGAAAATGAGCGGAGGCACTAGGTGGCACCAGCCTGGCTAGGTTATTGGTTATCAGTGTCAAATATCTGTATCTGCTCATAAAATCTATATCAGACCAACCCTAGTGGAAAGTTTGCCTCACTTTAGACCCATAATAATTAGTTTTGTTGTTTGTGGTGTCACAGGAGCTGCTGCTGTCGGGGATGCCAGAGATCGATGTTCAGGACTGGTACAAAAACACAGAGTACACCAGCGGGTACGACCAGCAGGAGCCAGTCATTCAGGTGAGGCCAATGTCAAACCACTGTTACCACAAACATACCGGTACGTCCTTCAGAGATAAACATTATAACTCTTTTAATCATCAATGCTTTTTATGAATGTAATTTAAGACGTTTGTCAAGCAGTTTTCCATTTCAAGTTTTCCAAATTTGACAAAAGACTCTAATCATTCTATTCATAATAATGCTTTATATTGTATTGCATACACAAACTTAAAGGCGCATTGTGTAACGTTGCTGCTTGCTTGTTTCTATGAATATGTTATTGGAATGTTCCACAGAATGACATTAAACAGCTCTACTTTACATTTAATAAATTACAGGTGGTTTTATAGCTCAAAAATATTTAGAAAAAAAAAAAAAAACAGGCATTCTGACTGTGAGCGGGGCTGCCTCTCCACAGATCTGACCTGTAACTTGGTCTGGTTTGATCTCCATAGAAAGATACAAAGGTTTAAAGCCATACTGTGAAACATTGCAGACAAAGAAATAACATCTGAATAGAGAAAAAGTATTTGACAATGCACTTTTTAATTGTAAAGCATTATAAAGCGTGTATTGTTTGAACATCAGGAAGTGTATGTTAGCATGCTAGTTACTGATAGCTTTACCATCATGGCACGGCTGAGTTCTAACAACATGTAGCAAATTTATCATGTATGTATCTTTACTGAATGGAAGTCTCTATGAAAAGTCATCACCTTTCAAAGTGCAGATCCCACTTATACTATTGTCTCCACTTGAGTGAACTTAAACACAGGTTTTTAATGTCAATGTCATTTCAAACCTACAGCGTTAAACACCCTCCTGCTCCTCTCTGCGTTCAGTCTCTGCTTAATGCTCTGACTCCTGTCCTATTTCACAGTCGCCGTTCACATTGTTATAATTTCTGATTTCTTTTTTTTAGTGGTTCTGGGAGGTGGTGCACAGTCTGACCCAAGAGGAGAGGGTTCTGCTGCTACAGTTTGTGACGGGGAGGTAAGTTAATTTAGCTTTTTTTGGGTGGGGGAAATATATTTGCATCATAAAATCACACTCACTCGTTGTTTTAATATAAGCATTTAAAAGTAATAGTTCGAAAAGGACGGCTTAAAGAACACATGTTGTGTTTTTCTCTGCTATATATCTTTGACACTCATGGATGTTGTATTGTAGAGTAAGTATTGATCTGAAAACACTAAATAAGAGAAACAATTCCACGGATTTCCGGCTTGGAAAATCGCAGAGCCCAGTGGGAGCTGGAGTTGCCATAAACGTGATCACGACAAAGAGCCAAAAGCTGTTGGACCTCTCCTGTGAATAACTGCAGATCACGCGAGGGAATAGCAATTAAAAAAAAAAAAAAGAAAGAGTGCCAAAATGGTTATGCAACGCTGCCCAGTCTTAATAATAAAACTAGAGAAGAAAGTACAAAGCAGTGGTATCGGTAGTGGGGAAAGCGAGGGTTGATTGGAGAAAAGACTTCATGAATACAGAAGAAATAAATTAAGTAAGGATGTAAGTAAATTAGTAAGGAAACCTTTATTTATATAGCGTCTTCACAGATAAAATCACAAAGTGTTTTACAGGGCAATGAATAACATATATAAGAACAGAGGAATTACACAGTCAACTAAAAAGCATGTCTAAAAAGCAGTAACTTGAGCTGCTTTTTAAAAGAGTCTATAGCAGGGGTCTCCAACCAGTAGCTTTCCATCCCCTTCCAAGTAGCTCACCAAGGGATTTTTGAATTATACATATTGCAGTGAATATGCCTAACTTTGAACTTGTAAGTGGATAATGTTTTATGTTTTATAGGCCTCTAACTGTACCTTGTCTAAGGCTTACCGTGGCTCTTATATTTCCTCCATTTCTGTCAACTGCTAAAACTAGTAGTTCTCTGATATTTTCATTTTACAGAAAGTAGCTCATAGGAGGAAAAAGGTTGGAGACCCCTGATCTATAGAGTCTGCCTCATGGAAGACTAGGGGTAGGGCATTCCATTTTTTGGGACCCACAGCCTGAAAGCACACGCCCCCCATGTGTTTTAAATCGGGTCTTTGGAACCATCAAGAGGCTCTGAACAAAGGACCAGAGGGTGTGGCCTGAGGAGTAGGGGCGCAGTAAGTCACTGATGTACTGGTGTGCTGTTGAGGAATATAACCCTTTTCCTCGCGTGTTCGTTAGTTTCTGCTTAGACAAAAAAATTACACTTGAAACACAAATAAAGTCCAGATAATTTCCTTATTCCAGTATTAGAAAAGTCATACTTGTACAAGGAGTCTGTGCTGACATTTCCATGCAGAGACTGAATATTTACACCTATACAATGATTTTTATACGCAAACTATAGTGGGAGGCAACCATGGTTTAGACTTAGTGCCTCTTCGTTGGTGCACAGGCCAGCCAGGCCTCTTGGCACGTTGCACAATCTTATCCGATGGTGACAAGGATCTCCCGGATTAATTTCACTCCCCTTACAGGAGTCTCACTGGTCTGATCAGGGTGATGAGTCGTGAGTCAGCACATCCCTATCAATAAATCCTTGCCCTATTTAGTTAATTGATTAGACATATAGATTGAAATAGAATATATTGTACATGAACCGAACCTATCTCTGGATCCCTCAGCTGTAAACTAGTCCCTGTTTTCTGGGTCATTGTATACTGAATTATAATAGTACAATAATAAAATATAGCAGTACATCAGTAACATCATAGCAGTAGTTATACACCACCTAAGCCAAGTTATTTATTCTAACAGTGCCTGTCCAAAGATAACTTACACGTGCACGACTCACACTAAACACAACTTATAACATGGTCAAAAACTGTTTACTACATTTACATTTATGCCATTTATGCGAGACTCTATATTATCCCAGTTTATATAATGTGAAATACTAACAAATTTCATTATATTTCTATGGCAGAAAAAAAAGCACATGTTAAATTTAATAGTCTAATGAACAGTTTCCCGTTTTGTCTGCAGTTCGCGGGTCCCTCACGGAGGCTTCGCGTTCCTGATGGGAGGAGGAGGTCTACAGAAGTTCACCATCGCTGCAGTGCCATACACATCCAACCTGCTGCCTACCTCCAGCACATGGTAAAACTCCCAGAAAACTGACGGGGGAAAAGTGACAGTTCCAAGCAGACTGAACGATTTGGGAGAAATGTCTAATAGTGATTTTTTTCTGGCAAGCATTGCATTTACGATTTATGTTTTAACAATAGGATTCTCTTCAGAGTTCACATTTTTTATATTTCACAGAACTGATCAAAAGACAGAAATATGAACTGACAAAATAATACACGACATTTCAGAAAACGCTTTTAAAGATCTAAACTACAGGCTTAGCAGTTTTTATGCAGAATAAGACAGGAAATTTTGCTGTTTGTGGAGAAATGTTTTGCGAATTGCGGTTTTGATTCAATTGTGATTAATCTTGTAGTCCTAATTACATCCACATTTCACTTCTGTTTCCCTGATTGATGTTAAAAATACATTGTTCTATAAAAATGGTGATACTGTAAGCGTTTTCCCTACTGCCTGCCAAGTCAATGCAGAGAAAATCCACTAGAGGGCGCTGTGTACACATGTATTTGTATCTGAAACCCTCTCAACTCTCAATGATTCAGAAGTGAGGGCAGACAGAAATGAAAGTAGTTATCAATGACCTGGCAACATCCTCCTCAAACTAAAAGAAAAAGAAACAACTAAAAATGCAGTTGACAAAGTGATGTTGCTTTGTGAATAATGGGACTGATACTTGCTTTGTTTTGGAAAAAAAAAGGCAATGTTTTGCATTCTTCTTCCACCTTTCTTGCACTTACGTCAGTGTTTTCCTCTCTTCTGTCCTCAGTATCAACATGCTGAAGCTCCCAGAGTACCCCAGCCTGGACGTCCTGAGAGACCGTCTGCTGGTCGCTCTTCACTGCGGCAGCTATGGATACACCATGGCCTAAAAGTATAGTCCATAGCCTAAAAGTATATAGTATATAGCCCACACGACGGCCTAAAACTTCTCCATGGCCTAAAACTATAGTCCACACCATGGCCTAAAACTATAAACTACACCATTTCCTAATACTATAAACTACAGCATGGCCTAAAACTATAAACTACACCATGTCCTAAAACTATAGTGCACACCATGGCCTAAAACTATAGACTATACCATGCGTCTCCAACCTTTTTCCATCAGACAGCTCCCTTTACAAAACAAAATTAAGAGGGAGCTACACATTTTTGTGTTGCAAGAAATGTTGTTTATATAACAGCCATGGTAAGCCTTATGAGGTAAAGTTAAATACCTTTAAAAAAATGAACTATTATATGTATTAGTGCTCAAAATGAGACATCAAAATTAGATTTGCAAGGGTAATTAATCAAATTTTACTCATTCAGAACAATACGTATAATTTAGGAGAGCCACTGGAGGACTAAAACTATAGTGTACACCACGGCTTAAAACTATCGTCTACACCACAACCTAGAACTACATCACTGTCTAAAACTATACACTAAAACAATAGCAGGGGTCTCCAGCTTTGTTCCTGTGGTGAGCTACCTTTACAAAACGAAAATGCCAGAGAGCTACTCGTTTTAACGGTTGCAAGAAATTGAGAAAGAAATTAGAACAGTGAGATGCCTTTAAAACATAAACCAATGTCCATCTATTAGTGCACAAGTCGGCATCAAAATGACATATTTACAGTGGGAATTAATCACATTTTAGTTTTTAAGAACAACACATATAATTCAAAAAATCTCTTGGCGAGTGACTTGGAAAGGGGTGGAGAGCTACTAGTACCTCCTAAGCCGCTGGAGATCCTTGAACTATAGACCACACCACGGTCTAAAACTATAGTCTACACCAGGGGTCTCCAACTTTTTTCTTCTGGTGAGCAACCTTTACAAAACAAAAATGCCAGAGAGCTACTCATTTTAGAGGTCACAAGAAATGTGAGTAAATATAAGAGCCTTAGATGGGGTACAGTTTGATGCATTTTTGGAAACATTTACGCAGCTATTATCCATTTATTAATGCGCAAAGATATCCATCAGAATTAGACAGTAGTAATAGACATTTAATTAAATAAAATGTAGTTTTTCAGCACAGTACGTATAATTCAGAAATCCCTTGGCGAGTTACGTGGAAGGTGGTGGAGAGCTTCTGGTAGCTCCTGAGCTGCAGGTTGGAGACCCCTGATCTATAGATTACACCATGGCTTAAAACGATAATCTACATTATCGCCTAAAACTATAGCCTACACCCCTGCCTAAAACAGCAGGTTTACGATGAACACAGTGTAAAGTCATGATCCGAGGGAATCAAAAATTCTCACTAAATCCAAAAGTATCCATGGGTTTCAGAATCACAAGAAAAATTATAAAAAAATTAGGACAGTTGTCATAGCTATTAAAGAACACCTATTATGCAAAATCAACTTTTTAGAGATTTTAAGCATGTCTTGATTGTTTCCTCTTCTCATTCCCCCTCTCATAGTTGTATTTGGAGTAATTCACGCAACAGTAAATTTCCAACTGGGAAGTCAGCGGAATAGTTTCTGTGACTAAGGCCCCATTCACACTAATACGTACTCAAGTCGTTTTCGTTGTGGATGCAGTGTTCGTCCACACTAATCCGATGGAAAACAGCTCCAGAGATGGAACTATTTGGTGCCGCCAAGTCCCATGAACTCATCTGAGTACAGATCTGATCCTGCATTGTGTGCACGCCTGAAAATGCTGATGCACTGATGTAGATCTATGCACCGCAAAGTAATTCACCGCCAAAACACTAAGAGGCTAGAATATATGTCCATTCATATATATACGGTCTGTGTGTGACCTGCATACGTATAATCTCTGAAAAGTTTAACATGAACCATCTCCAACGCGATAGAAACACAGAACAGACTCACCATCAACAGAACACCCCTCTGTCACAGAAAGAACACTCATATTCCACCGAGTCATGTCCTTTAGTCCGACAGAAGCTGAACCGCATCAGCGCACAATAGCGAGCTGTTTTTTGAGCGCTTAGTTTATGCAGATGAGCCATGTAGTTTTAAGTTTTGTTTCTGTAAAATGTAAACAAATATGCTCAAAGCTGTGTGGATAGGGAAGGCTTGTGGACACAGAAACGACGTGTCTGGACGCAAATCATTTCCAATACAGTGATACAGTGATTCGTTTCAGTGTAAAGGTAGCCTAAGTCATTTTAGATAAATGAAAAATGTCCAAAATATAATGCAATGGTCAACGAGTGACATAGATTATAACTATATAGCAGACAGAAGCCCAATATGTCTTCTTTAACAATTTAAAACTCTGTCTTTTGAATGGCTGAGAGTCCTCAAAATTTTGCTGTTGATGTTAAAACAAGAAGCTGAAACCCATGAATAACACGTCTTCTTTAATATTCTACATTTAAAGGTGCACTGTGTAACTTTTCGGTTAGGCATTCGTCACCTTCTTGTTTCTTTCTGTATCATCGCTTTGCTTAGAATGTTCCGTAATATGACATGAAACAGATCTACCTTATATTTATCCAGTTACAGGTAGCTTAAAAATACCTAGAAAAACAGGGATTCTGACTGTGAGCGGGGTCGCCTCTCCCCAGATCTGACCTGTAACTTGGTCCGGTTTGGTCTCCATGAAGACAGAAAGGTTTAATGCCATACTGTGAAACATTCCAGACAAAGTAATAACATCTTCATGGAGAAAAAACATTTGACGGACCCTCCACCAGTTAAATAAAAGTTACACAATGTACTTTTAATTGCTAAAAACTCCACAGACCTGACCTGGGATAACTTGAGATTCCAGCCACCTCCATGGAGACAACCAGGCAGACACTCCATTAGAAAAGTTACGTAACACACCTTAAAGTCAATTCACAATCTTTCATTTTTGCACCATGGCCAAACATTAAACGCCAACCGACTCGACTGCTGTACTGCTTTTCCCGTAGAGACTCATTTTGTAGACTTTTGCTGGACTCAAAAGGAACTGAGCTGCTGGAGACAGTCGACAGTGGCTCCGCTGTCTATTTTTATAACACACGGACCTGATATTTTCCTGCTTAGATGTGTATATATACATGGACAGCATTTGAATCACTGAATGTTGTTTTGAAAGATGTTAAATAGTGGTAAAGATGTAAGGTTTCGTATTTGTCAAAGCACAAATCATGTCTGAAAAGGCCAGTGTCAGGAGATGTGTTTCGTGATCTAATCCGTTTTGAACATTTTAGTGGAATTATTTAAGGTCTTGTTTGAGTTTTATTGGCACACTCCACTCAGAGAGATCAGGAGTAGGGTGATCAGATGTTCCTATTTACCCGGGACAGTCCCAGTATTGAGCCCTGAGTCCCCTGTCCCAGCAGTTTTATCTAAAACCAGTGATTTGTCCCAGTTTTATACAAGTAATGTCCCAGGTGTCCCTATTTTGGACCAATTTAATCAAAACCAAGACTGAAGTAAGTCTAAAATAGGTCTACATAAGGTCTAAACTTGGACTAAAACAGGACTATCACAATTTTTTGAATAATCTGATTCCTGCCAACCATAAAGAGAACCATAAATTGTCATTTGTTTTGCCAAAATGCAGAAAACTGTGCCCATAATCCAAAAAAATATGGAGAGATAGAAGCACCTCAGATTATGACTGACACTAGAATACACAATGTTATGCACTTTTTTCACAATTTTATTTATACCAAACATCCCAACCCGGTGTGTCCCAGTTTTTGAAAATCTGGTCACCCTAATCAGAATTCTAACTAGTATTGTTTTGATATCATTTTTGGGGGATCCGATACCGATACTTGGCCTTAGTGCACTCTCCGAAAAGATACCAGTAATAGTAGACAAGACTAGTCAATTTTTTTACTTTACAAGAGCAAAAAATAACTACTAAAAGGCTATCTCTAAAGAAAATGCAAAAGAATGTGATTTTGAGGGCTTAAGTATTAGAGTCATATATGTACCGTATTTTTCGGACTATGAGGTGCACTTAAAATCCTTTTAATTTTCTAAAAAATCAACGGTGCGCCTTATATATTAATTCTGGTTGTGCTTAATGACCTTGAACCGATTTTATGTGGTACACGGCACTCAAAAATCTGTCAAAATGTTTTAGTACGACTTTGGTAAGCTATGAAGCCGCACCGCTTGATGGAGTGTCGGAGCATTATGGTTACTGTAGTCAGGAGCCACGCAGAGTCCGACAGAAGCTGAACCACATCAGTGCACAAGGAGCGAGCAGTTTTTTCAGCGCTTATAGTTTATGCAAATTTGCCATGTGGTCTTAAGTTTCGTCTCTGTAAATCATAAACAAATGTGTGCAAAGCTGCATTAAACACATTATTACTCAATGTATATTTGAGACGTCCTCGTAGGAAATAAAAAAATAAACTTAAATTATCCTCCCACATTCACACTCATAAAACACATTCACCAAGACAGGGAGGCAACGCCAGGCGAATTACGATTTCCGCCAATGGATCATGGACACCTCGGTTAAAGGATCAGTCTCAAGTGTCGTCCGTTTGTTTCGCTTAATACTCCTTATAATCCGGTGCACATTATGTATGAAAACAGACGAGAGAATTCAGCATTATTGATATGGCACCTTATAATCCGGTGCGCTTTATAGTCTGAAAAATATGGTATGTATGATTTAAGCACTTTTATTTTTCTAGTTCATCATTTTGGGCCACAGAGCAAATAAAAACAACAGTGAGGCTTGTAAAAAGATGCTCATCCTCGCTGCGGTTGGGCTGCTGTCTCCATAGTTATTTTACTAAATTCAGCGTCTACACCAAACTCTAAAAAAAGGTATCACAGAGGAAAAACAAATGTCTTTTTTTGTTTTTATTAGAGTGTTTTGAGTGTCCACAGAGCTTCCAGAGTCTGTGTTTAACCTGCTCTGAGCGTCCTCATTCACAAAAATACACAGCGGTATCGGATCGGTGATTTGGTCTGAATACGATACGATACCTGAAAAATGTGTGGTATCGGAGCTTTTGCCTATACCAGTATCGGTATCGGAACAACCACAACCTTCATAAAAAGAGAGGAGGAGTGGCCTCACATCTACTGAAGCAATGCACCTTTTACACATTATCACTCTATGAAATTATCCATGTATTTTCTATGTCAAGGAGTAATCGTTTAGTATTAAGACTTTTGCTTAAATATTACGATTCTGAAGCAACTTTTTGATATGAATAAATAAGTTGGTTAAATCATATTACAATTTGATTAGAAATGTATTGGTAATGTACAGTTGTCACGTTCTGTTGTTTATGTTAATGTTTATTTTTTAGTCCTTTTCCTGCCTGTTTTGCTCTTGCCAAAATATTTCAAGATGCCAATTATTTTGTTTGCCAAAATTTAAAGGGCCAGTTCCCAAATTTGAACCATGAGTGAAAAGATGTTAGCCCCATCGTCTTGTATAATCCCGTCTGAGTCTGATGTTGAACCATGATGGAGAAACAGCCGTCTAGATTAGTCCCAAGCACTTGTTTTGTCATGGTTTTCATCCAACTAAATGTGTTTTAGATGTAAAAGGTGGAATTATTCAGTGTCATATTTTATAGGGCTGCAACAAACCAATATTAGAGTAGAGTTGGCCAGACTAATGATTATTTCTATTGTGGATTATTGAGACTTTTTAAATACATGTTCAATCACTTTAAGTATTGAAATATGCTATAAGGAAGAGGAAGAGAGGAGGAGAAAGGGGAGTAGGAGAGAAGGAGAGAGAGGAGAAGAGAAGAGAAGAGGAGAGACAGGGGAGAGGAGGAGAGACAGGAGAGGGAGAGACAGAAGAGAAGAGGAGAGGGGGAGAGACAGAGGAACGGAGGAGAGACAGGGGAGAGGAGGAGAGACGGAAGAGGAGAGAAGGAGAAATGGAGGAATGGAGGAGAGACAGAGGAGAGGAGAAAAGAGAGGACAGGGGGAGTGACAGAGGAATGGAGGAGAGATAGAGGGGAGGGAGAGAGACGGAGGAGAAGAGAAAAGGAGATACAGGAGAGAGGTGGAGAGACAGAGGAGAGACCGAAGAGGAGGAGTGACAGGAGAGGGAGAGAAGAGACAGGAACAGAGGAGAGACAGAGGAGAGACAGGAGAGGAGAGGGGGAAAGAGGGAGAGACAGGAGCAGAAGAGAAACAGGAGAGGTGGTGAGACGATGAGACAGACAGAGGGTTATATTTACAAACTGACAAAAAATCTAATTGTTCCTTCTATTTTGACATTGTGCAGTAATAATGCCACTGCTTTTGCCTTTAAGTGTCTTATCATGTATTTAAAAGTCTCTGCTCCACGTAATGATTAAAATTACACACACAATATCACAGATTAAGTGTTGCAGCCCTAGTAGCTGCTTTTATAATACACAGTAAAGAGCCAAAGATATTGTTCTGAACACGAAATAAAAATTTAATACAGGCTTTTTAAAATGCACAATGGATTTTGTTGCTATTCCCCCAAATAAGTATTAAGTAACCATATATTTATTTAAGTTTCAAATCACATATTGTATGGAAGCCCTGAGTGGCAAAAAAAAAAACCCTCTGTACCTGATTTTTTAGTGGTCCAAAGTTATTCCTCACTTATCTTATGTATTCCAAACATCCTAATTATTCACCACAATGAGTTTATAAGCACTTTTCACATCTTTCGACTGAAAATAAACCGTGTTATTATTACATGCAGACAGTACACAGCAGATTTATTATAATACGCTTATATAATACATCTGCACTTGGGCAAGACACATTTTACGCTAATATACTGGGAAACAAAATCCGGTATAGAGCCTTTAATTCAACTGTATATTTATTTTCAAAGTGGCTGTAGTGGCTGAATAAACAATAGTTGCTTTGTGCCGTGCCAAGTCGGAGCTTTTAGTGGCAATGGTCCAAACTCAGCATTTTTCTACCTCCAGAGCAACATCCATAATTTATAGAATAATTTATGTAATGCCGACAACAGCTTAGAGGCATTCAGTAGTGATGGGCAGATCTGATCCAAAATGTCAATCTTTTCTACAGTGATGGAAAGACAAAAGTTTACAGGTTCTATATTATGGAAAAGTAACTCTTGTGAGCTTTAAATGACATTATAATGTAGTTACCTCCTCAAAAATGTACCTGGAGTTGTTTTTATTTTATTTAGACATGTTTGAGTAATCTTTTTGTTGGTCTGTTTACATCTTCCAAAGCTCAAAATGCTCTGTTGTAGTTTTTGTTTTAACGTTAACAGCTGCTTTTTTGCCTTTTGTTTAGTAAAGATTGGCAATCCCAGAGCTAAAATTATCAGCCTAACTAATAATGCGGGAATTAGGGTTGGGCGGTATCCAAATTTTGATACTGTTAAACCTTCTTAAGATTTTACCGGAGTATACGTTATTTCCATATTACCAAAATGTTTTAGTACAACGGGCTGTGCGTATGACCTGCAGACTTATAATCTCTGAAAAGTTTCACGTGAACCATTTCCAACGCGATAGAAACACAGAACAGACTCACCATCAGCAGAACACCCCTTTGTCACAGAAAGAACACTCATATTCCACTGAGTCATGTCCTTTAGTCCGACAAAAGCTTTACCGCATCAGCGCACAAGGAAAGAGCTGTTTTTATCAGCACTTTATAGTTTATGCAAATGAGCCATGTGGTTTTAACTTTCCTTTTTGTAAAACGTAATCAATTGTGGCCTGAAACCAAAAATGCTGCCAAATTGTAGAAGTACTAGTATTTTTTGGTGGAGATCAACTCCGTTTACGGCCGGATTTGCCGTCTTATCTTGGTCTCCCTCAGGAGCGTCACGTGACAACGGAACGAAACTAGTCGAACGTCATCTCCCCGCGCAGTTAAAAGAAACATTATAGACACTATTAGTTTTAAATCGTGATAGAATTAAATTGAAAATACAACCACACATTCAAACAAATTTAGGTATCAGTAAATTACAATATTATATTAGGTCCTTATGTGCTGCAGATTTTTTAAATGACGGTAATGAAACTACATTACTACTTTTTGATACTGCAGGATACCGTAACACCGTATTACTGCCAAACCCTAGTGTGAATGAAACAAAACACAACTCCAGGTCTGTTTTTGACGAGGAAACAACATTATAACATAGATCAGGGCCCTTTAAATCAGTTGTGTTCACGTTGTAAGATCTGAAGATGCCATTTTCTCAGATGCAAGAGAAAGGCTTATATAACACTATGGGAGATTTACAGATTTTGAAGGAAATATCCAAAATGCAATTCCACAAATGTTTAACTTTATTGTTATTTGTTAGGGATTGGGTTCACAAACTTGCAATATTAATTTCAAGTCCTTTGGTTTTGACTAATGGCACCAAGCTAATGTGAAAAAAAATCACTTTTGTTTATTTATGCTGACAGAGAAGATGTTGAACTTTGTGTCAGTTTTTGTTTCACGTGGATAGGCTCAGTAATCCCAGAGATATGAACCATAAACCAGGTCAACAAATCCCCAATCTTAGAGTTCTGACCGATCTCCAGCTCTGTTAAAACTACAGGGATTCTAATGTGATGCGATTATTGTATCTATACCAAAATATCCACCTTTTCATTTCATTTTCACATAATTATCTTGAACAAATTTAACTCTAAACTCTTGGTATTCTTGACATATATTTGTACTGTCTGTGTTTGTCTTTACTTGTTTGACTCTTGGCTTCTGAAAATGCTGAAAATGTTTGTAACTGAATGTACCACATGAATTCCTGTTATGTTTACAGCAGACTAAAGGGACTGTACCTGTCACTGATATAATGTCAGTATTGTTTTGTAAACAGAATAAAAGGGATTGTTTGTATATGAGTGTTTATGTATTTTATCATGAAAAATCTACTGTATGTACTTTTACATCAGGATTTCATCAAATAAATTTTATTTGACAATTTTGCTTATGGATTTAATGTTGTAACCTTTTCAGTAGTTGGATTTTTTTTCTATTAAAACAGGTCAATTATCTCATTGACTTTGCAAAAATACACATTGTGCTTTGTTATTATCGTATTTTTCGGACTATAAGTCGCACTTTTTTCCGTGGTTTGGGTGTTTCCTGCGACTTATACTCCGGTGCGACTTATATGTTATAATTTTCAGACTGACTGATTCAGAAAGGCCAGCTATGCAAAAGAGGAAGCGGCGCTCCATTTACATCATGGACCTATGGTTTATCTCTGGAGGTTGTGCAGAAGTGACACCAAGGATGAAGAATTCAATGGATTTAGTGATTTGGAGTGAGATCGTGAGTTTGGTAAATTTATGTTCTGTTGTTTATGGTATAATTATCTGAATAACTGTTAATATGTTATGTTAACATATTAACACCTATTCAGTCTGTTGTTCTCTGTTCTGTTGTTATTACTATAACTTGCATTTCAAGATAAAATGTCGGTTCCTGGTCTCTGATTTTATAAAATACATTTCACCAAAAAGTGTGACTTATAGTCCGGTGTGGCTTATATATGTTTTTTTCTTCTTCATTGCTCATTTTTTGGCTGGTGCGACTTATAGTCTGGAACGCCGGTAGGTTCTTTTTTCGGACCAAGAGTTTGTTTTTCATACCTGACAGTTCCGACTGCTCACTAGCAGTAGGAAGACAGCGCTGAAACCTGTTTAAATCAGCTGACCAGACGCGTCACAGAAACATCACATGACTCTGAGGAAGACCGCAGGGAGCAGTCCAAACTGTCAGGTATGAAAACAAACTCTTGGTCTGAAAAAAGAACCTAATAACATAAATTATCGGATGACCAAATGAACCTCATTGGACTATTACACAATGTGCTGTTGAGTTTGCATGTTCTGTCTGTGTCTGGATGGGTTTCCTTTGGGCACTTCAGTTTTTCTCATCAGCTCAAAACATGCACAAAAGATCAAATCCTTCAGCCATGGTAGTCCTGACCAAGACCAATAAAGTAAACTTTAATTTACCTCATTGGCTAATTCACCTGTCAGTCACGCCCATCTGGACTCTTATAGATGTAACCTGGACCAGACTCACATCTTCTTTACAGACATGTGTTGGAGAAGTGTGTATTCTAGAGCCCGGGTAAACGCTGGGTTAAGCAGGAATGTGACGGTGTAAAATGTTCATCTGCACCAGTGAGTAAACAGTGCATCCTTTCTCTAAGTGCTTTGAAAACAGTTTTCCAGAAGAGTTTGTCGTAGATCAAATGAAGAATTCTAATTTAATCTAGTCCATATCAGAGTCCTGCACCGGGTCAGGTGTCCGCAAATAGTAGAAACAGGTGGGTTTTCACGTTCTGTAATTTTACAGGTGGATATGTGGGGGGCAGTGATTATACACAGGCAGGTCAAGACTAAAACAGGACTAATCTTGACTTGAGAGAGAGAGAAAGAGAGGGAGAACCCTGAGCATGTGGAGCAGGGTGTCTGCAAAGTGCAATTAGGTGACGGCTGCATGTTGCCTCGTGCGGTGGGGAGCTCTGCACCGGTCCTTTTGCCCGCAGTCACCTGATGGACTATGCAGACGCAACTCCGGACCTGTCCTGACAGTCAGTCCTGGTTCAGTACTGATTTAATCCTGTTTTAGTTTTGTTTTAGTCCTAGTTCAGTCCTGGTTTAGTCCTCCTGGTTTAGTCCTGGGATCAGTCTTCGGTTAGTCCTGGGCTAGTCCTGGGTTACTCCTGGTTCAGTCCTGGTTCAGTCTGTGGCGTGTGCGGTGCAAAAGTCCGGATGTTTGTTGATGTTTCTTCTGTTCAACAAATAAGTTGCGCCTGTGAAGTGATGATGTATTTTTGACAGCCGAGTCATGTC